AAAAGGAGGTATGTCTAATCAGGTATAGAATTTTTTTCCTTTTTTCACAACTTCAACTTATAAAGTATCTCGAAATAAGCGATTTATATTTTTCTCTATAGTGAAAAAATAAATAAGTAAGTAAAACAAAGTAAACTTTTTATTTTTCCGAAAAAATACAATTTAATGTACATATATTTTTTATTCCATAAATGTTTTGTTATATTAGTGTGTACATTATTTTCATTGCATCATAATTTTTACCTATTCATAAAGACAACAAAGTATCTTAGCTCCAAATAAAAACAAATTTGGTGCATTAAAAATGAAACATAAAATTTATATCGATGCCTTAGTGGCTCTTGTATTTTTTTTTTTTTTTTTTTTTTTTTTTTTTTTTTTTTAAATATAGATTTTTTTTTTTTATTTTTTTTAAGTTTTTAAATTTTTTCTTTTTTTTTTTTTTTTATGTTTTTTTTTTTTTTTTTTACATCACCTTCTCCCTCCATATTTCTGTTTTAGATCTTTTTTTTTTTTTTTTTTTTGGTTAATTAGTTATAGAAAAAACAAACCAATCAGTAGGCAAAATTGTGAATAAAAGAGAAAAAAAAAAAAAAAAAAAAAAAAAAGGAAATTACCTGGATCAACATTACAATTACAAAATATGGAGAATAATAAATTTGAAAAAAATTGAATGGTGATTTGTTTTGCCATCCCACACACACACTCTTTAATGCAGGCTCCCTTATTAGTAAGCCAAATTAATGCACACAAAAGTGAAAATGAAAAAGAGAATTTACATTTATATTTATACTATATATGTACTTATACTATATTTAACTTTTCATGTGTGCGAATATTTACATACATATATCTTTGCGTTAAATAGGGACTACCGTTAATCTTACCTAAGTCATATATATTCACTTCTTCACATTCGCACATCACCTACCTTTCTGAACAGTTGTAGAAGGGCATGTGTGGATCCATAGAAGAAGAAAAATCCGAATTGTTATTGCTGCAATATGTGTAGACCTAACACAGACGAGGAATATCCACTCGATGTTCATACTCTACAAGTCTAACATGCTTAATTTATCTGGGAACGAATATGTCTTGATCGACAGGTACGAGGGAAGAGCAAGACATATATTGACAGAAAAATTGAAAGAAGAAAAACCAAATTGTGAAAATGGAGACAATTTAAAAGAACGGAGAAAGTACCCATTGCTACAAGGATGTAAGAAATCAGATTTTACACTAAATATAACAACCAAGGAATAATTAAGTAATCTAATATCAACACTTGGATGAATTAGGATGCATGTAAATGCAATATATTGGTTACTTCTATTTTATTCAATATATGAAAGGTTCATTGTAACATTTGGAATCAAAATTATGGGATCAATTTCAGGACATAGAAACAAAAAAAAACAAGATTCTAAAAAATTTACTAGAGCATATGTGGAACCCTTGTAAAAATGCACTAACTCTTGAATTAAATGAAATGCAAAAAAAAAAAAAAAATCCATAAAACATTTTTCAAATTTCATGTTACAAAAAAGTTTTTCTTTACCTATGATAGAAAAAATATTTTTTGCCAGAGTCATAAATATATATATATGTATATATCTATACATTCACATATGCCTTGTTATAACGAACCTTTGGGGATTGATACTAAATTGTGGTGTGCTTCTTTATAGCAGCAAGAAACATTTTGGACAGAATGATTGAATTATGAAAATTGTAATTATATAAATTTTTCCATGAGCTTGGGGTAACAAGGCCTATCATAATAAATAGCCGTTCGGTGCCTCCAAACAGAAAGGCCATTCGACAAACTCTGCAATTGTACAACTGCACAATTGCAGAATTGTTTAAGTTTGTACAAATTTCAGTGAGTACAAAGGGTGAGACTACATAGGTCGCAATAATGGGAGTAAATAAACAATTTCGAAAAGGAAATAACAAATGTATATTCATCTCTCCCATTTCGAAAATTACATGATGCGAGAAATTCTCTTACTAATGTGCTTGTACTTGATTATTATGCAGTTCCATATTTTTCTAATTAGCAAATGTCATGCAAAAAAAAAAAAAAAAAAAAAAATGATAGCTTCTATTTCTCAGCACATATACACTTAATTCATTTTTTTTTTTTTTTTTTTTTTTTTTTTTCTACATGGTTTAGTAAAGCTTTTATTATTTTATATATCATGCACAATTTATAGCATTAGGGATTCTCTCCTATTATTCAGAACCGTTTCTCATTTTATTATTTATTAATATAATTCATTTCATTATTTAGAATATGGAAGATCTTCTATGTGCAGATATAGCCGATTGATCCCTTTGAATGTATTTCAAAACTTAATGATGAAAGTAAAATGTCCACTTTACCATTTACATAAGTGTTCATTGATACCTTGCTGAGGAAGCATACTAATTTTTACTCCAATAAAAAAGTATGTGTGTATAGGGATGTATATATATATATATATATATATATATATATATATATATATATATTTTTTAAGTGCTTTTTCATTATTCATCTACCACTTTGAGGAGTGCTACATAACCTCATGTATTTTTGCTACATCTTCGGTGTATATATTATGTGTAAATGATACACATGTTTTGCTTACACTTGTCCAGACATTATTAAGTGTGTCAAGAAGCACAACAGTGAAGTAGAATATTATACGTAAAACACATACTTCTAAGATTAGTACTATATAAAACATTTTCAATATGATTAAATGTATCATGAACTTTAGCACAAGGAAAATTTGAATTGCAATGGGATGAACCAATTATCTGATTAAAAATTTGCACATGCGATAGAGTTAGCTACATCTGATAAGTATTTCACAAAATCGAGCTGTAAAGAAATTTTTTACATTTTACAGAACCATTTGCAGAGGAGTAAAGAGATTGTTTACATTTTACATAACCATGTTGCAGAGGAGTAAAGAAATTGCTTATATTTTACATAACCATGCTGCAGTAATGCATTTTTTTTTTTTTTTTTTCTTCTTCTTTCTTCTTTTTATTGAAAGAACTATGGAAAAAAAAAAAAAAAAAAAAAAAAAAAAGGTTAAATTTTATAATAATAACAGAAAAAAAAGTTGCAGCAATTTAATATTCGTTACTTTGAAAACACACACAAAATGCTGAATTAATAAATGCTAAAAACTTTCGTTTTGGAAAATCAAAACAAATGGGGAATAGGAATTTTTAACGAAAAATGTTCATGAATTGTGCAAATTCATTATACAATTTTTTTTTTTCTTAAAAAAAATATTGTCATTCCGGAGCCTCAATTTTTTTTTTTTTTTTTACAATTGTGTGTATATATATATATATATATATATATATATATATATATATATAGGTACCATAAAAGAGGTCTAACACATATGAGTTTTATTACATAATGAATTTAAAATTAATGACTAAAGGTCAATAAATATTTTTTCTTAACCGTTTTTTACTTATAGCAAAGAGCAAAAGCTTTTCATTTGTTGGTGTGTTTAAGGAAATGGGTTGGTATGCAGGAAATGCAACATACATATATGTATGTAATGTATATATGTATATGGCTTATATATGAATGTAATGTATATATGTATATATACATATACACGTGCGAGTACGACGCGAAGGACTATAGTACCTGACCTGCCTTGTTAATATAAAAATTAAAACCTGTTCTAACTGAATTAAAGCATGTCAAGGTAAATAAAAATGTTTGTACTACAAATGTGGCTCGCAGTCTAGATCATACTGTGAACCTCAAACTAGCTCGTAGTGAAGATTCTCTAATTTGTTCTTTTTCTCTTTTGCCAAAAAAAAAAAAAAAAAAAAAAAAAACAAATTGCCCATTTATGATATTGTTATGATGTGGGTTCACTATAATTATGTGAAAAGTGGCTCCTCCTATCACGCAGTCCCCTCGGGGATTAACACGTTTTAAAATACATTGATGATTGAAAGGGTCAAGAAAAGAGCTTATGTTTATTTTAACATGTGAAAAAAAAAAAAAAAAAGCATAAACATGTAAAATATAAAAAAAAAGTATAATAAATAACAAGCAATAAATAACAAACAAGAAGTAACAAACAAGAAGTAACAAGCAAGAAGCAACAAACAATAAGTAACAAAATTTTTTTTTTTTTTTTTTTTTTTTTTTTTTTTTATATGGTAAAATTTTTTATCATTACATATATATATGTATGTATATATATATATATATATATATATATATATGTATAAATGCAAAAATGCAGTAGTCAGATTGTTGCTAAACAATTTATTAACCTAAAAGCACTGTTCGACAACACCTTTGGTTTTTTTTTTTTTTTTTTTTTTTTTTTTTTTTTTAGATTCGTTAAATAGTTTTGTTCTATATTGCAGTTAATACTAGCCGCTTTCTACATGCATAATGAATGTGTTGTTAACACAATCTACTTACATTTTTTTTTTTTTTTTTTTTTTTTTTTATTTATCTCTTTTCAAATTTGTATTTCATTATTCTATGTTTTATGCATTCCACGTTATGATTTTTTATTTTATAATTTTATTTTTTTCTATTTTTTAAATAGAGTATGCCACAAGATTGAAGGTCGTGTAATTCTATTGTTGTACAGAAAAATAAATATTTTTTTTTGTAAACATTAAGTGCAAATTTATCTGTTTATTTGATTTATTTGTTTTAGTTTATTTATTTGTTTTAGTTTATTTATTTGTTTTAGTTTATTTATTTGTTTTAGTTTATTTATTTGCTTTAGTTTATTTTTTTTTTTTGTTTTATTTTATTTATTTGTTTTATTTTATTTATCTTTTTTTATTTATTTATTTTTATCACAAATTTGCTTAGATAAAAGTGGTAATAATGAAGGCACATGTGTAGTTCAAAGAGTAGACGCTTATCTCAATAGAAAACAAATACATATATACATATATACACATATATATACACATATATGCATGTGCAACTTCTTATCTTTAACATGGTGGCTTTATCCAGAATCAGTGTCGCCTTGCTGATCTCCCTTTTATCGGTAGCATGAATTTAAATATGGAATAATAAGACCAATGTGTTCGCTTGCTTGCACATCTGCTCGTGCATGTTCTATCGACATGTGTACACACATGTATACCTGCACCTACATGTACATATTTATCATTTTCTGCAATTTGTCTCTCCCGCTTCCCCATTTTTAGAACCCACTTTGTCCATCAGATGGGAGCAGATCATCAACGGGTGAACCAAGGAGAGGTGGGAGAAACTTAACAGAATGGATATTCATGGATGCTTCAGAAAAACCATTAAATTGTTACGATAATAAACATAAGTTTAATTATGAGTATAAGCATAAACCTGAAAATATAAATGTACGTGAATATAGAAAAAAACAAGTTTATGAAAATACAATGAATTATAACTTGGCAAATGCGTATAGGAGAAATAACATGGGCTATGGTAATGTATGTACAAACGAATGTGGAAAAATGCAAGCGTATGAACATAATTATAAGAATGTACATAATGAAAATAACATGCAAATAGAACAGTATAAAAAAGAACGTGTAAATTCGCCATTAGATGAATATGATTCCTTAACTTGTCGTGAAAATAGAAAATTCCTCTCGAAATTTATGGTGAATAATAGATTACCATTTGGATGTACTTTCTGGGAAGTATCCCAGGTATTAACAGATAAACAAATATTAAAAAGAATTACATATATAGCACTTGATATAAGTTTAAAGAAAGCATTTATTGGATATTATTATCTTGTTGTATATCTAACTAGACGTTATTATAATATGATTAATAAAATGAGTATGTGGTTTATTAATGTTGCTATATCACGTAATATACCAAAGCATGTTCGAGGGATATATTGGCAAGAGGCTAGAAAAAAACTTTTACAAGATTTAGATATAATTGAAGATATGAGTAAACTTTATTTTCAATCTCTAATACATGGAAATAGAAGAATATGGATTGTGAATTATGAATTATTTTTGGAGCGCTGTAGAAAGTTATGGAAACGAGCCATATCAAGTAACAGATTAAAGTGGTCGCAAAATTTATCTATGTGGATAATACAATATAATCAGAGTAACGCTCTTGGAAGAGGCCGAGCCATAAGAGAGAACGAACAAGGAGCCATGAGACGAAAAGAACTCGACCAACGAATGCACAACCGGGGAGTGCACAATCGAGAAATATACAATCAAGAAATATACAACCAAGGAGTATACAACCAAGGAGTATACAACCAGGGAGTGCACAACCAGGGAGTGCACAACCAGGGAGTGCACAACCAGGGAATGCACAACCAGGGAATGCACAACCAAGAAGTATACAACGAAGAAGTATACAACCAAAGAATGCACAACCAAACAGCACAGCAACACGAAAGAGAGGAAAATAAAGAAGATGTTGATCTTATTCAATGGTGAACATTGAAAGGAGAGAAGAGGGATCTGGAAAACTGAACACTTTTCTGATTAGCCTTTTTTTTAATTCAGGTTATAAATGTAGTACTGCATATCTCTCTGTGCGTGTGCATATTTCGATATTTTCCCCATATGGTACAAGTTTTTTCTGATAATCGCATTTATTTATTGCTGTCTAATATAAACTAAGCAAGCGTGTTAAAAATGTAAAAAAGGAAATATGGAAAAAAAAAAAAAAAAGAAAAAAAAAAAAAAAAAAAAAAAAAAAAAAAAAAAAAAAAAAAAAAAAAAAAAAAAAAAAAAAAAAAAAAAAAAAAAAAATTTTTTTTTTTTTTTTTTTTTTTTTTTTTTTTTTTTTTTTTTTTTTTTTTTTTGGGGCATTGATACCTTAATTGCCCAATTTTGCCGAACAGTTTTGAAGATTCCCAGTATTTTACCACATCAGGGTAAAATTAAAATGAGGTCTAATTAATATTAAGAAATTTCTTACATAACAATGTTTTTAACATTTGATCATAACATGTAGGATGCATATAAAAAATTACACCAAAAAAAAAAAAAAAAAAAAACATGTCATGATCCATGTGTTTAATGTGTAGGAAGTTGTAAAGCGTGTGAGAAGTTGCATTCCAAATTTACCATTATGTAATACTATAACATGATGCATGCATATATATATATATATATCCATATAGCATGCATCATTTGTACTGTTTTGTGATTTACTGCTAATGGATAAACACCTTGCAAATAGGAAAAGCGCTGGTTCAGCAAGAATAATTAACAAAATATTTTTTATAATTTTAATTGTTCATATTAATTCAAGGGAAATATAAAAAAATACTTATAAAAGAAATAAGGAAAAATATGCAAATCTCGACACTATATAATGCACATAGAATTCGAGAATAAACACACCAAATCTATATCCTCACAAGGTATAGAAGTAATGAATATACACAAAAAAAAAAAAAAAAAAAAAAAAAAATAAATAAAATAATAAAGTAATAAAATAATTACTAAAAAGTTACAAGGTCTACATTTTTTTTCATTACTCTTCTAAATATCATCTCATTTTTATTCATCTGGCACAAAGTTGTAAAGAAAAAAATGTAAAGTGCTTTTATCTCCTCTCCATATAGTCATCCTTCTAACCACGTGAGGAAATGTTATGTCGTTTTCTCTCTTTTTTTTTCATTCTATGTTTCTCTATTTTTATCATCACCATCGGTATTATCATCACTACAGACATCGGGGTGTATTTTCCCAACTTTGTAGCTATTACACAGATGCAATTTCACCTGCATATGAAGATGCAATATAAACTGCCATTAACATGCACTAACATGTTACATCTTTTTATCAACACCCGTTGTATTAAAAATGTCTTTTGCAAACTATGGATTTTATGAATCCATTTCTAGCATTTTCCCTTCACACACTGAGAAATATTTTTTTTTTTTTTTTTTTTTTCTTTATAAAATTATGTGATAATACTTGGATATATACTATTCGGGACTACCTCATAATAGTAAATAAATAATATCTTTTTGTTTTCTTATTGCTGCATATTTCTTTACTTTCTCTTCCAAAAGACCATTCCATTTCTTCATATTTACTCTTATAGTTCCATGTACTAATTCTGAACATCGAAACAAAAGTATTTCAAAAGGTATAGTCCATACTTTTCTTCTTTTACGCATAAAGTTAAAAAAAAGCTTTTCACACGTTAATTGAGTGGAAATTAAATCTTTTATAAGTTGTTCTTTACATGCACTCCATAAATTTTTTTCATGTTCAATAGATAATTTATTTTCCCGTGCTTGTTTAATGAGCAATCTTTCTAAAGTATTAACCATGGTGAGATATTTTCTTTTTAAAGATATCCAATAATAATAATATATTATAAATGCTTTTCTCTTACTAAGCGAAAAGAATAACTTTTCTGTTAGACCTAAAATTTCATCATCTGTTAAATTTCTATGAATATCATATTTTGTACATCCGTATGGAAGTTCTTCAATGTCCCAATTTGGAGATTTGCCATATGCATTCGGGTTTTCACACATGTTACTAAACTCTCCTTGCTGCAAGCAATCTTTTGAACCATTACTCCCACTTGAACGATTACTCACATTTGAATATTTAATCTCAATTGAACGCTTATTATTATTTGTATGAATTTCTTCACTTGGATAACTATAGGAGAAATCTTCCTTTTCCACAATTTCTGTCGATCCAAAATCATCCATGTTGAATGAGGCACAAGATAAAATTCTTCTACATTTTCTCAGCTGGGTTCTTGACAATGTACTCACATCTGATTGGAAAATTAGGTTCTAAAAAATGTGAAAACAAAAAAAAATATATATATGGGTAGAAAAGTTATATGTTACATAAAAATGAACAAATTATGTGACGATGCGTGATAAAAAGGTGAATTTTACATCCATATGTTTTTCCTCATTTGAGAAGAAAAACATGAATACAATATATATCTTACCAAGAACACAACATTGAATAAGATAAGAAGAAAACCTAATGGTAGTAGTGCCCTCGGGGAATGCCCTCTCGAATTATATCTATTTGACATCACTATCTTTTATAACTTTAAAATCTTTAAGTTGAAACGTACATAATGTATATATATATTAACATAAATTTACATACATTTACATACATTTTAGAAATACAGTTCTTTAATTATGCAAAATTGTTAGATTGCCATGATAAGAAATTCTTAACACAATATTCTGTAACAATTTATTCTTTTTATATTCTACCAGGAAAACAAATTACCCATTTTCTTTTATTCTGAACAAACAAGAAAAAAAAAATAAAATAAAAAGTATGATAAATTGGGGTATAGGGTAATATAGAAGGGTATTAGATATTTATTTATAATCTATAAATAATTTGTTGTGTAAAAAAAAAAAAAAAAAAAAAAGAAATCAGTAAATTAAAAAAAAAAAAAAAAAGTATAAAGAATGACATCATTACCAATCACGATGTTATAGATTATATAATGGAAAAATGCTTAAAATAAAAGCAGGAAAAATTGAACCCAACTTTTACACTTTTTTCTGTATACTCAGTTTGAGTAATAACGAAATTAAATTTTCATTAGTAAGAAGTATAGACTAATAAAAAATGCAATATCGTTTTGTTTTCTATTGTTTTGTTTTGCATTGTTTTGTTTTAAATTTCAATTTTCATAACAATAGAATAGAGATTATAAAATGGGGAACCTTAATCTCTGTTATACTTACATACTTTTGGAATGACAAACAGCATATATGCCAACATGCGAACAACAAAAATAAATAGTATTTTTTTTTTTTTTTTTTATTAGTATGCTTAAGGAAACATATCAGATTCATGTTTAATTATGTTATTGCAGTATGCCTTAAAATACATTAATGAGTTATTTTACATAAATAACTTTTTTTTTTTTTTTTTTTTCTTTTTTTTATTTACACGATACAAAGAAAAATAAAGAAAGAAAAACTTTAGCTATGAAGATGTTGTTAATCGATCCTGTTTGTACCATTTATTATTATTTTTTTTTTTTTTTTTTACTACTATTTAATATTTATCGTTTTTTTTTTTTTTTTTTGACTACTTCTATTTAATATTTATCGTTTTTTTTTTTTTTTTTGACTACTTCTATTTAATATTTATCGTTTTTTTTTTTTTTTTTTGACTACTTCTATTTAATATTTATCGTTTTTTTTTTTTTTTTTTTGACTACTTCTATTTAATATTTATTGTTTTTTTTTTTTTTTTTTTAATTTGTAGCGTTTTACACATTTACATAGTTAACGAATGTTTTGGAGGGTATATTCAAGGGTGATGAAAAATAAAAATGGGTTCCTATGTGCATGCAAATGTATATAAATATCTGTCTACATGAGCATATACATGTGCTTATATATTTACATATGTATGTATAACTGATCTTGACCCCAGAGTAGAGAAAATTACACTTTTCACTATGCTGTTACACACGGTTGAATAGGTTTTTTTTTTTTTTTTTTTATTCCTTTATATAAGCCAATATTTTAATGCCTCCATCTGGTGTAGTAAGATGGAATGTATTCATTTTCTGTAGTTTTACTTTGACAGTTCTCTTCTTGTACACTACAAAAAAGAAGTAAAGAGAATTTGGTTCTGTTTTCCTGTGAAAAATGCAAATCTTTGAGTATTATTATTATTTATTTTATTTTTTTTTTTTTTCAATGAAAAATAACTTCTCACTCTAGTTACAAAATATGTTACAAATTTCTGATACAAAAGGAAAAAAAAAAAAACTGTTATTTCCAGCTCGGGAAATGTGATATGTTCACATATTTACCTTATGTGCATATACACGTATATGTAAAGTGAAATTTTTTTTTTTTTTTTTCTCCTCGACCTTAACCTTTTAGGTAGCTAATTTTTGCATAATATTACGATGTATGTGCTTTTTCATTCATTCATTTATTTTTTTTTTTTTTTTTCACCTACACACTATTCACATTGTTACGGGTTGTAGTTCCATTGGTGTGTACATATGTTAACTCATACTATATCGGAGAAGAAAAAAAAAAAAAAAAAAAAACAAAATTTAAACAGAAAAAGACGATAGTGTTTTTTTTTTTTTTTTTTTTTTTTTTCACAAATTCCTGTTCATATCGCACGAATTTGCAAAATTGGATAGCTTATTCGATATAGAGCCACCCTGTCTTTTTCTTTTTATTTATATTACCTTATTATTTTTATATTCACTTATGCCTCTACTACTATCAGAATATGGTAATAATTTTATCATTTCTAAAATTGATAAAATGATTTTTATTCTTGTTTGTGGTGCAACCAACCGTTTATGATATGTTGTATTGGTTACGTCCATTACACAAGCATTAAAACGAAAAGAACTGACTTAAAAGTGTAGTAATAATAATGACAGAGATAGAGATAACACAAAAATGCTTAACGTTCTATATCCCATCGTGTGAACACTTCTGTTTGCATATCATTACTCTTTGATTCACCCCCTCCCCTCCAAATAAAAAAAAAACTTTCATTTCAAGTATATCCCACATAAATCTCATTTTTTTTTTTTTTTTTTTCTTTTGGAAGAGCAGGCAGATGAGCAAGGAATATCATTGTCTCCTTCTTCTTTATCTCTCATTGAAGTACCACTTCGGTTTTTGATTTATATCTAATGTGATAGGGATAAAATATATTCTCACATAATATAAATTGATGTAATGAATTTTGTGTGTGGAGGAGCACTATTGTGTGGGTGTGGGTTGTCGTGATTTAACCAATTTGAAGGAGGTAATTCATAAAAAGGAATATACACTTGTTCGTGAAAATTCACACAGATAAATTAAAGTTAACACTTGTAATATCCTGTATGGAAATTATAAATATAGAGATTCAAAACTCCATCGTCTGATTTGGAAAAACTATGATACTTACAACGAGTCACCAATAAAGTGAGATTGGCTCGATGAAAGTCCACATGGGTGGGTTAAAAAAAAAGAAAAAAATACATACATACATACATACATACATACTCACATACATATATACATACATATACACAATATCGAATATCACCACTGTAAGGAAAACACACAATTATTTAATCACGTACCATGGGAGAAAAATGTGCGAATTTTATTTTCTCATAATCTGCAAGAACGCGCAGGAGGTGTTACACAAAAGTACATTTATATTATTTGTTCAAAACGAACTTGTCCATTTTAGCAAATGTGTTACATCCATATTGATATATATTCTTGTATTTATATATTTGCACATATACCTGTGTAGAGAAAATTTTAAGAATTTTTTAAAACCCAATAATTATATCATAGGGAAGAAATTATCCTTTTTTTTTTTTGGGGTAATGGTAGATAAAAATTGAATATCATTCAGATTGACACGATTCGATTTTATCAAAACCGAAATGCTGAGATAGACAGTTGTGGAAAAAAAGGGAAAAAAAGAGTGACTTGCTTTTTTTTTTTTTTTTTTTTTTGGAACGCATTTATTACACTAACTGGAATAACATAAATGAAATTTAATTTATTTTCTCACTAAATATTCAATTCATTAGGTTGTCTTTTTCATCATCCTTCTCCAAACAAGGACAAATGTGCGTTTTAATTAAGACTAATTCAGTACCTTTTATTCACACTGTTTTATATTTTTCAGATAATGTACAAGGGAAAAAATAAAATGTGATGAGAAAAAAAAAAAAAAAATGCCACGAAAAAAAAAATAAAATGAAACCAAAACATGACACACATATTTATTATTTAAAACTTTCCCTTGCCATGTTTTACGGTGGGGAAGGTCCCTTATTAGTTTTATTTCATTACTTTTAAGTCACTATATATTTTTTTCTTCATATCTCATAAAGGGTTACTTGAAAGCATTTATTTAGACGGAAAATGCAAGTTGTATTTTTTTGTTCATATGAATTGAATGCTTATAAATTTTAAGCATAAAGTAACTTCAGTAACTCGGTTTTTATAGGCGTGCATATGTATATATTTATACACATATATATGCACATATATATGTACACTATTTAAGCATTTAACACCCCATTTGATTTCTTATGCGCTTTGCGTTAAACGCGCATAAATTTTGCATAATTTGGCATATTCACTCACATGTACATATATGCACATGTAACATAGTAACACTGTTTTCTTACACTGCCTGAAGCGTCCCCTTTAAGCATTTTTTAAAACATGTTAAAAGTGCGTGGAGAAAAAAAAAAAAAAAAAAAAAAAAAAAGAGAATAAGAAAATAGAGGACTAGGAGAAAATTATATATGAACGAATATCTGAATGGATTGAGAACAGATACATATTGAAATGGTTTGAAAAAGACCCGTTGTAGGGAAAATATATGCAGAAAAAAAAAAAAAAAAAAAAAAAAAAAACAAGACTTCATCATAGTGTACAAGTAACAAAATTTATAAAACCTCATTTATGCACATTATTTTTCTCTTCTTTTTTTTTTTTTTTTTTTCACTCGTTTATGCAAGTAAATAAGGGGATACAAAAATATATGCTCATATATGTGCGCATATATATGTGAACAGAACGAAAGAAGACTTTTTTTTATTTTCCCTGCCCCATCCGAGGTCTGAATTTTTAAATATCACTTTATTTTTATTCATCTTTATTCATTTTATTCATCTTTATTCATTTTATTCATCTTTATTCATTTTTATCCATTTTTGTTCTTTTTTATACATTTTTATTCTTTTTTATCCATTTTATTCTTTTTATTCATTTCCTTTTTTTTTTTTTTTCTTTTTTTCTTTTTTTCTTTTCCCCGTAGCATTTCTCCTTTTAACTATAAACGGCGATTCTTATCTTTTTGATTTTATTAATGTCTCATACTAATTTAAGCATATGCTTCATTATATTCCCAATCCACATGAATGATTGTAGATTAGAGTTTGTATACGTACGTACATATGTTTGTATACACATACGCATTATATGCCTTATACATGTGATTAGCATGCAACAAATAAAAATAATTTCCTAGTCCTTAATACTTCTCATCAGTGTTTCCTTTTTATGTTAGTTTGTAACCAAATGTGGTTTATCGAATGGTTCCCTAATTACACACACACACACAAAAAAAAAAATCACACTTCTGATTTTACCCTTATTTATAAATGCATTTATCATTTCATTTATTACTGCACATTTTTTAGTAAATAGTTTTTTTTTTTTTTTTTTTTTTTTTTTTTTCGGTTACATTTTTGATTTCACACTTTTCCCGTCTCCTTTTTAAATTTGGAATGTTTTATTTTATTTTTTTTTTTTGATGAAAAATTTCATCCTTTCTTTAATTTTGGCATTATACATTTTTTCGTATCCACATTTAAGTATTCCTTTTTTAAATGTTGAAAAAAAAAATAAAATAAAATAAAATAAGAAATAGGAAGAAATAAGAAGTAAGAAAAAATAAGAAGAAAAAATAAGAAGTAAGAAAAAATAAGAAGTAAGAAAAAATAAGAAGTAAGAAAAAATAAGAAGCAAGAAGAAATAAGAAGTTATAATACCAAATGATCCTTGCATTTTTTTTTTCCTTTTTTTATGCCAGATTAGAAAAATGATATAAATGATGTATTGTGTTTGGAATATTCGTTTTCGGCTTTTAACCCCCTTTTTTTTTTTTTTTTTTTTAATATTTTTTTTATTAAAATATTTTTACGTATACCCACTGTTTCTTTTTCTGTTTTTGTTTATTTATTTTTTTTTTATTTGTATGATATTATTATTCGCATATAAAATAAGCGTTGTAATGTGACTCCTGAGATATGCCATTACGCAAGCGATTGCTAAGAAAATTAGTACCCAGTTTATCGATATATATATATATTTATGCATGAACATTTTCCTTTTTTTTACGTGTAACAGTAACATGGAATAAGTAGTTTCCTCGTTTTGCTTTTTTCTTTTGAAACTGGAATCCCTTGGAAATGCCAGTAACATCGTCCATGCGAGTTGGCATGTATGTAGTACATATATGCAGTTTCAGCATAGTTTGCATATGCATTTCTATGAAGTTTGAATGTAATTTTCATAAAATTTTTATCTATTTTTGATATAGTTCTTTTTTTTTTTTTTTTTTTTTTTCCCCATTCTTTTGCTCTCGCGTGCAAATTTTTGATGCTTTCACATTTTGAATAAGAAGAACAATCGAGTAAGCCGAACTGGATAAGCGAATTCGATAAGATTATCGCATAAAGTGAGCTGATAAAACTGATCCAATAATATGCTTGGATGATACAATCCTAGACAGAAATTCTTCCAGACGTGTGACAATTTTGTAGCATTAACCAAGCTAGAGAGAGAGTTATCATCCCTGATCATCCACCCTCGGAGCTTGTCGCTCGTAAGGAGAAAGGAAACAAAAAGAAAAGAACATACAGGTATAGCTACCGATTTGTAAGGCTGCACATTTGTATTGCCACTCATCTGTATAGTTACACATCTGTCTAGCTACACATCTGTATGGTTACACATCATTATAGCTACAACTCGAAACCTTAAACCGAAGCAAACGCACCACATAGGCACACTGTCAAAGTAAGAAAAAGGGAGACCAAACGGGGGAAAGACAAAAATGGATGTGTTCGAATTTGTAGATCCATTAAGGAAGAGAAAAATCACAAACAATATATTTGACTTCGACAAGTATGTGTACAAAGAAAAGGTAGATGAATCAGAGGAAAAGAAAAGCGACGAATATGTCATAAAAAAGAAAAAGAAAAAAAAATTGAGAAGAGTGTTAGACAGCTCGAATAGTGAGGGAGAGGATAAAAACTCGAATGAAGAGAATTTTCAAAATAAGAAGGGTAATAATGAAACTAAAAAACGAGAAAAAAATGAATTTAGTGCAGGAGATGATGCAAGTCCAAAAAAGGAATATGAACAGGAATATGAACAAGAATATGAACAGAAACATGGACAGAAACAGAAACTCGAACCCGAAGATGAGAACGAAAATGGAAAGGAGGGAGATTACGCACATTCACCAGATGCTCACTCGGATAATAATAATTATATTAGCTACGATAGTAAATATAATTTATCAGAGGAAAGAGAGGAATATGAAAAGAATTTAAAGGACCTTTTCGAATGTCTACTAGTATCAATAAAAGTAAAAAATAAAATTATCGAATACTTCACTTCTGGTGTGAAAGAAAAGAGACATGAAATTATAAAAGAATTTGTGAAAGGTTCCTTTAGAGTAAGTGATTTTGATGCAAATTTTGAAAATTTTGAAAAGAATGTTGAAACTTTTTATAAATTAAAGAAGTATCAAAAATGTGGCGTGTTCTGGTTATATGTATTATACAAAGAAAGAAAAAATGGAATTCTAGCAGATGAAATGGGTTTAGGTAAAACAGCTCAAACTTGTGTTTTTCTAGATTACATGTATAAAACAAAAGAATTGCAAAATAAAACAATTATTGTTGCACCGACAAGTTTATTAAAAAATTGGGATAATGAAATTAATATGTGGTGTCCATACTTGAGAAATCATAAAATTATTTATTATGGAAATCAAAATGAGAGAAAATATTTGGCCTACGATATTTTTACAAATAAATCGAATAATATTCACTTAATTGTTACAAGTATTAATATGCTGATAGGAAAAAATGACGTATCATATTTTAGACAAATTAAAAAATATGATTATCTCATTTTTGATGAAGCACATTTTTTAAAAAATAAAAATTCATTGATATACAAAAAATTGCAAAAAAAAATCGTTTTTAATAATAAAATTTTATTAACAGGATCTCCAATACAAAACAAAACACAAGAACTCATGAACCTTCTTTTATTTCTAATGCCTGATATATTCACGGAAAAAAATGTTAATAATGCTATGAATGCATTTGTAAAAATGTATCAAGATGTTCTGAACAGCAAGGAAAACGATGAAAATTTTAATTTAGACAGCAATAATATCGATGGGAATTATAGCACTCCATTGAAGAGCACAAAAATGATGGAAATATATGACATAAAATCCGTGGAGAAGAAAGAGTCAAATAGGTTGAGCGGGTTGAGCGGTTCAAACGAAACAAACTTAATGAATAACCCGAATTTGATGGAAGAAACCAACAATATCATAAAAAATTATCTCATAGAAACGATAAAGAATGACGTAAAATACATAAAATTGAAGAATATGGAAATTATTTTATTGCAACTTATTATAGAACCATATATATTGAGGAGATCCAAAAAACATGTCTTTATTGATATGCCCAAAAAGCACAGTATTATAGTTAAGTTACCGCTGAACACGACTCAATTGAATCTTTATAAAGACGAAATATTATCTAAATTACAACACACGCATAAGCATTTGGAATTCTTACAAAAACATTCAAATGAAAAAGAGTTACAGAAATTAGCAAGTATCTTTGAAAAGAAGGATTTAAAACAGGACAAAAATTTCAAAGAATGTAATAACAGCAGAGACGAGGAGCAGGTAGAACCTTTAAGTGGTTTCAACCTCCATAGCTTCAGCAAAGAAGATGACATATGCAATGATGGAGATGTTTTAAAGAGTGGAGGTTGTTTAAAGATTAGTATCCAGGACAGTGGAAGTACCACGAATACAAGCGAAAGTCATGTAAATTCCATAAATATTCGAGACGAAGGAGTTGATTATGATGATGATGAAGATGATGATGATAAAATAGATGAAGAAACTATTAATATAGAAAAGGTAGAAGAGAATAAAGATAGTGACATAATAATAAACAAAAGAGATGATGATGTATTATTGGATAAGGAAAGCATAAGTAATAGTAGTAAAGAAGTTAGAGGAAGAATGATAAATGCATCTATCTTTATACTTCGAAGAATATGTAACCATCCATTGTTACATAAATATTATTATTCAGTTGAAGATATAAAAAAAATTTCTAAATATTTTTATGTCAACACAGATCAGTATCTTGATTTAGATTTAAAGACTGTAGAAAATGAATTTATGAAAATTTCTGATTTTGACATACACCTATCAATTAAGCATTTAATTTCACAAGGGGATGACAATCTAAATAAGTATTTAATTTCCAAAGATCACATACTTAACAGTAGTAAAATTCATCACATGATTTCTCTAATCAAAGAAATCAGAAAAAAAAAAGAAAAAGTTCTTATATTTTCACAATTTACTACCTTTCTTGATATTATCGAGGAGGCATTGTTATACGAGTTTGTGTACGAGCAGGAGAAGGAGCAGGAGAAGGAGCACTCGGATAGTCCGCACCGGGCTAGCCGCTCCCCTCCCAGGAGCAGCAGTGGGAATGCCCAATTGGATGAGGCGGTCGAAGTGGACGCAACAGTAGATGCAGACGGAACGGTAGAAGAAACAGAAGTGGGGGACGAATTGGGAGACAATTGTAATAGGGAGGACGAACCCAGTATCGATTTGAACAAAAATGAGAATGATTCTTACCACTCTTCATCGAGCACGTCGACAGCTTCATATACGAATGACAGCCAAGGGAATCATCAAATATATGTTAGATTAGATGGATCTACTAACACTATAGAGAGGCAGAAAATTATTAAAAGATTTTCTAAAAATGAAAATGTTTTTATATTTCTTTTGTCCACCAAAGCTGGAGGGGTTGGCTTAAATTTGATTGCAGCTAATCACGTCATTCTCATGGATCAGGTATGCACATGGGAGAAATGGAAAAGAAAATGCTGGTCTCCTTCCCTCCTGCAGATATATACATATACATGCACACTTCTAAACATACGAACTGCATATTTTGTTGCACACCTTCCTGTTCCATCTTCCCCTCCTTCCCACTACAAATCTATGTTAACATGTTCTCCCCTACAGGATTGGAACCCCCATAACGATCGACAAGCAGAGGATAGAGTGCACCGATTAGGTAAAGCACACGGGGAACACGTCGAAATTACCCGTTGCCACATTTTGCACTAGACCCCTGACCTGTGCATGTATCAACGCATATATGATGTCTGCTAATTATGCACCTCTCTAACATTACATCTTTTTTTTTTCGCCCCCTCTTTCCCTCAAATACAGGACAAAAGAATGAAGTGTACATTTACCGACTTTGCTGCAAAAACACTATTGAAGAGACTATACTAAGGGTAAGTTTGGAAGCCATCACGGTTATTAGTTCTGCCAACAAGCGTTACTAACGCAATGATTAGTGCTTTACTCTTGATTACGACATTTTGTAAACAGAATGGCCATTTCAGAGGATGGAAAATTTTATATTTAAGGTCCCACAATATTGTGTTGCGTTTACAAAATGTGTTATATTTTTTTATACATAGTGTTTCCTTCCAGTGAATAATTTATTGTCCTATAAATTTGCTCAATTCATTAAATGCCCATTGTTTTGACGTTACACAGTTTTGCCTCACACGCACTATGCGTACACTACATACATACACTGCATATATGTACACTATATATACTTGCACTACATATATGTATATATATATATATACTTGCACTACATATATGTACACTATATATACTTGCACTACATATATGTACACTATATATACTTGCACTACATATATATGTCTCTCTTATTCACGCTCCCCACCCCCGGTAGTGTTGTAAAGCGAAGCTGCATTTGGATCAGGCCTTCGGAGGCAACAGTGATTTGTTGCAAACGGCCCTTATAAAGGTATAGCACAAAGCAATCAGTGTCAATTTATTTTTTTATTTTTTTTCACAGCTATGAGTGTTTTTTTGTGCATTTTTTGAATTTTTTTTCTTTTATTTGTTACTTTCATATATGGAAAAAAATTCACGCACATATATATATATATATATATATATATATATATAAACATACTTACTTGGGCATATATTTTTTTCTCTTCATTTTAAAATTGTGAGTGATTAGCACAGATCCGACCTCTTTCCCTCCCCCTCTTCTATACATTTCGTGCACATGTTACACATAATAGTGACAGCAGTAGTAGGTGGTCGTCGTCCGAATCATCAATTCTGTTATTCCCCTTGTGTTTTTATTTATATTGAATATATATATGTACATGTACATATGTAATAATAGAGAATTAAAATCTAGTCCATATTATGCGAACATGTAAATATGTGAAAATATTCACGTATACATCATGAGAGAAAAAGCTGTGGATGATAAATATAAATTACAAACCCCAATCCCGAGAAAAAAAAAAATAGAACAAATCCAAGCCCAAAAGAGAAAGCCCGTTGCATTTTTACACCTAATTTGTTTATTTTTTATTTATCTACTTTTATTTTATCTTACCTATTTTTAATTTATTTTATCTTACCTATTTTTACTTTATCTACCTTATCTATTTTTACTTTATCTACCTTATCTATTTTTATTTTATTTATCAATTTTTACTTTATTTTATTTATCAATTTTTATTTTATTTCTCATTATTGTTATTATATTTTTCTCTCTACTTCAGGATGCACTGAGCGCAATTGAGATGAATTAAAATTGGCTTTTTTGAACACCCCCAATTTTCTTCTCATTTTCGCGATCATTTCGCGATCATTTTTTTTTTTTTTGAAGTCATAAAAATCTTTTAAATTATTTCTTTTTTCTCTCCCCTGCGTTTTTTTTTTTTATTTTAACTTTTGAAAAACATTAACATATGGTGTACCTATAGTTATACACAACCCATTATAAATATATATGTTGTGCTTACTATATATATATATATATATACATACCTGTACATGTAAATATATATAATTATTGTATGTACCATGTACTGCATATAAGACGTTCAAGCTGCACAAGATGTAATTATAAAAACAACTAATTTTTTCTTTTAAAACTTTTATCACCCCTTTTTAATTTTTTATGCTCTCGCAATATTTTTTACGGCTGTGTTTTCATAAAAGAAAATTTTCCTGTTTTTTTTTTTTTTTTTCAAACTGTTCACAAATCTTGCTACAAGATTTTCGTTGCGTATCGCATATAAAAGTATTCACTCCTGTATGTGGCCACTCCATGTACCACCTACTCGAGTATGTATACACCTCACCTGTGTTATGTGCGTGATAAATTCCTACCGGGGTTATATGGGAGTGCATGTTTATGATAGTGCAGCAAAAATATCAGCAGGCATGGGAAAATATAAGCGTGAGAAATAAATACCACTCATATGAAAACTTGCACATGTGAACTGCATATATTTCTTGTCGCCCCCTCTGTAAGTATTAACACCCAACACAGTTCGCGAAAACCCGAACGTTTTTTTATCACTAGGAATATTCTCACCAAGAACTTGATCTTCAACTTGATCTTTAACTTGATCTTCAACTTGATCTTCAACTTGGTCTTTAACTAGGTCCTTAACTTGGTCTTTAATTTGCTCTTCAACTTGATCTTTTTCTTCCTTTTTTGCCCTTTCTCCTTTTCTTCCTTTTCTGCTTTTTTTTTTTTTTTTTTTTTCCGAGTTAGTGAACTGAACTGATCTGAAAAAGCTGAAAAAAAAAAAAAAAAAAAAAAAAAAAATGACCACGCGCCAAATATGTACATATACAAATATATAATTTTTTTTGTGTTTATAATTTCCATTTGTTGTTTACTTGTAATTTTTTGTAAATTAATTTGTATGCCTTGCGACATCTCAGTTTTTTGTTCGTGTAAATATAAATACATATATATATATATATATATATATAAGCGCTTACATAAGTACGCATATAATTATTTGCACATACACAAATACGTATGAATGAATATATACTTATGAATATAAAAATATTTATGTAATCATTTGTACATATATAAGTACTTGAGAATATATAAATACTTGTGAATATATATAAATACTTATGAATATGTAAAAACTTGTACATATATATATATATATATATATATATATATATATAATACATATACAGTTATACATACCTACATAAGCGTTTATGCTATTGGAAAATATACATACTTAAAACGAATAACATGCTTAATATGCATGACACTCATAACATATTTTCTACATATGCATAAATTTACATTACCTCTCAAATTCATAAAAATTAATTCACGCTGTGCTTGCTCCTAATTAAGCGCAGGAAGGAAGGAAAATAACCTCCTCTTCCATTTTCATAAGTATACACCCATTTGTAAACATACTGCCCACACTCACAACCCCATAGAAGCCCTTATTTTTTCAAAATCATATCACTTTTTTTTTTTACACGCACAGAAGAACTATTTCTTCAAAATCGAAACATCTACAAAGAAGCAGCTATTCCATATCGACTCATATTTATACACCAATTTTTTTTTTCAAACTCCTGTGTCTTTGTTTTTGATAATAAAATGATGAGCTTCAAATTTATATGGATACCTGCGCTTATGGTTCTGCTTTTCCTGGTCATATTGAACAGTGAGTCTTTCTTGAGGAACGAAAATGGCAGAGAAAAAAAAAAAAAAAAAAAAAAAACCGAAAGTGCAAAAAGGAATAGAAGCAATAAAGCAATAGAACAAAAAAATAAAGAGTTTTTTCCAATTGACGAGTCACCCAACCGAACGAATAAACTGCTTTAATCCTACATGCAGCAAAAAAAGCTACACGCAGGAGAAGTAAACTCAAATCACGGTTCAACGTGAACGTACGAGAGTGCTGATAATGAATCCAGATTTCCAGCAGCATATTAATCAAAAATTGTGTCGACACATTTTTGCATTTTTTTTTTTTTTTTTTTTTTTTTCTTTTAATTTTTAGGCTATATATACATTAACCAAGATAATTTTATCTTTCTAAAACAAGGTAATACTAAAAAAAATGAAATAAAAAAATGAAATAAAAAAATGAAATAAAAAAAATGAAATAAAAAAATGAAATAAAAAAAATGAAATAAAAAAAATGAAATAAAAAAAATGAAATAAAAAAAATGAAATAAAAAAAATGAAATAGAACAAAAAATGAAATAGAAAAACAAAATGAAAGCAAAACGGCGTCGTCAGACTGTATGTTAACCTTTGAGAGTATGAGCTACCACATAAACAAATTTGTTAGCTATGCATCATTAGAACATATCAGGAAAAGGGAATTTTTCTCTGTTTTTTTTTTTTTTTTTTTTTTTTTTCTTATCACACATTTCCCGTTCCTATTTTTCTTCTTTTATTTACACTTCTCCACAGATATCAATCCCAATAAAATTCGTCCTCATGGTAAACACATTTTACCTGTCTTTTATCACAAGACTTTGCAAAGAATATGATTCAGAATTGTCGCATTCATGAATCCTCTTCGTTGAGTGCTATATATATTCATCATAAATCTGATTTTCTGTGATTTTTCCAATTTTTTTTTTTTTTTTTTTACTCTCTAGGCAGTAACTTCGAAGATGTATATCTAAATATGGATGATGGTAGTTTATTTAAATGGTACGTTGAGAAGAATACAAAAAAATGGAAAAGTGAAAAAGTGGAAAAGTGGAAAAATATGAACATACATGATTACACCCACTTCAGCATAATTGCGTTCCTCCATGTGAAGAAATATCTGTGGGTGTGTTTGTTGACTTATGTTTACCTCATTTTTACATTTGCAATTGGATAAAATTTTTCATTTTCACTTGATCACTTTAATCCCGTTTTTTAGTTGGTTTGTGAAAACAGAAGATTATAAAAATAAGCCAGTTCTGTTATACTATCTTGGAAAGGGTGGATGTAAGTATTTCCACATTTATGTTAAAAAAAAATTGTGAATTTTTACAAATCTTGCAAAATATATGCATTTCCAAAATGTTGCAATTCCAATGTTTTACATCTCCTCGATGCCTTAAAACCCTGTATTCTCTTAATAATGGATGAATTCTATTTCCTCAGTTCTGTTAAGTTATCCCATTTGTTCTTGATTTTATTTATCCCTTTTTTTTTTTTTTTTTTATTTTTTTTTAAAAAAATTTCCCTTTTTCTGCAGACATCGAGAAATATGTCACATTATTTAATACGATTGTGAAAAAAGTAGATGTGAGCATTTTTTCCTGTTCAAATAGAGGGTAAATAAAATAAAGCGAAAAAAATAAAATGATAAAATATTAAAATAATTCAACAAAACAATCTGCAGAGAACATGTACAATGGCCAATACCACACACCACATCATTGTCTTGCAAGAAAAATTTGTACCGACTATCACCACCACCCCCATTAGCGCACTATCCACATATATATGCAAACAATCATCGCGTTTGTTATTCTGCTTTTTTACACTTTATTTTTATATATATATATATATTTTTTTTTTTTTTTTTTTCCTCCCCTTTACAATTTATTTAGATGTGGTACGAATAAAGGAAACCCATCCGAAGAACAATTATACAAGGATGCTCTTGTCCCATTAAATTATTTGAAGAAAATACAGACAAAGCAGTTATTCATCTTTGGAAAGTAAAATTTCGATATGCAACTATATTTTAATTTTTGTATCCATTTGATTATGAGTATTACACGTTTTTATGTATGGAGGATATGTGTAGCAACATGTTATTTAAAGCTTTTTGATCCCATGTTTGCATTTCCTAACATTTAACTGCATTGTGAACAAATTCGCACCTTTCCTCCTCCCATCCTCCCCTCTTATTGTTCAGTTCTATGGGATGTGCCATTGCTCTCGAAACAGCTTCTAAGAACCAGGAAAACGTAAGTTTATTTCGTATGTGTATTTCTTCACCATTTAAGAAAAAATATAGCATAATATATTTGTCTGCTGTCTATTAATAAATGTAGTTCACTCGTACATATGTATATATTTTTATGGCCCTCCTCCCTTTTTAGATGTCTCTATTTTTTTTATGCTACTTATACAAATTACATTTACGTGAAAGAAATGTTTTTCTTTTCTTATTTTTTCCGTTTCCAATCGTACCCCTCGTGTACCTTTTTTTATAAGTATTGCTATAAATACATTATTTTTTTTTTTCCTTTTTTATTCATTTCATTTTTTCTTTTTCTCCTCTCTTCCCCTGTATCCACAGATACATGGAATAATCCTGGAAAATCCTTTTCTTAGTATTAAGGATATGTCAAATAAGAACCATCCGTTTCTGAACTTTTTTCTCATCAGCTTTGACATTCTAATAAGAACAAAAATGGAGAATAATAAAAAAATTAAAAAAATACATATCCCGATATTGTTCAACATTTCAGAAAAGGTTACTACCTCCACGGAAAAGCGAGAAAAAGAGAGAGGATAATGGAAAAATGAGAAATAAATGAGAGATAAATAAAATACTTCGCTTCAACATGAAGCAGATATGCAACATTTGCAAATACCACCATAAAAAAAAAAAAAAAAAAAAACACATATAATACTCAATAATAATGAGAGAGTAAAATCACAGCTTTTTAAATATAAATATATATATTATTGTGTTACATAAATTAAACAATATGTCGACAGGGAGGAGAATGATTTTTTTTTATAACGGATATTCAAAATTATATTAAACGCTACTTTTTATACACACTTTTATATATATATCCTGTCTCATTTTTTTTTTTTTTTCTCTATTTTTTCAGGATGAAGTTATCCCACCAGAACATTCGAAGATTTTGTTTGAGGTAATTTTTTTTTTTTTTTGTTGTTGTTATTAATATATAACTATGTTTTTTTTTTTTTTTTTTTTTATTTATTTCTTCTCTTTTTATTATACTATCTATGTGTAAGGGGAAGAATTTTCATTTTATTACTGACTTTAGGAATTTATTATTTATTTCTCTATTTCTGAGTTTTGTAAAACATATTATGTTTACATATGAGATCTATCATTTTGGATCTTGTCATTATGTTTTGTGAGATTCCCCTGTACACACTTATAATACCATTTACATATTCCACTTTTAACACTTGTTCCATTGCTCAGCTTTGTCCAAGCAAAAATAAATTCAGATATTTTTCAAAAAACGGAACACATAATAATATTATAAAAGATGATGATGGTTCATATCACAAGTTTATGAAATTATTTATAGAAACTGCAACTAGCCTCCACGATAATCAAAATAAGAAAAACATAGACGACCTACTACCTGAACCTCAAGTCTAACAACATCACGACAACAATAGTGAAAGTTACGACCAGCACAGAAGCTAACAAAAAAGGACAACCACAACTATAATCATAACCAAATGGATAACCACAGCAGTTACCTACCATCGAAGTCATCGAAGTTATGAAATCATCGAAGTCATTGCATCCATAAAATTAATTACAGAACAGTGTTAAAACACATATGTTTTTTTTCTGTTTGTTCCAAGTGAAATGCTATTAAAAAAAAAAAAAAAAAAAAAAAAAAAAAAAAAAATATCCATTTCTTTTGAGGTTAAGTTTTCCCCTCAGCAGAAAAACAGCCAAAATCATATAGACACATTTTTATAACATTGCAAAAAATGTATGTCATAAATTCCAAATGCACAGCTAAATATATACACGTTACAGTTTTATCATAATGACTTATCTCTATTCACATATCGAGAACATAATTTATATATATGGGGTTGTGTCTTTTATTCATTTATCACGAAATCCACGAGAAAAGGAAAAAAAAAAAAAAAAAAAAAAAAGAGAGAGAGAGAAAAAACGGAAAAATTCTAGTGAATAAAAATTATTTGTCTTAGATTTTTTCTTTTCCTTTTCTTATTCTCCTTTTTTTTTTTTTTTTTCTGAGTACTTCTCAATGTCATAGTTTATTTGTTTTATTATATATAACATACAGATAGACATTGTTTATGTTTGTGCATAATTTGAGGCATTCCTAAAAAGTGCGATTTTGTATAATATGTAAATATGTCTCATGTCATAAGGCAACTTCTTGAAGACATATACACGTTTATGCATATGATTGTTTCGGTATTTGTGTCTACATACTTTTTCCTCTATGGATATTTGTGTACCAAGTACTGTCTTCTCTCTGTGTATGCTTGTGTACATATAATAGGGCTACCTAAGTTTTGTATATATACATGTTAGTAGACCCAAATAAATGATATAACAAATGAGTAATTAAGTGAATTAATAATGCATTCACAATTTTAAAAGAGAGGATTATTTGTTTTTTTCCTTTTTTTTTTTTTTTTTTTTTTTTTATTTACATGCTTTTTCATTTGCCTTCTCATGTACATTTTTCGTGTACATTTTACTTGTTCATTTTCTTATTTTTTCACTTTTCATTTATACCACTCCCTCCCCCCACCCATGTCAATCATCATATGTTCCTTCATTAATAAAGTATGTCCTTTATTTTGTCATAGTTAATATGAATAAAAAAAAATATAATTTTATATTGTAATTAATCTTAATTTTTAATTATGAATGTTTTTGTTTAATTCTCTTAATTCGTTTAGTTATTTATCTCACAAAATGTTTTCGTTATTAATTTTTTCATTTTGCCTCATTTTGCTTCATTTTTCCCCATTTTCTCACGCGTCCCTTTTTTTTTTTTTTTTTTTAATTATTCATTTGGGGTACCCAATTTACACACCATTTCTAATGAACCCAATAAACCTAATGAAAGTTGTCTATCTGTCGTTTGGGCTTAATTTACACATATATATATATATATATATATATATAATCGACAATTCTGATACTTATATGTGCATGTTTTCTTACTGTCAAAAGTGGATATGGATAGGGATATGTTACGCTTCCACGAGGTGTTAACAACTGAATTGTTAAACGATAATATTACATTACCAGTTAAGGGAAACATTAATTTCTTTTTTTTTTTTCTTTTTACATACATTCCACAAGTAGGGAAAAATTAATATAAAATGAAAAAAATAATAAAGTGATAATTTTTCAGTTTGATTATGTGTACACAACATAAGTTTCTTTCTTGAGTTCTCTTCTTATTATTATACACACACACAAAAAAAAAAAAAAAAAAAAAGTTATTTGAGAAATCTCCTTCATATAGGGTGTAAAACAAATGAATACGTATAGACACATATATTATGTGTAGACAATAGGAATGTGTATCAACCTTTCTACAATACTTTAAGATCTCCGAACACATGTACATATATATATATATATATATATATACATATACATATGTGACAACACCCTGATATAACTATTTTTCTCTGTCTGCATATGAGAAGCTTGGCAGCAACATTGAAACCTTTAATAAAAACAAAAACAAAAAAAAAAAAAGTGGCGAAAAACAAAAATATTAACAAGTTCCTCATATTTCTTCAGTCGAAAGTTGCACTTAATACTTAAAAATTCCATCCAAGAAGGCCACGAACAATCGCGTATTATTTCCAATATGTAAGGAGATATGTATAGATATAGACACACTTATATATATATATATATATATATATATATATATATATATATATATACATATATATATGATATACTTATGTTGAAAAAATAAAAAGGTTAATAAAAATGACAGAAAGAGAGGGAGAAATGATATGCTATATGCTAGGAAGTGCTACCTTGTTATAATTATATTTTACATGGAACATTCTTTTCCCCTTTTTTATTTCCTCATTTCCTTTTATTTCAAAAATTAATTATCAAAAATGTGCTTAAATAGGTTATTACTTGTATATTCTTATACACATGGATATATAAATGTATATATACTATGTGCATGTGTGTATATGTTACGTATAAATATATATATATATGTATACGTAGTACGCATAAACATGTACACAAAATACTTCTCACTCACACGCACACATACACACATGTATATCTAACGAATAAGACCTATTGAGGAACAGCAAAAAGGCGTAAAATACAAAACCAAAATGGTAAAAAAAAAAAATAAATAAATAAATAAAAATTCATAAAATGTAAACATATATAGTTATGTCATCGAGGAGTTAACGTGAGCGAACTACACGTGGAGTAAATATATATAGAAACATAAACACACGTTATAAGCACAAAATATGACACTGAGTCGATATAAATATGGATCGATATACATATGTGAATAAAACAAATAATGTAAATTGTATTGGCACGAAATGGATAAGTTTTCTATGAAAATAATGCAAAAAAAAAAGGGCGAGGAGGCAGGGGGGTAAACATATTTATATGTGCATACATACATGTACATATATATATGCTAAACTGTGCAGGTAAGGGGGGTGAGGTAAAAATATATACACATATAATAGGTATGTGTGCAATTAGAGGCTATTTACTTTTAAAAAAATTAATTTTAATACGACCATCCATACGAGAGAGTGTGTGTGTGTGTGGGGGGGGGGTATACATGGAGCATACATGCCGTTCTAAGTTTTTTTTAAGGCACGTGCGCGTTTGTTTGCACAGGTTCTAAATATATATATATATATATATATATATATATAAATATATAAATATACGTGTTTCACACACGTATTTGCATATTTGTGAATACACATAAGGGAATATACATAAAGAATAAAATGCACGCATGCAAGCATGCATAGAGGAAGGGTAGTGGGGTGACATATTTGGTAGATGCAATGATATGAGACGGGGAATATAAACGAATCAGGCTGGGAATATAATGTAAGGGTATTCAAGCATGTGTGACATATTGTTTTTTTTTTTTTTTTTTTCCAACTTCTTGGGTTTCATATTTTTTTAACTTTATCAGCAACAACCTTCACATTGTTTTTTATTAACTGTTGTTTGTGATAGTTTTTATAATCAAATGTACAATTATGAGCATCAGCATATCTGTGAAGTGAACAGAAGTAATGATTGCATCTGCATTTTATTCCTAGAAGCCCTATTCGTTTGCAACAAAAGAAACATTTTTTTTTTTCTTCGGATTCGTTTGTATTAACACCAGAATTCTGGTCTGTGCTTGTGCTACAGGAAACATTGTTATTATTATTATTATTATTATTATTATCGCTTACGCTTTGATTGTTCTCATTATGATTATTATTATTATCATCATTTTCATTATCATCATTATTATTATTACTCGTAGTAGTAGCAGTATCCGTAGCTGTAGTAGTGGTATTATTATTATTTTCATTATTCTCTGTCTCCACATTAATGTTAGCGATGGATAACCCTTGGTTTAACAATGAATTCTCACTTCTTATAAAATGAGCTTTTTCATTTTCTTTCGCTTCCTCGTTTCTGTAACTTGGTTCCATTATATTACTTGTTGTATTATAATTGTGTAAACTATCAGACACATTTTTCTCATTTATTTTTTCGACATTTGAAATTTCCTTTTTTTTTTTTTCTTGAAATTCTCGAAAGCATTTGGAACACAAATTGTTATTCGCTGGGTTTCCGTAGAACCCACAATTGTTTTCGCACAACACGGGGCTGGGCTATAAAGGTCAAAATAAAATAATTAAAAATGTGTGATAAAGTAAATGAAACGTGAGAAAAATAAAAACTAGGGTTCGTTCATTGGGGATGGTGGGCTATATGGAACTAAACCCCACCGGATTTCTAACAGGTGTATTGGCATTGTGTGTATAGTGTGCATAATTTGGGCTCTCAACTCCTTATAGATTCACATGATCTTCAGATATACTCTAATATTCATATGTACTGAAATTAATACAAACGCTTCGAAGGACATCTTACCGGGGTTGCGTTCTTCTCCGAACTCATTGTGGAATCGTCTCCTTTTTTTTTGAGGAATAAATTCTAAGTGGGGAAGTTCCAAAAAGCAAAAAATTATTAAAAAAAAGATTAAATATAGTTAATGATTTAAAATTTTTAATAAATGTTTTAAAATTATTGAGATATAATTACAAAATTATTACAAAATGTTTACAAAATGGATAAAAGATGATTAAAGAATGACCAATGCACGATTAAATTATATGGTTGATAATGGATTGAAAAAAGAAAAAAATAATCTCTACAGTTAAATAATTTTCTTTTTTTACATTTTCAAAGGGGTTAAGAGTATGGAAGAAGTTGCAGCGTACAGGGCTTGGTTGGGGTAGAACTTTAAATTATTTTCTTATGAATACCTAATGTAGTCTCCTTTATGGTTTATTGCGTATTCTTCTCTTTTCATATAAAATTCCAGCAGTACAATGTTGGTAATGTTTTGCACGTATATAAATAAACTGTGATTTGTGCATAAATGCTTTTACTAACTCTTGCTTTTTCTTAACAAATTCGTTCGATCATTTTTTTTTTTTTCAAGTTTCCTTCACAGATGTTTGGAAGTTTTTACAATTTTATATAAACTGTAATCTTCATAAAGTTAAATCTTCATAAAGTTAAATCTTCATAAAGTGGAATCTTCATAAAGTGGAATCTTCATAAAGTGGAATCTTCATAAAGTGGAATCTTCATAAAGTGGAATCTTCATATAATGAAATCTTCATAAAGTGGAAACTTCATAAAGTGGAAACTTCATAAAGTGGAAACTTCATAAAGTGGAAACTTCATAAAGTGGAAACTTCATAAAGTGGAAACTTCATAAAGTGGAAACTTCATAAAGTGGAAACTTCATAAAGTGGAAACTTCATATATTGTGCTTATTTCATTGTTATAAGCAGTCGAATGATATACGGGTAGTAAGATGTATACAATGGGGGTAGAGGTATGCTTGATGTAGTGTGTTATGTCCAAAGGCATAATTTTGGGGCCCCATGAACTTCTGTTAAGTTAGTAGGTGGATATGACTTCTAAATCAGTATCTTCATAATATTCGAAACATTAAAAAAAAGCTCCCAGTGGTTACCCAATCACGGTATTGTTAAAGTACGTCCGTTGATATCACGTGCTATTCTTCGTAAAATCTCTTTTCTTAATTCAAACAATAAATCTTGTATGTGTGCAAATATATATACATGCATATGTATATGTCTGCAGAGCTAAAGGTATACAAAGATATACACATATACAATGTGTGTATTGATATATGAGCAATGAATGTGTGTATATATTTGCGCGAGCATAATGAGGTATACAAGCATATATATATATATGTGTATATGTGCATATCTTATTATGTGTGTTAATTTTTTTTTTTTTTTTCCAGTTTGGCTGTTTTGTTCATAAAAAAAAGCGAAGTTTTTTGACTTTTTTTTTTTTTTTTTTTTTTCCATCAAATTAGCTATTTCATATATACATAACATGATCAATTGTACTAACTTCTCCTTCTTCTTTTTTTTTTTTTTTTTTTTTTTTTTTTACATTATTCGTTATATTATAGAGAATAAAACTCCTACACTTTTGTTTCATCACGATGTCACAATGGTACCATTGTGATGCTATTTCGAAATGTTTTCAATACAGCCTTAAAAGGGAGATACGTAAGTATATATGTATATAATACAAATACTCTGAGGGTACAAGAGTGCCAGGAAAGTTATGTAAGCACTCAACGTAAATATCTAGGGCCTTTGAACTAGACTATAATATACATACCATTATAACTATGGCGTCTATCCTTGTTACTGCGACTATGCTATGGATATACTCTTCCGCTACTATGGAGGCGCGATAATATAAATTAGTGATAATAAAAGAGACTGAGATAATTAAGATAATTAAAGATAAATCAAACCGTGTTAAGATGTATACTACATGAAAAGTATGTGCATTTATATAAAGCACATACATTTGAGTAACAAAAAGCAGATATACGTTAAAAAAAAAAAAAAAAAAAAAAAAAAAAAAGAACCCAAAGCACGTTTGAGATCTAATAAAGATGAATTATATATATTCATAAAATAAGCAAGTTAGGAAATCGCTTGTCGTTTTATCCTAATGTCCCCTAGTTGTAAACGGGCAGGCGTCTGGGTGTATCATCACGAATAAAAATGTATTACATATGTATATATAAAATATATATATGTGAAATAATGATCACAAGAATATGGGTAAACATAAAAAGCTAAGAAAAAGGTTTAAAAAAATAAAATAAAATAAAAAATATATAAAACTTGCATAGCTTGAGAAAACGTCAGAAAAATATTATGAAATGTGGGTAAATATATATATATATATATATATATATATATATATATATATATATATATGGTAAAAATTGATGGGTGGTTAAAATAAAGAAATAGATTAAATAATTATCAAAGTTAATAGGGGGAAAAAATAATTCTTTAAATATGCATTTATATATAAATGCATGTGCATTTTAACCTATTTTTGTATTACTAAAAATCTGTTCACAAAATGTAATTAGTATTTTTGCCTTTTTGTTTTTATTTTTTTTTAATACATATATAACTTCGCAGTATTTACGGAAAAAAAAAAAAAAAAATAAAATAAGTCGGGTAAAATATTTTGGACGTTCTCTTTATCACTGATTCAGTGGAATGGTGGATTGAGCAAGTACACGTACATATTTATATGCATATATGGGCACGTACCGTATGTATATGCATATTGAGGGGGTACGTGTATATATATGCACATACATATATATACGGGTACAATTTGTATTCATATGCGGGTTCTTATATAATGTTCAAATACATGTACTCGTACATATATATATATATATGAACATATTCAAGTACACGTCCTACGAATAAGCGAAATCGTTGCTTCGCTCGAGTGGAGGTTAGTATTATGTTCAGGTACAATATTAGGTAAGCATATTAGTATAGATATTTTGTGTGTAAAAAAAAGGAGGGATAGGGTAAAATATTCGCACAATGGGGGAGGGGCATATTTACGCTTCCTTATGCAATTTGCTAGTGCGTATATATATATATATATATATATATACATTATAATGTGTACATATTTTCATGCAAATTTGTATAAAATATGCGTACAGTGTGCATAAAATATGTGTAAATTATGTATAAAATGCGTATAAAATATGTATAAAGTATGTATACATATTTGTGAATTTATGTGTGTACATTTATATACATGTACACATTCTGTGAAATTTTGAATTGTTAGTGAGAAAAATCTTAATCTGTGTTGAAACATTGGCACTGCATAAATGCCTTTATTTTATTTTTTTTCTTTTTTCGTTTGTTTGTTTTTTTTTTTTTTTTTTCTTATTTTTTGTTTTTTTTCCTTCTTTTTCCGTTTTTGACCTTTCTTTTTTTTTTTTTTTTTTTTTTTTTTTTTTTTTTTTTTTTTTTTTTTTTTTTTTTTTTTTTTTTTTTTTTTTTTTTTTTTTTTTTTTTTTTTTTTTTTTTTTTTTTTTTTTTTTTTTTTTTTTTTTTTTTTTTTTTTTTTTTTTTTTCGCTTCTTTTTCGCCTTCTTCTCATTGTTTTCGTTTATATTTTTAAATTTTTTTAGTTGTACCGCTAACCAGTGAATGTGAAATAATTTCTTATACATTACCTTTGTATGTTCAAAGCTTTCACAATATATAATATACACAATATACATATAATTGTGCTCAGCGAACGTAGGGATAGAACACCACTATTTTAACCTTGCTTTTTTCCTTTTCTCACGTTTTTGCACGTGCCAGAATTTGATTCTATATGACGCATAATTACACTGCTTAAGAATTTTAGCAAGTACCCATCTCCGTGTAAAACTGTTTCCTATGTGTAATTAGGTTCATCATATACATACGAAGAGTTAAATTATTTTTTATCATATGAGAAATAATGATCTATCCATTTGTTACATATGACAAAATGGGGAGATGGAGAGGACATATATATATATAAACATTATTATTAGTTTGTACCTGTGCTTTCTATTACACACACACAAACCACAATACGTGAAACAAAAATGCTTTTGACCTCGTTTGTCCGGTTCCCCATGATTAATACGACTCCTGATTCCACCCTCTCGCCCTTTATGTCCGCTGATACATTTATTTCTTCCCCCTCCCCACCCCTCATTGTGTGTGTTCATAAATTGCACGAACAACTTTAAGATAATAAACGTTAATGATGATTTAACAGATCTGCAAAACATTTGTAAACATGCACAACAGGCAAATATGTACGCATGCATATATATATATATATATATGGAGTAAAGGTAAACATAATTTCCCGTGTATACATATACATTCTCACCACCTAGTACACAATTGTGAATTTGTGAATGCGCCTCTGCGACTTCCTCTTGAAAATTTTTTAATTTGAACAATTTTAAACGGCAAACAAGTTGTGGTAATTGTGCAGAACTAAATAAAAAAAAAAAAAAAAAAGGACACGTGTTCCGATATCCTTCAAACCCTTTTGAAAGTAATACTATACGCGCATGAGTGTGAAGATTTTTTCATATATTGTATACCCTTCTCCTTGACTTGGTCGTACGGAGTTTTTTTTTTTTTTTTTTTTTTTTTATTAACCAAAGTGTTCATATGTGAATACTAGATTTGATTATCCTTCATATCACTTCTCACTGTGTTGCTTTTTTTGCATGTGAATGTAAGAAAATCTGTAGTTTTTCTCCTATTATTCTGTTCACAATTTCTCAATTAAAGAAATCAGGATTTGGAGAAAAAAAAAAAAAAAAAAATACATTACTAAAATGGGGTTCCCGAAAAAGTTAATTTCCAATTTGTTAAAAAATTGGTCCCAATTGTTTCACCGTTTTGTATCTTCTAAAACCATTTTTGCACACACACACAAAAGTACATGTAAAAATAAATTTTATGCTTATCATATAGTTTGAGTAGAATAAAAATAATGCGAAAATGAACGTAGACAAATACTAATCACCCACTCTTCTTTTAATAAACAAATATTCCTTAAAAAGCCAAGTCGGCTGACATTTTTTACACCCACCATCGATTCTCCATTTGCATATATTTCATAAAGGTGTGCATATATATATATATATATATATATATATATGTATATACATGTACATTTATGTGCCCCGTGTGTAAGCAAATATGTAAAAGCCCCGTTATGAACAAATTCGGCGTGTCTCTATTTCGCCATGCTTTTCTTAAAAAACGAAATTTTAATTTATAACGTTACTTTTGTTAATTATTTATATATAAGATTTATTTAAATATTCTTACCCGGTGATTTTTACAAAAAAGAAATTTCTTTTCCATATATCTCATCCCACATAAAGTGTAAAAAAGTATCCCTCTTTTTTTTTTTTTTTTTTTTTTTTTCCACTAATTAATGTAAAAATTTGTAATATGTTCTTCCTATCCATTTACAATGAGGAAATTCATTCCCATTCGATAAGAAGTCATCCAGTTGGTTGTTAAGTCTATCGGGCAATCGGATTGCTAATCAGATCTATACCTCCCCCTCTAAAGCATTTACTTCCCCATGTCCAATTTCAACGCTTAAAAGACGTATATATGTAGTATAACCCTATTTCCCATTAAATCCTGATGTTCGAACAATTATTCTTTTATTTCGTTTTGAAGCATTTATATTAGAATTTTATTTAAAACAAAACAGAATGAACATTATATATATATCCATCCACTCCCTCGTAATTGGATAGGAGGAGTAAAAAAAATGAATTACTGAAACGAAAATATTTGCTCTTTAAGGAACGTAGAAAAGATTAGCATGAACATGTAGGTCAAAAAAGAAAAAAAATAAATAAACTTAGCTATGCTGAACTTAATTTATTTTATTCTATATCTATAACAAAATCGAACAGAATGTACATATTACATAACACATGTAAAAAAAAAAAAAAAAAAAAAAAAAAGCGTCACAGAGAGAATGGAAAACCGAATTTTCTTGTGTCCCGTTTTTTTTTTTTTTTTTTTTGTGTAAATATGTAAACATTGATAAGGTTAAAAAAAAAAAAAAAAAAAAAAAAATTATCACCATTTTATATTAAAATGTTACATTTGATCTATCAAAACTGAATAGCTTTTTTCACCTTTTCCCATCTGCAAGCTTCTTAATTTGATGAAGCATGTTTTTTTTTTTTTTCGGTGTTCTTCTCTTTCCCTGTTTTGTCAAAAAGATTTGTTGCCCACGAGCTTTCAGAATATAAGAAAGTTCTGCAATTAGGACCAAATGAAAATAAAAGATAGTTAATAGAGACCACATTTCAATCAAAGAGAAAAAAAAAAAAAAAAAAAAAAAAATGTAGATATGGTAAGTGAGAAGCATCTGAAATGACGGAACTAGTAGAGAAAAATACGCCATTATATATGGCAATAAGAAATGGGAACTCCATATAAAATGCCCCATTGTAAAAACCATTATTTGAACACATTTTGTTTCATATTTTTGTTATGCATGTGGACGCTAGCAATAGCTTGATGTACCCAACCAAGGCAACTTTATCACAATAAATAACATTGCTGATCGCTTCACATGCTAACTAACCTTAACATATTTCCACCATTACAGGGAAAGTTCAAGAAAACTCAAAAGATACTAAAATTGAAAAGGATAATAAACCCAAATGACAACAGAGTGAAGCAAAGTAACGGAAATGGAGTAAAAAAAAATATTAAGAAAAATGAAGAAAAAATAAAACAAGTTACTCCAATAGATAGTAATTTATTTTTTAACTATAATGAGAATTTATGTCCACCATATAATATAATACTGGATACAAATTTTATTAACACAAGTATACAATATAAACTTGATATAATAAAAGGCTGTTCAGAATTGTTACTAGCCAAATGCAATATTTACGTAACAGACTGTGTTGTGGCAGAAATGGAAAAACTGGGGCAGCGATATTCCCTTGCCCTCAAATTATTAAAAGACCCTAGATATATTAGACTGACGTGTACCCACAAAGGAACATATGCAGATGACTGTATAGTCAATCGTGTTACTGAAAGTCGATGTTACATCATTGCAACAAATGATAGGGATTTAAAAATACGGTTAAGAAAAATACCAGGAGTTCCTATTTTATATGCCAAAAATTTCAAGTACAAAATTGAGAGACTCCCGGACAATATTTTGATATAAAGAAGAAGCGCCTAAAATTGGGATGGCACAGTATGGAAGAATGGAAGTATGGCAGTGTGGAAGAATGGAAGAATGGTAGTATGGAAGTATGGTAGTATGGAAGTATGGTAGTATGGAAGTATGGAAGTATGGTAGTATGGAAGTATGGAAGTATGGAAGTATGGAAGTATGGAAATAATTTTCGCATTCCAACATTAAAACTTTTTGTTCCCATTTTGTTTCCGTTTTTTTTTTTTTTTTTTTCTTTACTTATTTCTGAAGCGTGTTACATAAAGATTGTGTGTAGATATATATATTCCCCGTGCATACCATACTAATGATTATATCCAATTTTCGAGGAAAAGGAAACGGTGGAAAGTAGGAGGCTAGGAGGATGGAAAAAAGAGCTTCTTCACCCATCCTGCTGTTATGAAAAATATTTATATGTATATATATATATTTCTTTACTTTTTTGGTTAATATAAATAATTTTTAACATTCGTTTGACCATTCACGCTATCTGTTCCCCATACCATCATTACATATATAAAATAACTAATTTGCACCCTTTTAAACAATCAATGTAAATTTACAATTTCTTTTTGAAATAGAAAAATTTTTGATTCGTCTTTTTGGAATAATTATACATACAGTGGTTTAAGAAAATCACACTGTGTAAAATCATTTACTCTTCTTCTTCATCTTTTTTTTTTTTGGTGCACATTCTGGGGTTATAAACCTATATTCCTCGGATATGACATATATATATAAAGCTGGTGGATGAATGGGGGTGACGTTCATGTGCAAATCAGTTGCAAATAAGGATTATGAAGAGGAAGTTCTTTCAGAAAAATAAGATCTAAGAAGGTACTACATTATGAAACAAGAACATAATAGGAACTTTCTTAATGACATATCACAGCTAGCTAAAAAAAAAAAAAAAAAAAAAAAAATATGAATGATCATACAAAAAGGTGGATAACATAAACCTGTTTTGTCAGAATAAAAAAAAAAAAAAAAAAATTAAATAAAATAAAATAAAATTAAAGTGAATTCAATTAATGGCTAGCTAGCTATTTTGAGCAAATACTAGCATGTGACTACCTCAACAAAAAAGAGGAAAAAGTGTTATCCTAAACCTTGCAAAATCTTTAAATCTTCTGGTATCATTGGGTAAAAAACATAGGGGGGAAAACTCTATAGGAATGTTCAAGATCTTTGCAAATTTGCAAATTAAAAGTAACAGAACCTATTTCATGTTAGTCATATGACCATATCTTAGCTTTATTTCGTTTTCGTTTTCCTGAAAAAAAAAAAGTTAATTTTTTTTTTTTTTTTTTTTTTTTTTTTGAAGTTACAAAATTACGACTTGTAACATTGGGAATTATAAAGCATTCTCCAGCTTTTTCTCTATTTCTATTGCATATCTTTTTGTTACATCAAGAAATGTCTGGGGCATATCCGTTACAGTGTTATGAATTTTCCTGTAATGATGTCTTTTGTCGTTCATATTGCCCCTAAACAGATTGGCCCGAATGTATGAACAACAACCAATGTTACTATTGGATATGGTGCCTAACGAGGTAAAGAAATGAGGATTGTTGTAGTGCTATCCGATATGAGGGAAATTCTTCATTCCTTATCTCTCTTCATATGCATATGGGCTTGTGAATGACCATGCATAGTTGACGAGACAGAATGAAAAGGTTGAGGAAGGAGGGTATGTAGAATGCAAATGCACTACAATTAAACAGATGACTTCTAATAAAATCATACGAAAAAAAGGACTTACATCAAAATAATGTAAAAATAGTTTAAAAATAATGTAAGGATAAAATAAAGATCCCATATAGGACGCACAATGAATAACCACGAACAACACTTACATTTATAGTCAAAGTAATTTTGATCTCCTATCGTACGGACATTTGTTATGTAAGTTCCAGAACGGAATATATTGTAATTTCCAATGTACATGTTATCATATGTACAGTTAATGATTGTTACATTATCCTCAAAGAGATTGTTGTCACCAATGTGTATATGTCCGTGCTTAGAAATGATGCGGCATCCAGGAAATAAAATATTACCATTTCCTAAAATTATGTTATTGTCTTGGTTGGCTAGAAGAGACGAAAATTTTTTGACTTTTTGTTCCTCCCTTTTTTTTTCATTTTCCACAAGGAGATCTTTTTCAACAATGGCTTTTTTTTTTTCATCTTTTTTCCTTTCATCCTTTTTCCTTTCATCCTTTTTCCTTTCATCCTTTTTCCTTTCATTCTCCTTCTTTTCATTCTCCTTCTTTTCATTCTCTTTCTTTTCATTCTCATTCTTTTCATCCCTTTTCCTTTCATTATTTTTCTTTCCATATTCAAATGTATTTCTACATGCCAGAAACATTTTGTTCCTACAGCTACAGCTTAACACAAATTGTGTAATGTACCTGTCCACATGTCGCTGTAATAGTTTCCTTTTTGATTTGAATGAATTTATATCTACCTCTGAACAAGAAGAAATAATATAATCCAAAAAAAATCTGAAGAGACAGTTTTTATTTTTTTTATTATATATATAGTTTTTATTTTCTCTTAAATTTTTCATTAATTTTTTATTTTCTTTATATGTTAGTTCTTTCCATATTTTTTTATTTTTTAGTTTATTCATTTGAATACTTACACATATCTTTTTATTCTTGTAATATATTTTTCTCACTTTCTTTTTATCATTTTGTGTATTTCCATTAATCGTTTCGTTGTATTCTCTAGCACGCTTTAAGAAATTTTTTATTGCAGTTTTGTTAATCCAGCAGGTTCTTTTTAAGTGTCCACCTTCTTGTTCAGATTTTTTTGCATCTTTGTCTGAAGGAATAGGATAGTAATGAATTATGACGACTAAACGGGGTGATGATTAGGACAGCATGGGAATAATAAAAAATAAAATAAAATAAAAAGGAAAAATACATCCTGGTCTACCCTGTTTTTCGTTGTATACACATCATTTTGAGAATAAGTAGAAAAAATCTTAGCACCTTTTGATGTATTCACAGGGATATATGAACAACAACTAATTAGGGTTTATTTCCCCTTGAAGAAATTTTACACTTTCATATTAACCCCTTTTTGTGTACTTTTTTTTTTTTTTGGGCTTACCGGGTTTGTACCACTTTCCATCAGTTCTGAGAAAGGGTGGAATATCGTCTGAAAAATTGCTCGAGAAATTACTCATCGATTCATATGTCTCATTAAATGCATTCTCATTTAAATGACAAATGGTGTTCAAGTAAGAGCTCAAGGGGGATGAATTTATAGTCATATGTGATTTGAATTTCTTATAATAACATAGAAGTTGGGGCTTAGGTGAAATGGCATTATCAATTTCGTTATCTAATGAAGAATCATGATCATTTCTCGAATGTCCCTCTTCTTGACAAATCGAGTTGCATGTTGCATCGTTATCACTAGTTCCGCTTGGTATCGATTTGAATTCAAAATGAGAATTTGAGCCTTCACGTGAGTTTGTCGTCGAAGTTGCTAGCAAATTGGCGTACGAATTCGAGCATGAATTGATGCAGGATTGAAAACATGAAGCGATGCAAGAATGGGAACCAGAATGAACCCTCGAGTGGTCACTTGAATATTTGCAGAAACCCCAGTTGCTTAATTGTCGTTGATTCGTATTAAACTTCCTAAATATGTTGTTTCCCTCAAGTGCTGTATTTTTTCCAGACGCCAATTTTTTAAATTTATAGACATACTCACTTAGAGAATTTACCCTTTTATACGGATTTAGCTGCTGTGTCTTTATGGAACTATACGAGTCTGATGTTGATGTTATAATTGAAAGCGAACCTAAGATGCTATTAGATTGCTTCTCTTCATTGCTCGAACTGTGAGACACATCAGATGCATTTTTTTGATCTCCTTTAGGCAAAATTCTTTTTTTTTTCTTTAAATCACTCGTGTTCAAATTTAGGGAAAACAGCTTCACTAATTTGTCACTCATTTTTTCCAGTTGTGGCAAAGGGCTTTGGTGAAAAAAAAATAAAATAAAATTAATAGAATGTGACAAAATATGAAAAAACTGATAAAGCATGTCAAAAATGACAAAATGTGATAAAGCATGTCAAAAATGACAAAATGTGATAAAGCATGACAAAAAGGGATATAACAAGACAACAAGTGATGTATCATTATAGTAAATTCAAAACAGCTGTGAATAACCGCTATGTAGGTCAAAACAAGAAATTAGAAAAAAAAGAATGTATATTTCGGAGGTAAGTCAAGTTAAATACTCCCTATACCCCACTAGCGATTTCAATATAGACGTCTAGATTAAGGTGATCCTTATTATATGAATTAAATTTTGTTGTACTAAACAAGGGGAAGAAAGAAAATAAAAAAATTCGGCTTCATGTTACACACACGCAAAGGAGCACGTTTATGAGGAACAAATTTGTTAATCCCAATTTCTGTGTGAGGATTAATCGCAAGGCAGTAGACAATTGCTTGGAAATGAGGAAAACATATTTATAACAATTTTCTCACAAATACACTTATATAAGTACGTGTATAATATACATGTTTTCATAACGAACACAAATCTCATTGCATCCTTTTTTTTTTTTTTTTTTTTTTTTTTTTTTTTTTTTTTTCTTTTTTACAAAAAAAAGTTTTTTCTAAAAAAAATTGCATCTTTTTTTTTTTTTTTTTTTTTTTTTTTTTTTTTTTTTTTCCTGTCTACATAAAGAACTTCTATGCTAAAGAAAATGGAACAAACACACACCAATGAAAAACATTATATCCCTTTCACCACCTTTTAAGTTATACTCGTTTAATGTAACAGAAAAATTCTTAAAGTGTACGAAAACCTTTTAGTAAAGCTAGCTGTATTCTAGTAAAAATTTCATCCATACTTTTAAGACATTTGTGCAGTAAATAAGTCAATATCCATGTTGTACCTAATAAAGCAGTTTTGGCTTTTTTTTTTTTTTTTTATTTTTGCATTTTTCTTATATTTACCCATATTGTCCATTTTGTCTGAATGTTCATATCTTTTTTTTTTTTTTTTTTTTGCTTTTTTCTTATATTTATCCACATTGTCCATTTTTGCCTGATCATTCATAATTTTCTTTTTTATTTCCTTTTTGTTGTCCGGAAGCAGAAAAATGGGAGCATGTATGATATACCAGAGTCTATACAGCTGTTACTCACAAATGAGTTCTAATACTTTTTTTTCTTTTTCTTTTTTATTTTCCCTTTTTCTATTTTTTCTTTTTAATTATTTATTCGTCCTTGTGAAGGAAAAAATTTCTTGTATATAGAGGGTTGGAAGAAAAAAATTAGAAAAACAGATTTTTCGTTAAATGTATATATATTAAGTTCTAGTGCATAAAAAATTAACATGGAATATAAAAAAAATGTAATGAATAAAAGGGCGTGTAAAAAAAAAAAAAAATATATATGTATATATATATATATATATAAAACTGAATGGATAATATGATATAATGTAATGGATAAAATACAATATAATAGAATGTAAAGGATAAAATATATTATATAAAAATATATAATGAATGAAATAAAATAACAGTATAATTGAAAGTTGAAAGGAATGTAAATGGGAAGGGTTCATGGAAATTTTACGATTTAAAATTTCTCTTCCCAATTATTCGATTCATTTTTTTTTTTTTTTTGGCACGTCTTTTTTTTTAACATACGTATGTATATATATATATATATATATATATATGTATATAAATATACATATGTATGCGCGTGTATGTACATAAATGTGGATACGAGCATTAATATATGTTGGTACATATACTCACATGTATACATGTTATGCATACACGCCCTCACACACACATATACACGTAACACTTAAACATAAAAATAAGCCCGAGGAGTAAACATATAAATATGTGTATATATGTGAACGTGTATATATTATATATACTCATTCATACAATATGTTACACCTTCTCAAGCAGATATACATTCTTAAAATGAGTGCTTCCCCTCATGCAGTTTAATGGAAAAAAAAAAAATATATATATATATATACACGAACTTATGTATATACGTATGCATGTGTACACACGTGAGTACATGCATATATCTGAACTTCGACTTATGGAGATATACATATATATATTCTTTAAACGCATTTTCAACTTTTAAGATTTGCTAAAATCTCATACGGCCCCATAGTTTTCCTTATATCGAAAAATAGTGCATTTTTTTGTACGATATAAAACATAAATACACATAATCCATGTTATTCTATATGCCTACATAATATATATATGATTATGCACACACGCACTTCAAATGGGGATGACTATTTTTATTCTAGACCTTCATCCTTGGATTTTTCTGAACGAACCATAAGGGGGGTATAGAGAGGAGGAAGGGGGGGGGGGGGGGTAAATTAATCAAAATGGTCAACATTGTATAATATAAAATATTTCAAAAGAATCAAAATTGGCATGTCATGCAAAAATATACATATATGTCAAAGAAATTCCATTAATATTCATAAATAATTCAGACATAATGGACACATGGGATGAGCCAAGTGGGCCACATTGCTTATGTATACATTCATTGCATTTACAAAAAGGTCATAATATATATGCAATGTGTGTAATATACCTTCGGTCTGATCTCCTTGTAAGTCTGATGTCCATAAGGTTAAGTTGTCTCGTAATAATTGCATGATCAACGTGGAATCCTTATAAGAATCTTCACTTACATTGTCAAATTCAGTGATGGCATCGTCGAAAGCACGCTTAGCCATTTCACAAGCTTGATGTGGTTGGTTTAATATTTCATAAAAGAAAACAGAATAGTTCAATGCAAGACCTAAACGTATTGGATGTGTTGATGGTAGTTCATTCTCTGCAATATCAGTTGCCTTCTGATAAGCTTCTTGTGCAAAATTAGATGCTTCTTTTTTTCCTTCGTCACATGAAAATTCGCTAATATAACGATAATAATCTCCTTTCATCTTGTAATAAAATACTTTACTTTCGCTTTCTGATGTGTTTGGTATTAATTTCTTCGTCAAAAGATTTAAAATATCTTGGCATATATTGTTTAATTCTTCTTCTACTTTTTTTCTATATGTTGCAGCAATATTTTTGTTATGAACATTTGCTTTGCTCATTTCTTTCTGTTCAACACTTGAAATTATTCTCCACGAGGCTCTTCTCGCTCCAACAGCGTTTTTGTATGCAACGGACTGGAATGAGAAATTCACAAAAAAAAAAAAAAAAAAAAAAAAAAAAGGGGGGTGAGGGAGAAAATCGTTAGTCATAAATAAAGCGAGAAAATGGTTAGAAAAGATACATTCATTGATGGTGATTTATCTCTCAAATGCATACTACCAGAGTTACGTTTTCATTTCGATGCATAGGAACAAAAATGTAACATGTTCTACAATTGTTTATACAAATATGGTCAAAATAAAAATATACACACATATGGAGAAATATTGAGAGAGTTCCAGGTTTATGTATCCTCTCTTGACATACCAATAAATTTCTCTCCTCGACAGTTAATTCATCCTTGTCATTATTTACGCATTGTTCAACTAGGGTTCTCATCGCATCGGCCATTTCTGTAAATAAGGTGAATACAAATGAGGGAATAAAAAAAAAAAGGAAATAAAAAAAAAAAAAACAAAAAAAGGAAATAAAAAAAAAAAACAAAAAAAGGAAATAAAAACCTTTTTTATATACACTATTTATGCTTCCTTATTACACTTGGAAGAGTTCTAATTGTGTACAATTTTAATGCAAAAAATAAAATGTATTATGAACAAGGGGAAAACAACAGATCCTTTAAAATTCAAAAGTAAAAAAAAAAAAAAATATTCCTTTACACAAATATATCGTTCATCATATGGGCAAACAAGAATATTTTTTCGCTTAATACACACATGAACTGTTACACAGAATGGATAATAATGCAAGACATATACTTTACACCATTTCGATAGGTGCACATGTAATGAAGGGGTAAACGGATGTGTGGGAAAAAAAGAAAAAAAGAAAAAAAAAAAAATGGAAGAATAAACGTAATTCCCCTTAACACATTACACATATTATAAAAGAATAATACGTGCTACTTTGTCGATTCGTGCGAATATGAATAATCGCTTTCATTAAAATAGGCGTGCTTGCGTGTGTGTGTGTGTGTGTGCGTGTATATATATAGGGAACGTTAATTGCATTCGTTTTCCCTCATTTTCATTGGTTTTCACTTTTTCATTTTCCCTCCTATTTTTTTAAGAGTAGTCATACCATCATATCTTTCAGCTTGTTCAGCTAACTTAGAGCGATAGGTACAATCAGACCTCAACTGCTTTAAGTCATCGGATGTTGCCATTGTTTGATTAAATATAGGTTATGTGAATATCTTTTTCACTAGAAATTGGGTTGGCTCACACAGGGAAGAACGTATATTTTTGTTTTATTTTTGTTTTATTTTTGTTTTATTTTTGTTTTATTTTTGTTTTATTTTTGTTTTATTTTTGTTTGATCTCGTTTGATTTTCGTTTTATGTTTGTTTACGGAAGTTTGCTTATGCAAAAATATGTGTATAAATACTCGTGTTTTCGAAATTGCGCGCAAATATTTGAATTTACTAAATTTAGAAAAGCACAGTAAAAATTAAATTCAGGTATACGTTAAGCAATGTATATGCAAAAACATTCATGTATGTATTGTTTCTTTTGGGGGGTAAGAGGAGTGAAGGGAAGGGGTGGGGGGTTTTCCTTTTTGTTCATATATTGCAATGTATATAGTATGTATAAATATATGTTTGTGTATATATGTTTGTGTATATACGTTTGTGTATATACGTTTGTGTATATATGTTTGTGTATATATATGCTTGTGTATATATTATATATATGTATATATATATGCTTTTTTTTTTTTTTTTTAAGTTCCTTTTTAAGAGTCAAAAATAATATGTAAACACAGCATTCAAATTTTTAGGTTTGTGATTTCGATTCTCAAGTCTGCGTGAAAAAAAAAAAAAAAAAAGTGACATAAAATTGTACATAAAGTAAATTTTTCACAAAAACATAAATATAGCATATGTGGTACAATACGTGGTGTATGTTTTTTGAAAAAGTGGAAGAGGGAAAGAAAAAAGAAAAAAAAAAAAAAAAAAAAAAAAAATTCAATCATGACGAGAAGAAGCTTAAAATAAAAAAAAAAAAAAAAAAGGAATGAAATGTATACATATGTGCATGTATATATATATATATATATATATATATATATTTTTTTTTTTTTTTTTTTTGTAAGTGTTTATGCAAATGAATATAACATATATATTTGTTCATATTACATATTACATGTATATGTACATTTGTATGTGTATGCATATATGTACACAATTGGTGGGGTAATAAAAGGGTTTAAAAATATAATTACGATAAAGCAGGTGTGGTATGAAAGACTGTTAAAGGAGGGACTGATAAAAATGAGCGTGATGTGATGACATAAGTGGGTAAGGGGCAAAGTGCCACACAAAGTATAAAAATGTACGCAATAAAATGTGAGCGCAAATATTATATATATACACTTTAAGTGTACGCGTAAATAAACCTTGGTCGCATAAAAAGCACGAAACTGTTCGGGTGAAAAATGTACGTATAAAAAAAAAAAATGGTCACGAGAAATATGATCATGAAAAAAAAGTGCGTGTAAAAAAATATTCGCCTGGGGTGTACGCATATGATTGGAGTATGCACTCCTCACATATATGTGAAAAGATGGACTTGCGAAATTCAAGCTATGCAAATTAAAATTTTTATTCTTGTCATACATTTCAAAGTGCCTTTACCTTTCATTCCATTCCACGTACATCACTCTGTTCATATTCATTCTGTTTCACATTTTCTATTTTATGTCTTCTACTTTACATCGTCCTATTTCATTTCATTTTATTATCAATTTTGTTATTCATTTTGTTATTCATTTTGTTATTCATTTTGTTATTCATTTTGTTATTCATTTTGTTATTCATTTTATTATTCATTTTATTATCCATTTTGTTATTCATTTTATTATCCATTTTGTTATCCATTTTATTTATTTATTTTTTTTTTTTTTTATTCACCTCTTTGCCTTTACCGTTTTTACACCCTTATCCTTATGCACCGCATACTATAAAAAATGTAATAATTTTTTTTTTTTTTTTTACTATTTTTGCTCGTTGGGATTACTACACATATGGGAACTTGTTACCTCCAAAACATTTTTTTTTTTTTTTATCAATAAATGTAATGTGTGTGAAAATGTTATATAAGGTTTAAAAGCGCAACTATTTTAATTTTTACATAAACTTTTTCATATAGTCTCACCAAATCCAAACGTGTATTAGGTACATTTAATATATACGCTCTATTACACTGTTGCACACGTGTTGCATACATGCACATTTTTTTGTTACTTTTAAATGACCCTCAAGATGGAATTTATAAATATTGTACCACATTATAACAGCACTCTAATACCATTTTGATAGCACTACAACCACTCCTCAACCGCGTTCCAACCACGTCTCAACCATGTTTAAGGTTTAAAAACTGATATTACTTTAGTGCTCTCTTATTTCCTAGTATTTAATTTTTTAATTTACTATATCCCCTTCCTTTCCATGTCCGTGTGTAAAACTGGTCTCACGCTTTTTACATACCCTCGGGACAGCTTTCTTTTTTTTTTTTTTTTGCATACCTGCTCGATTTTTTCCACGAACGAAACTGCACATGGTACAGGTGTTTCATAAACAAACATATATATGTTACATGTGTATAATACTTTGCTCTTTTCTGGTCATCAGAGGTAGTTCCTTTTTTTTTTTTTTTTTTCTTTTTCCTCTTTTACTTCGATCATACATGTTTGCAAAATTTTGAATATAAAAATTATTATTTCAGCACCGAAATGAGCAATATATAAGATGTAGCACGAATCAACATGACATCACTACTGAACCAGGGTCCATCATTGGGAAGGACAACCTTTTCGGACACCTTACACGTTCATATATATGTACATGTACCTTTGTATATTCATTGGTATGTATTCATAACAGGTACTTTTTTTTTTTTTTTTTTTTTTTTTTTTCTCCCTTTTTTACATTTGTTAGCCGTTAAGAACTACATTTCAGCAAAGAAAAACGTATTTCAAAAGTGCTGCTACCATTAGGTTTGAATTTTATTTTTTTTTATTTCTTATGCAGTTAGAGCATAGTTTTTTTTTTTTTTTTTTTCCTCGTTTGTTCATACGATATAGAAGTTTTGCCTATAAATTTCTGACCGTTCAGGTGAAAATACCTAAACACGCTTAGTTCAAGTTTGTGGGTTGGTAGAACAAAGATATTAAACTCAAATGTACCATAACGCATATACATAGTTACTGTGGTTTCACATTTTACATATCATTGTGCATTCCTAAATTTATATGCAAAATAGGGTTTAAAAATATATATTAATTTCCCCAAATCCCTTTTTTTCCTCTATAAGTGTACATATTTAAGTAATTCACTGGATATTTCATGTGGAGCTACGTTAACGTATACACATCACTCGTACACATATATATATGCGCACCAAAAAGGTGAAAATATGAAAGTATGGAATATCTTTTCATAAAAAACACACATACACATATGTAATATATATATATATATATATATTATATATGTGTATATGTGAACCACTGTAAACATAACCTTTCGGATTGCAACATTTTAATGGCGTGTGCATTCCACTACCGGAGCTATGTGATTCTTTCCAAAAATAAAAAATCTACAGCTCATCAAAAAAAAGAAAAAAAAAAAAAAAAAACTGGCAAGACGAAATTATGAGTTTTTTAACCTTCTCCTTCCATCATCATGCCACTGATTTGTCACTATTTGAAGATATTCATGAGGTCTGGCATTTTTCCCCTACTCCCCTTTTGCTAGTTAATAAAATAGGCAAATATTCGTGTCAATGATGAAAGGGGATATTATATCTGTTTTAGTCAGTGTGAATATAAAAATACGTTTGCACATGTACGCACAGGGTATAACACACGAACGATATATTTAAAAAGGTACCTATTCAAAATGAAAGACGCAAATTTTAATTGCCGTTTTATTTGAAAACTAGGATTAACAAAAACACCAAATAGGATGTGATATTTTTTTTTTGGGAAAGGCTTTTTTTTTTTTTTTTTTTTTTTCAAGGTACTAAAATGATACACTAAACAGTTTTCTTCAAAATATGAATTGAATCAGAGTAACTACTACATTTTTTTTTTTTTTTTCACGCGTGCTAAAACAATTTAATATCTTTAAAAAAATTGTTAAATGTGATTTTTTGTTAACAATATTACGAATTATTTTTATTTTTTCAAAAATATAAAAAATCAAGTTTGAGAAATGGATGCAATATCAGAGTGTTCCCATTAAAAACAGCTATGAAAAAAAACTTGGAAATTTAATGCATTGTAAATAATCAATTTGATCCATTTGAACGTAGAAAATATACATAAAAAAAAAAAAAAAAAAAAAAAAAATGGAAAAAGATATACATGAAAAAGCAACACAAAAGTGTGACAAACCAACATAAATACAAATACAATTAAAAAAGTTTTTTCACAGACAAAAAAACATGCAGCTAATTAGCAATCCTATTCCATAGGTCGAAGTTAAAATATTCACGAGCATTTAGTGTCAAAACTTTTGCTAGCTTCATAAGAAATGTATACCCCACTCCAATCTTATGAAAAAATGTGCGCAATCAGTGGGAATTCTCCCTCACCGGAAAAAAAGAAAAATATACATGAACAGAGAGGAGACAAATGATTGCACACAGAAACAATAGATCATGCATACACAAGTAAAAATTTTCATAAAAATATGTTAACCCCAATAGAGGGTAATAAGATAGGGTGTGTGTGCGTGTGTGTGTGTGTGTGTGTGTGGGGGGGGGGGGATATATAAAAAGCGCGATTTAGAAAAAGTACTAATGAATTGAATTGCCTATAGGGTTTTTATTAAATGGTAAGGATAATATGTCTTGCATTTACCATTCAGACGTGTAGCTTCTTCTCTGAAGCACTCTAATGTTAAACAAACCGAATGACACAATTTACTTATTGTTCCATGCATACACGTGTAGACAACAGAAGGTGGATAGACAAAATGAGATATTATCATTAACACTGTAATGAAAGACTATTGCTTGTTTCTGTACAGACATGTTTCATATATATTTCCTTCACCTTTTACACCACCTAAGCTCTTCACAAGTTCTGTTATATCATTTCCTTTAAGCTATTGGTTAGGTACTTTTCCATGCTAATGTTCCTCATTTTTTTACTTTCACAGTGCAACTGAAAAATGGAAAAAAAGGAAAAAAAAAAAAAAAAAAAAAAAAAAAAAAGGTTATATGAATACAGCTAAATAGGAATAACTTGCCCCATGCAATTTTTTCTGCTGCTAAATTTGCAATGAATGCGAATATTATTTTGTTTCATCTGGTTATACTTGCATTTATGTATCTATGTATATTCATTTATTTATTCATTTATTCGTTCATTTATTCGTTCATTTATTCGTTCATTCATTCGTTCATTTATTCGTTCATTTATTCGTTCATTTATTCGTTCATTTATTCGTTCATTTATTCGTTCATTTATTCGTTCATTTATTCGTTCATTTATTCGTTTATTTATTCGTTTATTTATTCATTCATTTATTCATTCGCTTATTCATTTATTTATACACATTTTGTGGTAGTTACCCGTTTGGCCAATTCGTGCGTATACAAATCAAAGGACCAGTGCGCTCTAGAATCAGTTGTGAAGTAAAGTAAACATAAGACATGACTGAGTAAATTTAAAAAGCTTTCATACGTTTCGTTGTTTCCTGCAGTATTAGTTCCTTCCTGGGTTGTGTGATTTTTGAAGAATGTTACAGGAAGAGTGTTATTATTACTTGAACTGTTTTTTTGCAAATTATCTGTTAATTCCATTTCTGTTGACTCATTTTCCACCTTAATCTTATTTTTTGTAATTTCCAGATTTTTTTTAAAAATATGATTTAGAATATCACAGTACTTATTGTTAAGGAATATATAGTCCATTTTTTCTTCAGACGATTTGTGTTTCATTTCAACTGGTTCATTAGTAGTTGATAAATCTGAATGATCAGAATTTTTTTGAACATTTCCCATATCTTTTGTTGAGAGTGAGGGAACGTTGTTTTTTGTAAGCATGTAACCACAGCTATCAGTTGTTTTTGCACTTGCAAAGGTTTTATTTGCATCCAAAAAATGATCACATACGTCTAACTCTCCATGTGAAGAATTTAATGAGGCCTTCGAGTTTATATCAGAGATGTCTAAATCGAATAGATATAAAAATTTTTTTAGAATGCGTAGATACAAAGTATATTTATCATCGTAATTATTTAAATAGGTAAAAATGGAATTTTTTTTTTTTTTTTTTATTAATGAATTTTCATAAGTCATAAAATTTCTGTCACAACAACATGTGCTATGCCTTTGGTCATTATTTGTACAATATTGGAAAGATAATTTTTTTTCATGACATGGGATATTTATAGAGTTATGTTTCAAATCAATATGTTTGTGCATCTTCTTCCCAATGGAAACGGGGTCGATATTTTTAAGATTCTGAATCTGTATCTGATTCTGATTTTGATTCTTATTTGATGTGGAATTGAAATAAAATGAGCATGAGTTGTTGAATCCTTGTTGAAGGGAATTTGTCTTCTTTGTATTATTTCTTATCTGATTTTGACCTTTGAATGATCCATACTGAATTTTTTTAACTATAGTGACATTAGGATAAGGAGGAATATCTATTTTGCTTGAAAATGGTATAAAATATTCTTTGATTTTTCTCTGTTCTGCTAATCCATGTAAGTTTGGACAGTAGTATCTATTACAATTAGCATTTTTAAAATATTCACATCTTTTCGTTTTATAGACTAGTGGATGATAATCTATTTCTTCTTTTGTATGTGCTAATGGGCATTCAACACCTAAAGGACATTTATTTATATTTTTTTCTTCAATATATTTGTAAAAATTATTGTTTACACTCCCATCTTTATTTGTTAAATGTATGGAATTTCTAAAAATATTTTTTATTTTTTCTTTATCTTCTTCGCTTTCGTTCTTTTCTCTTTTACCAAAAGGGCATGATACTGGTATATATCTCAAGTAAGATGGAAGTGAAATGTAATATGGACACCTCCTAATCCATTCTGCACTATGGCTGTACTGACATCTGTCTTGGCCAAATTCGCATGAACCCTTAACTATCCTTAGACACTGTTTTGTTCGAAATCGATAAAGGTCATCCTCGCTCAAAAGGGGTGTGCACGCCATTGGGACAGCCCGAGCAATTGGAGTGCAAAATGTCGATGCAGATGTCGGAGCGGATGTCGGAGCGGATGTCGGAGCGGATGTCGGAGCAGATACTGGAACAGAGCACGAAGCAAGATGTTACTGTGTATGTGTATGTTACTGGGTATGTGTATGTGTGTTGAGGGAGCAGGGAGTTCATAAAAACGTACGCTTGCAGTGCGATGTATGAGTTTTTTTCCCGTGGTAAGCTCTTAATTGGGTAGAACAGGGAAATTTCTCAAAATGGAGAAAACTCAAAATGCTGAGGTCATAAAAAAAAAATTAGGGAACAATACGCGCACCCGCTGAATGCCTACAACGCCCATTATTATCTTGAACGGGAATGGGGAATGAAAGAAAAAATTAAGAGGCATCATAAAATGTCATCAAGTTTCTTATGCTCCAGGTGTGCTAACCAAAAAGAAAAAAAAATAAATTAAATAAAATAAAAAAATTATCACATGTGTGTAAAATAGAACATGAGTAAGAAAAAAACCCAAAAAAAAAATAAATAACAAACAAACAAAAAAAAAAAAAAAGATTTTCGACTTGTAAAAGGTAGAAAATAAAATACAGTTGAATCAAACATAAGTTTATCCCTATAACTCTTGTTTTGTGCACGAGAAAAACGCAAAAGATGAAAAAAAATATGAAACAATTTTAAAAGAAGAAAAAGATGGAGAAGTTGGAAATCCCATTTTTAAAACAGTGTGGAATAAAAAAGGTGTTTAAATTTAAAAATAGTCACTTTCTTTCCTGTTATTTCACCAGTAAATGTGTGCAACTGATGTGACAGTTTCTGCGAGGTTGCTTAAGAACGAAAAAAAGGGGTTGTTTTGTATGGGATCTTTTAAGGAGGTTTCAGGTGTGTGACTAATTCCAGGAGCAAATATTTTCCTTCTTATTCTCGTAAAATTTTAGTTTAAATTGTTCCTTTTTATCAAATTTTTTTAATTTAATTTTTTTTTTTTTTTGTTCTATTTTGTTATACTTTTTTTTTTTTTTTTGGGCTCTTTCTGGGTTTCGTTTTTTCTTTGTTAAATTTTTTTTCCGGCAAAATTTCCCTTTTACTGCATAATTTTTTTAATTTTTTATTTTTTCTTCTTAATTTTTTCTTAATTTTTTCTTAATTTCTTGTTTTTTTTTATTTTTTTCTTTATGCCACTTGACAGTTGAGGTACAGCGGGGAAATTAAAAGGAACAAAACAGAAAAAAAAAAAAAAAATTGATGCTCTACGCACGCGATGATCCACGACAGTTGTAAGAACGTAAGGAACTAGTAGATATAGAATGGGGGAAATTGTGTAATTCATATATTTTCCCTAAAAAGGGAAAAATATTTTGAAATTTTTTTTTAGATTTATGTAATATTTTGTTAAAAAGCAAAGAAAGAGAAAATTTCTCACTTTTACGACAACATTTTTTCTTTTTATTTTTCAAAATCATTCGCCCAAATATCATCACGCATGAGGGTTTAAAGTTAAACACGTCCCTCCTCTCCTCTTCGTTCGGGATAGTGCCATTCGTAAAATAAAAGGAAATTAAAATGGGCCAATTTGGCCAAATTGGCCAAATGGACCAAATAGGCTAAATGAGCGAAATGGGTTAAATAAACCATGTGAACAAAAAATTAACCGTGTTTACATAAAATATATATAATAACATTTCCCTCCATTTGGGTCATCCCCTATTTGCTTTATTAGAATTGCGAGAAATTTTCAACACACATCATCTGTGGAAAAGATACACACCTAGGGGTGTGCAAATTCTCTCCACCCACGCTAGCTATTTAAAAAAAAAAAAAAAAAAAAAAAAATCTGACTCGTACATACAAAAAATGCATAAAACTAGCTAATTTATCATAATTTGAGAATAAGAAAAAAAAAAAAATAAATAAAATAATAAAAAATAAAATAAATAGTTCACAAGTTTTACCTTGCTCGAGAATAATTTTTTATTATATGTAAAAATAGCCAAACTTTTCATGATAAGTATAAGGCTAAAGGAAAATGTAAAAATGTTGAAGTGGTAAAAAATGAAACTATTATAGAACTGGCAACTTAAGTTTCCTATTTGCTACCGAGAATTAACAATTTTGTATTATGTTACTAATCTTATAAATTCCGTTATATATTCATGTTTATTTTTGATGCATTGTGTGAATTAGGATTAGAAAAAATAACTTCACTCCTTTTCCTTTTTTTTTTTTTTTTTTTTTAAGAAAACCTTTTTTTAACATTTTATTCTACTGTGAAAGAGATACAAAAGAAAAAATTTATTTACCCGCAGGATTATTACTTATACATCATCCGAGATTTTGAAAAGTAGCAATTGTTTACACATGTGGTTTGGTGCCGCTTCTGTTTTTTTTTTTTTTTTTTTACTGTGTAATACCAATTTTAAAATATGGCCATTTTTTCAAAGTTATTTTCTATCCTTTTCTAAATTCCTTAATTTTGAAATAGTTTGGTAAAAAAGACATAAATATGAATGAAATTATGAGAATATGTGTAGAATGATATATAAAATAAATAACATTTTTTTTTTTTTCAATCTGGGAATATATTTCAAAATAAACAAAACTGGAAAAATTGTGAATTATCAAATCATCGAGGGAACGAATAATCACGTGTGAAGTCACTTGGCTTTATACAATATTGTCTGTCGTAAGAATATACGTAGAAATTTACAAATTTAAAAAAAAAAAAAAAAAAAAACATGTACATAATAAAAATAGTGGCATACAGTGCTCGTGTGCAGCTAATATCATAAGGTTTCTTCCATGTCAATAAAGAGGAGTTATAATGTCCGTATGAATTCAATTTCCATATGGATAAAACACAAGAAAACGAAAGAGAACACATGAATGCAAACATGTAAAAATGTCAAATCATTAATTGCAAATGAAACGAAGAGGAAATCATGTTGTGAAATACTAAAATGCGGGTGATAGGGGCCTGTTAAAGCCACCCCGTCTGTTCATATACTGTCTATATTTCCTTTTTGTTCTTCTATTAATTCCTGATAAATCCGTTTGATTATGACATTTATTATCTGTTGTGCTGAATTCAGTTATACCCATAACTCTTTTTAGCATTTCACTTTCAGATAATTCTTCCTTTTCACTTTCATCTGAGGCGTCACTGTAATTTTTATTTTCATTCTCTCGTAATGCCGTATTACTATTTTTGTCCTTTTCTCTTAAATAAAAATTATCTTCATTACTACTGTTTTTTGTGGATTTATTTTTGCTATCTATATTTCCATATTGGTTAAGTGCATTGTCAAAGTTAGGTTCTCCAGTTTTCATCTGACCATGTGCATATTTTCCATTACTTGTGCCATCGTTGTATATTCCTTCGCTACCTACAGAATCATATTTTCTTCCTCTCTTTTCATGATTTCCATATTCCATAGAACTCCCAATGCTCTTCCTGTCGTATCTTCCACTTGACAACCTCCTTATGCTCCCCTCTCTTTCTCTATGTCTCTTCCTGCTTCGACTTCGATGTCTGTGTCTGTCTCGATCTCTGTGTCTGTGTCTGTCTCGATCCCGATCTTTGTGTCTATGTCTGTGCCTATGTCTATCTCTGCCCCTGTTCTTATCGCTACTCCTATCGCTGCTTCTATCTCTGCTTCTGTCCCTACTTCTGTCCCTACTTCTTTCTCTGCTTCTGTGCTTGTGTCTGTCCCTACTTCTATGTCTTCGTCTGTGTCTACTCCTGCTTCTGCTACTTCCGTCACTACTACCACCCCTTCTTCTAACCTTGCGTCTATGCCCATCTGAAGCCCTTTGCCTTTTCCTATACGAATCTGAACTTTCATCAGTATTCATTATTTCGTTAATACCATCAATAAACATTTTTGACTTGTCGTTTTTCCCTTGGTCTTTTTTCGAGGCGTGCATGTCAAGAAATTTCAAGTCAGTACTATTACGTTGAGCATCAATTGATGTCTGATTTAACATTCCATCGTTTCTATTTTTAAATACATCGGTTAACTCGTTTTGGATATATTCCCTATCAATGCTATTGTCCATTAGGGTTTCATTTTTTCTCCTACCCTTGGTGAATTCATCCTGAATTTCAGATTGTGCTTTATTACCATGATCGTTGTTTATTTCTGTCGAATTTTTTTCATCTGAATTTTCATTTTCTCGATCTACAGTTGAAGGTTCATTTGTTTTGTTTCTACTTTTGAAAAAGGAATTGAACATGATTAGAACATTGTATAGTTTTTCATGCACATCATTTGGTATGCGTTATGATGTTAATTTGGGGAAAACGGAAAAAAAAAAGGGACAAAAGTAAGAAAAAAAAAAAAAAAAAAAAAAAAAAAAACTGCTTTCTTTTTTTCTCTAATTAAAATGCTATTATATTTCCACATACAAATTTTTTTTTTCTTCTTTTCTTTTCTTTTCCTTTCTCTTTTTTTTTTTTTTTTTTTTTTTTTTCTTTTTTATATTTTATTTATCTCCTTTGTACGCCATTCTGTATTCATTAAATTTGCAAACTTGTGACCTTCATTTTGGCATGCTGATGTGCATCTGTTCAACTAGTCAGAACATTTGTTTATGCACAAGTTAATTGGACTTGCATTTAGAGAAGTTCAGAGTGTTTACTTTCTATGATTTTTTGGCCCCTCCAGCGTTGAATGTGATAAATGCTTATGCACGTGTGTTGCATCTAGGTCAATTTGGGTACATATATATATATGTATACTTATACTTTTTTACGGAGCAATTGAACAATAGGCTGATGGCAAAACCACTGAGGCAAAAAAAAAAGAACAGGGTAGGTTTAAGCTTTACTTTTTCTCCTCCTTTAATGCGATAAGAATGAAACAAAAAGAGTTTTCTTATACCCAATTAAACATTATAATAAATATTATATACCTAGAAATTACACTCTTATCAATATTTTGAGAACATGGCGAAAGAAGAACGTAGTAATTTTTTTTTTTTTTTTTTTTTTTTTTTTTTTCTTTTGTGTAAACATCTACATAATGCTGCTTTAGCGTTTTTTTTTTTTTTTTTTTTTTTTTTTTTTCTATGTTAATAACCTTTACAGGATTGAAACGAAATTACAACTGAAAAAAAAATTAAAAACACTTTATACATGATAGGAGATATTAATAATACGATTAAGATTCCTTTAAAATAGTAATATTTTTTTTGTAAAGCCCTTATTATAATTATTCTAACACGTTAAAAAGTATACACATTTGTGCTTATATATATGTGCACTTTTTAACTAATTTTTTGCACCTTTTCCTGCTGAGAATTCATTTGGACGCTTTCTACATCTGGGAGATGTTTTGTATGATCGCGTTAACTGATACAAATTGGAGACATATGAATAAAAGATGCATGTGCATACATTGTTAATGTGGATGTACTAGCATGGAGCGAAGGACAAATATACATCCATTGGTTGCACAAATGGGCGAAGCTGGAAAAACACTTGTTTGGTTTAATTTTTTCTTTTTCCCCGCATCTCTGTTAAACTGCAAATTCGTTTGATAATTTGTTTATAACTGGGTCTGTATATCCCCTTTTTGTTAATCGAGTTGAGGTGCACATATGCAAAAAGTTCCCAGTACATTTATGATCTTTTTATTCATATTCACTTCACTACTTTGAAGGTAACGAATTATATTTTTCCTTATAAGGCTTGTATATATCATGTCACATATACATGTGTACATTTGTATGCAAAAAAACTTCTGTGCATTGACGCTGTTTATGTCAAATCAGTGTTGTAAAAAAAAAAAAAAAAAAAGGAAAAGTATTTAACATGTAACTTTTAATTCTTTTATGGACATGTTAAAATTTAATTTGGCATTATTTTATATTCTTTCTTTGAAATAGCGAATGAGTGGTGGTCATATGTATATATTTGATATCATTTTATTATATTTTATTCTTTTAAACATTCATGTCTGGTAAAGCAGGCACAATCGATTATATATTTGTATAAATGTTATAATAGAGAAGAAGACGCGATGATGTTGTCTCTATGGGTTGATTCATAAGTTGATAATATCCGCCCCCTTGTCATAAGCGTGCAAAATGTTAAGAATATATTATTGATATCAATGTTTTTTTATTTTTTTTTTTTTACCACACTAAGTATCATACAATAATTCAAAAATTTATGCATATGCATATGCATATATGTATGTATGTACATATATTTTTTTTCGGTATGCGTCCATTTTAATGTTCCTCGTAATGGCCCTTGTCGGGATTATTCAACCAACTGTAGTTTGCAAAAAAATGTAACTCGCAGGGGGATGAATCTATATCCCTTTTCGTCTTGCAATTGTTACCACAAGGGTTAAAAAAGAAATGAAAAAAAAAAAAAATTATAAAGTAATATATGTCTTGGTATACAGTTTATAATGGGGAAAAATGTATGATCTGTTCAGAATTTTTTTTGAGAACAATCTTAAAAATGGCTAGTTTGTTCAGGCGAAATATGGTGATAAAAAAAATAAAATAAATAAGTATATAAATAAATAAAACAATAATTGTAGTTCATAACAATAATAATAAAGCAAAAGATCCAAGGATATAAAAAAAAAAAAAAAAAAAAAAAAAAATTACATGGTTGGGGTTTTCTCCATTTATTGTCTTTAACAAATTTGATATATGTCATAATAATAGAATATATTTTATATACCTCTTATATCTTTTTCAAGTCCTTAATGAATAATAAGTACGTAACTATGGTTGCAAGAAGAGCTCAATTTAATCAATAATATACCAAATAGGAGAGGCGAACGAAAAGGGTCATTTAAATTAGGGGTTAATATAATACTTCCCATGTGCCCAAAGGACTTTTAAAATTGTACGTGGGATTTGAGTAAACGCTACTTGCGTGGGAACATATATGCCGAATAAAAAAAATAAAATAAATAAAATTATGCATATATAAGAGTGTGCAAATACGATTATTATGTATTTATATGTATCACATAAGTTTTGTGTATTATATATATATACATATTATGTACTATATATGTATATAAATGCGTGCAGCAACTTGCGCATGCGCACACGAGGGGGGGGGTGGGGGAAAAAAAAAATATATCACATGTATGTACGCACGGTATTTTCCAAATCACAGGAATGTATAGGTACCTACTGCTCCCATGTCGCATAATAAACACATTCACATCGGGAAAAATAAAAAATTAAGGCCTGCAAAATAATTACTTATTCGATATATATACACCTATGCGACGTAATATACATATATATATATATATATATGCCTGAATAGCGTAAAAATTCCATATACTGATATATATACATATATATATGTGTATGTTCATATATTGACAACAAAAAAAAAAAAAAAAAAAAAAAAATATGCATATAATCATTATGCACATGTAGAGATATGTCGGCAGTCCTTTCATATCCCATTCACGCATAAAACGTTTTTGATATGTAAAAGGACATGTTTCATTTACAAAGTTACGTGGGAAAATATATATGCACACAATATGTATATAAAAAAAACTCGTACATGCGAACGTACGTACATTAACATGTACATATATATATACAAACATGCATCCAAGAGTGTTATATATGTGCATCCTTGAGCCCATAAGTCATTACTATATAAGATTTAATAAGCACTAATTTTCCTCCTGTGCTGCAAAATAACAGCATGCATGGGTAAATAAGAAAAAGCTTGCGTTCTCATTAATCTTCACAAATTATCTTTTTCCCTATGTCATGTTAAATTAAATAAAATTAAGTTTAAAATTAATTTGCTTCATTCGCGTCATTTGTTCCTTTATGTTTGTTTAATTCATTTATTTATTTTTTAACCAATAGTGTGTTATATTTATATATATATATATATATATATACATATTATGTATACATTTTCTTCTCTCACATGTTTTAAGAAATTTCCAACAAAAAATTACATATATATTGCAGCATAATAGCCTTAGGCACGCATAAAATAATACTTTTTTATTATATCATCCTATTAATTTTCCTTTTCCATACTACAAATTTTTAAAAAATTCACTTTGTAAATCCAAAAGGCAAAGGAACAAAAATTGTAATAAACATAAATATAGTCCCAAAAGAAAAGGTATAACAAGAAGGGGAATAAATAAACAAATAAAAAAAATTCATTATACAAATTGTTTGCTTGAAGAGCATCCCCCCTGTTATTTATGTTCATTTGCCTTTCCCCTTATTTGTTGTGAAATTTGCTTCCTTCATTATTTTGATTCATTCTTGATGAGCCTTTATATATATATATATATATATGAGTGCCTGACTTCATATGCATAAAAAGTATACCTTGGGAGTATATTTTCTTATGTAAAACCTGTTTCATTATGAATTCCATATGGAAAATTATATACATATATAGTTCATCTATATATACATAGGGATTTACATCACACTCCATATACTGTGATTGTCTTCATTTAGCATGCCCTTTCCTGATTCCCACAATCTGCTTGTGTCCCCCTTGTTACATTTCCAAATAGTCCCCTTTATCCCTTTCTTATGTTTATGTTCGCTTCATTCATCTTCAGTGTTCACTTTGTTTTTATTTTTCCCATGACCACACCTTGCGCCGTTGCTATTACCGCTCTGAATGAATTAATCACAATCGATTTATTCATTACATTAATTTGTCTACTATATCCATTTTTGCTCTTAAATCTGCTCACTTGCTTACAATATGTATATGTCTGGCCTCCATTGTATCCCCTTTTTTCTTTACAACCATACATATTTACAATAAACGTGTTAATAAAAATAATTATATAAAAAAAAAAAAAAAAAAAAACTCATATCTATATATCGTGTGCACTCAAATGGTCTGTCTTTTGTCAAAATGTGCTCCTCATGAACATTTGACATCCCATTTTATCGTTCCAGCTACTCGTAATTCTTCTCAAAAAAGTTTCCATAAATATGCTTTCCCTGTTTACTTTGCTTATATAATATACATATATATATATATATATATACATTATCGTCACTTTGAATTCCCCTTATTTTATTTTATTATTTTTTTTTTTTTTCTCCTTTTTTTCCCACCTTGCTGTTCATACGTTTTACTTAGATTGTGTTATGGGTGTACTTCCATCAATGTTAAATTGAGTTCATAAGATTAAGAAATATTGTTCTCTCAAAAAATATACACATTTCCCATTTTTTTTTTTCTTTTTAAGAAACATAACCTACATACGTGTTGTCACATTTTGTATCACTACAGAATTTGTAGTGCAAAATTTTTCACTTCTCCCTATTGCTTAAGGTGTTTACTGTTCCGTCTTATCACATCTTTTTTTACATGCACGTTCAGGCGAAATAGTATCAATGTTATATACACATGGAATTATGTTTTTTTTCCTTTTTTTAACATGCAACGTTGCGTTAGTTTTATTTTATTTTTTTTTTTTTTATATTTATTCCATGTTATACATATATGTTATATATATATATATTGTATGCATGCAACATTGCGTCAGCTATATTTATTTTTTATATTTTACTCCATGTTAAGCATATATATATATATATATATATATGTACACATGCATTTATGTAAATATATATTTTCCCCCCTTAATTCATTTACTTCCGACAGATAAACAAGATGGCCACCAAAACTCAAAAGAAAGTTATAAAAAAACAAAATAAAAAAAAGAAGAAGGATCCCTTAGCTCCAAAGAGAGCCTTATCAGCCTATATGTTCTATGTTAAAGACAAAAGACTCGAGATAATCAAGGAGAAACCAGAGCTAGCGAAAGATGTTGCACAAGTCGGTAAATTAGTTGGGGAAGCATGGGGAAAGTTAAGCGCAGCTCAGAAAACTCCATATGAAAAAAAAGCGCAATTGGACAAAGTTCGATACTCAAAGGAGATAGAAGAATATAGAAAAAATAAAAAAGACTAAAAACTGTTATGCGAATTGTGACGTTTCTGTATGTTTACATATGTATGTATATATATATATATATATATACATCCATATATACATTCGTATGTGCATTAACATGCAGAACTCGTATATATATGCTTGTGTATATAAGAAAAGGAATTAACTTCTTTTTTCGCAATTAGCGAAAGGTTATGTATGAATATGCACATGAAAGAATGTACACCTACACGTGTTCATAACCACACTTATATCGAAAGGGACAAATTTTTTTTTTCTTTTTACTTTTTATCATTTACTACTACTTCGTGAACAAGAAGCATAATAGAATAATTTTTATTTATGGCTATATATGCATATATATGGGCATATGTATGTACATATATCAATATATATGTGTTATGCATGTATGCGAGAGTATGCAAGTTACAACCCCCACACAAGCGTACAGTCAGACACACATCACATATGCCGTTATGTATGTAAACTACATGCACATGTGTTCAGCGGTACGTATATAAACATTACAATATGTCTATTATTGCTTTTATGAAGTTTTTTTTTTTTTTTTTTTTATACCATAATACACAATTGTAATAATATTCGCAACTCTCTTTTTTTTTTTTTTTTTTTTTATCTTCGTGAATGAAAAAAAAAAAAAAAAAAAAAAAATTAATCCACTAAAAAGTTAAAGCACTAAAAAGTTAATCCACTAAAAGGTTAATCCACTAAAAGGTTAATCCACTAAAAGGTTAAAGCAGTGAAGTTTTTTTTTAAAAGTTACATTAGGACAAGTGAAACCACGCATATAATGCACACAATATAACGGCATTTTTTTCGCAGAAAAGGTTGGTTTTGCTCTTTTTGTAAAAGTTTGTGGATTTATTTGTGTGTTTCAAAGGACAGCCATGATGTGTAAGTAAGCATGTAAAATGCAAGCGGCTTGGGGGACGAGTTATATATGCAAGTGTGTCCCCAAACCTTTACTCCTATGCAACGCTCTTTGGGCCAATAGGCCTAAATGTACATCTTTGTTTATGCGCGCAAGTAAAGGTATTTGCAAAGTTTCACATAATGCACAAAAATGATACAGAAAAGTGTAAAACTGTGCTTAAGGAATAAAACGGTTGCATTAACGGGTAAAGAAAAAATAATGATAAAGTTAAAATGAAAATATTAAAAAAAAAAATAAAATAACGAAATATGTTTCAGTGAAGAAGCAGAAAAATGTGATGCAAAATCAAATCACAAAAAATCTGAATGATATCCGAATATGAACTAAAAAAAACTGAATAAAAACAGAATACGAACTAAATAAAAACTGAATATGAACTAAAACTGAAAAAAAAAAAAAAAAAAAAAAAATTGAAAAATAAGTTTTAGCATAAAAAATAACTTAACATTACGAATAATAAAATGGGGAAGTTAATTGAGCTAACGAATTTAAAAAAAAAAAAAAAAAAAAAAAAAAAAGTTATGAACCTAGTCATTTTTTTTTTTTTTTTTTTTTTTCATATTCTTATGAATGTTAATAATAATTGAAAGCTATAATTTTGATGTTCGCCCATTTCACTTTCCCATCTCAAGTACCTTAGAAAAAAAAAAAAAAAGAAAAACAAGCTGCATTATAAATAGAACTTCCAACAGTTTGCTTGTGAGAGGAGAGTAATAATATATAATTACCTTTGCCTTAACAAATGTATATATATAACACATACGAGCAATTAATGCGTTCATTATTTTCGATATATGTTCACACATGCATACAGAATGTAAACTGTATATATAACATAATTTACATATAACTTATATGTACACCATGAGCAATTCAAACTTTTTCTTCCTCTTTGACGTGTGAAACATTTTCACAACGTTGCAAAAAAAAAAAAAAAAAAAAATATTCACATAGAAATACTCTTTTATGATAAAATAAAACTATTTGTATTTCATTTTGTGAAATGGGAATTTAAAAAAAACAACAACAAAAAAAAAAAAAAAAAATTTGACCAACTTATATAACTTTTCGAGAGTAGAAAACATTGCATATAAAAAGGTAAAGTAACTGCACCGAGTCAGTTATTCGTGAAAACTTAGCTTGTCATATGTAAAATGTATTACACACGATTAAGTAAATTCGCACACGGGTGGTGTGTGTGGCTTAGTGGATTAGCGACTTCTTTTTTTTTTTTTTTTTTTCCATAATACGTATTTATGTTTTTATTCTTTTTTATTATCTTTGATTGTATTTCAGGTTGTTTCACTTCACTGTTTACAATTTTGTATTTTAGTTAACCATTAAGAAGAACCCCTCTCATGGGTAGACTGGAAAAGAATGGCTCCTTGGGTTATATTCTTGTTGTGTAGAATGAAAGAAGATCATAACCAATTCATTTTCGATAAGTACTATACAAAATACTATGCACTCTCGAATATGGCACAATATTTTCTGTTCATTTAAAAATAAGATCGTTTGTAGTTTCTCCTTAAGCAAATGTATCTAAACTCGTCGTACATATTCTTCTTCCTCCACAAGTTTGTAGTGGTGTGTTTTGTATGTGAATACATGTACCAAAAATTGTGTATACAAAATATATTTAAAAAAAAAAAAAAAAAAAAAAAACTTCATTTTTATGAAGTACACACGATTTAATAAAACTTGAGATATTTTATTCTCCAACAGGAAAAAAAAAAAAAAAAACCTAGAAACACGGGGTCATATTCATGTACAAATGTGTAGATGTTAATATATGTATATGTACATATATGAGCGTGTCTGCACTACATGGAAAGCATTCCCAAAAAAAAATTTCCGTATGTTTCTTTTCTATTTGACATAGAGAGGATATTGCTAATGGGCTATTTTACTGTGTTCGAAAAAAAAAAAAAAATGGACGTTTTTCCCCTGTTGGTCTGTCTGGGACTGATTTTCTGTTTTTTTTTTTTTTTTTTTACTTTTTTTTATTTTTATTCCTCGTCCTTTCAATTATAACGTGAGGATAACAAAGTTACGTAGTTTTTTTCTTCATACATATATACATGCAAGTCCAAACAAGCATATGTATAATATACAAGAAGGTTTCAAAAGGTTAATTTTGCTGTAATCATTGGTTGCATGTTCCGTTTAAACTGCGAGTGAAATTTCCTTCGATTCACTTCTTTTCCTTGTTCATCTGTGGAGTGATGGGAAAAAAAAAAAAAGAATAAGTGACAAATGAATACGTAACAAATGAATACGTGACAAATGAATACGTGACAAATGAATACGTGACAAATGAATACGTAACAAATGAATACGTGACAAATGAATACGTAACAAATGAATACGTGACAAATGAATACGTAACAAATGAATACGTGACAAATGAATACGTAACAAATGAATACGTGACAAATGAATATGTAACAAATGAATACGTAACAAATGAATACGTAACAAATGAATACGTAACAAATTTACACACAAAAAGTTCGTGTGTAAGAAGTTCTCGTGTATGTTCGCGCGTGATAAAAGAAAAAAGGACAGGTAAACGTTGCATGCTCTTGTGTGGATATGATACACATGCACTCATATAAAAAGAGGGATAAAAACTTACCATGTCATTTATTCGATAATACATGAAGATGGCCCCGGGCTTGAGAAAAAGTTCGTATGTGGAATATGTTGCTTCTACAGCCATGAAGGTCAATAGGGCTCTTCTTATAAAAGGAAGGCATATGGTTCCACATCCGTAAGACATTTTGACAAAGTTCCTTAATGGAAGTATACAAGTATGCGTATGAGATGGTCAAAGTGCCTTTTCCTATATGTGTATACCGTGTTGTGTGCAGGTGGGAGGGTAAAGCGTCTGTTTCTTTTTTTTTTTTTTTTTTTTTTTGCACTTTTGATACTTGTTGCCAAAAGAGGGTAAGGCAGATAGAGAGTGTGTGTGTGTGTGTGTGTGGTCGTACACTTTAATTGGTCGTTAGGCTTTTTCAGTTTGAATTTCTTATGAACGAAGGGTAAATATATATAAAATTGCGTACAAACTTTGTTAGTCAAACGGGTGGTATTTTCGAATGACTGATTTTTCTTATGATACATATATGCGTAGTTAATTGTCATGTAAAAAATTCTTACGTTATAATTACATGGTTTTTATATACCTGTTAATTTACTTTGGAAAGATGACCTGTTTACAGTTTCTCCCCTCCCCCCAACATATACACTCTATAGATTGCAATATTTAAATTCGTTTATTTGGCCAATTTGATTATCTTGTCAGTTTGGTTATTTCGTCATTCGACTTGTTTGTTTTTCTGATTTCATTATTTTACTCAATTTTACTTTGTGCACATATGTATGCATATGCAAATAAATATATTTTTTTTTTTTTTTTTTTTTTTTTTTTTTACTAATATAGCTATATTAACAGCATTGCCGCAGTGACTATTTTTTTTTTTTTTTTTTTTTTTTTTTTTTTTTTTTTTTTTTTTTTTTTTTTTTCTTTTTCGCTTGTTTTTTTTTTTTTTTTTTTTTTTTTTTTTTTTTTTTTCTGGTACGTTCATGCGCTAGCTCACGAGTTCCAGTTCTTTCACTTTTCGGAATACATGATAAAAAAATGAAGCTTCAAAATTTTTCACCAAATGGAGTATCGACGATTTAGGGGAAGAAACAAAACAGATATATGTACGTATATACGTGCATACATATGTACGAATGCATATGTACAAGTACTATATGTGCACATGTACACATACACATGGATAATGCATACATATCAATATATGATGATCAAAACCCTTTGATTTTCTTTTTTATTTTTTAAAAAAAGCATAATTGGAGTCTGATTTATACAATTTCCTAAATATTTCCCGCTGCTTTCTATTTTAGCATGTTAAGAATGGGGAAGAGAAAATAATTATGAACAGCAAGGTGTGAAACAGATCATCCGATATTTCATCCAATCGGGTTGTTTATTTTTTAAGTTGAATGTACTCGTGTGTGAATTTTCATATCAAAAGAGGATAGTAGGATATAACCCCCCACCACCACCACCCCTCGTGGGAAATGTGGAGAACTCTGTAACCTCACAACACACAAACAGAAACACATTCTACCATGTCATGATGACGAAAAATATGCGATAAATTAGGATAGCATTTAGACCTTTTTGCGACCATATTGAGAATTTTGTTTTTTTTTTTTAAAAACAATTTCTTCACCATCTTAATGTGTGTTTATTAATGTTTATGTATGTTTATGTGTGTTTATTAATGTTTATGTGTGTTTATTAATGTTTATGTATGTTTATGTATGTTTATGTGTGTTTATTAATGTTTATGTATGTTTATGTATGTTTATGTATGTGTGTGGGTATCGTGTGAGTAGCAAACCATTTGAAGGGAAATAGTGGATACCTGTCTGACACATTCTCAGTGGAGAATACAACATATTCACTTTGCAATAAAAATTTCCTTGTACATGAAAGGCAAGGATTAATAATGTTTCTTTTCTTTACAAAAAAATGGGAAGTTTAGGTGCCCCCCAATGCATACCATTTTGGGCGATCTTTTTGGGTAATATTTTTGGGTAATATTTTTGGGTAATATTTTTGGGTAATATTTTTGGTAATATTTTTGGTAATATTTTTGGGTAATATTTTTGGGTAATATTTTTGGTAATATTTTTGGGTAATATTTTTGGGTAATATTTTTGGGTAATATTTTTGGGTAATTTTTTTATATTTTGTCATGGTTTCATCTATTTTGTTGTTACTTCATTTATTTGATTGTTCATTTTTTTTTTTTTTTTTTTTTTTTTTTTTGACTCCCATTTTTTTTAGTTAATATGTTAAAATAGAAAAAGAGTGAAAATGATTTGAAGGCATCCACTGCCATGTGTAGCATATACCATATACACTTATGTACACATTCAGTTCACATTATCAGACTATGAAATAAAAAGGTGACATGATCGGTTGTTCCATTTCTTTTGTTACTCTATCATTTGCACATTCTTTAGTTGCGAAAGTGTGTGCGTTTGTGTATATGTGTGCACCCTTGTCAGTGCAATAGTTGCAAATTTTTTGCAACCATATGTATTTAATTATTTCCATGCTGTTAAAATAGACAAATTCTGGGAGCACCAGGAAAAAGGAAAAAAAAAATAAAAAAATAAAAAAAAAAAAAAATACACATGTATGCCTATCATTTATCACTACTGAATAATTTCTCATCACATGGTAGTCGAACAAAGGGAAAAAAAAAAAAAAAAAAAAAAAAAGTCTGTCTTCTGTGCTATATGCACCTTTGTATAGAGAAAGGTGGAAAACATATATATTCAGAATTGAAAAGAAAAAAAAAAAAAAAGAGTCAAAAGAAAAGGGAAAAGTTTCAATGTATGAATAAATATACCAAAGTTTGCATATACATATGTGTATATGCGAATGAATAGCTACATAAGCATACATATTATATATACAAATGAACCAGTTCCACCTACAATTGTTCTTTAAACATATCACATAAACTGTCCTATCAATTTTATAAAAAGCTAAGTAATCATAAATCTGGCATATATATGCACATTCAGGTGTGCATATAATATCACGTGTAATCGTATGCACACTGAGCTAGCCAATATTTTACTTGCATGCCCATCATGCTGAAGTATATTTTTTTGTTCTTTTATGCAATTTTTGCATACGCCCCCTTGGAGGTAGAAAGTAAGCGATTAGATTACACGTCGTGTGGTTTGTCGTGGTGTGACATGGTGTTGTGTCTCTTAGGCTTCATATACACATGTGTAACTACTTAGATGCTCAGATTCTTTTTTGCAAAAAAAAAAAAAAAAAAAAAAAAAAAAAAAAAGTCTTAACAACGATGCATTTTCACAACACACATACATACCTACCTACATATATATACATGTATATACATTTATCGAATCGAGAAATGCCAATTCTATTCCGTGTTGCCAAATCAGAAATAAGGAAAAATAGCTGCCCAAATAATCATGCTAATGTGTCTCCATGTTTCTATCCATTTTTCATGAATATTTTCTAAGACTTTTCTCCCTCATTCTGACATATTTTGGTCATATGAAAAAAAACTGCTTTTAAAATCACATGCGTTATAAACACATATATAATTTTTCCTTCTTTTAATTTCCCTTTTCAGGTAAATTTTTCGAGAATCTTACCAGGCCAAAATTGAAAATTGGGAAACATCCGATAAAAAATAATTTAAAAAATGGAAAGAGCAACATAAGTAAGTTGTGTGCATGCGTAGGGAAGACAAACCGGTGTCACTTTCCCCATGTCTATTCAGTAGTGTCCTCTCAGTAGTGGCATTTCAGCAATCTACGCGATTCCCTTCTTTGCAGGCCTTGACAACATAGAGAAAAACATAATGAAAAATGTGGATTCAATCAATGTCATGTTCGACCCCAAGTATAAGAAATTCGTCCCATCCAAATCCACGAAGGCACATATAGTTGGTACGTTCAAAATGAAACAGACAAAAAAGGCAAATGTTGCCGACGCGGGCACGGACACCACACATGTGTGTAAAAATAAATTTATCATGTTGCATCTCTATTACTGTTTTGTTGAAAACTTCAAGTTTTTGAACTCTATCATAAGGTGATATTAAATGGGAATTGTATTAACACACACCCTTTTTTTATTTCTTCCCTTTTCAGGAGGTTTCAGTCAAAATACGTCTGACCCGTCAGGTAAGCAAAAAATAAAAAAAATAAAAATAAAAATAAAAAAGACTTAAACTAACGAAATATCCAAAATAGCAAAGTCAGACAAATGAATAAAGAAAACCATCAAGATGCAATTCAACCTATGCATATTTAAATCAAATGTGAAACCATTTCTCTCACTTGGGGTTTTATTTCTTTTTTTTTACCACCCTAACGACTTACACATGCACCCTGAATCACCACAGATGTTGAGAGAAGCAAATACGAAAAAGGTAAAACCAGATAGAAGCGGGAAAAGAATGAAACATAGAAGAAAAAAAATAAAATAATAATAAAAAAAAAAAAAAAAATATATATAAATAAACAAAACGGAGAGAAGCGAAACAGTACGCAGTGAAAAATGCATCACTTCAATCTGTAACATCCCACAAACTTAGCACAAACGTGTGCAAAAACAGAAGCAGAAGCAGATGCTTTTTTTGCATCTGTGTACATGCAAATCAAATACATCTTCCATGGATACATATACATTAATTGATATCTCCTCACGACACAACTTTCCACACGTAGCACTTCGATTTCTGGAAAAATTAAACAGTGAAATGAAAGTGTATTCAACAAAAATTATAAGAGAATTAGGAATGCAAGAGCACAGCACTTTAAGAAATTTTCGAAGAGCCTCAGATTTACTGAAGGAAAGTTTAGTTACTATGCACGCACTTGATGTTATAAAGAATGACAAAACTGTGGATTTTTCTAGTAAGTCATAGATTTCTGGTAGACAGAAAAGAAAAAAAAAGAGGTGATGTTTTGGTGACGTGGTGGAGAAGTGGAGGAGAAGTGGAGGTGAACTAGTGAAGAACTGGTGAAGAACTGGTGAAGAACTGGTGAAGAACTGGTGAAGAAGCATAAAGAAGCATTTCTGGAAGCGTTATAATCACAGGCCACCCAAAACCATCACCTCAAGCATACGTGTAGTCTACTTAATGTAAAGACAAATGTTCACATATTTCTGCACACGTCTGCGAGCCGAAATTTATAGAATGTATATGTATACATATATATTACCCCTCCTTAGAGTACAACCTCGAATGGTATGCCAAGGCATCCCTGCAGGAGAAGTACAAGACAGAAAAATGTAATCAAGAAGAACAAAATATATATATATATATACATACATATGTATGTACACTTCTGCATACACATGGATATGTATAATATAAGAAGCAAGATCCCTAATATGTTGTATGACACACCATGCAATGTGTGCCAAATGATGAGTCGAATTTTCCTGCACACGTCGTTCAATTATTTCTAAACCCCATGCCTTCAGACATCCAGAGAATTATGAATAAGATCTTTAAGACCACCTCGAAGAAGAAAAAAAATATAGAAAAGAAGAAAATAGGTACTTGATATATTTATTTTTATATATGTGTTTTTATTTTTGTCAATTGATTATTCGGTTATTTTTCTACATATTCACCTTGCAAGTCATATTATTTCATGAAATATATAACCACGCTTCTTTTACCCTATTAACAGATGAAAATATAGAACAACTGGAAAATGATCTATTAATGCAAAGATTCGTGAGCGAAAGCATGAACGGTATGTGCATCCAGGAAATTGCACAATCGGCAAAAGTGAAAGAAAAAAAAAAAAAAAAAAAAAAAAAAAAAAGCGCGATAATCTATGAGTGTATGTTGGGACTCCATATTAGGACTACATGCACTGATAGCAAAATGTAACTTTTTTTTTTTTTTTTTTTTTTTCCAACTCATATTCTCCTATCAGTGAGCAAATTACTAAAGGAACATGAAGGAACATCACCCAATTATATGTCTCCCTTACACTCGGATGTCTGTGGTCAATTAGGTTTGTAGGAATGTGGGAACTGAACATAGAAAGAACAACCTGATTGGTTATTCTCACCTTAACATGATCACAATGCATGGCATACCATTTGGTCAAGAAGAAGAAAAAAAATCATTGCAGCATCAGTCGACCCAATACTTCTTCCATTTATGTGTCTACTGTTACTACTACCAATGTTGATACTATTATTTCTATTTCTATTCCTATTATTTTTTCTTTTTTCAGGAAGCATATTCCTAAGTTTCATGTTTGAAAAGTCGTTCAAGAGCTCCATAAACAAAGAAATACCCTACTTCAAGAAGTATCTACCACGCCTCAAATACAGAATTCAAAATATGGTTCACAATGGTACGTTCATATTTTCCACCTTTTCCTCTTTCCATACATATATGAATATTTTCCAAGCGTGGAAAAGAAAAAAAAAAATATATATTATTTATTTCCCTGTGCATACACATAAAAGATAATCAAAATTCATGCGCTCTGCATTTCATGCAGCATAGAGTTCACCAAGTCTACGCTTCATTTGCATAAGCTTTACATGAAGAAAAAAAAAGAAAAATAAAAGTTGCTAGCTGAAAAAGAAATGTTATTTCCTTTTTTTTTTTTTTTTTTTTTTTTTTTTCATATCTCAGGAACGCTCATTCTGGTCGAGAAAGGTCTTGATGATGCACTATATACCTTCAAGCTCAAAGTTGCAGAGATTATGGAAAAAAGTAAGTAGACAAATTTGAACATTGAGAAAAATAGAATAAAATAGAAAAAAAAAGGAAAAAGACAGAAATGATGGATGTGAGAACTATAAAATGGAAAAGGGTGAATAACTGGAGAGCTCCAATTTTTACAACGTGCGACCTTCGTCATGAAAAAAAAAAAAAAAAAAAAAAAAAAAAAAAAAAAAAAAAAAACATGTACGCACAACTTCTTGTCTCCATTGCAGAATTCGGGTTCGTGGACATGTGTTCGGGAAAATGCATAGCTGAAACCATTAACGCTAATTATGATTTAGAAGATTACAAGAACGAGTTTAAGCCTACCAACACAGCTCAAAGGAGAGCGGACAGTAAGAAGCGGACTTAGAGATCCGACTTTTCAATAGCGTTCTTCTTCCTGCATTCGTAAAATATAATGATAGACATGGTGAAATTTTTTCTGTATGTGACACCTTTTTTACATACATTCGGGCTTATACATCTCCCCATCATCTCCTTTTCCTATCACAGTGCTTAAGATGCTGATGTACTACTATAGACACAATCTGAACAACATTGAAACGACAGCAGATTTCATCCTTATTATGTTACTTTATTTGAATTCGGCTACTGAACACACTGAAAAGGGGTTCATAGATGTGAGTTCAATCGGGACCAACGATAAGTTCAACTTACTTAACACGACCATTGATAAGAGGAAGAAGGTACGCGCGTTTGCATGTCACTTGTGGTGAAATTCTAGAAATTTTTGCATACGTATTTTTGCTCGAGGGAGGGGGCCCAAGCGTGTCCACAGCTACTGCACCTCCTTCCCCTACCTCTACTTCTAACAAAGCCACCACTTCTAACAAAGCCACCACTTCTAACACTTCTAACACCTCCACCACTTCTAACACTTCTAACACCTCCACCACTTCTAACACTTCTAACACCTCCACCACTTCTAACTCCATCTGTGTGGTCTTGACTGTGCTTGTGCAGGGGCCCCTCCCAGAACCATCAGCATCGATACAAACTATCCTGGTCCAACCCACAAACACATCATGCAGGTAAAGAAGAATAAAAAAAAAAGCTTTTTGAAGATAGCCCCATTCAATTTTTTCCGTGAAGAAGCAGATGAAAAATATGGAAACGAATCCATATTTGCAATTGATGATATTATCAAAACATGCTTACTGACAAAAAAATCTGAACATTTTAATTCTCTATATGAAACGACAAAAGATTTATGGAATAATATTCAGAGTATTTATTCAGCATCATACGGATTTGTTGTGTCTAAGAAACTGAAAACGAAAAGTTTTGTAACATCTAGGATTAGGAATGTTGGTTTCATTTTCAACTGGTTCAATTATAACAAGAATATCACTCCTCATGTGAATTTCCTGGTGCACAATTTCTCTCCCTTAATTTCCGTTAGTCTTCAACTTAGTAAGTTCAGGAGGGAAATCCGTGCCTGAATATGTACGAGCATACTTTTCAGCTTCTGACACTTGCTCATTTGGAACCATGCGTTCATAGTTTTTGCTTCTCCACTTGTTCACTTTGTCACCTTTCCACTTGTTCACTTTTTCACCTCTCCACTTCTTCACTTTTTCACCTCTCCACTTCTTCACTTTTTCACCTCTCCACTTCTTCACTTTTTCACCTCTCCACTTCTTCACTTTTTATTTATTTTTTCAACACCGTGTTGCAGCCTTTTTCATAAGCACCATGATCGAACAGTATGAGTCGACTTTTCTGAGCAACTTCTCTGCAGCCTTGAAAAAAATATTCACTCTCGGTGCAAGTTCAGCGCACCCAAAGAATTATGCAGATTTAGTGAATTTTTCAGAAATGGATTATTTATTGCGATATTCTAAAGCAGATAAGACACAAAGGATAATAACCCAAACTGTGAAAATGTTGAAAAAGAAATTTCTGTCTTTGCCATATACACCTACTCTTCTAGCACAGTATATTTCTCTTTTCCTTTCCTTATGGGTATTCGAAAATGAAAAAAACATTACTCTAGACAATCCAAATGTCAGTAGATTTAAGAAGTTGTTTTTCCTTTCTTATTTTGTTCACAGTAAGGAAGCTATTAATTAGAAACCCCATTAGTTTTTTTTTTTTTTTTTTTTCCTCCTCGAGAACTCTTGCATGTGTTCATTTTGAGTGTGTATTTTTTTTTTTTTTTTTTTTTTTTTCCCTGCTTATCCATTGTTAAGATGCCAAATGAATCGTTTATTTGTCTAATCAATATGATTCATTAAGTGGTTTCAAAAATGGAAAATATCATTTAATCTAATTTTGATTTCTTCATTTTATACACTGTATTCTTTATTCTCTCCACAATTTTGTAGACTCTGGACCAGTGGAAAAAGCAGTTGAAATTATCTATGACAGATGTAGAGGCAAAACGGACAAAATTGTTTTAGGTTGTATATATGACTATGGAGGTGCAAAAGAAAAGAAAATATTAGGGTTTATAAGTAAGAAATGTAAACCTACAAGAATACCTATAAGAAAAAGAAATATTAGAAAAATTCTAAAAACAGTTATGTCCTCTTTGGCTGATCCTCTGGATATTTTAAAAATCGCTGTCGACACGGCCACCAGATGTGATCATTTCGGACGTAGTTCTTCTATGGATAAGAATAAAAAGAGCAAAAACAAAATAAATTATGACCTTTTTGTGAAGTCAGAGTTGTCTCTCCGTTACATTTGTGCCGATGTCACAAGTAAGTTTCACCCATGAATTATGTTCCCTGCGCGTTTAAATGGGTTCAAGTGGGCTGAAGTAGGCTGAAGTGGGTTCAAGTGGGCTCAAGTGGGTTCAAGTGGGCTCAAGTAGACATCCCTGAATGGACCCCCCCGAATGGACCCCCCCGAATGACATATACGTCCATTTACCCATCCACCTACCCCCCTCCCCGTAGGAAAACTTGTAAAAAATACTATAAGAGACGTTTCAAGACTTAAAAATATCAGTGAGGCCCAAAGTATAATAGATCGCTCATTCAACAGTGTGCAATATCTGAAAATAAGAAATTATAGAGACAAGGAAAGTAGCATCAGTATTTTCTGTCCTTTTATGGAAGAAAATGATAAGCATATAAAGGATTTGGAAAGGAGTCAAATTTCGACCTTCGTCCACAGTAAGAGAACAGGAGAAAAAAAAAAAAAAAAAAAAAAAGAAGGAATACTTGATATATGTTAATGTGTATCATTGAAAGTGTATAACAGAAATGAGAACATAATAAATATGTCATCTATTGCACCTAATTTTCATCATATTCATGTATATATCAGAAGATGAAAAAAAAAAAAAATGTGTATTATGCTTTCTGATATGTAAAACGCAAGTCTAAATATGCACTTTCTCACAAATTCTCTTTCTCAGAAAATGTGGGATTGTTGAAAATTCTCAAAGGAAAAATTATCAATTTGTTCAAGAAATCAATTAACATTCGTGAAGGTAAGTTTCAAGACGTTTGTGCAGGAAAATACATGTGTCTATGCGTTTGTAGAACATAGCAAATATAAACACGCATATATGTGTGTACATGTATATACATATGTGTATTTGATATCCATTTGTATGAGCAAAAATACTGGCAGATGATTGTTTAAATCTTGGTAAATATATACATATATATGCAGTTTCATACCATTGCAAAAGTATAAATTATTACTCACCCCTACACCACTTCTTTCTTCCGTTATTCAACCTGCAGGAATTAAAACAGATAGTCCCATTTCCATAAAAGTTGGAAGTAATTTTTCCAAAAGGGAAAAAATGAACACATGCACAGTTAGATTTTTTTGTATACCATACTAATATCTTTTTTTTTTTTTTTTTTTTTTTTTTTTTTTTTTTTTTTCCCCTCTCCCATCGTCTCCCCTACGTTTAGCTCGAAAATTCAATGGATTTCTATTCACAGGAGGTAATACAATAGTGGACATATTTGGGAAACCGTTTAAGTTTGCATAGAGACATATAGACGCATAAACATAGAGACATATAGACACATAAACATATATACATCTTTTTTCCATTTTGTCATTTAATCGTTTTTTCCATATTTTTTTCTTTTCATTTCACTGCTCTGCAGGATACCATCTAAATATGGATAATTTTGAACGTATGGACAAAACATAACAATTTTGGAATTTCGTTAAATGAATCATTGTACTTGTGTGTAAAATTTAGGTGTGGATTTACCTGCACATGTTCATATTTTTTTTTTTTTTTTTTTTTTTTTTTTTACCCTTCTGTATCGCCCTCTATTCGAAGAAAATACACTTCATATTGGATTATCAAAATCAAGTAATTTTAAGGACACACATGAATATAATTTCCCTGCGTTGATAAATTTTTTACAACAGAACATTTTTCTTTTCACTCCTTGTTCCCTTATGCACAATAAATACACACGCATGTGTACGCGTGCACATGTATATATACATGGACATGTACATATGCGTGGATTTTGTTTTTTAAACGTCCGTAGGGAAAGTATATGATGGAGAACGATTTGTAGACGAGTTAGAGATACTGAAAATAGATGGTACGTATTTATTTCTTAGTGCAAAAAATCGATGGGATTGCCTTAATACAACAACACACGTTTTTCATTCGTTTTGCATACATAATGCGTTCATGTTATGCTTATGTTTGCGTTCATTTTTCTTCTTTTTTTTTGTTCACTCTGTCAGGCGTGAAGAAGATCGAAATGAAGGGAGTTGATGAAGACAATGAAAGTAATTGGGCGAATGCTGTCCTTTTTGACATAAACCATGAATGAGTCCCCTATTTGTGCATTTGCTCATTTGTTGATTTGCACACTTGCCCATTTGCTGATTTGTTCATTTGCTGATTTGCTGATTTGCTCATTTGCTCATTTTTTCCTCGTCTTGTAGGATTTTACGTGCTCGAGAATAACTCTAAAGTTTCCGAATTTGAATATGCCATCTTATATCCAAGCGGTAACCTTCCAACAATGCATATGTACTTTCGCAGAATTTTTTGACCAAACCCGGATGAGCTTTTTTTTTTTTTCTTTCCTGCAAATTTGCTGACACATGCGCATGTCTATAATTATATATATGCTGCTTATGTGTGTACATTTTTATTCTTTCGCTTTTTTTTTTTTTTTTTTTTTTTTCTTTCCGCAGCTAACATAATAATTTTCGATGGAAATAATTATATCTCTTCTTCCGCCCTTCGAAGCATGGGCCTGGAATATGAAAGTATAACATTCTACGAGAGTATTTTACTATTTAAGCCGTTTCAAAGGATTATATTTTCGCTATTGGTGTTTTTTTTTTTTTTTTTTTTACATTTTGTTTTTATTTTATTTTCCCGGTTGCTAACATTTCCCTGTTTTACATGATTATTCTCTTATTTCTCAATTATAGGAATTGTATGGGCAGGACATGCAGTGGGATGGACTGCAGAATTTGCCTTGGCCACCGTTTCAGAAAATCCACGTAAGATATATCGGACACTGTGATTAAATAAAACGTGAATAATGTACAGAGTGCACAAATTATAAAAACAATCATCAATCAATTCGCACTTTTAAAAAAAAAAATTTTTATTATTTTATTATTTTATTTTATTTTTTTTTTTTTTGGCAGTCCCCATTTTTGATGGGCATGCATGGGTACTTCTTGACAAATTAAGCGTCAAAAGTATTTTAGGTAAGAAAGGAAGCTCAGTTTACGAAAACTTTCGTTTTCATGTTCTCATTTTTGCATTCCCGTTGCTCATTCCATATTATATTTTTCTTCTTTCCTGCGGAACACATGTGCAACATGTACCACATGTATGTTTTATTTTGTCAGGCGAGTTCTTACCGAGGGATGTGCGTGGAAGTCTACTAGCCAGTACCGTCAATTTTGTTATTTTAAACAAGGATGGAAAACAGATACTGAAAAATACAACACGTAAGGAAGGAGGAAATATGCCATCTTTTGAGTGCCTCCTTCAATAAGCACAAAGTTGTGTTGTAACACAGTTGAGCTGTAAGACATGTAAACACACCTGGCTTTTTCCCCCTTCATAGCGGTTGTGAGTCTAAAGCACGCCACATTCACACTGAGTGGTATATTAAATTTCGTCATAAAGGCTGAAAAGGGAAAAGGAAATGAAATAATTGTTCACACGAGAATACCTTAAGGAGAAGAAAGTTTTTATTCCCCTTGATCTCAAGAATCCCACTATTTATGTATGTGTGATATATGTACTGTGCATGTATGCACAGAAGGGACATATATATATCCACAATTGATGATGGGAAAAAGTGTTTTACGTCCCAGCTACTAGACCATGAAATTCGAAAGAGACATAAGATTATTTTATCTATTTTTCGCAATTTACACTTGATAGAAACATTTGCCATATGTCCATGTAATAACATTCACACATATGCATATTGGTATTGTTAGTGTATATATGTAAACAGTTCTATGAACATGGGCACACGTTCAGACATTAGCCGAAGGTTTTATATCGTACTATCGTGGATCTGCTCTGCAGCGCATTTTTATTTTCCCATTTCTTCGTTTATTTTATTTTCCCGTTTCTTCGTTTATTTTATTTTCCCCCTTTTTTCTACATTTTCACCTTTTTCTTATTATTTTTTAATTTTTAGTTTTTGAACTTTGTTAGGGGATATATATTATCCCACTATTTTTTTTTTTTTTTAACCTCTCCCCTATAGTATCGCATTTTTGTTTGCTCATTCATTTTAATATTCTTTTTTTGTTTCTTTTTTTGTTTCTTTTTTTGCGTAAAGTATGTTCCTTATTTAATTTTTTGCGCAATTGGCATTTTTTTTTTTTTTTTTTTTTTTTTTTTTTACGTAAACATAACCTAACCCTCTGCCACTATCCGTCTTATTCGTTATAAAGCTACTTTTAATTTGCCCTACTTCTCCTATCACTACTTCTTTTACTTATCCTAGTTTTGTTTTTTCTGATCAAATTGATAAAAATGAAATTTCCCTTGTTTTATATCTTTTTCAGTTATGCGAATGTACATAAACATTTATTATATGTGTACACATACGTAAACTGGTTTATGTCATAGGAATTTTTATGAACACTCCAGAACAGAACAATTTGTGTTTTAAGTCTACCCTTTTTTGCTTTGTGTGTTGTAATTAGTTGTATAAGAACAGAAAAAGGAGAATTTACGACATCACATGCATGTTAGTTGGATTCCACATATCATTATATATACATGTGTACACTTACCTTTTTTTTTTTTTTTTTTAAGCATTGCATACACATATATTTATACTTATTTTATTCCGTATAACTTTTTTTATCTTATGCACTGTTCATAATTTTTTTTTTTTAAAGTCACTTGATGCATTTTTTTTTTTTTTTTTTCCCCCACATGTAATTATATTTAGCTAGCTCGTGCTACATTTTTTTGGTTTTATTTTATGAACAGTTCATAATTTATTTCATTTAGACATCGGCACTCCGAAGTGTATTGCACATTGAATTTTATTATTATTTTTTTTTTTTTTTTTCCACTTGTACTATGCTTTTATGTGCACATTTGGAAAACATGAAAAAAAAAAAATAAATAAAATAATAACACAGAATGAAGTACAAAAATATTGATAAAGTATAAAAAAAACGAGTAAAGTACAAAAAAACTGATAAAGTACAAAAAAACTGAGTAACGTACTACAAAACTGAGTAACGTACTACAAAACTGAGTAACGTACTACAAAACTGAGTAACGTACTACAAAACTGAGTAACGTACTACAAAACTGAGTAACGTACTACAAAACTGAGTAAAGCACTACAAAACTGAGTAAAGCACTACAAAGCAAAATAATCAGCAGGTTCAAAAAATTGCAAAATGTGCAACATGTATTAATTTTGTGAAAAGAGTTGTAAATCGCTTTTATCTACGCATGAATGAATGGGAACCATTCGGCCTGATTGTTTCCAACTTTGGTGACATACGCATGGACAAGTGCATGTGTATGTAGAACTGGCATGAAAAAGTGCTTTTATTTTATTATTATTTATTTATTTATTTTATTTTATGTTTTATCGTCTACCCGTCTATCCGTCTATCCTTCTATTCTTCCATTCTTCCATTCTTCCATTCTTCCATTCTTCCATTCTTCTATTCTTCTATTTTGTTATTTATGTTTCTTTCTCATTTACACTTTTTCACCCTCCTTGGTTGCGCTTAATTGTGAATTTCGCAAAGCCATCCCTTCCCTACGTGCTGGAATAGTCTATATTTCCCTTCCTCTTCAGACATTTCGCTTGTCAGAAGAACAGTGTTTCATTTGTGAAATTTTTTCTAATTTTGTCTTTTTTTTAACCCCCCACACCCCCGCTCCAGCTGTTCGAAAAACTAAGCACTTGGGAAAAAAAGACAAAATCAGAACGAAGGAAAGGTAAGCTGCAAAAACAAACCTATATGGCATCTGTGTGTACATGTTATCAAGCCGCGTGCTACCCAAAATGAGCGCGAAATTACCAGAACAGATTAATAAAAAGGGATGGCCTCTTCCCAAATCGACTAAACAATTTGTAAAACCTCCCATTCTTCTGAAAAGTAAAGGGAACTTACCAGGTATAAAACGTGTTCATAAATATGGATTAATCTGGTGCAGATAACATTGATCCAGAACCTCTTTTTTTTTTTTCATCCTTTTTCTTGCTTTTTTCAATAAATTGTGTCCATGAGAGTGCATTCCTTGTGTTGAATAATCCTGTTTGTTTCCGTTTGGGAAGCGCATTTATTTTGTTACATCTATTATCGTTACACATTTCATTTTAACGCATCGAAGGGGTGTTGCAAAAGAACAAAAGCGAGGAAAGGGCAGACAGTGATAAGAACAGCGAGTCCAATCTAGCCATTCCCCAAATGAAATCTGCAGAACCCAAAATTAAGGGGATGAAACCAAAAATAAAAATACCGGAGTCGAAGTTTAACTCATTCGGAGGGAAAGTACTAAAGGAACTACCTCCACTGAAAATTAAACCTCTGAGTCCTAAAATGAAATCGATGGGAGGGAAAGAATTGGTACATGAAAAAACAGAATCAAAAGGGGTAGAACCCAAACTGAAAGCTATAAAATCTCTTAAAGGGATAAAATTTGCAAAAGGGATGAAAGTACCAAAACCGAACATAAAAATACCCGAAACGAAATTGAAAAGCATGGGAATAAAGGAAAGGATAGAAGTAAAAGAGACACAAGAACAGAAATCTAAAAGGGAATCAGTACGAGAACCATCTTTGTATACATCAAATGGAAGTATGCAAATGGTTACTTTACAAAAAACTGAATCGAAGGATGTCTTTTCTCTAAGAGGGGGAGGACAAGACGAATTGAAGAGAAAACATTCATTATTAAATAAAAGTAAATATTTTGAAAAAATTAGCATCCTTGATAAATTAAAAAACCAATCAGTAAAACCAAAAGGTATAGGATCAGAAACAAATTCATTGCCTTCTCTACCTGGAAATTGGAAACTCTCCTCTGCTCCCCTTGGGAAGGAAAAGGTAAAACATTTCTCTTCTCCAAATAGTACAGTAGAAAAATATGGAGTGATAAAAACGAACGGTATATCCATATCAACTGAATTGACTAAAAGTGTAGTAAGCACGAAGAAGGAAATTTTGAAAAAGGGCATTTCCAAAAAAATGCCTCCCTCCCTTAATAACAGTGTTGTGAGAGGAAAAGAAAATAACGTGAAGGCAACAATAAATATACAAAGTCGGAAGGAAGAAGAGGACGAAAATGGGGAAGCAAAAAGGGAAGCGAAAGGGGAAGCAAAAAGGGAAGCGAAAGGGGAAGCAAAAAGGGAAGAAAAAGAGGAAACAAAAAGCAATAACATAATGGTTGGTGTACCAGATAGAAGTAACAGAGAAATGGTGGGTCCTTTATCCACTTTTATAAAAAGTAGCATAGTTAAAAATATGAATTATATAAATGCATTTTCCAGATGTAGTGGTAATTACATGGGGAAAGTTACAGGACCTGCAAATCCTATAGGAAATTTTGATAAAAAGCCACAACATCAAGGTGGAAAAAAGAATAATGAATACAATATACAACAATGTTTACATAACGGAGGAATGAATTCCAATGTAACATTGTCTCCATCAGTACCATTTAATGAATGTCCTTACATGTCAAATTATTCACCATATTACAGTTTTCATAATAGCATTTTTCAAAGCGCAACTGAAAAGGGAAGACCAATTTGTTTCCCACCTGGATGGTATTACTTGCCTATGTGTGAACACATCGATCCGTATGGAAAGATCGATCCGTTTGGAAACATCGACAAGCGTGGGCACAACTGCTCTGCATTTTTGAACCCCACAAAGGGATTGAAATTTATGGGTCAAGGGAACCAGCTGAGTGAAGAAATTACCACGAATGAGAGAAAAGTTAGAGGAAAAGGTAAAAAGGAAGAAATGGTAATGTCGAAGGGGGCAGATAAAGGAAAAATGAGTAGAGAGGAGGGGAGAAATGGAAAAGACATAATGGTAGGTGCTGGATATCTAAAACCTCTACAATTTAGAAACGGAGTTGAATGGACAAGTGAAGATGAAAAATATTTAAATGCAGATGTAAGTATGGAAGAGGAGAGACGGAAAAGGAAAAAGGAGAAGCAGGAGAAGCAGAAGGAGAGGACTGATAAATGTGGAAGTAAATACATTGGTGACACAAGGTGGTATGAGATTGAACAAAAGTTGAACAACTGCAGAGGGGTAGTGGTTGTGGATGAGGAAAGAACAGAATGTAGTGAGTCTCACCATAATATTAGAAGCGAAGATAGTGGAAACGAAGATGATAATGAGGAAGATACCTGGGGAAACTACATAGATGAAAGTGACGATGGGCAGATGTATGAATATAAGAGGGAAAGTGATTATGCAAGAGGTCCAATGTGTAAGGATCTGTGCTCAGAGAAACATATAGATGATAACTATGAGGAAGAGACAAAACACATAGATGAAGAAGCACGAAATGAATTCGATTATTATGATGATACTGAATGTGATGAGAGTGAAGGAGAGTGTATGACAAATAGGAGAAAACACATACTTGGAAAGATTAAATCAAAGGGGAAGAAAGAATTCAAAATGGAAAGAAAAAAAAGGGAAAATACACAAAACAGGTTAGAAGATAAGTACAATTTCGATTTTGACAATATATACAAGAATTACAAAATAGAATATTTAAAAGAAAGGTTGAAGTGGGCAAATGAATATTTACAAAAGCAAGAGAAAGCAGAAAATGGTAGTAATTGTAATGGGAATAAGAAGAAAAAGCATATGGAACGTCTAGATGATATTGCACATTTATTTTTACCAAAAAAGAAAAAACATGAAAACCTTTTTGATTTATCAATGAACTTTTGTAAAATTTCAGATAACGATAAAAATGACATAATAAATATGCTATTCTCATGTAGAGAATTGGAAAAATTAATTGAAGAACAACATTGTGTTTTGGATATGTTAGATAATGATTTGCGTCAAGTTAATGCATCCCTAAAATTACCAAGTACATGGAATAATTTCAATAACTTTGAAATATTACAAGAAGCTATATTAAATGCAGATGAAAATGAGCCATTGCCTCTAAACAATACGCCTCTTTTCATAAAAGGAAAAGTTGCTTTAATTCCTAAAAATTTAGACACCTTTTTTGACAAACCTGTTAATCTTCTAAAACAAGATGAAGAGAAAATAACTGATGATGTATCATCACATAATGTCTATTCGAAGCCAGTAGATACACCAACCAATCTTAAGTACATGCCAAAATTTGCAAAGGCTACTGTAAAACCGAAGGTATCCCTACTGTTGAAGGGTGGGATAACCACTTCTGATAAGAAGTAGAAAAGGTTGTAACACGTTTACAAAAAAGAGGAAAAAAAAAAAAAAAAAAAAAAAAAAAATCAAATATAGAGGGGAAATTATAACCATGCACGGTGTGTGTCTCCTCCTCCTCCTTTTTTTTTTTTTTTTTTTTTTTTTTTTTTTTTTTTTTTTTTTTTACAGTTTGGAAATGCCTTTTACGAGTGTAACATCGTTCATGTTGGTGCGCTCGGAGGTGTTTGCATTTTGTTAGATGGAAGAAAAAATGAAGACATGAAGATATGAAGAAATGAAGAAATGATGAAAAAACGCAATCGCTCTGATAATCATTTATTATTTGGTACATACACACGCGTGTGCAAAATGTGTAAATAAATTTTTAAACCCTCGTCATCACAGTTCGGGTCCATGCATGCTTTGATCTGCATCATAACGTGGGTAGCAATTTTTTTTTTTTTTTTTTTTTTTTTTTTTTTACACTTTTTCATGTTTGCAGTTAAAACTTGGGATAGTAATAGCTTTTCCCTACATACCTGTTTGTGTGAAAAAAAATAAAAAAATAAAATAAAATAAATAACAAAACGAAACAGTTAAAAATGTGTGCAGCCAGGTGAAAACGGGTTGTACTAGGTTGTGTTGAAATGAGATTTGTACAAGTGTATATGAATGTGTGTATGTGTGTGTTTACATTTTTTTCTCGAGGGATGATAGAACAGACGCGTGAGTACAAAACAGGTTACACGTTTGTTTTGTGGTTTGACTTAACTCTCCAAGGGACCTTTCGATCTTCACTTCAAGCGGCATTTACATTTTCTCACACACTTCCTGTTTCTAGCAAGGTCTTTTTTCTTCCTTTCCAGATCTCATCCTGGGGGCCATTTCATTTGTCTCTTCGCTAAGATATGCAAATGGAGATAATAGACAGATTGGCAAGCCTCGGGTCCATTGTTCACTACCAGACGAAAGTCACCCAATTCATTTTTCCTCACAATTTCAGAAACCTTTGGAAATGGGAAGGAGGAGAATGGAACATAAAGACATGTGATCTCTTGCATGCACAGTTTTGCATATACACGTAAAATATTGTGGTACTGTCGATATGGATGCTTGGAGGAAGAAATGCATCTCTTCTTAAGACTCGCACGAGTGTGTTCATGAATATATATGTGCAAAATTGTTTACCGCCCACATCATATGACCTAGAATATCTTTGTGTCTCTCCTCTGCTTTGCTCAGTCTAGTTAATCCATCTCTCATTTTTGGAATCACAAGGATGTGAACTGGGGCTTGTGGGTTAATGTCGTTAAAGGCAAGAACCTGATGAAGTGGGAAAAGTGAAAGAAAAAGAGGGAAACGTGAAAGAAAAAGAGGGAAAAATGAAAGAAAAAGAGGGAAACGTGAAAAAAAATGAAGGAAAAAAACACCTTATCGTCTTCGTACACAAGGTCTACTTTGACTTCCTTCCTTGCAATTTTTCCTGCAACAAGAATGGAGGGGAGTGTTACACTTTGGAGTAGCCACTAGTTTTATCTCTTCTCTTTTGTGTGAACTATGTATGGCTTTCAAGTGTTAGTTTAGGATGGGTTTTTTTGTTTCAATCGATTATATTTTTTTTTTTTTTTTTTTTCATCTCCTTCTCTTATGCATTCTTACTCTCCTCTTTTTTCTTTTTTTTTTTTTTTTTTTTTTTTCTGTCTCTCCCTTTACATGTTTACCAAAAATCGAATCACCATTCTCATCTTTTCCTGCAGCAGCAAGGGCTTTTTCTTCTTCATCCGACATTTTGGAAAAGTGTCTGTTTATTGCTCTTCTTCAAGGTAGTAACATAAATGTTGTATACAAAAAAAAAAAAAGGAATGCTGTCATTATATGCACTTCTTAGATTTTTTTTTTTTTTTTTTCTGTGTAACCTCATAGACGTTCGATTGGCTCTATACAGTTGTTACATTTTGCATACACACACATACACTGTTGTTTTTTATGTGTGTTGAAAAAAAAAAAAAGAAAAAAAAGTGAAAGTTCACTCTCACTTTGTATGCCTTACGTTAAGTACTTGTTGCTGTAAGCAAATTTTGTAAAACAATTAAATGCAAAATTCCTTATATTCTTCCCGATAATTGCTCCGGTTGATGACATCAAAAATAGGAATACTACACAATGTGAATGTGTGAGTGTATGTGTTTATGTGTGTATGTTTTGTGAAAGATTTTTTTTTTTTTTTTTTTGTATTCGGGTTGGGAGGAAATTATGTGAATGCAGTGTGAGAATTTTTAAAAAATTGCTTGTAGTAACATTTTTTTTTTGGAAGTTTTTTGCTAGCAGAATGGGAGATCTTTATAGGTTACAGTGGGAGTGGGCAGTTCTTTCATTTTTATTTTTCATTTTACGTTTTTTTTTTTTTTTTTTAAATCTCTCTCCACCTAAGGAATAAACTTATAGGGACTTACAAGAACATGCAAGTAGGAATCTGACCTTCATGTAGCTTGAGGATATCAAGGTTGGGTGCTTATTCTCATGTGTGTACCTTAATGTAGGGGATGCATAATGTTGCATATACACTATTGGTTACCAATCATTGCTTAGGGGTGGGGTGGAGAGTGTTACATTATGTTGTGCTTTTCTTAAAACTGCTATAGTCGTTCACATGCTCGTTGGGATAATTTTCACCTGTTAATATCTATTATTTTTTTATTTTTTTTTTTTTTTTTTTTGTAGAAAGATCTTACATTTCTGTATTTTTTTACCCTTGTTTTATGTCAACCCCAGGTACAATATTGCACAATAGAAAATATTCATCTCATATGAGCACAGGAGGGGTAAAGTAGTATGAAACTTTTTTTTTTTTTTTTTTTTTTTTATTTAAAGATGATAAGTGGAAGAAGTTATACATGAATGTATATGTATATGTACATATATAACCACGTCACACCACGCGTGGCATACACACATAAGATACATATTTTTATTTACCAAATTTAGTGCCTTTCTTCTCTAACCTACTTTGCATTCATTGAGTAGTAGCAAAGAGGAAGAAAGTGTTTTCTCATTTTTTTTTTTTTTTTTTTTTTTTACATTCGAGTGGGATTTTATTACTACAGGAGAAAAAGAGGTGTAACTAATTAGGGGGTTCAAAAAAAAAACAATGCTCTGTTTCGTGAGTGTAGGGTGGTAATAAGAACGACCATCTACCTATACCTCGCTACTTCTCTTCTTCGTTACTTCACCATTGTTCTATTTTTCTCCTTTTTCACATGCAGTAGGAAAGGCGGACGCGCGGAGAGGGATGAGACTTAAAGAGCACACGCAAGCACAAACGTTTGAATACATATGTACGCATCTACTAACTTAAACAGACATACATCTGCGAGGTTAGAGCGATCCTGTGCAAGAATTGGTTGTGACTCTGAATTAACCTGACCCCGGGGAGAAATGCCATTGACCATCACCCATCCTCTTACTTCTCAAGCCGTGTTATTGTACACGCTTGGGGTGGTGAGATAGGGGTTCAGGGTTATTTTGTTATACTTTATTTTGTTATACTATATTATGTTACACTTTATTTTGTTACACTTTATTTTGTTACACTTTATTTTGTTACACTTTATTATGTTATACTTTATTTTATTTTACTCTATTTTGTTATACTTTATTTTATTTCACTCTATTTTGTTTCACTCTATTTTGTTTCACTCTATTTTGTTTTACCCTATTTTGTTTTTCTCCTTTTTTTGCCCCTTTTTTTGCGCTTTTTTTTTTTTCATTTTCAACATGTCATCAGTAGTATCAGCGAGACATGTGCATCAGGACGTTCGCATTAAACGCTCCCTGTGCATAAAATATATAAATTTTTTAAGTTATTTGAAAAAGTGTAAATTAAAAAGACCATGGCATAGGTACTACTGTTGTGTGTTTCAGATGGCAGGGGTAGAAATGACAAGTGTGAAAGGGTTGACTTGTAAAAGCTTACAGAATTCAACAAAAGTGAGTAGAAATAAAGACACATTTTTCATAAAATGCATGAATCATTTGATTTCAAAACCAATAAACATAGCATCGTTCGATTTGGATGGGACACTAATGAACATACATGGATGTAAACACACCAACACTTTACTTTTCAGTAAGGAAGTCTTATTCAACATTTTTAATTTTAAGGAAAAACAAAAGTTCCAAATTGTTATTTTTTCAAATCAAACCAGTGTCTCTTCTCCCGTTCATGATTATCACTATCTCAAGCGATGCAAGTTGCCAATCCTCTTCAGAAAGCTCGTAAATTTAAGACGTGCCCTCTCTTATTTCTACGCACTCTACAGGCATCAGAACGGGGGAAAATTCAAAGCGGTTCCAACTAGCCAAAATCTGCAGAAATGCCAAGCGGTTCCAACTAGCCAAAATCTGCAGAAATGCCAAGCCCTTCCAACTAGCCAAAATCTGCAGAAATGCCAAGCCCTTCCAACTAGCCAGGCGTGTGAAAAGTGGAACTACCGCGTGCATGGTAAACATTGTGTTGTTGTTGTTCCAAATCAGAAATGCCATGGTGAACGTTGTTTCCAGAAGTTGAACTACAGACGGAGTGCAATGGGCTCTTCCAAAATGAGACGATCTAATGAGAATAGTGACAAAATCAAAAGTATAGAAAAAAGAGGAGGTAATGTTGTGAATACATTTTATGCAATTGGGAAAGGAAATATGGAACCAATTGACATTTATCCAAAACCATGTGGAGGACAATACTATTTATACATGTGTTTAGAAGGGATAAAATATATTATAATTTTGATTCGATATTTTGGAAATTTACATAAAGAATTATTAGAAAAAGAAATAAACAAGGGAGTAAATAAACCGTTGGAAGATTTTCTTCGACTCACAATTGAAATTTGTAACAATGAAGAAATATACAATATAGTAAAAAAAAATAGGAGGTGTTATTTTCATCTGAACACAATGAGCTTACAAATGATAGAGATTTATATAAACTCCTTGTTGAAGAAATCAAAATTTTATATATTTTTAAAAAATGGGTATCCACAGTACGTGGGATATGTGAACTATTTTTTAAATGATTTCGTGGAAGAATCACCACCGTGGGATGAAGAAGATTTGAAGCAACTACTCAAGGATGAATGTTTCCTAAAGCATCTAACTCTTTGTTTGGTGTACAAAAATAAAATTATGAAAAATCTTTCAGCTATCTTTTCCAATTTGTTATTTAATTTTGATCACAGTTTTTATGTAGGTGATAATATTGGCAGAGATTTTGACAAATCGAACATTGACTTGAAGGTAAGTATTTTTGTGCACATATATTCTCACACATTACTGTTTATATTTTCTCTTAATAAAGGTTTAATATCTCTTGTACTCCTAATATTTCCTTCTAATCATATTCACTTGAGTGTACGTCTTTTTTTTTTTTTTTTTTTTTTAAGCGAATCATTTTTGTTTATACTCTCTTAAATATCAGGAGACAAAAACAGAGAGAAAATATATATACAATGCGTGCCTCACCCCCACCCCTAACTGTACACTTGTGTTATGCTTGAATTTAGCTCATCTATTGACGTGCCATTCTACACCTGATTTGCAAATCTGATTCCATACCTGAGTATTTTGTCACTATTGTGGATTCACCCCTCAACCATTGGTGTCTTTGCATATTTTCATGACTCAACTGAATTGTAGAAAATTACATCCCCATGTGACGTGTACACAAAAATTTGTGTACACTTTCTCCAGCTGACGATCTCGTCTTCACATATGATTAACCATAAATATGCATATATGTAGAAAAATATGCGCACACATGCACGTTTTCTTTTCATTTTTTCTAATTTTTTTATCCCTTTCCATAGTTTGCACAGCGGGTTGGAATGAGAATATTCGATGATTCTTGGTTACACCAAATGAACGATTCCTAAATGTGAAACAAGAGAAGCAGATGAAATGTACAGATGTACACAAATATGAATTATGTGTATTTATTTATTTTTTCCCCTTTTTATTATAACTTTTAAATTATTATTTTTATCAGTTATGAAATACTTAATTTTGAACCTGCATCTTTGAACCTGCATCTTTGAACTTGCATCTTTGAACCTGCATCTTTGAACCTGCATCTTTGAACCTGCATCTTTGAACCTGCATCTTTGAACCTGCATCTTTGAACCTGCATCTTTGAACCTGCATCTTTGAAACTTCAATTTTGAAACTCCATTTTTGAATCCTCAATTTTGAATCCTCAATTTTGAATCCGCAGTTTTGAATCTTCAGTTTTTAATCCGCAGTTTTGAATCTTCAGTTTTTAATCCGCAGTTTTGAATACTCAACTTTGAAGTTCTTAAAATTCTCCACTTTTTTTCATCCATCATACATCCCAGATATATTTCCATAAAAAAAAAAAAAAAAAAAAAAAAAAACAGCATGTAAAAAAAGAAGAAACAACTTCTAAAACACTTTAAAACTTGCTTTTATTAACCTTTTGAAGAACAGTAAAAGAAGAATGCATTTAAAAAAAAAAAAAAAAAAAAAAAATCGTGACACATCACACACCTCTTGTTCAACTGTTTAGAATTTTTTTTTTTTTTTTTTTTTGTTTTTTTTACCTTGCCGTTAATGCACATCCTTGCTTATTTTTACTTCGCCATTTTTTTTTTTTTTTTTTTAATCTCTTACTACAATAATCGTTTATTACTGGTGTAGAAGGTCTCCAAGAGATTGCGCGTGATTTGTATGCACATGTTTCACTAACGAAGTATTCAAAGACAATTCGTTCTACTTGTCGATTCCACATTAACAGAACGACAAAAGTTCAATTGTAATAACGTTGCATCTTGTTACAACACCATCCATTTATATATATCATAATTACACACAGTTGTGCCTGGGCACACACACAAAACATATATATAAAAGGGTGCTTGTGAAGCCGACATTTTTACGCATGGAAAATTGAGAATTAGGAGTGAGACATAGATATAAACATAGAGAGAGTGCTTGTGCAGTGTTTTGTTCTTTTTTGCAATTCAACCCCCATCGTACCGTGGTGGTGTGAGCCGTGCATGTGAGCGGTGAATGTAACACGTCTTAACCAAGTAGTATCGTTTGCAGAATTCAAATGTATTACTTACCAGATCACTTTCGTGTAATTGTTTTTTTATTTAGTGAAAGTATTCCATGAATGCATGCAGCACATGTACACAAATTCACTTTTCCACATGTGATTCATCCAGAAGTTGATTCATTCCAAGCGTGCATGCGTGAGAATGTGAAAGATAGACAAATGTTCATAATTCTAACCTCCAAAAAGTTTTTTTTTTTTTCTTTCTTTTTTTTCTTTTTATGATAACATCCACATGTGTGCCATAAATTTCCCATTTGCGTATGATTTTATTTTTCACTAATCTGGAAGTAAAAACAAGTGCACGTACTTTTCCACTATAACATATTTCTTCTTTCTCGTGGAAAAAGCGTAGGTTGAATTTTTTCACCACGTAGAGAGTACATCCTCTTGTACCTTTTCCACACACAAGAGTTAGCTCGCAACCTGTATTTTTCTTTCACATGAGGAAGTGGTGATTTTGAAAACCATCGCCAGTTGCAAAAACTTTTTTCTTTTCATTGTTTATTTGTTTTTTTACTTTTTTATCTTTTTACATTTTTACTTCTTGTTTTTTTACTTATTTGTATATTTACTTATTTGTATTTTTACTTTATATTTTTACATTTTTTTATTTTTTGCCTAATTCTGCTCGTGTGTCGAGAAAGAGAACTAGCAAGAGAGACAAAAAAAAAAAAAAAAAAAAAAGTGCTCCAAGAGGTAGCAACCAGTAAAAGGGTGCATATATAAGTATTCTTTCAGAGATTTTTCAAGGCGTGAATGTGAAAAACGTGAGAGAAAAAGGGGAGTTTGTCCCTTCAAGTGCTCAACCTTCCGACACATATTTTCTCGAACCTCGCAAAGTTAGATCAATCTGTTACGCCCTGATTACATGTACTTGTTGTGCATTTACATATCTCGTCCGAGTGTGCACTTGACACTTGCACGAACAAGCTGAACCTCATGTGTGTGACGCAAAAGAAAAATAAATTTTGCGCTGCGTGAAAAGCAATTTCGTTCTTTCGTTCTTTTGTTCTTATTTCTTTCGTTCTTTTGTTTTTACTTCGTTCTGATTTTGTTTTGCTTCTCCTGATTTTGTTTTGCTTCTCCTGATTTTGTTTTTCTTCTCCTGATTTTGTTTTTCTTCTCCTGATTTTGTTTTTCTTCTCCTGATTTTGTTTTTCTTCTCCTGATTTTGTTTTGCTTCTTCTTATTTTTCCCTTGATTTCAGCCTTCTCACCATTCGTCTGCCACCCCTTTGTGGTAATCTGATCGATGCTTATTTCGTCACTATTTAACGAAATTTGCCACAAAGCAGAACCTTTGTGTTTTATGTGATTTCATTTTGAAATGATAATTTTTATCTCATAAAGTATCAACCTTCTTTCCATTCTTCTCCCTCTTTTTCTTTCAATTTTTTTTTCTTTTTTTTTAGTTTCATAAATTATTTTCATTTTTATGTTTTTTTTTTTTTTTTCCTTTGGTGTGTGGAATTCAGCTTTGTGAAAGTAGACCATGTAAGTGTGAACTTATGAACTGTGCTTCATTCGTTTGCATTTACAAACATATGCACTTACACACACACACACACACATAAACGCAGGGACTCATCTCCCAGCTCTTTGTCGAATTTGTTCCTTTTTTGATTATACACATATACATAAAAAAAACACACGAGTTTCATCTTCATGCAGCACAATCATACATGATATTGTCCACAAGATTGTGTGCTTAACTTTTATTTCACGTTCTGCTTACTTTTCGTGATTTTTTTTTTTTTTTTTTCTTTTAAACATTTCTTGTTCCCTTAGCTTTTTTTTTTTTTTCAACATCAATTTGATTCTTTTTTTTTATTATTTTATTTTATTATTTTTTTTTTTTTTTGTTGCACGAGTTGAATTAGAACTTCGTGGGAAATACTTTTTCTTTTTTTATTGTTCATTAACGTGTTGTATACATTTCGTATGAATTCACTTTCCAAGAGCAGACAAGAGAGAATAGACACGACCCAATGTGTGTCTTTTCTCAGACTTCAGCTTTCACCCATCTACCTTTACATCTGCATCGTCACTCTAGATACATGTACAAAGAACAACTGATTGAGTGCACATGCCCGTAGTAAATTTTGATGTCTTATGAAGTTTTGCCTTGAGGAAAAACACACGCCTTAGTGTGCATAAAAAAGTATTGATCTGATGAAAAAAATACCAAAAAAAATACCAAAAAAATAACAATAAAAATAATAATAAAAATAAAAGATAAATTCCATCCCCTCAAAATTATAAACATACCTGGAGGCGTGGTTTTATGTCCACCCTATAATCTTCCCCTTACTTTTTCGCCCTTTTATAGCTCATTATTTTTTTTCATTTCATTTATTTCATTTCATTTACTTCATTTATTTCATTTCATTTACTTCATTTCACTTCATTTCATTTACTTCATTTCACTTACTTCATTTCATTTACTTCATTTCACTTATTTCATTTCACTTACTTCATTTATTTCATTTCACTTACTTCATTTCACTTATTTCATTTCATTTACTTCATTTCACTTATTTCATTTCACTTACTTCATTTCATTTACTTCATTTCATTTATTTCATTTCACTTATTTCATTTCACTTCATTTCATTTATTTCATTTCACTTATTTCATTTCACTTCATTTCATTTATTTCATTTCACTTACTCCCTCCTTGTTGCATGCTTGATTTCGCTGCAACTTTTTAAACAATAATTAAATACAAAGACATAGAATGTCGTATGATTCTTCTAAATTCTTTTTCAGATGCATGATTCTATATATTTTTTTAGATATGTAATTCGACTTATATATGACATCGTCGCTAGCACTTACGCAAGTACGTGCATACAACTTTAAATTTTCGTGCTTTCTTTTTTGCACCCTCTACTCATTGTTCATGCAGTTTTTGCGAATTGAGTTATTCTGCATACTGCATCGACGTAGTTTATTTTGCATACTGCACCGACGTAGTTTATTTTGCATACTGCACCGACGTAGTTTATTTTGCATACTGCACCGGCGTAGTTTATTCTTCATACTGCACCGGCGTAGTTTATTCTTCATACTGCGCCGACGTAGTTTATTCTTCATACTGCACCGACGTAGTTTATTCTTCATACTGCACCGGCGTAGTTTATTTTTTAAAAAAGGCTAGTCTTCATAGGGGAAAACAATGTACCCGGCATCACAAGCCCATCGAAGTTACCCCTCCTTGTGCATGCTTTTTCGATATATTTTTTTTTTTTTTTTTTTTTTGTCTTTCACTAGTTCCATCTTTTGAATAATAATAATAATAACAGACTCAAGAGAAGGAAGAGTAGCGCAAAAATTCTCTCACAGAACATTATCTGTCGAAAACACTCGACTTCTCGTCTGAATAAATGTGCACATCCAATAACTTTCCCTTCTTGGCTAATGTTACAATCTTTTTACAAAAATTTTGTGCAGAAGGTGAATATCTAGACAGCTGATGTTAGCACCGTTAGCTATTTCAGTTTACTTTTGCTAATTCAATTCTGCGTATTAATTTTTTTTCTTTTTAAAGTATCTTTCTCTACCTTGTTTTAAACAACATCAGGCAGAGTCCCTTTAAATTTGTAGATAGAAAAGTAGTTGTCACGTTATTTTTTTTTTCTTTTTTTTCTTTTTTACACCCATTTCATGTTTTTCCTCTTATGAGGAATACATACGCATAGAATGTTCGTCTATACATATTATAAACACATCTTAATATATGCATATTTTACACATACCGATTGATACACACATTGAGATGCTCCATTCCATATTAGTTTTATTTTTTCTCATTTGAGGAATGTTTATCATATAGTGTAATTCTATCAAGTGTCTCTTTTTTTTTTTTTTTAAATTTCTCAATTTAGATGCAGTTTGTACATAGCCATTGATAGTACTCATCATTTTAGAAAATAAAAAAATAAAAAAAAAGAAAAGAAAAATACATAGTATAGAATAATAGCGAGTAACGTAGAAGTATAGCAGCTTAGAAGTGGACTAAGTAAAAGCATAGCAAGTAGACGCATAGCACTGTTTCATTTTTCCCTCAAGTGCTCCTACTACCTCATCCATCTCTCTTTGAAGTCTCTAAGTTACTGTTCTCCCCCCACCCCATCCCCTCTAGAGAAACAAAATTCTTGTCTTTGAATCCATTGCTTTGCATCTAAATTTGATTTTTCCATTTTGTTCATCTCTACCCAGTAGTTTGTAAAACCTCAAGGAAAGAAAAAAGAAAAACTCGTTCAGGTAATTGGCAAAACAAAAATGGATGACCACTTGGGGGATAGTCTCTTTAACAGTTACATTTTGAATACAAGTAGAAGCATAGATGGAATTAGAAATGTAAGAAGTGAAATAGATATGAGAAGTGTAGGAAGTGTAAGTAATGGATCCATAGAACTAAATAGAAGCAGCAGCTCGTGTACGAGCTACAGCAGTGGTAGTATGAGAAGCATGCTCTGTAGTGAATCTGGAGGGGAAATGAACGACAAACAGAATCACACGGTTAAAAGCGTAAATGAAATGGACAGCAAAAGTGCTACAGGAATTGAACCCGTACGCGAAAAGGATTCCTTAGATGTAGCAGGGGTTATGGGTAAAGAAGTTGTCAAAAAAATGGCATCTAAAGAGGGGAAAGTTGGAGGAGCAGCAGTTGGAGGAAGGGGTGCCGTGCAGAATGACACACCTGCCAAGAGACGCACCAATCTGTTGTGCTCAATCAATCCAGTGTTGGAAAACACAAGCGATATAGAGAGGTTTGTGAGGGAACAAAAAGAGTTTATGGCTTTTTTAAATTCAATGGATGCAGTTGCTCTTCGAGATTCTAAGAGTTGGTGTATGAACAAGAGCTTGAATGGCAATGATAGTGAAAAGGATACAACTGTCGATGAGGATAACAAAACGGACGATGAGTTGGAAGAAACGGGTTCTAAGTTGGAAGAAGAGGGTTCTAAGTTGGAAGAAGCGGGTTCTAAGTTGGAAGAAGCGGGTTCTAAGTTGGAAGAAGCGGGTTCTAAGTTGGAAGAAACGGGTTCTAAGTTGGAAGATACGGGTTCTAAGTTGGAAGAAGCGAGTGCTAAATTGGAAGAAGCATGTGCTGAGAAGGCTAGTCATACAGGAGATGCATTAAATGATGATAAGCATTTCGAAGTAGAATCATTTGATGGAATTAACTGGGAATATGAATCAATGGAAAAAATGGTTACTGCTAAGGATGAAGGGGTGAGTGTGATGGGTGACGGGGTGAGTGCGATGGGTGATCGGGTATGTGATAAAAAGGGAGAGAAAGACATGAACAATTTAGAGGTTACATCCAATCTGAACAGCAACATATTATTTTCGTGCAATGTGGATGAAAGCAAAATAGACGGAAAAAACGGAAAAAACGGAAAAAACGGAAAAAACGGCAAAAATAGCAAAAATAGCAAAAACAGCGAAAACAGCAAGAACAGCAAGAACAGCCACTGCAATGACAGTAATGAATTCAGTTCATGTGATGAATTCGGGGAAGTGTTCTCAAAGGAAGATGAGATAGAATTAAAAGAACTGTGTAATGGATCAGAACAGAAAGATTTGTTAAGCAGATTAGTGAATATGAAAAGAGCAGTTGATGAATTTGTATTAAAAAATCAAATAAGAAAATTCCCGGCAAATTGGGCTAGCATAAGGAGAAGAAAAAGAAAAGTAAAATACAGATTTGAAAAAGATAAAGCAGGAATTTTTGATTTCGTCATGGCATGTACTTCAGAGTATAATGGTTTTAAAAGATGCTGGAACGTTGGATTGACATTTATAAATATAACTGTGTTGGATATGAAGATGAGTTACCATTTTAAATGTGCAAAACATGATGAATGTGTAGGAGATGCGTATGTTGTTTTGGAAAAGGATACAGGTAATGTAGAAATAAGAATTAAAGGAGATATATGCATAGATTTTCACGAATTAATTGAAGAAAGAGAAAAAAGTAAATTGAATAGATATAAATGGGAGTTTTTAGATTTATGTAATAATGTAGACGCTGGTAAAGAGAGAGTTGTTGCAATGGGATACAAATATTTGAATAGTAGTATTACTGGTAGAAGATATGTACGAAATTTTATCTGCATCTTAAACTCGCATTGTAATAGTAGAATTCGTGTTGTTCGAGATCGGGATACAGGAAAAACTTGGCTAGAATTAACGGGTTCTAATCATGAAGAACATTGCCCATACTATGTCACAGCAGGTAATGGAAATCCTTTTAAAAATGATAAAACAAGAAGTCTTTATGATTGTATACAAATAGAAGCAAATGATAATGTTATGTCTAATGATCAAAATACTGTCAGCATTTATGATAATGCAAATTTAAAAAATAGCTATTTTGAAAATTTTGGAAAAAAATTGCGCAATCATGATCCATTTAGTGGTGTCAACTATGGCTTAGAAGATAATGACAAGAACGATGATAACAAGACGAATGCGAGAGAAGTTAGCATTTCTAATTCCTCCAAGGGAGATTCTTCCAGAGCCCCAAATGGAACTAATGGTGCAATCCAAAATAGAAAAGGTGATACAGACAAGAAAAATGCTACAATCAGTGGAAATCCATACGGAAGCATTGTGAAATACACACGCTCAAGAAGAGAGATAGCTAAGAAGATGCTAGAAGATAAAAAAAAAACTGAAATGGATCAGCGTTGTCAAAATATGCATATACTCACTGAAATAGGGAAATATAAAAATTCAGCTTATGCATCTGCACACGTTACTTTGAGGAGGGCCATGTGGTACAACAAAGAAAACATGACAGGGGAATACAGTGGAAAAGTTATTGCTGGTGATAGCGAGTTAGACTACACAGGAACTAGTTCACATCCGTTACCGCTGTCCGAAAGGGAGAGTATTAAGGATGATTTTTCTGTCACGAGCGATATGTTTCCCACTCGTCAGTACTCGAAGGCTGAGGAAGTGTCAGAAGATGAGTGGGGAAAGAAGAAAAAGAGATGTAACGATGGAGGTAGTGGTGGTTGTAGTGGTGGTTGTAGCGGTGGACGTAGCGATGGAGGAAATGACAGAGATCGTAAGAAAACAAGAGTAATTAATATAGGCCAAATCCCAGAAGAAGAAGCCGTAAATCTGTGTAAAGGAGTAGAAGGTTACAAGCACCCAGATGGTGCACCGACAAAGCTAATAAATGCTAATAATGCACCAAAAAAAGAGGAAAAAATGATGAACCAAGCTTTTGAAGGGTTAATACATAATGGAAATATGGAAGAGAAAGAAAATAAATTCGATAGACAGACAAGAGATGTACCTATTGGTGCACAGATGCATATGGATGGAGGCATGAGAATGCATATGAACAAAGGGATAGGAAATGTATCCCCTTTATATTTAGGACAAGATCATTCTGCCCATAATGAAGATCTGATAAGTATTCTTTCAAATTTACACAACAATTTAATAAGAAATGCATTGATCCCCAAAAATTCATGTGTTGATCAGAATATAAGAAGCATGAATAACTCGATCGGGGTTCCTGGTAAAGTAACTGTTGGTGGTACAGTTGGAATTGGAAATATGAATAATTATCAGTGGATGAATAATAAGGAGAAAAACAATCCCTCGTTTGGAACTAAGCAAGATAACTTGGATATTAACAGAATGGATGGATCTGCTGGATCTAATATGAATGTAGGAGACATCAACAGAGGAAATTTGGTAAACACTTCAAATTTGAACATGGTACCTTCTCACCATATGAATGAAATAAGCATGTATCAAAACGAGAATCAAAATGTCATGTACAATTTGGAGAGGAACGAACTGGTGACAAATCCGAATACACAAATGGGAATGTTCAATAATTTCAGCAATGTGAAAAACGTAGACATAGGTGCAGTGTTCCAAGGTGACACAAGTGCACCTCATACAGGTATACCTCATACAGGTACACATCATGCAGGCACACATCATGCAGGAACAGATCATAGTGGAATCATAAATAACAGAATGATCCAACCATGCAACATAGACATGCAAAAAAATCAATTTCAAAGCAGAACAAATGAAATGATATTTCAGAACACATTTTCTAAAAACGCACTTGCTTCTATGAATTATCTGAATAAACAAAATACAAATTTTAAAGAATTTCCACAAAGGAATGTAGTAAATGATTATTTCAGGAATAATTGTGGGTCTACAACTATGAGCAGAAGTAACACATGCGCAACTATATTGAATGGGTCTAATGCTGGAGAACGGATGAGCTATGTAGGTAGAAAATCCATAAGACATAATAGTACTTGTATTCCAGGGGAAAATTCCGTTTCCATTACTGCATCTCGTGAAAGATTGTACAGAAACAATTGCTTCCCCGTGAGCAGATGCAATGAAATTGGAAATGACTCTAACGCAGGTAGAAACATACCATGGAATGTGCACCGTTTAAGCAATTTACCCGCTGCATCTATTCAGGTTAAGGGGAGCGGGAGAATCAGCAAAAAGGGCAGCAACGATGAAAGAAATGAAGATAGAAACGGTGTCAGAAATGAAGATAGCAAAAAGGACAGCAACGTCAACAAGCATGATGGTCTCAACCATGCTGAGCAATCCAGGGATAACTACATTAACTCCAAGGAGTACAACAATATGATGCCCAAATATGAAAGAGAAAATTACCATCGACATGTGAACAATGCTAATATTAATGAAATGTATGAAAGGAATGATTCATGTACTGATTTGAGCGAACAAAAGGATGAAAACATGCATGATGATGAGGTGGTATATCAAAAGGGGCTAGAAAGGAAAAGAAAATACATCAATAATTACAATACACAAGGGGAAAATAATTTGATAAATACATTCTCTCATGATTATATAAGCATATCCAGTTTTTCGAGAAACAATGAAAATAATACAACATTCCCTTCTTCACCAGCTGTGAAATGTGCAAAGATGCATCATCCATTCAATAATGATGGTGATACTTCTTTAAATGTAGGTAATGTGGTAGCGAATGGAATGGGAATTGTACCAGAGATCAACATTTCCAATATGTCTGAAAATCCCATCAACTTTGCAGATTGTGAATCATATGAAAAACAGACCAATTTGTTAAACAGCTTCAACAATACGAGTATGCAAAATGTGAATGGTAACAATTGTCTCAACAACTTTATCCCTATTCCTCAGCACGACACAAATACATCGAGAGACCCGATATATAACAGTAGTTCAAATGATGCATTTGGAATGAGTCACAACGTGTCAAGTTCACAACAGGAGATGGGAGAGTATGAAATGAGCACTAATCAAATCATGGAAGACGGGAAATTTATGAACAACTTAAATATGATTCCGCACGAAGATCCCCCGTTGAATTGTATGGCAGTTCCCAACCGGGTAGAATTTCCCAACCGAGTGGAATTTCCCAACCGAGTGGAATTTCCCAACCGAGTGGAATTTCCCAACCGAATGGAATTTCCCAACCGAATGGAATTTCCCAACTTGATGATGGAACAGCAGGAAAATGCAAACAGAGAGACAAATGTATCAAACGAGTCTAACACCGATCAGATGAATTACTACAACTATGACTTCGAAACTGATGAATACACACAACAAACTGGTGGAATAGAATTTATGATGAGGAATTATAATGCACCTTTAAATAACAGTAGTGGAAATATGAATGTAAATAATGTTTCTAATGATATGAACAATTTTTACGTGGGAAATAATTGTACATATAATTATTCAAATGCAGTAGACAATAGGAATAATTGCACACAAAACAAATCATTTAACATGCCCATGCAGATTTTTAATGTAGAAAATCCCATGTCACAACAAAACAATATACTGAATAATCATCACAATTTAAACCCCAATGAAAATGATATTAACCCTAACAACACTGTCAACAGTGGCTTATGCAATAATGGAATAATCTTCCATGGAGATATGCGTAATGATTTTCAAAATGACATGACCTTTTCATACAATAATGCAAACAATAATAATCATTACTATGAGAACAATTATCACAGCAATGGTTTTCCTGTAAATGCGGCCAATGGCAATGTCATCCCATATGAAATGAACGATGGTATCAATGAGGATCAAAACGACCAAGGAGATTTTTACAATCAAAATTGTTAGATCGTTCTGCTTGTCTCATCGAGCTATTTTTTAGAACATACCTCGTTCGAAATGCAAAAAAGAAAAGAAAGCGCATGAAAGGAAATAAAGAACGAAGGAAAATACTGGAGCGGCAATAAAGAACGAAGGAAAACACTGGAGCGGCAATAAAGAACGAAGGAAAACACTGGAGCGGCAATAAAGAACGAAGGAAAACACTGGAGCGGCAATAAAGAACGAAGGAAAACACTGGAGCGGCAATAAAGAAAGAAGGAAAACACTGGAGTGGCAATAAAGAAAGAAGAAAAACACTTGAACGGCAATAAAGAAAGAAGGAAAAAGTGCAGAACATAACAATACACCTATGTATCAATTCTTAAGACATATATACATGTCCATAATTCGTGTAAACTTATTGCTATACCACATCATTTGCGTTTCTAAATATATACACATGAATATACACACGTATGCATAAAGGTACACCAAATTAACACGTCCCAGTTAGTGCACATAGCGCACAAATTGATATTCCCCCCAAATTAAAACCCTGAGTTCTTGACATTTTTGAAAAGGCGCTCTTAGGTGCGTGTGCACGTCCTTGATTACATCACGTTTGATTGTGTCACGTTTGATTACGTCACGTTTGATTACGTCACGTTTGATTGCGTCACGTTTGATTGTGTCACGTTTGATTGCGTCACGTTTGATTGCGTCACGTTTGATTGTGTCACGTTTTATTATATCATCTTTTATTACACTGAAGTTTCGCATGCACCTACATAAGACATTTACAATAATTCGATACATAAACGTGCATGTTTTTTTTTTTTTTTTTTTTTTTTTATATACCTCATTGTATACTGATGAAAACATTAATTAAATGTGTCTGATGATTTTAACTCGATTATGCCTTAAGATATATTTTATATTGCTAAGCAATTTTTCTCGTTTCATAATTTTTCTCATTTTGTAGTCTTTCTCACTTGGTAGCTTTTCTCCTTATCCGGATAAGCTCTCAGCACGCAACATTCCGCCTTGTTTACTTTTCCTTTTGTTCTTTTATGCGTAGCTTTTTGATTTCATACGTACATATGGTTTCGTCCCTTTACTTAAACATTGATGTTTTCATGTTTATAACTATTGCTGTGGAGAGAGTACATAACATAAATATAAACCCCTCAGTTGTAGTTAATACATTTCATTTTTTTATCGTCGTACACCTTTGCCAAGACACAGTTGAACCAAAATAAATATATGTACAAGTAGGTTTCACTTAGGAAAGCTTTGATTCATATCAAAACATCGCTTGCATTTAGCAAAGAAGTTTAAAGTGATCATTTTATTTTCCTCTTTTTTTTTTTTTTTTTTATATTTTTTTTTATAGAAGAAGGCTACCTTCATGCATGTATTTCTACTTGCCGTGTTCATATTGCTACACATTTAATTCATGTATTTATATAACACTTGTAAGCGCAGGATATGGAAGAAAATTTCCCACAATTGTTTCGACGTTGTTAGTACATAAGCAACCGATTTGGATCATTCTACTTGATAGTAGTTTTTTTTTTTTTTTTTTTTTTTTTTCAAGATTAGTACAAACCATATAACACCTTGCCGTTCAGGTAAAATACTATTTTCCATTAAAATAAGAAAAGATCGCTCGATGAAATACAATAACACGCCTGTACGTACATGTGTGCATTGTGTAAAATTACAAGATAGTAATATATGTCTACGTTTTAAATAAAACTTCTTTGAGGAACACATGAAGAAATTGTTCTTTGCATCATATCCTATAACAGGGAAACAAAATAAAATGAAATAAAATAATATAAAGAAAAATAGTTAATGGTCGTAGGTGGCACATTTGCAGCTGGGGCTGTGTGTGAAATGGCAAATGAAATACATGTCACACATTTACCAGTGCATTTTGGGGTAGCTCATGGATGATAGGACATATGAGTTGATTGACTGGGTTTGGGCAAAGTTTCATTTCATTCGTAATTGAAAGGGTGTTAATTTTTTTTGGTTCAGTAAAATATGATGTATTTTCTCTCAGTGCTTTTTTTTTTTTTTTTTTTTTTTTTTTTTTTCTTTTTCGCTATTTTCTCCTTATCTCGATTTCCACTAGTCGGTGCACGACCACGTGGTCATCACGTATGCTGTCATGGATATGTAAATATATTCACCTATGTATACACATGTATGTATGTATGTATATATATGTGTTAGTGTGTACTATGGTTATTACCATTGTTATGTGGTGAGTTTTATATAAATTTGGGATGACGAACCTCTTTTGATAAAGTACAGTGATTCGCAGAATATAAATTTTTTTTTTTTTTTTTTTTTTTTTTATGTACTTCTCCATATGAGGTAAGAGAAGTCTTGGGATCTAAGCATAACCACACGAAACAGATATATAATTTGTTCATTAAGAGAAAAAGCAGAATGATTGACTTTTAAGAAAAAAAAAAGAAAAAAAAAAAAAAAGAACATGATATAAATAAGCCTTGTTAAAATGATGACCTCATCATAGTAACAAGTTCTAGTCGTTCTGGTACCAAGAGAAAGGGAAAAAAAAAAAAAAAAAAAAAAAAAAAATTCGTTCCTTGTGTGAACAGCATAATATAAATTCTACTTTGTTACAACAATGAAGACGAAATAATGTTCGTCAATTTAGTGAAGTAAAACGTTTGAAAATTTTGAAAAAAAATAAAGAACCTTGGGTGCATATGTCATATGGAAGAGAAAAGTGGGCTGTTATTTTGACACCATAGGGTGGGTGGTAAGAACTCTCTCTCTCTCTCTCTCTCTCTCTATATATATATATATATATATATATATATATACATATACATGTACAGATGTAAATATATATCTATAAATGTAAGTATAAGTATGAGCATAATTATAAGCACATATATAAGCATAATTATAATAATAAGGAACTTTTTTTTTAGCTTTTCCCTTTCACGAGTTAATGCTTCTTATTCTTTTATATGTGGTGAGGCACAACACTTAAATCTATACATGCCGTTGTGGAATTTTTAGTGCCTTCTCGTCAAGTTGAAAAAAGAAAAAAAAAAAAAAAATCGAAATTGACTTTTCTTTCTCTTTTACCCAAAATAATTGCGATTTAATAAGAACAGAACACTTTTTTTTTTTTTTTTTTTTCATTCTTTTGCACTGGTTTTTCTGAACTCGTTCTCCTACATTGGTTCTTCTACTTTTCTACATTCGTTCTACTACATTGGTTCTTCTATATTCGTCCCTTTTTTTTTTTTTTTTTTTTTTTTTTATTTTGCCATGCGCATACCGCTCGTTTGATTACACCCATTTTATATGTATATTTATGTTTATTTTTTATACTTATTCCGTCCTCATGCTTCACGGGCTTTATTTTATTTTTTTTTATTTTTTTTTTTTTTTTTGGGCTTCTTCATTTTTTAGTTTTTAAAAATTTATGATTTTGTAGTAATGTAGCCCTTTTGTGGTAAAAATGGTAGGTACCATATTTTTTATGAAGCCACTTTTTTGTTTTTTTTTTTTAATACATATATATATATATATTTTCTCCCCTTTCCCTGGTGAGAGGTATTATTTATGGCCTTATATGAATATGGCACAGAAGGAACTTTTTAAAAAGTTTTGAAGTATAAGAAATAATAATAAGTCTTTGAACTTCTTTCTTTTTTTATCATGTAACGTGGAATATAATTGGCAGTGATATGTTTTCTCAATTTTTAAAAGTTTTAATTTTTTGCTATCCTTCCCAAGCATATACTTTTCTTCATATATATGTATATTCACGTATATATACATTTTTAAGACGTCTATGCGAAAAAAGAAAAAAAAAAAGAGGGATAATTTTAAGTAAATTTCTTTACCCTTTTTTTTACCCTTTTTTTTAAGCTTTTTTTTTTTTTTTTTTATAAAAGACCAGAAGATCATAATAGAATTTTGGGTAGGGGAGGAAAAAAAAAAAAAAAAAAAAAAAAAAAAAACAATCACACACATATTCATCCCTTCCATTTATGAAGAAATTTTAAGGGAGATTCAGCGAAAGAAAATAAAAACTTGCCATTTAGAGAATAGTTCTTAATGACTGTTAAATGAAAAAGTGTGTCATTACAACATCGTCTCGTGGAAGCATGCACAGACATGGTTGAAAAATTTGCACAAATTTTTGTAGCATTTTTGGAAGAATATTATATTCGCATGAAACCTTTGAAGAGAATGGGTTTGTCTTCCTGATTAACTACCTTTTATATGCATACTCCCGTGCACACTTTTCATACATGCATAAACAAACACACACACATAAACGAACACAAACCTCGTGTATGCATACACAACACATACACAAACACAAACCTCGTGCATGCATACACAACACATAAGCGTGGTGGAAAATAATCAAACGTAGGAGAAACACGGCTCATCCCCTGGGTAAGTACTTATTGAACATAAAATAATGAAACATGAATTTTTAAAAGTAAATTGGTACAGAAGGGGGAGGGATCTGCACACATTTCCATTGGAAAAATATAAAAGCATTGACATGAATGGATTAATATCAAAATCAATGTTCAGAAAAAAATTGGTTACGATATGCAGACCTTTGAAGACTCAACAAAAGAATGAAAATTCAACGACGACCATACCGAATGAAAGGAATTCATGTAGTGGGCCTCCATCCAACAGTAATCATATGCAAAGCATGTTTATGTATATGGAGAAAGTAGGAAAAGAGATAGATGAGCACATTCGTAGAAGGAAATACAAAAGTGCAGTTGGAGGGTTGAATATTCCAACAAAGGAGAATATTTATAATAAGAAAGAATTTATGGGAAGAGAGTATATATCTCAAAGAGGTATATATACACGGAATGGAATGAAATATGGATATAGAAGAAGACCATTTATCATACATTCACGAAATAGAAACAGGGAATCACAAATAAATGACATAATGTTTTTAGTACAAAAGAATGAAAGAGATATAATTTTTTTCAAATATCTATTTTTAATTAAGTTGATAATTTTATTAAGTGTAGTTTTTGGTTTTATGCATCTATTTTCAGGAGATTCCATAAATAAGTACATATCCAAAAGAATTGAAAAGGTACTAGATGAAATTAAGAATTCATCGAAGGCACAAAATAATATGAAAGATATTATAAATGAGTTGTTATACACTGTAGTTAATGAAGAAAAAAATAAAATGATAACTTCAAAATTTTTCATTGATGTAATGCAAAACTCAAAAAATGAAATGGGAAAGATATTCACAGAAATGTTAGAAACAGAATATGTAAAAAACAATTTAAGAAAAAATTTCGTAGATATAGCTAATTACTTATGTAATAATAAAGATGTACAAAAAAAAGTTTATCATCTCTTATCAGAATCCATACATTTACCTATAGCAATTAACACATCAGAAAAATGGATCAATGCTTTATTTAAATCTGAAAGTGTAACAAAGAATGTTAGAGATGTCATATACAAAGAAATTTTCAGCAATGATGAAATGATAAATAATTCCATTATATACATGCAGAATGTTCTTTTCAACACTTTGCAAGATAAAAATACAAAAGAATTGACAAAACTTTTTTTTGCGTCCGTCTTTTCAAATCCAGAATTTCAGCAACAAATTTCTGGAAATGTATGGAAAATTTTTAAATTAGCTCTATCTCCAAAATGGATGTCATATGAGGATGGTGATCAGCAGGAAGGGGTAAGAAAGGACAGACACCCTATCCACATCAAAATAGACAATAACGAGTCATGCAACTTAACACACACGAACACGGGTGACAAAAATTCCATTGAACATCTGCAGAACTTATCAGTAGACAATCCTTTAGATGTCAACAAAAAGCAGATCACCACTATTAGTTGTGATGTGTGTACAAGTGCTGGGCCGGCAGGAGGCATCCATCACCACGTGAGCGGTTACGATGTGAGCGGTTACGATGTGAGCGGTTACGATGTGAGCGGTTACGATGTGAGCGGTTATGACATGAACAGTTATGATGTGAGCAGTAATGACAGCTGTGATCTCGTGGAATCATCCAAACTGTACGAACATAAGGAACTAGATGGGGAAGTGGATGAGCAGGGATTCCTGCCTCTCAGGGTTAACAGGAAAAATGAGCAAAATGGAAGAAAATCTCGAATGCTGCAGATGGAGCTAACGATGCAAGGGGAGACTAGTGCAAGACCCCAGACGAGAGACCTTCCTGTAGAGAGAAACACAAATCAGACATATAGATCTCATGATGAAATGCAGAAAGAAATGAAACACGTTATTAATATGTTTGAGTGCATAGGCGAGGAAGAGAAAAAAAATGATTTTGCTTTAAATGAAAAGGGACAGCTTGGAACTGAACACTACTTTAGCATAAGTTCATATTCAAAAAAAAAGGAGAACGGTAATGACTATGATGATTCTTATGACATGGAAAAGTTGAAAAGTTTACTTTTCTATTATCATCCATACATTTGTGAAAGGGCAAGAACTAAGTTTATCATTCCTATGATTAAACTTCAAAATGTTAAAGATATGGCAAATAATATGGGAAGTTTTTATTTTATAAATATATTCCTACGGAACATTAACAATGATTTTGATAAAATTGCATCTCCCACGTCGATAGCACAGGAAAAACACAATGTACCAATCCAGAGGAAGAAATCATCACCATCATCACATCAACGTGGTATTGCTGTAAGATTAAAATTGTTCTTTATTGATGCTTATGTTTTTTATTATCAAAAATATTACTTTTACTATTATTATGTGGAAAAATTTAAGGACGTCCTTCGAAGGGCCTTGGGTGTCAAGTTCTTTTGATTCGCATCTGCCTTGCCCCCTCCACATGCCTGCGTACATGAGCAAAATACATGCATGTACCTACGTAAGTATCCACATAAGTATCCACATAAGTGTCCACATAAGTATCCACATAAGTGTCCACATAAGTACCCGCGTCACGTACCCATGTATGTTTTTTTTTTTTTTTTTTTTTTTGTTTTTCCCATGCTTACATCACGTGCACATGCAGAACGAACCTATTTCCCCACGCAAAAAGAATCCAAAATTTCGTTTAAAATTTGAGTCTTGTTGAACCCACCAATGATACCATTGAGCGATTTTACAGCTAGTTTTATTTCCTCCGCAATAATGTCAAAAGTTAAGAGACGTCTATTCTTTTTTATATAAAGCAAATGTTTCAGTGCCCGCTTCAAATATGTCTTATGTCGTTCAAATGGAAAAAACTGAGAATAGGTATTTTCTCCTCCTTCGCACTGATTCTCATCATAAATTCCACGTTCATTTCTGCATTTTGCATTTTCCACTGGATTTTCTCCCCCATGTGATGTCAGCACCACTTTGTTAACATATCTCAAAAGATTATCAATGTTATGTCCTTCCTTAGATGATATGAAAAAATATTTTGGACAAATATTTTCATGAATCTTTCTCAAACTGGGTTCTTCTTTCATATTCATGTAAAGTATCTTCCTAATTTTACTACTTATTTTTGGATATGTATAATCAGAGGTTAGATCGCACTTGTTAATGCATACGATAAAATGAGGTTCTGTCTTTTGCTTCCTCTTGTGATGTTTTTTTTCTCGCATTGTTTTATTCAAAATGGAGATAACACTTCGCAATTCGTCTTGGTATTTTCTTATATTCAGGATGATTAACACACATTTGCATTTCTTCAAATATTTGAGGGTTTTTTTTATGCCAATTCGTTCCAATTTTTTATGTGTGTTTTTATGATGCTTTGAATTTCGTTTTCCTTCGCGTCCCCCGGGGTCACGCTCCTCCATTTTCTGCCCTCTCTCACCACGTCTAATATCACGTCCTATATCACGTCCTATATCACTTCTGATGTCACGTCCTATATCACTTCCGACCCCACTTCCGACCCCACTTCCGACCCCACTTCCGACCCCACTTCCGACCCCACTTCCGACCCCACTTCCGACCCCACTTCCGACCCCACTTCCGATCCCACTTCCGATCCCACTTGTGAGCATCCCCGCTGAATCGCAGAAATTGTAGGCATTGCCCTCCACGTTCACGGTCTTCTGCACAACGTCGATAGTACTTCCTCTAATTTTTGTTACAATGGAAACATCCGTACCACAAATGTAATTCATAAGAGTACTTTTCCCAGAATTTACATGCCCAAAGAGAAGAATATTCACAGGGTTGTCTATATCTTCAACATTTGGTTTCTTTAGAATTGTCTTAATATTTGAAATTGATTGATTTACATTTTCTTTGATAAATCTGTTGATATCAGTTCTTTCCTCCTTTGACGTTATATGTTCATCTTCCAAATCAATCTTCACTTGTGTATATAATAAAAGTTTCCTTATATTATTTCGTAGTGTCAAGTAAACATTCTTTGCATATCCATTTAAATAATTCAATGCAATTTTTTTTTGTGTTTTTTTTTTGCACAAAAGTAATTCTTTTAGTCCTTCTATTTGTAATAAATTCATTTTATTATTTAGAAAGGCTCGTCTTGTAAATTCTCCTTTCTTACTCATTCTTATTTTAAAAAAATTATTTCTATCATGCAATTGGTCAAAAATTTCTTCTGAACGTGTGCAGGCAAATTTTTCCTTCTTATTCATTTCAGAGTAACATTTTTCTTTTTCTTTTTTTACTATATTGTTAAAAAGCTCATTTAAATTCTCAATTTCTTTCATAATTTCATTAACTATTAGAGGTGACCCATGGCAATAAATTTCCACAACATCTTCACCTGTGTATGATTTGGGACCTTTAAAAAATGTATACATAATCTTGTCAATCAATTCGTTACAACTGTTGTATAACTCCCCGTTATATAATTTCCTTTCCTCGAAATTTTTCCTTACCTTTATGACTTCACTTAAGCTATATTCTGTTTTTTTTTTTTTTTTTTTTTTTTTTTTTCTCTCCCTTTTTTTATTTGCTTCGCTTTCTTCTGACAGGGTGTATGATGTGCAGGTTCCTCTATTCTTTTCTGTCTTTCGGTGCTCATCTAAATTTATGTCTCCCTCGTCACACAAATTTATGTCGCCCTTCCATAAGAGAACCTCTAAAATTATTCTGCTCAGAGGACCTGACATTCTGATTACTGCTATCGCGCTGACATCTCTTCCAGAACTAAGTGCATAAATAGTTTCTCCTTCGCTAAGTATTTTTTTCAGATATTCCTCCTCCTCCTCCTCTTCCCTCATAGGGATAATTCCATTAACAGAGTCATGAGCCCGATGAATCATTTGGACCTGAACGTTGCCACAGGATTGACAATTATTGTTCTTATCATGATTTCCTCCTGCATTTTCTATAGTCCATTGTGAAGGAGAGTTCAAAAATATATTATCATTCCTTCCATGATGAGAAAAGTCTGTCAAATTATTAAAGAACAAATTTTTTATTTTTCTATAAACATGCTGATATTTTCTTTTTTCCCCTAGCCCAAGGTTGCCATTTTGATAACTGAAAAAATCCTTCTTCGAGATAATATAAAGAACAATTTTGTTTCGTTTTCTTTTTTTTACACTTTTATAACAAATGAAAAGATAAGCCATAAATATGCATTTTATGAGTATGGGGAGAATTTTACGCATGGGGATTTAGCTAGCACACATACATATACACATTCACAAAAAAAAAAAAAAAAAAAAAAAAGGAGAAAGAGGTCGTGGGGGAGGTTTCCCCGAGGTATTTTCTCTCTCACATCTCAGTGAGCTCTAGTGTCCCTATAGATCTTGTTGTTGTTGATTTGTTACAATGCTGAAACGTTCGTATATTGAAATGACTATGCAAGGGCTTAGGATAAGTTTTCTTCCCATACCTTTTTCCCGCTGTAAAACGTTGGTAAAAAGAGTCACAAAAAAAAAAAAAAAAAAAAAAAATTCAAAAATAGAATATATCGGTAAATAAAAAAAATTATTGCCGCTCAGGTGAAAAATGTTCCAAATTGGGAGAAAAAAAAAAAAAAAAATTCAAGATAAAATAAATGAGTGAACAAAATGAGTGAACAAAATGAGTGAACAAAATGAGTGAACAAAATGAGTGAACAAAATGAGTGAACAAAATGAATGAACAAAATGAATGAACAAAATAAATGAGTGAATAAAAAAAATTATTACCTACTGTTCAGGTGAAAAATATTCCAAATTGGGAAAAAAAAAAAAAATATATATATATACATATATATATTCTCACGCAGGCTATTAAAAAGTATCAACCCATTTCGGATAAAAAAAAAAAAAATTGCCTGCAAGGCTGAAACCATTTTCTATTTATACCATGCCACGATCTATCGCCATCGGCCCCAACACCTTGGTCGTTCTTAAATTAAGTCACTACAATCTGACAGAAAGTACATATGCATATGCAGACGTAGGAGTAGTGATGAGATGGAACTCAACTTAGTTGACATAAATTTATGAACGTGTAGCATGCTCTTATGGAATGGAGAGACTGTTGTTCTACTTGCACACCCCTAACTGGTTGCTGTTGTTGTGTTTTCCACAGATGCATATTTTTTTTTTTTTTTCACTGCAATTGAAGAAACAAGACAAAATTTTGATTCTCCATTTGGAGATTCAAGTAATCATGTTGCTTTACTTTCCCCATGTCCAGTAACTGCTGAAATGTTAAATTCAGTTTTTGTTCACAATTTGTTTTCTTAAGGCATTTGGATGAAGTAAAAAGAATCGAGGTGTCAGAAGATATGTTTATTCTTTCAAAATGGTAAATGTTTTTTATACATTTAATGAAATCACCTAATGTGCGTTTTTTGTCAAATGTAAAATGTATACGTTTTTTGCTACATATGATGCATCGTGGGTTTTTATAAACCTTGTAATGAAAAAAATAGAACCCGTTTTCTCCTGCATATAGAATATCACTATAATCGTTTAAATCGTTAGATGCACAATGTGTAAGTCTTCTACACGTTTTTGTAACATTATTGTGTACTTCATTTGTCATCAGTGAAGCTATTATCATTAATGTGCTGACTGTGGTTGGAATTGAATTTTGAATAACCTGTTTCGTTAAGGTGTACGACTCATTTTCGATATGAAATTGGCTAGCTCTTTCTTTTGCTTCTTCATATATCCATCTTATATGATTCTCATCGTTAAGATTGAATTTTTCTTTTCTCTTTCGTTCGAAGGAAATGTGCATAGCATAAAAAACACAATCTGTAAAATTTTGGGGTTTTCCAGAAATGGTACATAGAGGGATTGTCTCACTGTTGTGTCTACCTCTCTCGGTATGCATCCCCATGGCATAATTCGCGATGGTGCATTGAAAACAAGCGAAATTTTTATCACGGTTTACTATTTTTATGCTACCATGAAACCCTTCAACACCCCCATCTATGTATATAACTTTTTTTTTCAATGTGAAAATCAAGTTGTTCAGGTAAATTCTACTGCTTATATTATCAAGGCAGCCCATAACAAAATCGAAGTTTTCAAAAAAGGAGGTTTCAAAATATTCGATATGTTGCACAAAACTTGTAATGGAAACATTGCTATACTTTTCTTTTATTTTTTCTTGGATCACACTTGCTTTATTTCTTCCAATATCATAAACTGAAAAAAAAAATTGTCTATTTAAATTACTCATTTCAACTGTGTCGTAATCTACAATTGCTATGTTCTTTATATTTTCATAAATTAAATTTTTTATAACTTCATTTCCAAGGCCCCCGCAACCCACAACTAGTACTTTTGCTTTTTCAGGATCCATTCGAGAGAGTCTCTCCACACATCTACCTTTCTTCTCTGAATGTGGCACCAGTGAGATGTTCTTTTGAAAGCCTCTACCGATTTGGCTAGCCTACCGAATTGGCTGACTTTACCAATTTGGATCACTTGAATCGTTTTTCCCAACCTCTCCCCACATTCTTTCCAATTTTCCCTCTATTTTGACTTTGAAGATGGGTAAAATTGCGCAAAAAATTGTCACTTTTTGTTCTTTGATTTGAAGATGCGTAAAATTGCGCAAAAAATTGTCACTTTTTGTTCTTTACTTTGATTTGAAGATGCGTAAAATTGCGCAAAAAATTGTCACTTTTTGTTCTTTACTTTGATTTGAAGATGGGTAAAATTGCGCAAAAAATTGTCACTTTTTGTTCTTTACTTTGATTTGAAGATGCGTAAAATTGCGCACAAAATTGTCGCTTTTTTCTTCTCTACTTTGGCTTTTTTTTTGACAGCACATCTAACCCCTCATCAGCAGAATTGACAAACTAAGTTTCATAGCAGAACAGATGTAGGTACCTTATCTACATGTTCATTTCTCCTGGGACAATTAAAAAGTGTATATTTTATGATGATACAAAGTTATTTTCGTCTGATTAAAAAAAGATACTATATATGTTATATTTAGCTCCTTTTCGATATGTGAAATAAAAAAAAAACAAAAAAAAAAAAAAATTCTCCTTTTTTTTTTTTTTTTTTTTGCCAATTCAGTAGGTTCGTATAAATTCATACACAAACATTGTCATATGCCATTGGGGGAGAAATGTGTCAAAATGGAAAGTGTGTGCAAAAAGTGTATGAAACATAGAATGGTTGTTGGGAAAGGAAGGAATGATAAATCATTTTATTATATATCAACAGAGAGAAAGACAAAATTTACGGATTAAAACCGAGCAAAAAGAGGGGGAAAATGAAGAAGAAAAAGGAAACTTTTTTCTTTTTACAATTTACGGGTTCAAAGTGGGTATTGGTTCAGCGCTTAGTTTAGTGTTTGATATGTTAACCATTTTGCCATATCAAAAAGGACGAGCACTGATATGTTGGATTCCCGATTGTGATGTTTTTTTTTTTTTTTTTTTTTTTTTATGCACAAGCTTTGATTGGAAGGGAATCCCAACACGGAAAAGAAAAGAAAATGCAATACAGATGCAAATCCAAATTGAAGAAAGTGTGGGTAGGCAACATTTTTCATCGTGATGGTTAATAAGGCATTTTCAAAAAGGAGAAAATAAAAACGATCGAACGGATGAAATAGTAGGACATCGGGCATGCGAGTAACCTCTTTCTTTAATTTTAATCGAGGGATCTTCTCCCTGTTAGAAATTCTTATCACAATGCAAGGGGTCTTAGTCTATTGGCACTTTGGTAGTATACACCCCTTCCCTGAGGGATATAGTACACATTGTGCAGAATTGCTAAGTATGTTGCCAGCATTGATTCATCTTAACTTGGTAGATTTCCATACGACAGGCCAGGGCAGCGGTGTGCATATACAAGCACACACAAATGCATCGTATGCATGTATGAATGTACGTATGTATGCATGTACCTATGTATGTATATTTGCTCCTTATGTGGGAGGGTCTTGGGGTGCTGGTCCTATGATGGCACATATCTGTGCAAAGGTTTGGTCGATAGATCCATTCCCATCAACATCTCTGCACGCATTGAGAAAAAGCGACTCAATCTTGTGTTTATTTTTTTCATATACATCGAATCTCTTATTAAAGGTAGCCTCCTTGTCATCTGCTCGCCTTACCAACCTGTCTATAATTTCATCATTTAAATTTTGAAATTCTTTTCCTTGAGAAATTAGTAAGGATTCTTCTTCTGAAGTTAAAATTGCACCTTTTTTTTTCTTTAAAAAGAGTTCTATCCCTTCTGCACTATAATTTATGTTAGTTATCGGATCAGCCATTCGATTATTTATTCTTTTCAATAAAGTATCTTTTTTTACCTGTATGTTAATAAAATTTGTAATTTCAATGTCATTCTTTGCAAATAGTAAGGCCTGTTCGTATGTCCTTGGAAATCCATTAATTAATATACCAGAACACGTTTCCTTATTATTTAAATATTTTTCCAAACGATTCAAAAATATTCTCATAACTACATCGTCTGAAACTAGCGATCCATCATTCATGCATTTTTTTATATTTTCTAAATCTTCCTTTTTTCTTTTTTTTTTTTCATTTTCTTTTTCCCCTAAATCATAAGCATATTTGTCACACATGTTTGTATTTTCCTCTATCTGTTCATTTTCTTTAATATACTCTTTTAACAATGTACTTATTGTAATTATTGGAAAATAGTACTTTTCTGACACTAGTTTACATTGAGTATCTTTTCCCGATCCTGCTGCGCCGTTCAGAATGTAAATTTTCTTTTTTCTTTTATCATTCGATATCCTTCCTTTTTCCACTGTTTTTTCGCTATAACTGTGCATGTTTGGTCTGCTTTAAATGTTAATTTATATGTGGACATTCCTTACTTTTCCTCAAACAAGAAGGGGAAATGATTCCTCTCTATTAATCAAAAGGAAAAGAAAAAGAAAGAAGAAAAGAAAGAAGAAAAGAAAGAAGAAAAGAAAGAAGAAAAGAAAGAAGAAAAAAAAGAAGAAAAAAAAATAATTATCCCAAACCGCTCACACTTCTTACTCTCATAATTACCAACCTGTGACATTCCTCTGATGAGGTGAATAATCAGGTATGTCGTTTAGTGTTTCCTATTGTACTTTTTTTTTTTTTTTTTTTTTTTTTTTTTCCCGAATGTGCTCCTTTTTTTATTCGGACAAAATAGCACATTTCTAAAAAGAGAGGAGTAGGTTTCAATTGTTTCTTTCTTTTTTTTTTTTTTTAGCAGCGTTTCTCATTTCTTATTTGTGACAGCTTTTCTCAATTTTTTATTTTATTTTTTAATTGCTCACATTTCTTGCGGCCTCATTTTTTCCCGTCTCTAGTCTTCGACACTTTGACACTTCTGCATTTCTGTATTAATATAAGAACTTATATATTTGACGAATAAGGAATGAAGTTTCCTTTCGAAGAACTGCACAATTGACACATTCGTCACTGTAAATATAGCGTGTATCTTTTTTTTTTTTTTTTTTTTTTTTCTTGTAGATTGTAGATAGAAAGACGACTGATTATAGAGAGAGAGGACGATAAGGAATAGCACACGTATAAATAATTCTGCGTGACTTTTTTTTTTTTTTTTTTTGTTAAATTACTTTAGGTTCGAACAAGAGTAATTATTTTATTACTTTAATTTTATTTTTTTTAATGATTCACTTTGCATGTGTTGTGACATTTTTTACTTAGCTATTTTTTTTTTTTTTTTTGGATGTCTCTTTTTAAACACTTTTTTCATTTTTTTTTTTTTTTTTTTTTTTTTTTTTTTAAATTTTTTTAGTTTTGAACAAGAGTAATTTTTTTTTTTTTTTAATTTTTTTTTTTTTAATTTTTTTTTTTTTTTGTTTTTTGATTTTTTTTTTTTTTTTTTTTTTTTTTTTTTTTTGGATGTCTCTTTTTAAACACTTTTTTCATTTTTTTTTTTTTTTTGAATTTTCTTTTAATAAAATTTTTCTGAATTTAGCTTAGGAATAATCTTTCAACTTCTAAAAAAAAAAAAAAAAGAAACAAAATAATGGAGAGATACATAACTAAACCCATGTTATTTATATTCGTTGACAGATAACTATGATAAATTCATAGAACAGTGTGATTTGCTCCCCTTTGTAATGGTGTCTAATCGGTTAAGTCTATTCACACGATACTCACAAAAATGGCACAGCTCTTTCCACACCACACTTGTGTAAAATCTATATAAGAAAAACGAAAAAAAAAAAAAAAGAAAAAGAAGAAAAAAGAGAGAAAAAAAAAAAAGAAAAAAAAGAAATACAATATCTCACCCAATTTGTGGAAAAATTTCCTAGACATATATGTATCATTCCATTCGACACAGAGCAAGTGATCTGATGTCACTGTAAAATGAGGAAAAAAAAAAAAAAATCATCCTCCTTCCTTTTGTAATTCTTCTCGTTTGTTTCAAAAGTCCCAATTATACATAACATCAGTATGCTAATAAAAAGGTAGATCACAGCCTCGGAGTGCTACACACGAATGTGCCATTTATGACTCGTAATGCGTCAGATTTTTTTTTTTTTTTTTTTTTTTTTTTTTTTTTTTCGATCCTCTAGTGAACATACACTCTACTATTGCTCATACGTCAAAACAAAGGAAAAAAATATTTTACGAAAAGGTAAAGGATTTGCAAAAGTAATTACTTCATCCATCAAAATGATAAAAATGTGCAATTTTGTAGCGTTTATCTACTATTTTAGTGCGCTACCACACACATGCAAATGGACTTGCAGATATACATGCAAATACACTTGCAGATACACACACATGCAAATGCACTTGCAGATATACATACAAATCCACTTGCAGATACACACACATGCAAATGCACTTGCAGATATACATACAAATCCACTTGCAGATATACATACAAATCCACTTGCAGATATACATACAAATCCACTTGCAGATATACATACAAATCCACTTGCAGATACGCAGACACACACAATGCTGAGACACTAAATCAACTCCGTGACGATTCACTAATATAACTTTTTCAAAACCCATGAAACAGTTAAGTGAAAAGTTTTAGTTTGGCTTTGTTTTTCCATTTGTCTTTCCTGAGTTTGTATAAACATTTCGAAATTGCCACACTTATTCTCGAATAATTTGTACAGATACATATATGTGCATACTTATGTGTACGTAATCTTTATACATTTGTGGATATAGATTTACTCCCCCTCTTTATCATTTTTGTGTGTTTTTTTTTTTTTTTTTTGTTTAAGTTTTTAAAATGATACTTGCTTGTCTAGCCGCTTTTTGTTCGATCTCCTTTTGATTTTAACTAACACGAGAATTTTTCATTTGTGTGTTCAAAAGTACACATCCTTTGTTTTCACCTGACTTTTCTATAGCAAGTTCATTTTTACCTTGCCTGTTCAGAATTTTTTCCCCTTTTTTGGGAATCTTTTTTTTTTTTTTTTTTTTTTTTTTTTCATGCTTGGAGCAAAGATGGCTACTACACTACCGTCGAGCAAATCAACCAGCAAGGTTGCCATGACAAATGAAGTGGAGAAAGAAATCACAAAAGATCAGCAGTTTCAGGAAATTGTAACGAAGAATCTATCTCGTTTACTTATTCAATGTTTCCTTGTTTACTTATTCAATGCTTACTCGTTTACTTATTCAGTGTTTACTTGTTTACTTATTCAGTGTTTACTTGTTTACTTATTCAGTGTTTACTTGTTTACTTATTCAGTGTTTACTTGTTTACTTATTCAATGTTTCCTTTTTTAAGAGATTACATATGGAGCTAGCTGCTTATCTGCTGCACCAAATTTGTTCTGCTTTTTTAGGAGAAATTGCAGGACTCGGGCATTAATGCAGCAGATATAAATAAACTAAAGGGAAGTGGTTACTGCACCATATTATCTTTAATTCAGGCGACAAAAAAAGAATTGTGTAATGTTAAGGGAATATCCGAAGCAAAGGTTGATAAAATATTGGAGGTGGCATCAAAAATAGAAAACTGTTCAAGTTTCATTACTGCTAATCAGTTAGTTCAGAAAAGAAGTAAATTGTTAAAAATAACAACTGGAAGTACTACACTCGATCGAACTCTGGGTGGAGGAATTGAAAGTATGTCTATCACAGAACTTTTTGGCGAAAATCGATGTGGGAAAACTCAAATTTGTCATACATTAGCAGTTACTGCGCAGCTTCCTAAAGATGTTAGTGGTGGAAATGGAAAGGTACGCACACGTTCACTCTTGCACATGTTCACATGTGCACCTCTCTACATTCCTAGTTAGGTATACTTTTTTAATTCAAATGATTGCTTCCTTTTCTCGAACCGCTTAATCTTTGTCAAAAAAAAAACATTTGTAAACACGTAGCGTCTGCATTTATATTTACATACCATCCTTATCGATATATTATAATGTCCACAAAAAAAAAAAAAAAAGTATTCATTTTTTACATTCCCATCTCCATAGGTATGTTATATAGACACCGAAGGCACATTTAGACCAGAAAAAATTTGCAAAATAGCACAAAGGTATGGTATTAATGGAGAGGACGTCTTAGATAACATTTTATATGCAAGAGCATTTACCCATGAGCATTTGTTTCAGTTACTTGCAATATCAGCTGCAAAGGTAAAACTAGTGTTTGTATGATACATATATACACCCTTTTGCTGTATTTCGTGTATGTTGTGTATGTCTGTCCAAAGAGGAGAAAAAGAAGCACAACAAAATACACCAAAAAAAAAAACAGTCCATTTTGTGGGCAATATTTGTCAAAAAAATAATAATAAAATAAAGTAATCTCTTTCAGTCTCTCCCTTAGATGTATAAAAAAAATGTAATTATTCCATGATACATTCGAAAAAGTATAACAAAGTTCATTATTCTTATCACCATGGATTTGTACCTTTTTTTTTTTTTTTTTTTTTCTGTATATATCTTTCTATTGTCTGCTCTATTTTGAAGATGTGTGAAGAGCCCTTCGCATTGTTGGTGGTGGATTCCATCATTTCTCTTTTTCGTGTTGATTTCAGTGGACGAGGTAACTTCCTCATCATTTTGAGTGAAAAGTTTCGACACAAAAAAAAAAAAAAAAAAAAAAAAAAAAAAAAAAAAAAACATTAGACTCCCACTTCTACTTTATGAATATAGATTTTCATGCTTACATATTCCCTCCATTTATGCTAATTTATGAAAAACAACTTGTGTTAACATCTGAGCATGATATAATTTTCCTTAATCAGTTTATTTGTCGTGACATATTTTCCGTCCCGTATTTTCCATCCCATATTTTCCATCCCATATTTTCCGTCCCATATTTTCCGTCCCATATTTTCCGTCCCGTATTTTCCATCCCATATTTTCCGTCCCATATTTTCCGTCCCATATTTTCCGTCCGATGCTAGGTGAACTTTCTGAACGCCAACAAAAGTTAAACAAAACCATGTCCATTTTATCGAAACTTGGAGAACAGTTTAACATAGCAATCGTGATAACTAACCAAGTGATGTCTGATCCAGGAGCAACAATGACATTCATAGCCAACCCGATGAAACCAGGTTTTCTTGCTTCTAGAGAAGTGCACAAAAAATGATGGAGTGGTATCTCAAATGAGGGAAAACCATAAAAAAAAAGAGGGGTGGGGGGCTCTGGTGTAACATTGAAATGAAGTACCTTGATGATCCTGCTCTTTTCAGCACAGAAGATATTTCTCCCGTTTTGTTAATGCACTTGTTTATGTGTTTATTTGGACATATATATATATATATATATATATATATATATATATATTCTCTTCTACCTCTTGCCATACCATGGAATATCATACCCTTTTTTTTTTTTTTTTTTTTTTTTTTTCCCCCAGTGGGTGGGCACGTCATTGGTCATGCATCCACCACAAGACTTTCTCTGAGAAAAGGAAAAGGAGACCAAAGGGTTTGCAAAGTTTATGATGCCCCAAATCTGCCCGAAGTGGAGTGCATTTTTCAACTGTTAGCAAAGGGGGAAAAAAAAAAAAAAAAAAAAAAAAAAAAGAAAACCGAACCGAAGCGAAGCAAGAAAAAGGCAAAGAAAGAAGGGATCTAAAATAATGCTCGATGAACAATAAAAAAGCTGCAAAAAATTGACTGAGCCAAGAAGAAAAAGAAAGCAAGAGCGTTTATATGAACGTTAAGTGTGTTTCCCTCGTTTGTGACGTCCACAAAAGAATGCTTTTTTACTGCATCTTTACTGCATCTTTACTGCATCTTTACTGCATCTTTACTGCATCTTTACTGCATCTTTTTTACTGCTTTAATTTTTATTTTTTTCTGAACCGTGCAGGTCCGACGGAGGAGTTATCGACGCAACTGAGTAGAGTTCATGTTTTCGGGGGGGCGAGGAAAAAAGGATTCAAAAAAAAACAGGAAAAAGGGTAAGACAATAAAACGATAGGAAAGTAAAACGATAGGAAAGTAAAGCGATAGGAAAGCGACTCAAAAGTAAAGCTATTGTAAAGCGATAAATTTATAAGGACAAATTTAAAACGAGGAAAAACAAAGAAGAATATAAAATCAGAGGGGTACGTAAGCGCCACCAATCATGATGAATCCAACAAATGAATGACCATTAGATTGCCTCATGATGTCTCTATTAACTTTTCTGAAAAAAAAAAAAAAAAAAAACTTATAATGTATCACAACATTACACACACCATATGGTGTGGTGCCTTAACAGTTCTACTCCCGTAGGCACAATTTTGTTGGTAAGAATTATATTCACAAATAGAAACTTCACAATTTTTTTTTTTTTTTTCTTTTTTTAATAAAAATGGATGAATTACTAATTTTTTTTTCCAATGAATCCTTTTCTAAACGATCTGTGTAAAATGGGTTACAAACAGCATCCGCATATATTTTGTGTAGCTTTATGAAAATCTAAGAAGGGTTATTGATGCAGAAAGTGAGTGAGTGCGTGAGTAAGCAAGTAAGTATGTGAATGAATGGTTGACTCACTTAAGGGGTAGACACATGTCTATGTAATTACTTTTGTGTTATCACATTAGACGTATACGTAAATATATGTCCAATTTCACATATGGGAATAATAATCCACAAGGCGTTCATATAGCAATTGATTAAAATGGAAAATTGTATACACATATCTGTGCATATATATATATATATATATATATATATATATATACATGTTCGTGCATGTGCATGTACATATGCACACGCAGATGCATGCACGAATGCTCGTGGCACGTCTAAATGGCACTAACAGATCTAATGATATCATCCGTATATTTATTTCTGCTGTCGTCAATGGTGAGAATAATTTTCAAGTTTATTAATTTAATTACATATGCATAATTTTTGTTTGCGCTGAAAAGGGAGAGATTCACGCCAACATATCCGAGGTAAGGGTCCTGTTTCTTTTCACTGGATTCGACTAAGAGAAGTGGTTATGCATTTCATACGAGTAGGAGAGTGAATGATCGAGAGAGTGCGAAGATGGGGACACAGAATCTGACGATCTCATGGTGCACATCTTCATGATCATGTTTTTTTTTTTTTTTTTTTTGCAGCGAGCTGGTGGGGAGAAGAGGTGTAGAAAAGTAACAAAGATTTTTTCCGCTTCAAAAACATGAACACTCTTATATTTCATTTTATGCTTTTTGCTTCATTATATGTTATTCATCTCACTTCACTTCATCTGATACGGTACAAATATTTCACAATGTAGTATAATCTAAAATCACCTCATTTTAGCTCGTTTCACTTGTTTATTTTGTTCACTTACCTAATTTGTTTACATTGTTCAAAGCAGCAAATATAGAAAATCGGGAACTTATTTCATCACTTTCTTCCGTTGAATAGAAAAATAAAATTTCATCCTCTTTTCCCAAGTAGCATATACTTTTTATGGCCATTTTTTTTTTTTTTTTTTTTCTTCTGAGTTTGAACTGCTAATTGTGCACAATGATGTATACTTTTGTCTACAAAAGTATAACTTGGGGATAAGGTAAGAGACTAAAAGGAATATTCATCTGAAACATGAATTTTTTTCATAGGGATGCATGGAGGTTCATATAAAATGGTTCGACCCAGGAAATAAACAGAATTGGCTTCTAGGAATATGGTGTGTCTTAGCACACGAATACATGAAAGTGATTCGGTTTTTGCTTGTTTCGTGCGTTCCAAGGGAAGTTTAAGGATTCTTGATCTTAGAGGGGAAGGGGGAGGGGAAAAAACTGAAGGCACGATTAGAAGTTGCATCGGCAATCACATTGCAATCGCATTAATAGTCGTGGAATAACCACATAGACGTAAACACATACAAATTTTTGGAACATAGGAATACACACACGTGTACATAAAGATTTAACATATATCCCAATTGCACACGAATTTATTTTTCAAATGGATTGGGATCTCTTCGAAAGGAGGTCAAGGTAAGCGGGAAGAAAAAAAAAAAAAAAAAAAGAAAAAATGATAAAAAAAACGTGTGGCACATAAAGAGGAGAAAATAAATAAAAAAATAAAATAAAGTAATAATAATGGAGAGAATAACGAGAATGTGCTGTAGGGGCTTTTGTGTAGAAAAATATGTAAAAATTTACAGATTAGAAAAAGTGTAATAATTCCACTCTCCCAACTACCACACTGTAATGAAAAAAAAAAATATATATATCACCTTTGTGTATAGATACCTAAAATTATGACACATTTAAGAAAATATCAAAAAATAAAATCCTTTTGTGTAAAAAAAAAAAAGAGGGATGAAAATGAAGCAGATTTGTTAATATGCGGACAATGGTAAAGAGGAGAAAACAACAACAACAAAAAAAAAAAAAAAAAAAAAAAAAAAAAAAAAAAAAAAAAAAAACAAATATTTTTTTTTTTTTTTTTTTTTTTTTTTTTTTTTTTTTTTTTTTTTAAAATTAGTGCATCATTTTTAAGTGCTTTTTTTTTTTTTTTTTTTTTTTTTTCATGTCGTAGATGAAAAGAAGAAAAAGGCAAATTACATTAGGAAGAGAACTATATGTATGTATATATAAGTGTCCATAAATAAAGATGTTTTTTTTCTCACATTTTATTATGTGGCTTGGGTAAGCTTTTTAAAAAAGGGGAAAAAAAAAAAAAAAAAAAAGAAAAGCGTGCGGTTGCGCCCCTACTTGTGCAGAACAGCAAGGAAGAACACATGTACTTACATACGAGTTCATACATATGTACATGTACAAATACATATGCTCATACATACACTTGTACATGTCCCCATACATACACTTGTATATATGTACCCGTGTAAAAATAAATACAAAAAGGAATAACCGAAGCAATATGGCTGAATTTCACCATTTCTCCATTTAGAGTGAACCATAAGTGAAAAGAGGGGAAAAAATAAAAAAAAAATAAAAATTCACAAGCAGAGCTATTTGTGCCTGTAGATTCACACTCTCGCTAGGAAAGTGGGGGATGTAACCATAACTTTTTTTCTTTTCTTTTTTTCCATATTTTTGTGAGTAAGTGGTAGAAGAAGTGACAGCAAACGTGGCAGCAGAAGTGGAAGCAGAAGTGGAAGCAGACGTGGCAGCAGACGTGACAACAGACGTGGAAGCAGACGTGGCAGCAGACGTGACAACAGACGTGGAAGCAGACGTGGAAGCAGAAGTGGAAGCAGAAGGTGGCAACAGAAGCTTAACGTTTCATATGCACATACTTATGCATAGTCACGCCTGTGCATGTGCAAGAGTCGTGCATCCCGGATAAGGAAAACAAAAATGGGCCGAGAGAGGAAGAAAGCTAACATTTTTTTCCTTTTTCTGTGTCTGCTGAAGAGTTTTTTTTTATGGGACACGTTAAGTGGAAAACGAATAAACTCGTTCTTGAATGGACGTTCGATTGGAGGTAGGAGGAATGCGACTGTGCCTCAGGAGCTTGGATGGAAAAGTGCATTCATCGGAGTGAATCCAAAAAGGGGGGATCAAACGGGTTCTAAGGTTGGAACCCGACGCTACACAGATGTAAGCCGTGGCTGCACAGATGTAAGCATAGGATACACTCAGAAAAATAAAAGTAACTACAAAGTTGCTGCAGAGGAGGAGACAAAACAAAGACGAATGACTAATGATAGATTGTATTACCAACACAGAAGTGATGTTGTTGATGTTGAGTCGAACAGGGACTTGTTGGAAAGAAGCAATGGGAGAGATTGGAACAGAAAAGGAAAAGAATTATCGAAATTGAAAGATAGATTCACACTCAGAATGAGTGATGAAGAATATACCATAAACTCAGATGATTATACAGAAAAAGCTTGGGATGCCATCAGTACACTGAACAAAATAGGAGAGAAATATGAATCTGCATATGTAGAAGCAGAAATGCTATTGTTAGCATTATTAAATGATTCCCCAGATGGTTTGGCACAAAGAATATTGAAAGAAAGTGGAATCGATACAGATTTGTTAATTCAAGAAATAGATGAATATTTGAAAAAGCAGCCAAAGATGCCAAGTGGTTTTGGAGAACAGAAAATTTTAGGAAGAACATTACAAGCAGTGTTAAGCACGAGTAAAAGATTAAAAAAAGAATTTCATGATGAATATATATCAATAGAACATTTACTTTTGGGTATAATTTCTGAGGATTCAAAGTTCACTAGACCTTGGTTATTAAAATATAATGTAAATTATGAAAAGGTTAAAAAAGCAGTTGAAAAAATAAGAGGAAAAAAAAAAGTTACTTCTAAAACACCTGAAATGACATATCAAGCTTTAGAAAAATACAGCCGTGATTTGACAGCTTTGGCAAGAGCAGGGAAATTAGATCCAGTTATTGGAAGAGACACAGAAATTAGAAGAGCCATACAAATACTTTCTAGAAGAACAAAGAATAATCCAATATTGTTAGGAGATCCAGGGGTTGGAAAAACAGCCATTGCTGAAGGATTAGCTATAAAAATTGTGCAGGGAGATGTACCAGATTCTTTGAAAGGAAGAAAATTAGTTTCATTAGATTTATCATCTCTAATTGCTGGTGCAAAATATAGAGGAGATTTTGAAGAAAGATTAAAATCTATATTAAAAGAAGTTCAAGATGCAGAGGGTCAGGTAGTTATGTTTATTGATGAAATTCATACAGTTGTAGGTGCTGGTGCAGTTGCTGAAGGAGCTTTAGATGCAGGAAATATATTAAAACCAATGTTAGCAAGAGGTGAATTAAGATGTATAGGTGCAACCACAGTTAGTGAATATAGACAATTTATAGAAAAGGATAAAGCATTAGAAAGAAGATTTCAACAAATCTTAGTGGAACAACCAAGTGTTGATGAAACAATTAGTATATTGAGAGGACTGAAAGAAAGGTATGAAGTACATCATGGAGTACGTATATTAGATTCAGCTTTAGTACAGGCAGCTTGTTTATCAGATAGATATATCAGTTATAGATTTTTACCAGATAAAGCTATAGATCTTATAGATGAAGCTGCTGCCAATTTGAAAATTCAGTTATCAAGTAAGCCAATTCAATTAGATAATATAGAAAAACAATTGGTTCAGTTAGAAATGGAAAAAATATCTATTCTTGGTGATAAGAACCATGCAGGAGGGGGTGGAGCATTATTATCACGCACAAATAATTCATCCAACATGGGAGGAGGAAGTGTGGACAATGGAAAAATCGAATCAGGAGAAGATCACATAATTGATTACACAAAAAGTTCTAACTTTCTAAAAAAAAGAATTAACGAAAAGGAAATAAATAGATTAAAAATGATTGATCATATAATGAATGAATTGAGAAAAGAACAGAAAAGGATCCTAGAGTCATGGAGTTCTGAAAAAAGCTATGTAGATAATATAAGAGCCATTAAAGAAAGAATAGATGTTGTAAAAATCGAAATTGAAAAAGCAGAAAGGTATTTTGATCTAAACAGAGCAGCAGAATTAAGATTTGAAACATTACCTGATCTAGAAAAACAATTAAAAAAAGCAGAAGACAATTATCTAAACGATATACCAGAAAAAAACAGAATGTTAAAGGATGAAGTAACAAGTGAAGATATCATGAATATTGTCAGTTTATCTACAGGGATACGACTAAATAAATTACTGAAATCTGAAAAAGAAAAAATTTTGAATTTAGAAAATGAACTACATAAACAAATTATAGGACAAGATGATGCTGTGCGAATTGTTTCTAAGGCAGTTCAACGATCGAGAGTTGGTATGAACAATCCCAAAAGACCAATTGCTTCTCTTATGTTCTTAGGACCAACTGGAGTTGGAAAAACAGAATTATCTAAAGTGTTAGCAGATGTTTTATTTGATACACCAGATGCAGTAATTCATTTTGATATGTCAGAATATATGGAAAAACATTCAATAAGTAAATTAATAGGTGCTGCACCTGGTTATGTTGGATATGAACAAGGGGGTCTACTAACAGATGCGGTTAGAAAAAAACCGTACTCAATTATCTTATTTGATGAAATTGAAAAGGCACATCCAGATGTATACAATTTATTGTTACGAGTTATAGATGAAGGAAAGTTATCGGATACAAAAGGAAATGTTGCAAATTTTAGAAACACCATTATCATTTTCACATCTAACTTGGGTAGCCAAAGTATTTTAGATCTTGCTAATGATCCTAATAAAAAAGAAAAAATTAAACAACAAGTTATGAAATCAGTTAGAGAAACATTTAGACCAGAATTTTATAACCGAATTGATGATCATGTTATATTTGATAGCTTATCCAAAAAGGAACTAAAAGAAATAGCCAATATTGAAATTCAAAAAGTTGCTAATAGATTATTTGATAAAAATTTTAGAATTACAATTGATGATGCTGTCTTTTCTTACATTGTAGATAAAGCTTATGATCCCTCTTTTGGTGCTAGGCCTCTAAAAAGGGTTATACAATCTGAAATAGAAACAGAAATTGCCGTTCGAATTTTGAACGAAACGTTTGTCGAGAATGATACCATTCGAGTTTCTCTCAAAGATGGTGCATTGCATTTTTCCAAGGGTTAACACATGTGTATAGTATCAGAAGAAAAATGTACCAAAGAAAAAAAAAAATATATATATATATATATATATATATATATATTAACCTATCTTTCACGACTTTCTCTCTCCCCTTCTACACTTTTGAACATTCCTCATTTGTTACTTTCATATATTCAGAGTTCTTCAAACAAACTCTTAAAATTTTATTACCTATAATTATGCTCCTTTTGAGACAATTTCGACAAGGGTATATAAGCAGGACACACAGGTATGATCTTAAAAAAGAATATTTTTTCCCCTCTTTTTTTTTTTTTTCATTTTATACCACTTAAGAGATATTCAAAAGAGATGCACATTGGAAAGATGGTTTTTATGAATATTTGACCTTTATCCCACCCCTCGTCTCCACCCACTATTGGGCCGTGAATTTTTCCTACATTGAATTGCTGATCTTTTCGTTGTACCCAAGGCAATTAGTGCTTGTGTGCGTATGCGTGTGTGTGAGAGCAGGGGAGCTGGTATGAAAAAAAAAAACAACAACATACAACATGCAACATACAACATGCAACATGCAACATACAACATGCAACATGCAACATGCAACATACAACATGCAACATATAACATGTAACATACAACATACAACATACAACAGCGGGTTGACAAGAGTTCACCCTCCTCCTCAGACGATATGTTGGACCCCATTGGCGAAGGATCACTCCTGTTTATATAATCCATAGAATAAATTACCATTTTGAATTTTCAGTGAATGCAAATTTCTTTTTTGCATGACACTATCTTTTTTTTTTTTTTTTTTTTTTTTTTTCTTGCCTCTTTTTTATAAGAAATTACCTTAATTATGAATTCCTTATTATTTTATGCTACTATTTTACTTTGTGTTATAACTCTATTTATGCATTATTCTATTTATGCATTGTTCTATTTATGTATTTTTATTCTATTTTTATTTTATTTTTATTCTATTTTTATTTTATTTTTATTTTATTTTTATTTTATTTTCAAATTTAAGAACTCCCACACACACCCAAAAAAGAAAAAAAAAAAAAAAAACGACATGATCTTCTCATCAGCATCCATGTCTGTCTGAATATTCACACAAAAAACGGGTTTCTCCCCTCACTTGTGCGTTAATGTATTTTCTCAGTTTTACACGAATTTTACGCATTCGTGTATGAACATGTTCAGGTCAGAAGGAAAAAAAGGTGCTATAAATAAATGGGAGTGCACGAATGAGCAAGTAAAGTAATAGGAACATTTTCCAACAAGCGCAATGCAAAAGGATTTTTTCGAGGTAGCTACTGCCCAAAACCACGTCAAAATGACATAAAAAAAAAAAAAAAAAAAATATACTAAATAAGACAATTTTAAAGACATGAAATGGGTTCATAAAAAATGAAAAAAAATAATAAAAGCGTATAATTTGATTGTCTATCAAAAGAGAGAGAAAAAAAAAAAAAAAAAAAAAAAAAAAAACTGTTCATAAGCATATTCATATACAAAAAAATAAAATAAATAAATCTTGGAATTAATCTGTCATTCCCGGATTTGATGAATGGAAACATATTAAAATCTGCTTCTTCATCCTCTGAAATATCAATATGATTATGTCTTTAATAGTGCATTTAATCTAAGAATTGGTTAAACTGTTTTTTTTTTTTTTGCATACGAATTATTTTCTTGGTAAAAGAAAACGAATTTATTTATCCTTCTTGTATTTCAACTTTGTGCATATACGAGAATTGTTTACATTCCATTTTTATTTCCAGGATTCCTGTGAGAATGTGAGGAAAAGAGGATTCATAGGTTGTGTGTGTTCATTCACCAAAAATATACTGACTCTTGTATGTAGACACTCTTTAAAGAGGGTCTTCACCTCTTCTTTTAACACAGGTTCACATAACACAGTTGCAGTTGCGAATACACGAACAAGCAAACGCACAAGCAAACGCGCAGGTGTTGTTCTTTTCAAGATTAATTACCATTTTTATAAGCGGCCTGAGCTGTGTCATCAAGAATATTGTGTGGAAGCTTAAAGATTCTCTTGAAGTATCCTACTTCTCTTTCCTTTGCGTGCAAAATTAAATTATCACCATAAGTTTCAAATAACTCTGTTTGAGATCTGGGTCCTGAGACAGTTAGTATTCCTTCTCCTATTTCTACATCTATATCTTCAATTTTAAATCCTGGAATATCTAGCACTAAAATGGCATGACACTTTTCCGAATCATACATGATGTCTACTTTTGGTCTGAAAGTAATTTGCTTTTTCAAGTTCTTATCTGGTTCTATTTCCAAAATGGTGTTTGGACTGACTAGCGTACTTTTCTTCTTGGGGATCGAGGGCTTCTCCTTCTGGGAAGGGTGCATAGGGTGTCGGATCCATGATAATGTGTGCAGATAAACTCATGGGAGGGAGGGGGACTCAAAATAAATGCATGCATGTGTAAGTATAGACTGAGGTGGACGCAAATAGATGCATGCATGTACAGATAGATAAAGGAAGGTAGACACAGAGGTGACGAGCTAAACGGTTCTCTTTCGAAGTTGTATGCATAAATCATTATGGTATCAAATAATTTTGACACGGCATACGAAATAATTTATGTGTACATGAAAAAAACAAAAAAACGAGAAACATGAAAAAATTTTCACTATCTGAACGTATGTGCTCATATCACAGGAGAGAGAGGCAAGAAAATCCTCTCATAGATTCATAGTCTTTAACTCTAGTAGGGGTAATCACATACACATGAAATGCAGCTATACGAAGTCACACTATGTGAAAAGCATAGTGAAAATAAGTCATGTAAATATGACAACACATCCAGATGCTTACAATGTCCATTCTATGGTCTGGGACTAATTTAATTTCTCCTTTATCGGAACAGCCCGCACATAAACAACTCATTTTTACAAAATGGAAAGAAGGAAATAAGGCGGTGAAGGGGAAAAAAGGAAGAAAAAAAAAAAAAGGTGTGAATCTCTATAATCTTAAACGTGAGCACAGGTTACTTTTTTTTTTTTTTTTTTTTTTTTTTTTCCCTTTTTTTTTTTTTTTTTTTTTTTTTTTTTTTTTATGACCTGTTCATAATTTTTCTTTTATTATTGTTGTAGCATTTGAAAATTCTAAGTAATGATAAGTAGAAAAGCAAACGTTCTGCGAGGTTTGAGATGGGAAGAATCACTTATTTTTCAAGTTGCATCGGTTTAAGTCTGCACAAAATGGGAAATTTTCATGTGTATAAATGCTGTATTAACAAGGGAAATGATGGTGAGATACTTACAGTAAAGCTATTTTTTTTTTTTTTTTTTTTTGCACACCATTTTAAATTATCCAAAAAAAAAAAAAAAAAAAAAAAAAAAGCATGAACAGAAATACCAAATCAGTTGTCTGCTTACAACCACCTTGGCAAAAGGTTACATCCTTACTACTTGTATATACATTTAGACATAAAACATCATGTATGATCCCTCGTTATCCTTCATGGAGGTGGAAGGGATAATTTGTTACATATTTTTTACACTTTTGTTACATATTTATTACGCGTTTGTTATGCGTTTGTTACACGCCATCCGATCAGAACGTGGAACATGAAATTTTTTTATTTCAAGCAATAGTTAGCAGTATAGAACTTCCTGAACAGCAATAATTTTTTTTTCAAATAGCTACAAATTGTTGCAATAGGAAAAAATGTCATGTTACCTTTCGTGGTCATAATTTTTTTTTTTCTTTTTCTTCAAGATGAAAATAACTTAAATAAAAGAGCTACTTTTATACACTATAAAAAGAAATGGTACAGAGGAAATTTTTAAGTCTACAAAACTGTAACACTTCAGATAGCACAAATGAGTTTAGAATTAATTTTTTCTTGAATTACGTCTTTTCACATTCCGAAAAAAAAAGAAAAAAAAAAAAAAAAAGACGGACGATAATACATATATATATATATATATATATATATATATATATGTATGTATGTCTATATGTATATGTCAAATGAAGGAAATAGTACACATAAAATGTAAACATATATGTAGAAAAAAAAAAAAAAAAAAAAAAGGAAATACTAGTAATTCCATTATTTTTTAAATTCCCCTTGTGAGCTTATTTTATCAAAAAGATTTCCTGTACATGTGCATGTAAAAAAGAAGACATTCTATACATATCTGCCCCAAACTTCTTCTTTTCTTTTCCTAAATTTGGAGGTGTTACTTTTTCCCAAGCCACTGAAGAAGGGGAGACCGTGTGTGTGTGTATGAGAGAGAGAATTAAGTGCATTGTCTGTTGGACGTAGAACAATGGCGCAAAAATAAGTTATCACTTTATGAAAGCTGTTATGATGCATCATTTTATTTTATTTCTTTTCATTTTATTTCTTTTCATTTTATTTCTTTTCATTTTATTTCTTTTCATTTTATTTCTTTTCTTTTTATTTCTTTTCTTTTTATTTCTTTTCTTTTCATTTTATTATTTTATTTTTTTTTTTGTGCCCTCCCAGCGCTGATACAACAAGGTGGCGAAGACGAGAAAGTGGAGGGTGGGAGTTTTTTTCCCAACAACAAAACGGGGAGAGATATTTTTTTATATGTGAATTTATAAAATTAGTTGGAATGTTATTTCCAAAAGGTACGTCTTTTCTGTTTTTTCCTTTTTTTGTGCATACCCCAAGAAAATCTTCAAAGTCCAGTGCGCCATCTTTGTTTAAATCCATTGCGTTGAACAACTTCAATGAATCCGTTTCAGTTACGCATGTGAATTCCTTATCCTTCAACATTTGCATTAATTTCGTTAAGGGGATGACTTTTTTGTTTTCCTCTTTTTCGGTTACTGAGAAGTGAAGTGGTGAAGGGGAGCGCACGTGCGTGTGTGTATGTATGTGTGTGTGTATTATGCACACGGTTCATCGTTGGGGTAGTGTGTGACACCAAGTACAATCAGACAAAGATAGCATATAGAAAAGACAAATGTAAAAGGATTGGATAGAACAGTCCCCTTTTGGCATGGGAAAAAAAAAAAAAAAAAGCACTGATGGAGATATCTCACACACACATACACCCTTTATTAATAATGTAGATCTTACTGGCATATTTCTGGAACTCCAATTCAATGTCTATTTTGCTAAAGCCTTGAAAAAAATTTTTAAAATATTGAGTATCAATGTCAATGATTGCTTGTATATACTCACCAAAGTCAATCAAATTATTCTTATCCATATCATAATTTTGGAACAAATTATATTTTTCCAAACTCCAATCGCTTTTTTGTAAATCTGCATGTGAAATAAAATTGTCTTTATCTTTATCCATTTTGTTAAAAGCTTCTCTCCATATTGTCAAATCTTTATCATCATATTCATTCAAAATTGGGAATTGTTCTCTCCATTCATTAATTTTCGAATCGTGAATTTTCTTCTTTGTACTTTCCGCCCAATATCTCGTTATATATTTCCTGTCACACACAATGAAACCACTATTAAGCCAATTACACTGGATACCAATACTCTTCTTATTATACTCATTTGTGCAAAAGAATAAATTTCTACTGTTTGCATATTCCCTTATATCAACGTATGAAATCTTTTTCCTAACCTGCTGTTCGAGCAAAACTTTCCGTAAACCTCTACACATCATCCTACATAAAGAATTTTCACCAAAAAGGGAAAAAAAGGGGGTGTGAATTCTTTCGTGAGTTCTTCTGAGCGAAGATGAAAAAAATGTATATACTTATATATATATATATAAATATTTCTGCTTGGGGAGAGAAAATCTCAAGAGGACAAAGAGACGAAGGAAATCTACGTGGTGCTCAGAGTGTAATGGAAATTCCCTTATATTTCAAAATAGGAAAAAGTTGCTGACCCTGTTGCACATACTTGGTGGACAACACTGCTTTGCTTTCAAAGGTTTTTTGGCTGCTGTGTCCACTCAACTTGGTTTTCTTCCTTTGGCACTTTTCAGTTCTCCCAACGTTTGTTCAACTTTTGTGTGGCTTAGCTTCTTCACAGTCAAACCCCTCATGTGTGTGCACTCATATGTATCGTACGTTAAGTCTCCTTCACGGGGATATTTTTTTTTGTTTTTTTTTCAGGAGAAATTTACGAAGAGCTCAGATGACTGACTAACTCATTTGGCCAAGGATTTGACCAGGTAGGGAAAATAATCGGTATGTCATAAAACACATTCAAAAAAAAAAAAATTAATTTCCATTAAAAGGGACACATATTGATATTTCACCCATACTTAATGCATGTAAATTTAAGGGAAAAAAAAAAAAAAAAAAAAAAAAAAAAAACATTTTTGTTTTATTTTTCCAAAATGTTGAGTGACGTCGATTTGTTTTTGCCTTTTTGATTGAGCTACAATATACCTTTTTCGTTTCCCCCCTAGTGCTACTACATTGTGCTGGCGCAGTACGTATTTTTGCACTTTTTCCCCTCAACTTTTAACAAAAAAAAAAAAAAAAAAGTATCGGTACTATGTTGGGTTCATTACCTCACGACAGAACATAAAATGGAAGTGTAAATTCAGGAACGAAGAAAAGACTTCCTCTGCGCTCTTTTTAAATTTTAAAAGGTTTGTAATTTATTTTATTTTATTTTTTTTTTTTCTTTATTTTATTTATTTTATTTTTTTTTTTCTTTCTTTCTTTTTTTTTTTTTTTCTTATGATTGCTAAAGTTGTCATACCTATAATTGTAACGTTTATGAGGGAAAATACAAGAAAAAGAGTAAAATATATTGAACTTCTTTACACATATAGATATACATATTCTCTTGTGAAAAGTTTCACATACAAAAGGTGACACTGCTTCCAACCACCATTTAACACATTTCGTTGTACTTCCTCATCATCATTCAGGATAAGAGGGAAATGATGACAGAATGGGATATGTGTTCGTGAGGGTGGTAACTATTAATTCTGCATGCATTCCTGCAATTTCCGCTTTATTTTATTATTATTATATCCAGTTTATGACAAAAGTGAATGTATATAGGGCAGAAGAGTGGTCGTTGTTCCACCCCACTGCCTCCTTCCTTGGCGTTTGCATTCGGAGAGATTCTAAATAAGACTTCCACCCTACTTCCACACCACTTGTACACCATTGCATAATATAGGACGATAAGTGTTTCATTTTTTTTCAATGGCGTTAATGTAGCAAGGGGGCGTGCAAAATGAAAAGACAAGTTCTTTGGTGATTGAATCCGTACACTGATTCAAAAGTGAAAGAAAAAAAAAGGAATACTATATTTATTTTTATTCATGTTATTTTTTTTTTTTCTCTTTGTTTTACGTTTCTTCTTCTTTTTCTGCTCCATTCTGTGTTATTCTATCAACGGTTACATGCATTTATCTAGCGTTCAGGCAAAAATGGGAAAAAGGTATATGTCTGGTTTATGTCGCAAATGCGAAAATGTGTGAAAAACAAATATATGCTCGGATACTTATGAGAAAAAGTAAGGAGTCTTAATTATTTATCTCTGAAGAGTAATTCAATGCACATAGATAAATGGGATATGAATGGGTGATGGACATATGTCAGTATTCAATCGTAGTCACATGTACACTCATATGTGTGCAAAAGTGTAAAAAATACAAACAAGCCAAAAAAAAAAAAAAAAAAAAAAAAAAAATGGGAAATTTTATGAACAGTGCATAATTTTTTTTTTTTTTTTTTTTTTTTTTTTTATTCAAATTTTCTCCCCTTTTTTGGCTGTTTCTGGGAATTTTTTTTTTTCTTCTTTTTTTTTCGGATTCAAACGTGTTATAAAGAATGAGAAGATGATCCCATGGTTGACTCTTTTGACAAATAGTCACTTCTCTATGAGAGAAAAGAAGCTGAAAAAAAAAAAAAAAAAAATACCATTGAGCATGACAAGTTAAGGTTTATATGCTGTTTGGATTGCATCTTTAACTACTCTGTTATATGCATTTTGTTACATTTTCCTTTTTTTGCTTGCATGTGTGTAGGGAGGGTTCCCGTTTTAATATTAATTACAGAGGGGACTGAAAAGAAAAAGAGAGAAAAAAAAAAAAAAAAAAAAAAAAATGAAAAGTTAACAAATCACCTAAACTAAAGGAAACTAAAATAAAGGAAACTATTTATTATTATTATTTTTTTTTTTTTAACAAGAATATACGTACACATGGAAAGACTAAACATACCCATCCTTGTCTTTTTTTTTTTTTTTCTGCACCTGGGAATTTATCGAGCTACTAACAATTCCAAGTCAAATGGCAGAGATAATACTTACTCTTTATATTTTAAAAATGTCTCCAAAGAAAAAATTAACAAAAAATGAGCAAAGATGAGCAAAAACGAGCAAAAACGAGCAAGATGGAACAAAAATGAAAGCAAAAGCGATACAACAAAATGCAGTGCTTTTGCTGTGTGTAGCATAGGTTACTTTTAAGTTGAAACTTCCAATCTTCTACCAACACTTCACAACTCCCTTTCTTTTTCTCTCCCACATGACAGAAACAAAGATATGTAATTCGAAGGGATGATGAATCAGCATATAAAAGTTTCTTTTTATACGTTGAAGAGATTTACAAAACCACTGTCATTTATCCCATAAAATATGTTTACGTTAGTTCTAAGGATAACCAATTTAAAAAAAAAAAAAAAAAATTACGACTCGTCAGATAGACGAAGAATGATTTTTACAAAGTTACACATTCACATGTTCAAAAGGCATATGCATTTGTATAGAAAAAGATAATTCCTCAAAATGTCACAAAAAAAAAAAAAAAAAAATTATACTCTATATACATGCGAAGAAATCTCATCATTGTTACATCACCCACCCATTTTTTAAAGGAAACCCCCTTGAAATATTTTGAGAAAATTATATCATATAAGAAAAAGGAAATAAAAAATGAAAATTTAAACGAATTCTGTTTAAAAAAAAAAAAACTCTATGAACATGAGGAAAGTCAACAGATTTGTTTCTGTTGCTATTGTAGCCCCCACCATGTCTTTCCATTATATTCGCACTTGAAGTACAAAATGGAAAAGATTCTTTGTCGTAAGAGGAGTTAGTGTTTTTCGACTCGGGTGATACTACTCTCTTTAGTCTTAAAAAAGTTGTCAAGGATTAGTCACATGATCATGTAGATGTATCCACTCAGACGAAATTATAATAATGGGAGGAATGTTTCCACCTCACCTTACTAGTACCCATTTGTTCCCTCGTTTTCTTGCCGCTATCCTTCCTTTCTCTCTATTTTTTTTTTTTTTTTTTCTCTTTTTTTTTTTTTTTAGCTACAGACGGAGAAGAGAGAATTCTTCTCACTCTGACTTGCTTAAGAAAAAAAAAAAAAAAATACCACGGATTTTTCGTACAACATAATTCCAACTTCTTCATGTTAAATGTCACTTTTCAACAATTCGGTGAGGACATTAATCATTTTGTAGCATTGTGGAGATAGCCACCGTTTGGCAGTTTAGCAGTTCAGCAATTCAGCAGTTTAGCAGTTCAGCAATTCAGCAGTTCAGCAATTCAGCAATTCAGCAGTTCAGCAGTTCAGCAGTTCAGCAGTTCAGCAGTTCAGCAGTTCAGCAGTTCAGCAGTTCAGCAGTTCAACAATTTAACAATTCAACAATTCAACAATTCAACAATTCAACAATTCAACAATTCAACAATTCAACATTTTTTTTTTTTTTTTTTGTAAAGACCTGAATGATGAATTTTTCATAAAGAGAAACGTAAGCTCGGAGAAGTATAGAAAATGTTGCTTGTAGAGGCCAAATATGGAATCCGAGTGAGACATAGGAAATAAAAAAAAAATAAATAAATAAAAGTAAAAACAAAAACAAAAAAAATAAATAATAAATAATAATAATAATAATAAATAATGAATAAAAAAGACATATCAGTTAAAAGACTCTTGTCTTTTTTCTTTTCACTTACTCAGGATAAGTCAGCACTGGAGCGAAAAACTTATCTCCTGGATCCCTCGAAGAGCCAAGTGGATGATGGTTTGAAACTGAGGGAAAAATAATAATAAAGAGTTGCAACAATTATTGGAAAAAAAAAAAAAAAAAAAAAAAACCTTTAGTTGCGCTCGGACGACAAAAAAAACCACACCAAATTGAAACCAAACTGAAACCAAATTTTCAGAAATATTTAACGTGCATTTGAAATTTCACGCGGAGAGGACTCTTAGAGTAAGTGTCCCCAATTTTAAGGAAAAAAAAAAAAAAAAAGTTCTATCATCGATTTGATAAAGATAATCAAAGAAGACATATAGAAGTATTTCTGCACCCACGTGAAAAAATAAAAATAAAAATTTCTCTTCAATATCATCTTAGGGAGATTCCATTGAAGGCAACTATCTTTTTCTTGATTCTGATGTTTTCAAAAGAAAAGTAATAATAAGGAATAAAAATAACACATCAAAAAAAAAAAAAAAAAATATTTGAACCTATTTGCAAAGGCAGAACACGTTGTTATGTTGACAACTGTTGTTTCACTTGGTTATCACCTTTTATTATTAATTTATAAAACTTTTATATATTTTTCATGGTACACGCTCCATTTGTAGGTGCTGCTGGAGGATTCATTCATAGGTTTTCGCTTTTTTTTTTTTTTTTTTTTGAATTTTCCAAATAATTGCAAAAAAAAAAATAAAAAAAGTTGTAGATGTGTTTGTTGGGGCAGGCACTCTTCTTCCCATTTCTTCCCACTTCTTCCCATTTCTTCCCACTTCTTCCCACTTCTTCCCATTTCTTCCCACTTCGTTCCACTTCTTCCCACTTCTTTCCACTTCTTTCCACTTCTTCTCACTTCTTTCCATTTCTTCCCACCTCAGACGATGGAATACTGGAAAATGCTGTTATCGTGAAACCGGATGACGTAGACGAAAAAGGAAAAAAATGTAACAAGATAACTGGATATCCTTTGATATGGGAAATGAAAAGGGTGTTCTGTCAATATGGAAAAAACCATTGCTTAAATAAACAACTTTCTCACTTTGTGAACTTGGAGAGACACTTAGAGAGGGAGAAGCTGCTACTTCACAACTATTTTTTTTTCATGGTTAAGAGGTCTTATTTAATGGATCCAAGAGGCCAATCCAAGCAAAAGGACTCAAACGATGCACAACATGCTATCGCACACAGTGGACTACACAATGAAGTAGCAGCTGAGGCAACTGTGGAAAAGTTGGAAGGGGAGTACTACATGGGTCTAGAAAAGCGAACGCACAATTTTGTAGTAATAAGATCACACAATGGTGAAGGCTTAAAAATAACACAAGCAGGAGAAGCAGGTGAAGCAGGAGAAGTAGAAGGAGAATCTGTATCGTTTATTCACATGCTGAGAAATTGCTACGACTTTAAAAATGAGTTAGACCCCTATTGCACTGTGTATATAAGTATATGGAATGCAGAAGATGTTAATAAAAAGGTAACCGTTTCGATTAATTGTGAAAAGAAGATTGTTAAAGATGCATCAAGGGTAAAAAAATCTTTTTTATTACACGCCAAGGAAGAAAAGACAGCTCTGATAAAGTTTAAACCTGTTGTAGATCTTCTTGTGACCCCATGTAGAGTTGTCGTGAGTCGTGACAGAGAACTCTTAGAATCAGAACAAAGTGATGAGGTGCGACAAAACCAGAATGCAAACATCCGGAGGGAAATTTCATCGGATCTCTCAGGACAGAGAAAAGAAAAAGAACAATATTTTCAATTCTTAATACAAAATAATGATAAAGTGGAGGGTAAAAGTCATGGGAAAATAATTTTTGATGCACCTCTCTCGTTTGATGATGTCCCAAAGAGAATTTTCCAAGAACATATGAAGCGACTTGAACTTCTCCAACATTTTGAACTCTCCAAAAATGTTGAACATTTTGAAGGAGAGGGGTGGGGATACCGGGGGTGCATGCATAATCCAAAGCTCTTGAATTATCTAGAGAATTCAAAAATGACCGTAAATTTTATTTTCCTCTTACTTTTCCTTATCCTTTGTATCATTTTTGTAATTCCAAGTATGCATATGTTTAATGGATTCATAATTAAAAGACAGTGGTTCCACAAACTGAGAACAATAAGGATGTTAATCATCTGGAAAATTCAGGACGCTGGTCGATTTTTCAAACAAATGACAAAACGAATGATTAAAATGTGTGTATATGTTTGTCGAAAGATTTACAGAATTTTTCGCAAAATAAAGGCGATTTTTCTCAAGGATCATCAGTTAATTGATCAGCTGTACATTGAAAAAAAGAAAAAAAAGAGAAAAAATCAAAAGAACAAAAAAATTAGAAAAGCAAAACGGGACATGCTTCACAGGCAGAAGGAAGAGCTTCGACGCAGGAGGTACAAGAAGTTGATACGCCACCAGAAAAAGTATGAGAGGGAGATGGAGAGGAAGGAAAAGACACACGATAAGGAAATTCAGCATGAAAGAAACCATAAACTCGAGGGGTGCATAAACCATAAAAAAAAGAGAGATATCCACATTGGACGAGGTAAACCAACCGATGCAAGTAGAAGCAGAAAGGAGGGCCCACGGAAGGTGGAGCGTCGCCCAAGGGACGAAGAAAAGGAAGAAGCAGATTCAGATGCAGAAGCGGAAGAGGCAGATGCAGAAGTGGAAGAATCAGAAGCAGAAGGGGAAATTTCAGCTTCTACCTGTTCCTCCTCCGCATCTGCACCATCCAGCAGTGAAAGGAGCTATCAAAATAGACCCCACAACACCCACTAAAAGACGCGCCCAAAATAGATGTGCGCCTGCAGAGAGGAGCTGCCAATATAGTTCTACCACGCCCGAGTGGAAATCAAACCGAGGAAGAAGAAGAAGAAGATGAAGAAGATGAAGAAGATGAAGAAGACGAAAAACAAAACCGCACACAGACACTACGCACCCCCGACGACTTGCTTGATCTTTAATGGGTATTGACATGTGCAGAGAATACGTGTGTGTGGTGACATATGCCTGCATCGCCAAAGAGGTGGAAACATGTCTCATCCGGTTTGGTCCCTTGTGGTTTCACATCCTCTTCCTTCACCAACAGAATAATAAACGAGAATCTTGAGTAATTAGAAACCCAGGGGTGAATACGGGCTATATATGTGTCTATCTGCGCAGCTGTATCCCCCCTCGTCAGCTAGACAACCAAAGAAGCAGACAACTAGCCAAACAGACAAGCAGACAACTAGCCAAACAGATAAGCAGACAACTAGCCAAACAGACAAGCAGACAACTAGCCAAACAGATAAGCAGACAACTAGCCAAACAGACAAGCAGACAACCAGCTAATGGCCTTTTAAACGGCTGAACCTTTTTTTTCTTTTTTTAAAAAGTAGCAACCTTTGTAAACACTACTTTGAAGGTGCCACCTGCTTATTCGCCAATCGGTCCGATCACCTAACTGCGTACTCAATCTATGGATTGTTTTTTTTTTTTTTTTTTTTCCTCGATATGGAACTATATATCTGTGCGGTCTTTTTCCCCACAACAATTTCACCCTAAAGGAGAGAAAACACATTTTTGCAATGTCTACACAGGGAGAGGCACGTGGGGGGAGAGACATTCTTCTCATCTTATGATCCACAAAAAAGAGGGAAGCATCGTGACGGAAGCATCGTGACAACGACGCCATATCATCAATGTGAAGGAACCTCCTCCAGCGTCACATCAATAGCAATTGTGACATTTCTCTCTCAAGCCAAGTCTGGAAAGGTTTGGCTCACGCTTTAGTTCTTCTGTTTTTACACCGAATGTGGTATAGGGGTGCAAGAAAGGAAAAATTAAATTGCCATTTTTTTTTTTATTTTTTTTTTAAAAAAAAAAAAAAAAAAACTATAGTACAAGATAGCAGAGAACACGAATGGAGTGTTTCTACTCGAATGTACAAAGTTCCACAAAAATTTATATTTAATCTTTTACAATACAAACAAAGGTATGTTTTTTTCAATAAAAAAGGCTTCAAACATAATTTTAGTTAATATCTGATTAAAAATAAAAAAAAAAAAAAAAAAAAAATTTAGTAAGCAAGCGAGTAATTACTCTAGAAAATGCTCGGACAAATATGTTTACTTTTGATTTTTTTTAAAAACCGAAAAAAGAAAAAAAAAAAAAAAAAAAAAAAAAAAAAAAAAAAAAAAAAAAAAAAAAAGAAAAAAAAATATTAATTTTTTTTAAAAACCGAAAAAAGAAAAAAAAAAAAAAAAAAAGGAAAAAAAAGAAAAGAAATGAAGAAAAAGAAGAAGAAAAGAAAAGAAAAAAAGTATGCTTCTCATATATCCTCCCTCCAGAATAGACCTTTTCGCGCTTCACTGGAAAAAACAAGTTGGTGGAAATTTCCACAATAAATGGAAAATCAATAAGTCGATAAGGGAAAGAAAAAAAAAAAAAAAAGGAAAAAAAAAAAAGGAAAAAAAAAAAAGGAAAAAAAAAAAAGGAAAAAAAAAAAAAGGAAAAAATCAGGAAAGGTATTAATATATTTTCCCCCTTACGTCTTCTCCTTTTATGTCTTCCACAACACGGAAGCGAAATGCTTGTCACTAAATGCCAGATTCATTGTTGACTTTGACCAAACTGGGATACAAAAAGTGAATTACAAAATTTTATCAGCCTATGTTCATACATTCCTGAGAGGAGGGGAGGGGTAACCCATATCTAATTGAAATAACGCAACGGAACGAAGCAGCAAAATAAAGTGAACGAAGCAGCACAAGTCCCATCGACTCATACAGCCTGTTAACACATAGTTGTCCAACTTGAATTTCCAATCAGAGGTGATACAATTTTGAATGAACTTACGTATGTGCCTAAGTTGATCTTGTACCGCTTGTAGAATTAAAAAAGTTGGAGAGGAAAAGAATCTCACTCGTGTTTGTACGTGTGCTTGCGCCTTTGCTTGTGCTTTTGTGTAGGATACACATGAAGAAGTGGCTCTTGCACATGTAACACAACTCTCAACGTTTCTCAACATTTCTCAACATTTCCTTGGGAATTCAACACCAAGAGGAGGGAAAATCTTGTTAAACCCTCAATTGGGACGAAAAAAAAAAAAAAAATCATGGGTGGCTATTTTTCTAAGAATCTAGAAGAATGCCTAAGAGAAGAAAAGAGAAATCTTAATAGATCAGTTCGAGAACTAGAAAGAGAGATATTTAAACTGAATAATGAAAAGAATAAAATAGAAAAGAATATAAAAATAAATGCAAAAAAAAATGATCTTGCATTAGTAAGGACATTAGCAAAAGATTATGTAAATATAAAAAAGACGATAACAAAATATAATAAAATAAAATCACATTTATTTTCTATGAAGATCAAATTACAAAGTGTTAAGTCGTCTGAACAGCTTGGACATAGTCTCAAAGAAATAAATAGAATTATTAAAAGAGTTAATGGTTATATTAAATTAACAAATCTTAATAATTCCATACAAGAATTTCAGAAAGAAAATGATCAAGTATCCCTAAAGGAAGATATGTTAGATGATTTATTTGAAACCTTCGATTATGATTCAGAAATGGTTGCAGAAGAAGATGAGATTGTTATGAAAGTTCTTGAGGGACTTGGAGTTCAAATGAATAACAAATTAGACGACATTCCCACTGTTGTAGATGGTATTCCCAAAGTGGAATCAGAAAATGTTGCCATATCAGACTTGGAAACACGCATTAACAATTTGAGGAAAACGTGAACATAGAAGAAAACAATTAAATGGACAAATGGGACAAGAAAAAAAAAAAAAAAAAAAACCCAAAAGTTTTACAACTTGGAAAGTATTTCTCTGGCACACATTCATTGGAAAATTGATTTTTTTTTTTTTTTTTTTTTTTTTTTTTTACTCATTAATAAAATGCTAGACATACAATTAAATGAATATCACTACAATATATTATCCTTGTTTTATTATTTTTATTTTTTTTTTTTTTTTTCAAAGTTTCAACAAAGGAATAATGCAAAAGAAGCGAAATCCAAGTTGGATAAATTTTGTCCCTTTTTTCTTTCTTTTTTTTTTTTTTTTATTTTGCGAACGATAGAGAAAAAAGTGATAAGTTATACTTAGCAGCAGCTTTTATGAATAATTTTTGAAAAGTTGTATTTATGCATTTATTGCCAATTCCACGTCAGGTTGTGATTTGGTCTTCCGTCCCCCTCAGACAAAAAAAAAAAAACACACAATAAAGCAACAGTGCAATAAAGTAACAGTGCAATAAATCAATAAAGCAACGGTGCAATAAATCAATAAAGCAACGGTGCAATAAATCAATAAAGCAACGGTGCAATAAATCAATAAAGCAACGGTGCAATAAATCAATAAAGCAACAGTGCAATAAATCAATAAAGCAACAGTGCAATAAATCAATAAAGCAACAGTGCAATAAATCAATAAAGCAACAGTGCAATAAATCAATAAAGCAACAGTGCAATAAAGTAACAGTACAACTCTGCAACAACGTGTGAACAATTTTTAGACACAGGAAGTGATATTTTGCTATGAAGTTAGAGCGAGAATTTCTCCAAAATGAAAATGTGCATTTTTAATGATCTCCTATATCTTAGCAAAGTCTGTTTGTATTAATAAACATTATGTAACATATCACGTGTTTTTCATTCTACTCATTTGTTTGCTTCCGTGTTTGTTTTTTTTATCTTGCCTTGTTCATAAATTTTTACATATTTTATTATCTCTTTAACTACTGTCTCTATATCGGGAAGAGCTCCAATTCCTTGAAAAAAAAGGAAAAAAAAAAAAAAAAAAAAAAAAAAAATGAAGACCTCGTGTTGTAAACCTTTTGCATAACTGGGAATACATTTAAGATAGGAGATAATGTTTTTTTTTTTTTTTTTTTTTTTTTTTTTTTTTTTTTTTTTTTTTTTTTTTTTTTTTTTTTAAGTAGGATATATTTTTTTTTTTTTTTTTTTTTTTTTTTTTTTTTTTTTTTTTTTTTTTTTTTTTATTCCTTTTTTAAGTATAGAAGTAACGAACTACTGATGTGTAAAATGTGACAAGTGTGTTTTCTTTCTTAAATAAAAGAGTGATATGTACAAAAGTCCTTTTACCATAATCTCCACAAGCGAGAAGTTTTTCAAATGGTTCTACAATCTGCAGGAAAATGTTGGATACAGTTTCGTTGCTACATGAAGTGCTATGTGTAGAGTTCTTACTATATACATATATATACATACATATATGGTATCAAAAGTAGTGCAAAGCATGAACGGGTAAACCAGGGATGACAGATCTGAAGAGATCCTTTTTAATGCCAAGTTTGTGTAGTTTTTTTTTTTTTTTTTTTCTTTTTCTCCCTCCATCTCTATCTTCCGTTTTTTTATATATTTTAAGATATCGCACCTGCACACCCCAAGATGAAATTTTTTCCAAGTGGGTTCTCGTTATGGGATGGTTATACATGTATGTGTTCATGCATGGAAAAACCAAAAGGATCTTACTGAAGTCCCAGCATCGACAAATACACGTCTGTGGAGGTGAAGAAAAAAATAGGACACTTTAAAATGTATGATGAGTGGTTTGGCTACCGTGTTTGTCTGGACGTTTGTCTGTGTGACGCTGTCCATAATATTCTGTGCCTGTGTTTTCTCTCTCGTTCTGTTGATAATTTTGGCGATTTTTTTTTTCTTTTTTGCACTAACCAACAGATTGGGACACGCCCCCGAAGCCATAGAAGCCAATGTATTTGCATCTAACGGACAGATGATAAACATGTCAGCCCATTTCCTCAACTGAACATGTAAAATATCGTCTCCTTTTTTCTCCCACATCCATTCATGTTTATCAAGAAGAACATTTTCCTTGAAGTCAACCTTTTTTAAAAAATTCTCAAATGCCAAATTCGTTGCCACAAATTTTATTTCAAAATGTATGTTATTCTCAGCACAGCTTTCTTTTAATCTGTTAATAACTTCTCCAATTTTTATCGCTGCCACACTTGCACTGATACCCAAGAGGATGTTCATCATGTTTCCTCTGCATCACCCAGTGTTAGTGCTGCTTCTACTACTGTTTCATAGAATCACACGTGGTGAGAAAAAGTAGGGTGCTTTTTGTAGTGTATATATTCGAGTGTGGTATACTTGTGCACAGGGAGGGTATAGTATGATACCGATTTAATATTCACATGTTTGTATCTTCTTAGAGAAAAAATCTGGGAGAGATGTCGCTTCAGAGGAATTTGGGAATGTTACACAAAAGTGTTAAATTGGAAGAGATATAAAATGAAGTGATACCCGAAAAAAGAAAAAAGAAAAACGATACACGTTCTTGTTCTTATATTCAACTGTTCATCGTTTTTTATGCAAAGGTTAATACATGCACGTTTGAATATGTAAAAATGTTACATTATATGTATTTCTTTTTTTTTTTTTTTTTTTTGATATCACTTTATTTTATATCTCATCCTCCTAACCAATCAATCCGCTTCTTCTTCCGTATGGGGTATAAAATTTTATGTTGCAATGCACGATGGCAGTAGTGAGGTTATAGATTCCAATCCTCTCCCTCACAAGTAGCGACAACGGAAGAGAAGGAGAAAGGCGCCCCGATATATGAGCAGCAATAATTTCTCCATAAAAAAAAAAAAACAAAACAAAACAGAAGTATTGGAGAGAAGAACATGTTCCAAGTTTTGGGACAAGTAATTTTGTGCCATGTCAAAAGGTAAAAAGTGGGGAAAATCTATAATGCCTTTTTTTTTTTTTTTTTTTTTTTTTTTTTTTTTTTAGGAGAATAAAAAAAAAAAAAATTCTCCACTTTTTTTTTTACCTCTGTATGATATGCTTTCCTCCTTTGCAATGCGATAAAAAAAAATATATATATTATCTGTTTTTACCAATTCTGAGTTTTGACTAAATGTTGGGTGATGATATATTCCTATGTTACATATGCACAAAAGGTAATAAATGTTCCATTAAAAAAAAAAAAAAAACGTGGTAGGAAAATATTCATCCTTCCAGAACTCTCTCAATAGATCATTTTATTTTTTTTTGATAAGACAATATATCTAACTTAGAAGTAGAAAAAAAAGGGTGGGGAGGGGGTTCCATTTTTTTGTGATAACTTCGGTAGATATAGTCACACGTTGCCTGACGTGTAGCAAAACTGCACTTTGTTTTTTTTTTCATTCCATTGCAATAGTTGTCACAAAATGGCAGAACTAGATATTGAAGAAAAAGCATATGATATGTTCTTCAGCCCAGTTACTCCATGGCCTTGTTTATCATTTGATTTTATTCATTCCAAATCAGATCATAATCATAACATTTTAGAAAAACCTAGAAATAGTAATAATGAAAAGAAAGGAAGCCATAGAACAACTTTGACCTACCCTCTACAAATTAATTGCATCGCAGGGACACAAGCTGCACAAGCAAACTTAAATGAAATTTATGTTATAAGATGGGATAACTTGAATACACTGAAGGAAAATAATGGTTATGCAACAGATAGCTCCGTTGAATCTGACTCAGATGAGAATGAGAAAGGGAGAGATGCAGAAAAGTTGAGAAAAGAATCCGCAAGTGGAATGTCAGATGCAGAAAAGTTGAGAAAAGAATCCGCAAGTGGAATGTCTGATGCAGAAAAACAAAGAGATCCTCCTCTAATCCAAGTTGGCAAAAACAAAGAACGTGTGATATGTAAAGCCATAAGACATAAATATGGTGGTATAAATAGAATAAAGACTTGCAAAAAAATTAATTCTCTCATCGCTTCCTGGTGTGATGATAGTAATGTTTACATCTACGAAATTTCAGATGAAATGAGAAATCTGGAGGAACAACCTTACAATGAAGAAGTAACCAAACCTCCTGTGCACATATTTCAGAAGCATACAAATGAAGGGTTCAGTCTGGACTGGAACCCTATTCATGCTGCAAAACTGTTAACGGGAGATAATGATGGAAATTTATTTTTATGGATTCCAGACAACTGTGAGAAGTGGATCTATGAACACATAAACTTCGAGGGGACACACGTCTCTAGCCACCACAACGAGGGCCCCATAGGGAGTAGCAAGGACGGAATCGATAATGATAGATGCAGGGACGGAATCGATAATGATAGATGCAGGGACGGAATCGATAATGATAGAAGCAAGGACAGAATAGATAATGATAGATGCAGGGATGGAATCGATAATGATAGATGCAGGGACGGAATCGATAATGATAAATGCAGGGACGGAATCGATAATGATAGATGCAGGGACGGAATCGATAATGATAAATGCAGGGACGGAATCGATAATGATAGATGCAGGGACGGAATCGAAAAGGGCAGCAACAGCAGCAGCAGGGGCAAGAGCAAGGGCGACAAACGAGAGAAGGCAAAAAAATACAGCATCGAAGATGTGCAATGGAACAAGAAGGGGAATGGGCTGGGAAACGTGTTCGCCATGTGTTCATCTGACAAGAGTGTTAGAATCTTAGATGTAAGGAATCTAAAAAGTTATGGCAACAAAAAGCACGTAAACAATAACTCCTGTGAAATCTACATACCAGATGCACATGAAAGTGACGTTAATGTCATTGCGTGGAATGAAAATTTAGAGTTCCTACTAGCTTCAGGAGGCGATGATTCCATAGTTAAAATTTGGGACATTAGAAATTTTGCAAATTCTGTAGCCCAGTTGAAATTTCACAAACAACCGATTTCTTCCGTTTCTTGGCATTTCAATGATCCCTATGTATTACTAGCCAGTAGTGCTGATAATTCCATTTCCATTTGGGATCTCTCAGTGGAAACAGAGTCGTTAGAACATTCACTTTCCAAATATCCAGATCAACTCCTATTTGAACACTTAAACCAAAATTTTATCACAGATGCCAAGTTCCACCCCCACTACCCAGGGGTTGTTGTTTCCACGTCAAGTGACAATTTCAACATTTTCAAGCCGTGCAACATTTCATGATTCCGTACGAGGCAACGGGAGGAGAAGCGTGCAGCATCCCTCCAATTTGTTAGCTGAAGCTTACTTTTTTGCTGAATATTTGGAACCCAACTTTCTACGACTATGATTTGTGCCACCTTCAAACATTTTCTGCGTAGGAATATTTTATCCTGTCCTAGAACCCATACAAATGTACTTTTAAGGAGAAGGGATTTTCCGTGTAGTTCAGAAACCACGGAATGTGTTTTCTAGTCTTGCTGTTGTTCAGATGTGCATTCGGAAGTTATACACGCAGCGTAAAAATCAAACATAATCAAGCAAGATCAAACAAGATCAAACAGAATCAAGCAAGATCAAACAAGATCAAACAAGATCAAACAAGATCAAACAAGATCAAACAAGATCAAACAAGATCAAACAAAATAAAACAAGATCAAACAAGATCAAACAAAATAAAACAAAATAAAACAAGATCAAATAAAATGCAGCTTGGACGAAGCATACGTAAAATAAGGCAGATAACGCACGTGCATGCACGTACATATGTATACGACCGAGGGGAACGAACAAATTTAGTGGGTGCACAAATTTGAAGATGGGATGGAAAAGGCTGTTTTTTGGTTTGCATGCTATACAGTTCAATCATTATTGAGTTTGGGTACTATCAAAGGGTGCACCCCATCGCTGCCACTACCAACAACACAACTGCAAACCACTAATGAGTACGAACCTGAGCGATAGACTTGAAAGCTGTGTCGAGAACCTCACTAACGGTAGGGTGAGAATGTACCATGTAAGCCAAGTCATACACAGAGAGGCCCATGTTTATAGCAAGTACTCCTTCGTGAATAATAATGGAGGCATAATTACCAACTATGAAGACACCAAGAATTTCTTTTGTATCGTTTTTATAAATAATTTTTACCATTCCACTTGTGTTATCTATAGTGTTATACTTTCCTTTGTTATATAAATTATTTTTATGAACATTGATAGATTCGATACTATTATTTTCACAAAGTATTTTTGAATTTGCCTTGTAGTATGTTATTTCTGTTCCTATGTTGTCAGGGTGGTATAACTGTTTTGCTTCTTTTTCTGTTAATCCGACAAATGCCAATTCTGGATTTGTGTAACACACGGATGGGATGTTTTTATATATAATTGGTTTATTCATCCATTTGTTTTGAGAATCTATTATGCTTTTGTTTTTTTCTTTTTCCTCTTCGTTCCTATTTTCTTTTATATAATCGATAACCCTTAACGCTTGATGCGCTGCTGTGTGTGCTAACATCTGCATACCGTTTGCATCCCCTATGCAAAATATATTATTGTAAACTTCTTCATTTTCTTTTTTCGCTCGTAGATGTGTATCTACCTGTACATAACCTCTATTCGTTTGAATTTTCATTTTTTCTAGTCCAATATTTTCTGTGTTTGCTTTTCTGCCCGTGGCAATTAGGCAGCTATCTACATAAGTTTCTTTAATAGGGATCCCCTTTACACTGTTCTCGGGGCTGTAATCGACACCTGTATTTGCACCGTTGTCAGCAACTTTTTTCGTGTCCCCTTCAGTGTACCCGATTACTACAGGTTTGTTGGGTCGAGATGACTTCACATATTGAATACGTGCATTTAAGTGCATTTGCATAGGTTTGGTCTTGATAAAAACCTTATCAAAATACGTAGCCACGTCATTATCGAGCATTGGAAGGAACTGTGCAGAGTGTTCAAATGAGATTATTTCTGAACCAAGGGCTGTATATATATCTGAAAATTCAAGACCTATTATACCCATTCCGATTATGCCCATATAATTCTGTAACCCTTCCAATTTAACTGCTTGATCACTGGTAAAAACACTTTTTTGATCTATTTCTACATTGTGAGAAACATTTGGGACTGATCCCGTTGCTATGATTATATTTCTAACTTTGTATTCATTTCTGCTTTTTTCTGCTTTTATAGTATTTTTATCAATTATATACCCATTTTCATGAATTACCTGAACATGTTCAGAATTTTTAGAAAATTTGAAAGTTTTCAATCCGTGCATAATTCCGCCTCTTAATTTGTTAATAACACTTTGTGTGTATTCTTTTAATTTTCCTATATCAATCTGAACACTATCAGCTACTAACTGGTTGCTTTCAGATGGTGAATTATTTTTCTTCCCTTTTTGGGAAAACAAATTACTGTAAATGCCATAATTATACAATTTTGCCATATTTTTTAATTCTCTATATTTATTCGTTGCGTATAGAAGTGATTTACTTGGTATGCATCCAACATTAACACATGTACCTCCAATGTCATTTTCCTCTCCTGTGAAAAGTAAAACTTTTAATCCGCTTTCCATTGCATTTATGGCAGCAGCATGCCCTCCTACACCACATCCCAAAATTCCAACATCATATGGTCTTCTCTCTAATGTCATCATAGTTTCCCCTTGTGCATTCTCTCTTACTTGGAATATTTTTCGATTAATTCTTACTTCACTTGGGGAAACTGATCTAGGTGTATTCTTTGATTTGATGAATAGATTATTTTTTCTATTTCCAAATGGAGAATATGTAATCATCATCCATCTTGGATGTAAGTCATGAAATGTCTCGTTATTATTTGAAATTCCTACTAGTCGTATAACTTCCTTTCTACCGTGGGAATGATGCTTTACTCCTCGATTTCGATTAACCAGGATGAGGAAGTAGCTTAGCCACACGAAAATACCTGCACATGTGCAGAAAGATTTTTGCTTCACTGATGTATGTGGGCTCATTTGGTGCAGAGTAGTTCTGTGGTGCTGAAATTGAGAAGAGGATGAGACACACAAGGAAAAAGGGACAGGAGTGGGAGAGAAGCAGAACGAAACGAGAATGTTGTGCAAAAATTACGATGTTCCAACCAACCAAAAATGTGAAAAAGGGAGATAACCACAAATAACCTAACTTAACAAAAAAAAAAAAAAAAAAAAAATATATATATATATATGCTTCACACAAAGGGACATGCCACACATTTGACCATGCAACTTGTATCATTTCACATGAGCATGCAGAACTTCAAGAGGATACAGAGGCACACACTCCACAGAAAAAAAAAAAAAAAAAAAAAAAAAAAATTAACCTTATGAAGAAAGTGTGTTGCTGATTAAATAATTCCGCAAAAAGTATGAAATAAACCAACTTCTCTGTAATGATTTGTTCATTTTCTCAAAATTTATGATGAAAAGGAGAAGTCAAACTTTGGGTTACAAATAGGGGAGCAAGTAGAACAGAGAAGATGGGATGCGAGGATGTTCTCTATCAAACGTGGTGTACATATATGTGCATGTTTAACAGATGAACCACTACGTATGTTCATCTCATTCGATTCGTTTGTGTGATATTTCGCATATTTATTTATTCATTCGTGTATTTATTCATTCGTGTATTTATTCATTCGCGTATTTATTCATTTGTGTATTTATTCATTCGTGTATTTATTCAGTCATTTATTTTTCAGTCATTTATTTTATTTTTAATTTAAAACAAAAAAGGAAAAACGGAAACAAGGTCCCAATCGACAGTGACAATTGTAACTATGATCACCTGTACACAGTTACATTCACATGTCCGTTAGACTCCCAGTTCATAAATTTCCCGCATGCAACACTTGTCCTTAGGTTTTTCGGTGTAACTTTGATCAGCTATTTACAGTTACAGTTGCTGCTATCGCAAGGGACATTGTTTCTGCTTTTCCGTTTTTCTGTTTTTTTTTTTTTTTTTTTTTTTTTTTTTTTTTTTTTTTTTTTTTTTTTTTTTTTTTTTGGCTTAACCTTCTTGACGTGAAGATTCCGTATATGGGCATATTTCCTGAAATAGAATTGATCCACTACAACACAATAATTGAAATTTTTTACGAACGAAACTTGTCCCATTTTCACCATTTCAAAAAGGAATGACAATTGCGAATTAGCAAGTATCAACCTGTGTGGATGTTTAGGAGGAAATGAAGTTTGGATTTTGAGGATGGGAGAAATAATGACCAAAGTGTTTATTCAAAATGATTGAAAAAAAAAAAAATGCCAAAGTTTTTGGCGAGCTCAGGAGCCAACCATTTTGTTATAAAATTGTTATGCACGAATTTAATATTTTCGCAAAAAAAAAAAAAAAAAAAAAAACCTAAAAGAATGAAAAGATTAAAAATTAAGGGGATCATAAAGACCGAAATATCATATATCTAATGATACACATGATGAGAAAATTACTTTTTCTATTCGTTCTCACTGCAAATGGGTAAAAATTTGTTTAACTTTTTTTTTTTTTTTTATAGTTTTTTTTGCTTTTCCACCTGAACGTGTTCAGAAATTTATTTAGAAAAAAAAAAAAAAAAAAATGCACACCGGTGAAACATACATGGATATATTTAATGGGGTGTATTCATACAATTTATCCTAAATGGACACAAAGGTATTTATGGTAAGATTTAATAGAATGTGTAACATAGTTCTTGTCTTGTCTGTTTTTAGTCCTATGTCAACACGAGGTTTTTTTTTTTTTTTTCTTTTTTGCTTTTCTTTTTCGTTTTTTTTCCTCAAAGTATTTTCCGACCATCGCCCGAGTGAATGCATAAATATGTAAATGTGCGAATTTGTGGCAATCAAGCTTTGTCAGTTATATTACATCACGCCATTTGGTTAATGAAAAAAAAAAAAAAAAAAAAAAAAAAAAAAAAAAAAAATTCGAATTTATTACTTCACACCTTTTGATAATCTTTTGCCAAACGTGTGAATAATTTATCTTCATATGTTTATTCCTTTATATATCTTAATATCTTTATATATTTATTTTGTTTGTTTGTTTTTTTCTTATATCTTTCATGCCAAAAAAAAAAAAAAAAAAGCGAAATAAAAAAAAAGAAAAAAAAACTCACATATGGTGTAAAAATCACAAATGGCACAATTTGGCCAATCAGTACACTTGACCGAAAGGGGGAATTTGTGTGTACATCATTGCATGGTTTAAATAGATGACTATAACGTATTATAGGAATCATATGTACACAAGTATTTATTTTGTATGCTACCCCTCACTTGTGCTTTACTACCCCTTAGTGCTGTGTCCTTGTGTTTAGATTGTTTCATTAGCAGGACTCTTTTTTTCTTCTTTTTTTTCTTCTTTCTTTTCTTCTTTTTCTTTTTCTTTTCCTCTGCCCCTGTGTGTGCTAGCAGAACTTTTTGCGTCCCAATGGGCGTAGTCCGCACTTCACGTATCTGTAGGAGCTGCAAATTTGCAAACTCCATTTTGTCATTCTTAAGAACTCATCGTTTTGCTTAAACCCTCATTCAGCTAGGCACATATGCATCAATACATCAGTACATCAATATATATATAATATACATATATACATATACGGTACCTCGGTGCACGTGTGCTTGTCGACACTTAGTTCAATGAATACATGTGAACAATCATCCTTTGAGGTGAGCGGTAGCACTGAGCATTTGTCAAAAAAAAAAAAAAAATAAGATAAATAAAACTCAGCTAGTAGAAGCATCGAGGCAGCATCGAGGCAGCATCGAAGCGTTGACGTGTTAATGTAAAAACGTTGCAACGAATTCCGTAACACCATCGCGACCTACACGTGACGCTGAACCTGAGTGGCAAAAAATTAGGATCCGATAGAAACTGCAAAGGACGACAGAAAAATTAGGAAGCGAAGCGTGCGAAAAGGGGTAGGATTTTATATGACTTCTGTGGGATTAGAAGGTTAAAAACAAAAGTAGATATTTTACAAACATGTCAAATATGAAATTATGAAAACGAAGAAAAAGCATATGACCAATGTATATGAGAAAGTATTTGTATGAAGATATTGAATGGGATGGAGGTGATGATGAACAGTTACCTTATCATAACACAAATGGGCATAAGGAGGAGGAGGTGAAAACAAAAAAAAAAAAAAAAAAAAATTTGCGACATGATGAAAGTAATGAACTAATAGCTGATGAAACAAATGAAACAGATTTTTTTTCTTCCAATTTTGAAAGTATTAATCGAAAAGTTCCACAGTTTTCCCCTGATCATGATAATGTAGTACTCCCTGAGGGAAAAACCAAGTTCTTAAGCACCACTAAGCAGAGGCATGCAATGGAAAGTAGAAGTGCCTCTTGCAAAGAGCATGGGCGAAAGGATCGTACGGATTATTGTGAAGGTCAATCAGGTGAGGGTTCTAACCCGTGTGCATCAAATGATTCGTTATGGAAAAACCAGAGTCGGAGAGATGTCCATGGCAGCACCCGTAGCAGCAACCGAAGCGACATTCACAAGGACATTCACAAGGACATTCACAAGGACATTCACAAGGACATTCATAATGACATTCAGAGCGACATCCATAGAGGCAAGCGAAGCAGCAAGTCCTCCCTGGGCCTGAGCAATAGTGAATATGTGCACAAAGCAACTGGTGACATAGTGGATGTGCCAGATAAAGACTTTGAGGCCGAACTGAGTCAGATGAAAACGAAAATTAACTCTACGTTTGATTTATGGGAGAAGAACAATAACAAGTTGGATCATTCAGAACGAGATTTGCAGCAACATAGAAATAGTTCTGTTCACAGAAGAAAAACAAATCTTTACAATTACAAATTTGATTCTTATGAAAATGCCTTGAATGGTGGCACATCAAGTGATAGCTATCACAAAGTGAATGTTCTGAACGATGCAGCAATATGGGGTCCCAACATGTGTGATCAAAGTATAGATAATGAAAACAGATCAGTGTCGAAAGGTGTTTCAAGATGTAAAAATGGATTGGTAGCAAAAACTGAATTACGTGACATGACCAACGGAAACAGAAATGAAGGATGCAATAAGCTGATAAAAATGAATAGAGAACTTTCGCAGCCCTGCATGAAACAACATAAAGAGAAAGAGATTAAAAAGAAAGGAGTAGATGAGAGAAGTAATACTCCAATTATAAACAAGAACACGTTGAAGAAATCCTCATCGAATATTTGTCTTCCTAATAAGGCATCACAAAGTTGTCCAAATAGCAACCAAAACAGCAGTGTGCGAGGATCAGTAAGTACTATAAAAAGCCACGAAACTGAAGAAAACAAGGTAGAAGAGTTAAAAAAAAGAGAGTTAAAAAAGAAGAACATGAATATGAATGGTAGTGTCAATCGTTTAACAAGATCATTGACTACTTTATCTGAGTGTTCAGATAAATTAAATAAGCAAAATAATAATATTCCCCATGAAATAGAGGCTAGCCATAATAGTGCAAAAAAACAGACACAAAGGGATAAAAGATGTGATGAACCCACTGGGACCCATGATTCTTTTGCGAGCGTTGATTTTAACCTGGTTAGAAAAATCAAAAAAAATAAAAATGTGAAACAGAGGCATATGATGTCATCATCGGATGATGATGATGTGCCCATTCTAGACTCCACAGCTCTCAGCGATGAAAACAAATTCTTCAACGAAATTAAGGAATACCTGAATTATAAAAATGTCAGAGGTGGGGAAGAGGCGGCAGAGGAGGAAGAAGTTGGAGAAATGGCTGAAGTGGAAGAAGTTGGAGAAGTGGCTGAAGTGGAAAAAGTTGGAGAAGTGGCTGAAGTGGAAGAAGTTGGAGAAGTGGCTGAAGTGGAAGAAGTTGGAGAAGTGGCTGAAGTGGAAGAAGTTGGAGAGGAGGCTGAAACGCTGGAGGTGATTCCCGAAGGTTTGATGAAAGCTGTTCCCAGGAATGACAACCAACAGAAGTGGGACATCCCTGAGTTGAAGCAGAATGAAAACATAGATGATAGATGGAGAAGTGCATCTAAAAGAAAGAAATTCAAGCAGGTTCCACCATTGGAGGAGGGAGGGGAACCATCTTTCAAAGGAAAAAAATTACCCTTAAGGGGTCAAAGAGCTGATATCGGTATTGGCACTATTGTCAGTATTGGAAGTAACGAAAGTAGTGAGAGCGTGCCAAAATCGAATGCTCAAGATGGAGAGGCGATCCACCTCAGTCACCAACGTACAAGCAGAAGGAGGCATGTATCTACAATGGCATCGAAGGAGAGTCTAAGAGGAAAGGAAGTAGAGGGAGCGAACGAGCTAGAAGAAGCGAAAGAAGTGGAGGAAGCGAAAGAAGTAGAGGAAGCGAAAGAAGTAGAGGAAGCGAAAGAAGTAGAGGAAGCGAACGAAGCAGATGAGGAAGAAGGAAAAGGCGTAAACATCCTAGGACCTCGTCCCCTTCGGGTGCACCAGCCGCTTCTTAACCCAAAGGGAGACAAAAAAAAATTAGTTTCAAAAAAGAAAAATAACGAACATGTGGTGGGCAATCTGGGAAGGGGTAATGGAAGCTTTCAAGACTCAGATGAAGCAAAAATGTTACCGTCAAATATTTTTGAGGAAATCAGAGAAGGAAAAAAAGAGACACATTTCTTTCGTAGAGGCAGTAAGAGTAATTCCATTTTGATTGACCTCACCACGTGTGGTGATGAAGTAAATCCAAGTGAATTACCAGATGTAGTTTTGCGAAAAGATAAGATGTTTTTAATGACACAGTCCCTTGAGGAAGAGAGTAAAGAGAGGAATATTATTAACACAACCAATAAACGGTATATAGAAGAATCTGTTCTTAAGGTGGGGTCATCCAAATGTGAAACGTCCAAGTGTGAAACGTCCAAGTATGAAACATCCAAGTATGAAACGTCCAAGTATGAAACATCGAAACTGCATGAACGAGGTGAAGAATCACATGCACAGAAAGAAAATTTGACAAAGTGGGAAGAACGAGAAAATATGGCTGTAAGGAAAAAGACTGTGGAAGAACACAGAAAGAGGAGCGGTACCACAGGGATCCTCGATGTACAACAAATGTGGAGACGGTATGGAAATAGCACCGGATTTTTCAACTCAAATCATGTGAATAGACGGATAGAAGAGAAAACAAAGGGATCTAACGATTCTAATGAGGAAAGGTCGAACAGCCAAGAAAATGAAGAAAGCGCTCCGAGGGGTCGATTCCTCTTGCAGCAGAGAGGAAAGAAAATCAAGGATATTTTTATTTCGTTCATCAAGGGGGGAGAAGCCATAGGAAAAGCGGTAGAAGCAGAAGAAGCAGAAGAAGTGGTAGAAGCAGAAGAAGTGGTAGAAGCAGAAGAAGCGGTAGAAGCAGAAGAAACGGTAGAAGCAGAAGAAGCGGTAGAAGCAGAAGAAACGGTAGAAGCAGAAGAAACGGTAGAAGCAGAAGAAACGGTAGAAGCAGATGTAGCTGAAGAGGTAGGCGTGGAAGAAGGAAACGTAGGCAGGGCAAGGGAAACCCGTAAGCAGACCCTCGGAGCAGGAGAAAAAGAGAAAAAAAAAAAAAAAAAAAACGAAAATGCCGACATTTCATCTGAAACCAATTCTGGTAAAAAGAAACCAAACACAGTGTACAATAATTTTCTGGAAAGCCTGAAACATCCGTCGTGTAAACATGTAATAGAAAAGGTAAAAACATTCGTTTTGAGATTCCCGAAAAATATGAACAGAGAAATGGCAGCAAATAAAATTCATATGTTCATAAATGAAACACAACCAATTTTATTAAATTCTGAAATTTATAAGAATATTAATAGTTATCAAGCAAATGTTATAATTGAAGGATATGAGAAGTTTCTTTTGCAGAAATTGTATCCCTTTTTATATAGAATGGATTCGAAAGATAAAGATGAAGACGAAAAGATTTACACAAAAATTAATTGTTTACAATGGGTTGAATTGAAGCATTTGGAAATTTCAGAAGAAATTCATCTAGATCGTTTGAAACCTGCTCAAGTTGAACTTTTGAGAATCCAAAGAATGCGTGCACCAAATGATAAGCTAATTATGATTCTCAATTGTTGTCGTATAGTCACATCTGTTCTTTACAGAGTTAAGAAACTTTTAAAACATCAAAAGGAGAAAAGATTGAGAAAGTTGAAGACATTGGAAGCATCCATAAATAACCATCCACGCATTAGTTCACAAAGCAGACGAAAACAATTAGAGGATGTTAAAGATAAATACATCACTGAATTGGATGAACCCACATATATGGGATCAAATAAATCTAGCCAAACAAGAGGTAGTTACCACAGCCTTCAGGCCAAAGTTCCAGAACAAAACATGTTTCCAAGAAAAGAGGGAAAGAAGCAAAGATATTCTGCTGACAATTGTGAAATTGTGGACTCAACTGTTGAGAGTGATTGTGGAGGTAGGCATGGAGTGGACGAAGCGGACGAAGCGGATGGATCAGACGAAGGAGATGTCCAAAATGATGATGAATTACTACCCTGTGCTGATGAAGTTCTTCCACTACTTATATATGTTATTATCAAGACAAATCCACCAGAACTCATTTCAAACATCTCATTTATTCAAAGCTTTCGACACCCAAATCATCTGGTTTCAGAAGAAGCTTATTCCTTTACGCAGTTTTGTAGTGGTGTAGAATTCATTAAAGAACTAGGAAAGACAACTTTCTTGAATATGCCTGAACAGGAATATAGAGAAAAAGTATCTAAAGCAGAAAAATTTTATTTAAATGAAGTGAAAGAAAGTAATAAAAAATTACAAGAAGCTGCAGGGAAATTAAATGATTTTATTAAATTATCCAATGAAAAAAAATTGTGCACAAATATTATTAGCAAAATCGAATCTTTAAAATTAAATTTTGAAAATATAGAAAATTTTAACTCTCTTACCATTTCGAATCTATCCCATATTTTTGAAGAATACAAGTTACTTGTAAATCTGAAAAATGACATTTTGAAGGATATTCAAGAACATGCCGGAGAAAATTTCACGACTCAGAGGTAAAATCTGAAACGTGCATATTTAGATGTGGAGAGAGAGAGAACTGAACTTCATACGAATACGAGCTGCATGACGAGACATGAACAAAAAGTTTACTTTGTTCCTCCGTTTTCATTTTGCATAAGTTTTTGTATGTGTTGAATTGGGTTGAGTCATATATTTTTTTCCCGTTTTTGTCAATTGCGTAGTTTTCCAATTCAACCATTTATCCATTCTTCTATTTTTTTTTTTTTTTTTTTTTTTTACATGTCTTCCATGCGACCTTTATTTGTCCACAAGTATGCGAAGTGATATGCTTCTTTTTTATGTACCTTTTTTATGTACCCTTTTTATGTACCTTTTTTATGTACCCTTTTTATGTACCTTTTTTATGTACCCTTTTTATGTACCTTTTTTATGTACCTTTTTTTTTTTTTTTTTTTTTTTTGTGTGTATGTGTGTGTGTGCTTATTTGTGTGTTCGTTCACAATTCGTAACACAACCCTTTTGATAAAAACATAATTACCCACTCGAACATGATGAAAAATTTAGAAAAACTTGTGATATTAGTCCATCTCAACTTTTTATCGTACTTGTATTCCACGTTTCTGAGTTTAGCACGATACGTAAAAATGAGATAATATATAACACTACACAGGGAAAAGCTTAAGTGAAACAATAATAAAAATTTAAGCATAGCATAACATGATTTGGTTAAGTATGGTCAGGTGAAACCTTGGAGAAAACACACATTACAAAATGTTGCAACAATTACACAGACACAGGGTGTTAATTTTGATTAGAAAAAATTTTAATCAATTATCCACTGTGTTAGACTTTTTTTTTTTTGCTAAATAATTGTGTATTCCTTTTATATCAACAAAAAGGTTTTTTTTTTTTTTTTTTTTTTTTTTTTTTTTAAAAGGTATATGCATATTTCAAAGGGGGATGGTAAGTTTACGTGAAGATGAATATAATGTATAACATGTCTCCTTTCCAAATGATATTCTTCAAAAAAAAAAGTAATATGAAATAAAAAAAAAATATATATATAAAACAAGAATTCGATTTAATGAACCTACCCTCCATATATGCATACATATACACCTGCATCTATTTTGTAACTATATTTTCTTCCAATGTTTAGCTCATTTCAACGTGGGAACTCCAAGTGCAGTTTGCTTTCCTGTTGAAGGCAAGAATACCTAGGGCAACATGCTAACTCGTTTTTTTTAAATATTGAATTTATTATTTTGGTTTACTTGGCTTTTATTTTGGTTTACTTTTATTTTTCTCTATTTTTTTCCGTCGCAACATTCGGGTTAGAATTGGTGCCACATAACAAATTGGTTTATACACTGGGTCCATTAGGAAGAAGGCATAGCTGGGATGATGTGATGAAATCAGTTCCAAATAGGTCCATTTTGGCTATTTTTTTTTTTTTTTTTTTTATCGCCTGCACAGGTCAGCAAAAAAAAAAAAAAAAAAAATTTCCAGGTGTGATGCAACTCCTTTAAGTTTTACCACTTTCCCAGACTATATTCATTATTTTGATGTTTTTTTTTTTTTTTTTTTTTTTTTTTTTGTTAACTCTTTTTCTTCACGTCTCAACGATGACTACTGTTGGCTGTTAAACCTCTACTCGCACGCTATATACACCACAACTAAGAGTCACCTACAGTGAGGATATTTTTTTTTACCTGAAAAGCAAAAACGTTTACCAGTAATGCAAAAAAAAAAAAAAAAAAAAAAAAAAAAAAGAAAGAAAGAAAGAGATCAAGAAAGAGAAAAAGATCGAGAGAGACATATAGGAGAGGAAAACGACAAGATAATAAGTACATAATACCGAACAGGACGTAAAAGGGAAATGTTGCAGCGAGAGGGGGTTATTAGCTATGTATTAATGTCAAGGCGTGGAGCGTAACATGCTGTTCAGCGAATATGCAAGATCACACGTAAATCATGTGTATATATATACACACATATACACGTGTACATATATATGTGCAGTATAATATATATTATACATCGGGACTGGAGTGCAAAACGGATTATTGCCGTACCTGCTCGTGTACACATGCTGGTGTACCATTCCCCCGTCCCCCGTCATTGTCAGAACTAGTCATTGAGAGAGAGGAAGCTTTTAAAATGGTTATGAAGACAAAGCAATGGAACATCACTACGTGTTTGTGGTATATCTCTTTGTAGTATACATATGCAGTAGTATAAAATTGAATAAATATCACAATGGTAGAGTTTCAAGAATAAATAATCTAATGAACATTTCAAGCAATATAATCTCACAGAGGGTAAAGAAAGACAAGATTGAGCCAATAAAAGGGTATAATAATGTGGGAATGGAGAATACTATTGAGAAAGGCGAGATAAATGGTAAATGCAATATTATGATAAGGTACTATGATAAATCAGATATTTTCCGTAACAGTTTTTTTTTAAGCATGGATGATAAAAACAATGTAAAAGATATTAAAGAACAAATTGAGAATTTACACGGAATACCAACATCCTTTCAACAAATTATATATGAAAACAAATCACTAAATGATGACATAGTGATACAAAATTTAATAAAGGATAAGAAAATAAAATTGTTAAATTTAAATCTTGTTACCATTCTTCCACATATCTTTATATTTGGTGAAGAGAAATTAGTTAATGGATATAAAAAAGAAAATAATAAAAAAGTTCAAAAATTGCAAAAAAAAATAAAATATTGGGGTTATTTGACATTACTTAATGAGTATAAAAAATTATTACACCATTTGGAAGAAAAAAATTATGTCATTTGTCAAAATGATATTATACAGTCCTTCAAAACATTCGATAAAGAATTCGAAAAAATGTTACATGATAACAGAATAAATTTAGACAAGATAAAAAAAGAAATAGATCAACTCCAAAATTTGAGTCGGAAAAAATTGATGCTACGCTTAGGTGTTGACTATCCACTCATGAGCAATTTGCTCATAAACAGAATTCACGAATTAATCAATTTTTACTACCTAGGAGATATAAAATCGGTTCTTAAATTTTCCCTTTTTTTTTATATTCTCTATAAATATGCCAACTACCCTCCCAATGTCAAAAGGCTTTTTCTCTATTTAACGTTTTCTTTCTTACTAGCGCCCTGCAAAGCTGTGTACATGCTTTTCCACTTTTGTTTTTTTTTCGTTCCTCGGGGTCTCCTTTTTCGGGGTTAGTGCACAAGCGTGAATATCTCTCCCTAGACACAGGGCGAAGTCAAGTGACCTTCTCATCTCTCGCTCAACCCCTTGTTGTCAATTCAAATTATTTGCTAGGGCTTCAACACACACTTGACACGTCCATATTTAATATCTCCATATTTAATATCTCCATATTTCATCCCCTCCCCTCCCTCAACCCCTTTGCAGGTTTCACAAATATTATGTCCGCACCATACCAACAAATACTTAAGTGTCAGTAGAACTGTCCCAAATCTCCAATTCGGTAGTAAAACCTCCCAGTATTTCCGTTCCCCAAAAATTTTTGGTTGAAATGTATGCGGAGAGTATTGTGGATATTGTGAAACTGATGATGAACGCTTTTTTGTTTTTTCACTTTTTCACATATGAAATGTTACACTAGGGGAAAAAGGTGTCCTCCTACCCTTCACAAAAAATGAATATAACAATTCAGAGAAAAAATTCTTCCCCCTTCGAAATTTTTTTTTTTTTTTTTTTTTTTTTTTAATGTATGCCTTTGCAAGTTGTCCATTTATGAATTTACCTTATTTATTTTTATATTTTTTTTAATTATTTTTTTTTTTTTTTTTTTTTTTTTCGCGTGACAATAAGTTTATGAAAATCAGTTCAGTTATGTTGTATGTGTTTGACATTTTTTCCCTGTATGCTTCTTCATACCTAGATATATATATATATATATGTATGTATCTACATGCATCCCATCACATGATCTATTTATGAGACAATTTATTAGCATAGCTTTTTTATTTGTCACATTTTTGCAACTCGGAAAAATAACACATATATTACACCATATGATATGGTTTTTATTTGGTATGTTGTTGATATATATATATACCACATATGCAGTTGCATTCAGCAAAAAAACTATATCTATAACATAGATCTCGCTCTACAGTTAGTAATTTTTTACACACATTTTCACTTTTTTGAAAAATTTAATTCTTATTCATCCTTTTTTTTTTTTTTTTTTTCCACATGATCGATCATGTGATGAGTTGGTAGTGTAAATATACAACACCACACTTTTTTTTTTTTTTTTTTTTTTTTTTTTCACTTGCAAAGCAGATCAACATGAATAACACATAAATTATGGGATTTATAACTGGTTCTTTGCTCTGTATCGTTATTTAAAATAATATGGTATGATGATACGATCGAAATTATTATCATTCTTATCAATGTTCTCCTCTCATTGTGATGACAGGGTCTGGTGCAAATGATGAAAACATTGAAAAGGATGAGAAGTTGGATGATAAAATTTATGAATTTACCACCTTTTCATGGTAATAACGATGAGAAAAAAAAATAAAATAAAAATGAACATATAAATATAAATACAAAATTATAAATAAACAAATAGAATATGTGAGAGTTCTTTTTTTTTTTTTTTTTTTTTTTTGTGATTTTATATTTTATAACTTGGCGCACCGTGGTTGCCGGTTCCAAGATACAAATCTCACTGTATAGTTTTTTTCTTCCCATTTTTCTTTTTCTTTTCTTTTCATTTTTTTTTTTTTTTTTTTTTTTTTTTTTTCCCTTTAAACGCAAAAATGAGAGCTCACTTAATGATGCCTGAAAAAAAAAAAAAAAAAAAAAAAAGCAAAAAATGAAAAGAAAAGAAAAGCAGAGAAAAGCAGAGAAAAGAAAAAGGGTTAAGCAAATTGAAATTTAGCAGATGACAGGGAAGAAAAAATAAAAATAAATAAATAAAAATAAGATAACCATAAAGAGGAAAAGCTAAACACAGAAAATTAAGCATACTTGTGGTTATACGTTACATATTTTTTATATCTGCATTTACACTACACCATTTTGAAAAAAAAAAATAAAAGGTTATCACATCTCCCCACAAAAAGCTATATTGTTGCCATTTCACTACTACAGTACTATTAAGCACTTCTAGTAACTATACTCGTTTCATTGTACTCATGCCAAGATGATACAAACAGGTATATAACTTTCCATAATTATGTTTAAACACACGATAAATAAAACTGGCAGGAAAAAAAGAGTGACAAAATAAAGTAGTTTCCAAAAAAACACGTTAACTATTCTCCTCTGTTGAAGGCCATTTTTGCCTCTCCATTTTTGCATCCCCATTTTTGCATCCCCATTTTTGCATCCCCATTTTTGCCGCTCCATTTTTGCCGCTCCATTTTTGCCGCTCCATTTTTGCATCCCCATTTTTGCCGCTCCATTTTTGCTGCTCCATTTTTTCATTTTACCCCTTACGATTCTTCGAAAACCATTTGCACATTTTTAGAAAGGAAAAACTGGGTTGATATCGATGTAGAAGATGATGAATCACAGAATGAAAATGATAATAGTAAGTTGAAATGGAATAAAGAATAAAATAGATGATGCACGAGTTTAGTTGCACAGTTCTCTATAATGAAAACCAGTTCATTTGAGATAGACTCAAAATTGAGCATGTAATAACCACCACGATGGCACCATCATCACGATAGCACCATCACCATGAACAGCTCTCTTTAACTCGAAGCATATTCAAAAATAATACATATATTTTCACCACCCCACCACCATTCCTCTTTTGCAGAAAAAAAGTGGGAAGACATAGATGCAGATGATGATTTAGAGAATAATAAGAAGCTTTCATACTTTACCAATTATGAAAATGGTGTTAAAGTCGTGACAAAGTATTCTGAAAATTTGAAAAAACAAACAGTTAAGGTTGGATTTATACCACCCATCCCCCGAGGCGTGACTTACCATCCTCGCATGGGTGATTCTTCCCTTTTGTGTGTTTCTCTCTGGCATTCGAATTTGGCACATTCGAATTTGGCGCATTCGAATTTGGCACATTCGAATTTGGCGCATTCGAATTTGGCTCATTCAAATTTGGCGCATTCAAATTTGGCTCATTCAAATTTGGCGCATTCAAATTTGGCGCATTCGAATTTGGCGCATTCGAATTTGGCACATTCAAATTTGGCTCATTCAAATTTGTGACATCCCCATTTGTGACGTCCCCATTTGTGACGTCCCCATTTGTGACGTCCCCATTTGTGATGAGCATATCTTGTATTGTGTCTCGACCCTGTCGCCTATGCTTCTCCATAAATTACATACACACTGCACAACACATATGCCACACCTCATTTGTCGTGCAGGTAACCAAGAAAATCAAAGAAGTAGTTATAAAGAAGAAGCTAAATAAGGAAATTAACAATCGACTTAATTTAAAAAATTTTAACATTGACACTGTAATGCATTCATTTATGAGTGCGTGAAAAAGATTAAGACACTCGTTTTTGTATGAACATTTAATCCTTTTGATTTGTTTTATTTTGCTTATTTCTGTATATTAGATGACGTGATAATAGTATACGCTATATAGGGAGAGAGAGAGCAGCGTTTATTTTATTATTTTTATCCATATTTTTATCCTTATTTTTATCCATATTTTTATCCTTATTTTTATTTCCCTATTTTTCTTTATTTTTATCCTTATTTTTATCCTTATTTTTATCCGTATTTTTATTTCCTTATTTTTATCCGTATTTTTATTTCCTTATTTTTATCCGTATTTTTATTTCCTTATTTTTACTTCTTTATTTTTATATCTTCTTCCCCCCACTGCAGTGCAGTTCTGTCATAGTCGAACCAACTGATGTTGTAAATATAGAAGTGCCAAAAAACAATTTACTGGATTTTCTCAAGGGAACAGAATATGATTACTTGTTCTCAGAACAAGCAGACAAGACAGCTAAAGATTTGAAAAATAGATTCAAAATATTTAAGGATGAAGATGTGGAGGTATGTTTAACTATATTTTTTTTTTTTTTTTTTTCCATTTGCTATGTTCAAATGTAACATATGACAATGTATGATAATCACATTTGAAGTGTATTCCAATCTGTATTTGACTCATTTTAGATGTATAGTTACTAATTGTTACCTTTTTTTTTTTTTTTTTTTTTCTGACTTCTCAGGAAACAAAACCAGACGACCCAAACAAATTGAATGCAAAAAGAGATATGTTGTACTATCGATCACACGTAAGTATTTACATTTCAACATGTGTGTTTTTTTATGAGAGATACACCTTTCCCATTTTTGCAGACAAAAAAATGTCAAATGAGAATGTATAAAAGTATATAACTGCATGTTCTATTCAATGATTTCACAATCACATTAGAATTTTTGTTTATCACCCTCCCTCATTTGCATATCTCACAGGATACCCAAAATAAGGAGTGTACTGTTCGCGTGACGAATTTAAGTGAAGATGTGAATGTAAGGAGAGAAACACGATACAGGTGTATGCACCTGTACATGCACGAGTGGGTATATGCACCTGTACATGCACGAGTGGGTATATGCACCTGTACATGCACAAGTGGGTATATATACCTATACATACGTGAGTGCTTATTTTTTTTTTTTTTTTTTTTCCCTACTGCAGGAAAGCGAGTTATCCAACTTATTTGGACGAGTTGGACAAATATCCAGAATGTTCTTAGCCAAGCACAAGTAAAACAAAACCAAAACATGCATATATATATATATATGTACACGATTTGATGAATAAACGAAAAAAAAAAAAAAGGAAAATCACATGTGCATATAGTGACCCGTTTTGTTCACTATGCTTGTCGTGCAAAGATATATTTTTTTTTATGCAAAAATGTACATGTATTTTTACTATTCAGGAACATAATTAAATTTTTCTCTTTTTTTTTTTTTCTTTTTGCTTGTTTCATTTATTTCAGGGAAACACAAAATTCCAAAGGATTTGCCTTTATTACTTATTCCAATAGGGAAGAAGCAAAGAGAGCTATCGAAAAACTGAATAGACATGGATTTGAGAATTTGTTATTAAGTGTAAGCAAAGAAAAAAAAAATTGGTACAACATTGAATGATGAGTATAAAACAGTGTTATCTTTGCTTATTTATTTATCCAGGTATATATTATGTCCATTTAACATTTTTTTTTTTTTTTTTTTTTTTTTTTTCTTCCCATTTGACAGGTGGAATGGGCTAAACCATCCAACAGATGAAGGAAAAGACCCTTTTGCGTGTTTCCCCAATTTTGCGTTTCCATTTCTGCTTCGCTTTTTTTACTTCTCCATTTTTTGGACCATTTTATTCCATTTCCCGCCACCTTTATTTCAAAAGATCAACGCAATTTAACTTATACTGATTATTATTTTCAATTAAGTTATAATTTATGCCAAGGCAATACCTGAAAGAGAAAAGGAAGAAACATCATCCCAGAGAAAAAAAAAAAAAAAAAAAAAACGGAGGCATATAAAAAATTAATAGATGAATAGATTGAAGTTGGGAAAAAATACGGATGCGGGTGGGGTGGGGAAAAGGGGTTACTGTGTAAGCTTTTTTTTTCTCGTTCCCTCTTTTTTAAAAAAAAAAAAAAAAAAAAAAATCATTTGGATTAACCATTCAAGGAGGTGTATTTCCTCAGCATGAACTATCTTAAATTTCTGTTTTATTTCTTCCCAATATTCTTTCAAGTCACGAAATGAATTTCTATATTGCATATCATAAATGGCAATCAACAAATCCACAAAGTTGTTGTCTACAAAGGTGCGTGTGGGGGAGTGGAGGAGAAGGGGTTGAAACGGGACATATTTATGTATGCACAGAGGAGGTAGAACAGTAAAATCTACTTTTGATGCATGTGAATGAACATTAGACTTAAGAGGTAAGAAGGACGGCTTGCTCATATATAGAAATATGAACGAAGGCACAAGGGAGGAGGGGAGGAGGAGGACCTTTTATTTTTTTTTGTGGGATGAAAACAGAGCTACGTTTCTTCCTCATTTTGTTTGCCTCCCCTTTCATCTATCCATCCTTTCTTCTTCCTCATCTCCTTCCTTTTTTTTTTTTTTTTTTTTTTTTTTTTTCAATTTCATTCTTACCATAATAATCATACATGTAAATAATTTTTTTCTTGGGAGATTTTCCATGGTCGCTAAAATGAGAACCGGAATTATATTCATTGTCATGTTGAATATGTTGATCAACTTTTGCATTTCCATTCTTCAGATACCTTTTTGCACTTTCTATAGTTGTCGAAATAATATCTGTCGCTTTGTTAATCACACCATTACTCTTCTCTCCTTCTGTAATTTGAGATGTTACTTGAGTGGCGACATTTCCTTCTTCACTCAAGATTCTACTCCCTTCAACTGTCTTTTCATTTTTCAGGGAGTTTAAATACGAAGTTATGTAGCAAATCTTGTTTTGGCTTTCGCTTTTTTTCATGAAGTTTGCAACTTCCGCGTGCAGCTGCGGTGAGGAGGAGAGAGGGGGTATATAGGGGTGCAGGTGAAATTGTGAAAAAAAGTGATATTTGCCTGACCGTTCAGGTAGTTTCGGGCAAAAGCCACATACGCACACGTGTACATATATAAATATATATACATACATACATACACACACAAGAACATATATATACATACACACACAAGAACATATATATACATACACACACGAGAACATATATGTATATACACCCAGGTATGCATGCACGTATGCGCGCGCTTCTCCATTCTCCTCACCCGGCCCTCGGGGACATTGTACGGATTTGTTATAAAATTGTAATTCACTTCATTGACTACAAAGTCCAACTGTCCTAAGTTCACGTCCGTTGATTTTAAGTAAAAAGGCATGTACAAATCGAAGATCTTTTTCTCACATTTCATTTTGTTATTATATTTCATAAAAGACATTATTTGTATTTCATGATCATCTAATGTTTGAATTTTCTCAAAATTTTCCTTTTCCTTGTTTTCTTTGTTGTACTTTTCTATCTCTTCGTTCATGCTGTTTTTTAGCAGCTCCTTACGCAGTTTCTGTGTTATCACGTCGAAGGGAAATTTTCCTAAGTGAGGATGATGCAGTGATGATGCAATGACGATGCAGTGACGATGCAATGACGATGCAGTGACGATGCAATGACGATGCAGTGATGATGTAATGACGATGCAGTGATGAAGTATAAGCCGCTAAACAGTACGTGGACGATGGGGAAGTGCAAGAAGAATGGCGAAGTGTTACGATTTTATAGCAGCATAGTTGAGCAATTCTGCAAAAGTTTGCACACACAACTTCTAAAACATGTAGGGAGACACATTTTGACATAAGCACATCATGTATGCATGGTAAAAAAATATGATATGAGGAGCATCATCATACCGGTAAAAACATAATGCTTAGCGTTGCTGACAGTAGAAATGAAGCGAACTTCATTTTGATATTTATAATTATACATATCCAAATATCCACATATATGTGTTTGTTTGATGTAATTATTATATATATAAATGAAAGCAAAGTAAGACGTAAGAAAGAATAAAATAATTAGAAAAAAAGTTTTAAATAATTCTAAAATAGCATATTTTTTGTTTATTTTTAATTCAGTTAATGAATTTATACTAGAATCATCAGTTAATGTTTGTGTGAAGAATTGGCTGCTAAACATTTTTTTTAAATTTTTTCTATCAATTTTTATTGTTCTTATATTCCTATCTTGTTGTTTTTCATCCTGTTTAGCATCCTTTTCTTGTGTTTTGTAATTCATTCGATCGTTTCCTTGGTTCTTCATGTCATTTGATGTTTTCCTAGCATCTTCAACTTGTTCATTATTATCTCCCTCTCCGTTAACTTCCACATCTCCAATATCAAAATTAAATTCATTGTCCAAACTCCTATACACATTTTTTATGTCTCCCCTCGACTTTTTATATTTTCCATCCACAATTTCAAAGTTTTCCATTTTGTTCAGAAATGGAGAATTGTCAATTTTTTTTTCGGACATTTTGTTCTTGACTAGATTTTTCCTTTAGATTGAGACGCGAGCATAAAAAGTAGGAACACACTATTCCAAGTCTGTTCAGCCTTAGGGAAAATACCTGTCTGGGTTTTGATATGTGTATATTTTCCAGTTGGGTGTAAAACAGAGAAAACACACGCTTTTTCTCTTTCCTTCTTTTTTGTCTGCTTCAAAATTTGGAGATGCGAAAAGTCTGCATAAGTGTAATAGTTAACATAAGTGTAAGTGTGCGAAAATGGAAGTATTTGTGCCATAAAGTTTGGCTTAACCATGAACCTTAAACCCTCTTATTAATATTTTTTTTAAAAAAAAAAAAAAAAAAAAAAAAAAAAAAAAAAAAACACTGTAAGGGTTTTTCCCTTTGTGATAAATTTACAGTATGTGTGTGTGTGTTTGGAATTCGAATAGTTACAAGATTGTAATGTTTAATTTTGTTTAGTTCTGTTTAGTTCTGTTTGGTACCTCTTTGCTTATTTGGAGAATTTTTTTTCTTTTTTTTTTTTCTTCTTTTTCTCGGTTCCGCTTTGATACCCCTTTTTACCCACTTTGGATTTTGAGTGTGGCCCACTTCGAGCCTCACTCGGGGCTACCACCTACCCAAGTGGTGCATCTAAATTCAAGTGCAAAAGAAAGGAGTGAGTGAGTGAGTGAGTGAGTGGGGGTGGGTGGGTTATGCTAAAGAGACAAGTCTCTCACCTCTTCTCCACCCTAAAAAGGTGGCATAAAAAAAAAAAAAAAAAAAAAAAAAAAAAAAAAGCTCGTTTCTTTGCAAGTCTGGCTTTATTTTTAAAAAATCATTTCTCATTTTTTAACACAGCTAGAAATGTGCTGAAAAGGAAGAAAAAAAGACGAAGAAAAGAAGAGGAAAAAAAGGAACGGAAGAGGAAAAGAAGAAAAGAAGAAGGAAAGAAGAATAGAAGAAGGAAAGAAGAATAGAAGAAGGAAAGAAGAATAGAAGAAGGAAAGAAGAACAGAAGAAGAAGAAAAAAAATGAGCTCATAATTCCTGGTGCTAAATGTGCATAACTGTGTGAGTGTTCCTTACTGGAGCATAATATACATACATACTGTTTGTCATAATTTTTATGCATGCATGTGTAACGTTTCTCTTTTTTTTTTTTTTTTTTTTTTTTTTTTTTTACAAAGTCCCGTGCAGTGTGTTGAATGAGGAATTGCGTCCCCCTTTATTGGAGGGCTATACATGCAACAGTATTCTTGTATATGTTTAAAAAAAAAAAAAAAAAAGAAAAAAAAAGAAATGACAACTCTCTAAAAATTACGGCTTCCTAAAAATTACGGCTTCCTAAAAATTGCAGCTTCCCAAAATTGCAGCTTCCCAAAATTGCAGCTTCCCAAAATTGCAGCTTCCCAAAATTACGACTTCCTAAACGAGAATTACATTATTAGCATTCTCAACATTGCAAAAATGGGGAGGGGCCTCTATTTTACCAGAATATAAAAAAATAAAATAAAAAAACGAGAGAGAAAGAGAAAGAGAAATAAAAAAAAAAAAAAAAAAAAAAAAGGAGTAATAAACGCCTTTTACCTTTCCTATTTTTATTTATTCATCTATTCGTTCATTTTTCTGAATTGGTCAGAACTTGACTTGTGTATATACATAAACTTATTTCCAACTTTAGCATAGACCCACAACACTGTACTATTTAACTTATAAAAAGGTGGCTCAAAACCTCAGTCTCGTTATCTCCAACACCTTTACATTGTGCCCGGAAAAAAAAAAAAAAAAAAAAAAAATGAAAAGGAAAGACAAACAATTGATTTCTATGGGAAAGGAGGAGATAGATGAACTGATTGGGAACTCATTAAAGTCAGGAGATACAGAAGAACATCCGTATTTTTTGCAGCAGAATAATATATACTGGGAAACTGGGCATAGGACATACATTCCCTTTTTTCACTTTTTAATTCACAAGTACACGAACAAGATAATAGACGACCAGGTGAGTTATAACACACACACACACGCACACCCTGGTTTATTTTTCTCCTTTATGCATTTCTCCATTTTTACTGTGCTTTGTGCATCCACCGTTACACACATCGATATGTAAGTACACACATCGATATGTCACTACACACATCTATATGTCACTGCACACATCTATATGTCACCACACACATCGATATGTCACCACCCATAATGCCACACCGACTACAGATCAGGAAATTCACAAAAAGTGTGCAAAGTGTACATCATACCCCATTTGTATTCCACAAAGATGGTTATTTTAGAAGTTACTATGCTGATCCAGATGTAAACATGATTTTTCACTTAAAGAAGAACACAAATTTTGTTTTTAATTCAACGGGAACTCTTAGTTCATATAACTTACTGGAGAATAATTCTTCCTTTGATAAACCAACACACATATTTAATCAAGTGCTCATGAGTGCTTTTAAAATGGATTTGAAAAATGCCATAGAAGGAGAAGAAGGAGTGTCTGTGTAAATTGGGTAATAAAATGAAGGTGCTTTTTTCCTTATTGTCCAAACTTTTGTCTTAAGCTTACTGTGTGTATCTTTTTTGTGCAGTTCATATTTTAGACAAAGGAATCAAATTGTGTGAAGCATAGGACGCGTTGAAGAAAGAAAAGAAAAATAATAACGTAAAAAAAAAAAAAAAAAAAAAAAAAAAAGGGGAATGTCAAACCATCCACACCTCTATATTTACCACGCACCAAGAGAAGAAAAAACTATTCATTCACCTCACAAATGTCGAATCGGCTTTGCTTTGCCCGGTTTTTCTTTGCCCATCTCTGCCTTACCCACAGCTTTTCTTTTCTTTTACTACCTCCTTTTTTGTGGCCTCGTTTTTGATTCATCCTTTTTTCCTTCTTCCGTTTTATCGTGCCTGCCCTCCCCCCCTTTTTTTTTTGGAGGCTAAAAACAAAATGGTTATCTTTCTTTTCGTACTGAATTTTTTTTTTTTTTTTTTTTATTTGTTAGATCATCTTTCTTATTCGTTTTGACGAAATAAGAGAACCATACACTAACTCAAAAATAAATAAATTTATAAAAAAAGAAAAAAAAGGGATTAAAGAAATAAAAGAAATACCATTTCGCTAGCTTGAAGGGTAAAGAAATGTCAACAGCGAGGGTGCGTTAGCGAAGAGGCAAATACCCCTGACTCGCCCCATATATCGCTACACACATAAATGTATACATGCCAGTTGAATATCTTCTCATTTGTGTGACATTGCACACACACACCTCCTCCCTTAAGATCCGAGTGGGTATGGGTTCGTAGAATTTTCCATTTATTTTTTTGCCATTTCTTTGTATAGTGTGTTTGAAAAGGGATTGAAGTAGATAAATAAATATGAATGATCAGATGGTGGCGTGGCGAGAGAGAAAGAAAGGTAAAGACTCCAAAATTTGTATAGTTTTTTCTCTTACTATACTGTGATTCCTTAAAATTGTGAAAGCATTTTTTTTTTTTTTTTTTTTTTTCTCCCACCTGGATTTTACATTCTTCGTGTGCGTGTAAGGGAAATTGCAACTAGGACTTAGGATATTCTTTTTGTTAGCTTTAGAGGGTTTTTTTTTTTGTTCTCGGGGTGCCGGGGGGGTTGGCATATATACATATATATAAAGATATATACACACATATACATATATATATATATATATATATGTATATTTATTCTTTTCCTCCCTCTTTTTCAAATTGTAAAGAGAGAGGGTAGGAGAAGAGATCACAGTACACTTTCAAAGTTCAAAAGTGAGGAACAATCAAAGTGGTAAAGGAATGAGGACAGTGGCAAAACGACCTGCAAAATAACTTAAGGTACTGCACAAAAATGTAAGAGTCTTTTTTTTTTTTTTTTTTTTTTTTCCATTCTTTTGTTTCATTTTTTTTTTCATTTATTTTTTCCCCTTTTTTTTTCCCATTTTTTTTTCCCCTTTTTTTTTCCCCTTTTTTTTCCCCTTTTTTTTCCCCTTTTTTTTTCCCATTTTTTTTCCCCTTTTTTTTTCCCTTTTTTTTTCCCCTTTTTTTTTCCCTTTTTTTTCCCCTTTTTTTTTCCCCTTTTTTTTCCCCTTTTTTTTCCCCTTTTTTTTTCCCATTTTTTTTCCCCTTTTTTTTTCCCATTTTTTTTCCCCATTTTTTTTCCCCTTTTTTTCCCCATTTTTTTTCCCCTTTTTTTTCCCCTTTTTTTTCCCCTTTTTTTTTCCCATTTTTTTTCCCCTTTTTTTTTCCCATTTTTTTTCCCCATTTTTTTTCCCCTTTTTTTCCCCATTTTTTTTCCCCTTTTTTTCCCCATTTTTTTTCCCCTTTTTTTCCCCATTTTTTTTCCCCTTTTTTTCCATTTTTCCCTCCAACTTCTTGACCCGGTGGCAATCACACATAAAGGAATACATGCTGGAATGCAGAAACGCAACTTGGCTTCACACACACGTTAAAACACTACACGATACTATTACTACACAACTTGGCATAGTACAAAGTGACATAACTTAGGTTAATTCACGAAAGAAGCTCCTGGCATGCACACAAAAAGGAGAGATTAACAAATTCAAAGGAAAAGAAGAAGAGGAAGAAAAGGGGGAAAAATGCGATATCAGGATTTGCTAAAGAAAATAAAATTAAGCAATCGGTTCAAAGGAAATATTTACATGAATCGTGCGTTTAGCCATGGAGGAGGAGGAGGGAGTACTGAACAAGTGAAATATGTGAAAGAAGGAAAAGGAAAATATATATTTTACACAGCAGTAACATCAGTAGCATTGTCACTTGGGATTACCTACGCATATGAAAATTATATCCTATACAAATGGAATAATAAATATGATTATTCATACAACCCAGATATAAGCACAATTGAAAATAAGTTAAAAGAAAGAAAAGAAGCAAAGGAGGGGAAGAGAGAAAAAAGGCACGTCTCTAAAAACATAATTTTAGTTAGACATGGGCAATATGAAAGAAAAAATAGAAATGATGAAAATTCAAAGAAATTGACAAAAGAAGGATGCAAACAAGCAGAAATTACTGGAAAGAAATTAAAAGATATATTAAATAACAAAAAAATTAATGTCATTTATCACTCTGATTTGATAAGAGCTAAAGAAACGGCACAAATAATTAGCAAATATTTTCCAAATGCAACATTAGTAAATGATCCAAACTTAAATGAAGGGACACCATACTTACCTGACCCAATTCCTAAAAGTTCAAAATTTGATACAAACAAAATTAGGCTTGATAATAAGAGAATAAATAAAGCTTATGAAACTTATTTTTATCAACCACCAGGTGATGAAGATGAGTATCAATTAATTATATGTCATGGTAATGTCATACGATATTTTCTATGTAGGGCTTTGCAGTTACCCCTGTTTTCCTGGTTACGCTTTTCCAGCTATAATTGTGGAATTACATGGATTGTTTTGGACGACGAGGGTTCTGTAGTCCTCAGGGAGTTTGGATCAGTATCACATCTCCCATTCGAAAGCGTGACATACTTTTGATCCTCCTTCTTCACATCCATCACACCTTTAACATCTAACAGTATATAAAATTTAGTGAAAATCAAAGCTTCCACATGAGGAAAATATATACATTGCACATCGTCTTCTTCTAACCCTTACATGACATATAAAAAAGAACAAAGTATGGTATATGCACTTACCACTATTCAAAATGCATACACATACATATGTACAATACATTTCCCCCCCCCCCCCTTATTCTTTTGTGTATAACGTCGAAAAAGTTTTTTTTTTTTTTTTTTTTTTTTTTTTTTTTTTGTACCAATTTTTTTATTCACAGCACATTTTTCAAAATATCAATAAAGATAACGTTGGCTACATGCATGTGTTTATGCGTTCCCAAAAACTTTTATTTTAAAATAAAAATTATTTAGAATAGCGGTTGATTTGGAGAGAGGATACACCTCTTAACGGGAAAAAATGGGTTCGAAAATGGGGGCATAAAAATGGGTTCGAAAATGGGGGCATAAAAATGGGTCCAAAAATGGGCATAAAAATGGGTCCAAAAATGGGCATAAAAATGGGTTCGAAAATGGGCATAAAAATGGGTCCAAAAATGGGCATAAAAATGGGTCCAAATTTTATCGAAAACGACGCAAAGTGGCCCCCCAAACACGCACACCTATATGTTGTAAAACTCGTAATCGCGAAGCTGCTTCCGGACGTGCGTGCGATAACCCTGCTCAAAGTCATTTGCAGTAATTATATATCTGTTTTTTCTTATGGCCTGCATGCCGGCCTCCTGTGCTATTGCAGCAATATCAGCTGCACTTATTTTATCAGTTCGAACGACAAAATTTTCAATGTTTACATCACTGCTTACGTTCATTTTGCTAATTATGGTTTGAAAGATTAATCTTTTTTGCTTTCTGTCAGGTAATGGAAATTCAATTTTTCTATCCAATCTCCCAGGTCTTAACAATGCAGGGTCTAGAGTATCAGCCCTGTTTGTAGCCATTATAACTTTTACATTTGTAGATTTGTCAAATCCATCCATTTGGTTTAGTAGCTCTAAAAGAATTCTTTGTACTTCTCTATCTGCCCCAGTTTGTGCATCAAATCTTTTTGTTGCTATTGCATCTACTTCATCAATAAAAATAATGGATGGAGAATTTTCTCTAGCTAGTCTGAACACATCTCGTACCATTCTAGGACCTTCCCCTAAATACTTCTGTACAAATTCAGAACCCACAACACCAATAAATGTAACTTGTGTTTCATTCGCTACTGCTTTAACAAGCATAGTCTTACCTGTACCTGGAGGCCCATATATTAAAATGCCCATAGGAGGTTCAATTCCAATTTTTTCATACAACTCTGGACTTTTTAAAGGTAATTCAACAGCTTCTCTCATTTCTTGTTTTTGCATATCTAATCCTCCTAAATCTGTGTATTTAACATTTGGTCTTTCACTCACTTGCAACAGTTGTATACTACTATCTGATTCAGATGGTAAGATGTTTACAATCGAATGACTATGTCTATGTAATGCCACGCTAACAGATGGTTTCAAGTCTTCCTTGTTTAAAGTGGAAAGAATTCTGACATAATAATTTGATCCTGCTGTGCTGCTAACAATACCATAATTATTATCAATGATATCCAGAAACTGACCTATGATTAGAGGTACGCTTTGTATTCTCTTTATTTCATTTTTTGACCGGATCAATTCTCTCTTTAAATTTTTATGTTCCTCCTTGATGTACTCCTCCTAAGATGGATGTGTGTTTGCAGATCAATGGTGAAACGTGAAAGTAAGTATGTGTGCAGATCAGTAGTAAAATGTGCAAGTGGATGTGCACAGCTCATAATGTGTATAGATGGAGCCGGAATTTCATTCAGCATTCATCTATTCATGTAAAGAAGTTACTACTGGAACACTCGAATCATGCACATGTGCAAATAGTATGTGTGTTCCAACAAGCACAAATGGCTATTCACAAGTTGCGCAACGAAGAAAAAGTCATTCGCGAAAAGTGAGTCTATTGGGGTGTGTTGTTATATGCATAACCATCTCTCTCACTCTCATTCTCACTCTCTTGTTTTGTTAATTAGGAACTTGTCAGAGTACCCACCTGAATATTTAAAACATCAATTTGCTTCTTCAAGATTTTCAATTTTATGTAATAGTCCTCCTCCTTCAAGTATTTACTAATATTATCCATTTTCTCATACTCTTTTTTTTTTTTTTTTCTGAATTCTTCAACTTTTGAATTCTCTTTTTTTTGTATTTTTTTTTTTTTTTTCTTGGTTTAATTTTCGAAAACTTCCTTCCAGGACATTATTTATTGGTAGGAAAATCCTAAAATCATCAATAACAATGTTTTTTTTTTTCTTCCTGTACTTTAAACGGGAAAAGAGAAGAGAAAAATACTTCCAATAATGATTACCTTTTTTTTTTTTTTTTTTTTGTATATTAATTATCTTCTCTTGTACACCTCAAAAATGATGTAAATATAAAGAGATACACACAAATTACATTCGTAAAATAATAAATTCTAAAAATAAATTGGTGGAAAGTATGGCAAAGTAAAATGTACTCCTTAGAAGAGTGTTCCTCCTTCAGAGTTTCGTTTGATTAGCAGGGAAAGAAGTCGAAAAAATTCAAAAAAATTCAAAAAAAAGTGAAAAAAGGTGAAAAAAGGTGAAAACAGGTAAACAAATCGTTATTTAAAAAAATAAATTAAGATAAAATAAGAAAAAATAGGATAAAATAAAGCAAAGTAAGATTGGATAAAATAAAACAAAGTAAGATTGGATAAAATAAAACAAAGTAAAATTGGATAAAATGAAACGAAGATTGGATAAAATCGCACAAGGGGAATGACTTAAATGAAACACACACAAACGAGAATATTTTTATGTATACATGCAACAGTCTATGTCACATCCAGTGAATGAAAAAAATTCAAGTATCACTAGCGGGGGTACTACTTCCACGTGCTTGTCAAATTTAACCAAAAGGTAGTGAAAAAAAAAAAAAAAAAAAAAAACCTACATAGATTTTACAATTTTCGACACACACATAAATCTCATTTCAAATTGTAGCATCACTTCCATCCTTTGTCTTCCTTAAACTGAATACAAGTCCGTACGTAAAAACATTTCCGTAAATGTGGAAAGCCTGTCCACAACTACTGCTACAACTACTAACATCAACTTTAAAAAGAGAAATGAAAAAATGCTATTGTCTGATTCTATCTCAAATTGAATTCTAGGGGGGAGAAAAAAGGCAAGCAAAAAAAAAAAAAAAAAAAAAAAAAAAAAGCAGTTTTCCCTGTGTGGATACCATCCATGTAAAATATAAATGAACATACCAAACTATGCAAGACATTACACCTTTTCTTTTAATGTTTCCACAAGCATATATTATTAAGCAACGGAAATTATGCACACTTGGCAGGTACTACTGGGTGACTGATTTCCTCACCTGTGTGTAATCATTTGAAATTTCCTAATAAATCTTATTACCGCATTTAAAAAAAAATTTAAGGTGAAACATGAAAAGGACTAGAAACACAAACATTATTACGTTTTCTTTTTCCCCCTTTTTTTTTTTTTTTTTTTTTTTGTTCACGCCACCAAATAAACACATATAAGAGGAGGGGACTCACAAGTGACAAGTTCTCATATGATCAAACCTTTTATACACACATGCACATGTTTATCTGTATATCCCAATGTAGCATCCACTAATTTTGGATCATATAAACATAAGCATATTTATGGAGGTAGTTGACTTTTATGCATCCTGACAAACTTTTCAAGCACAGTATTATGCATAACTAAAGTAGCATGCATAACGAACCAAGTGCACATAACACAATTAGCTCTAACAATTCGTCACAAGCCCTTTTTCCCTGAAGAAACAAATAGAATGCTGTTTTCCCACCAAATGAGGAGACTCGCAAAAAAAAAAAAAAAAAAAAAAAAAAAGATGACTAGTTCGCTCCTAAACAATTTCGCCAAAATGTCATAAGGCCTTGTCCGATAAACAGGAGGTATTTTTTAAATGATTGATAACGTATGTATATGCCTCATCCACAGAATCTGTGAGAAAAATGGAATCTAGATCCTGTTGTGATATAAGTCCATAGTCAGCTAGCTTTTTAAAATTGACAATAGTTGTCCAGAAATCTTTTCCAAATAAAACTATGGGAACATCTCTTTTAAATTTTTTACACTGTTTTAATGTGAGAATTTCCAATAATTCATCTAATGTTCCAAAACCTCCAGGTAAAATAATAAAAGCTAAAGATAAATAGACTAACCAAAATTTTCTTGTAAAAAAATAATGAAATTTAAAAGATAAATTTTCATCTACATATTTATTTGCACCTTTTTCAAATGGTAAAGAAATCATAAAACCTAAGGATTTCCCATTTTCTTCTCTACTTCCTTTATTTGCTGCTTCCATAAAACCTGGACCACCACCTGTACATATAGCAACAGTAAAATTGTTTGGATTTTTTTCTCCTTTTTTATTTGGTAAAAAATTATGAACTTTTGGCAAATGGGTCGATATATTATTCACTGCTTTTTGCCCTTCATCGGTAGCAAAAAATAAAGTTAACATTTTTGAAAGTTCATATATTTTTGTGTAATATGATGTAGTCCATTTTAATTTATGTAATTTTTCTAACTCTTTTTTTATTCTTTCATGCTCTGCCACTTCTGCACTTGTTAATGTTACATTATTTTTTATTTTATCATTAAATTGGGTTAGTTTCTTTTCATGTTTTCTTTTTCGTGATTCGTATTGTTCATTACTTAATGCTCTTGATGAACCAAAAACTACAACCGTAAAAAATATTCCTTCATCTCGTAATGCCTCTTGGACTCCCACAAATTCAGACAATATTCGAACCAGCCTCCCTCCTTTACCATTTATAAATTTACTTTTATTGTAAATCTCTTTTACTTCCACTTGATCATCCTCACTTTCGTTTTCATTTCCTTTTAAAATTTCATCCTTTTCCCTTCCCTTTTCTTCCACCGCGTCCATCGTTTGCTCTGTTTGCTCTGTTTGCTCTGTTTGCCTTGTTTACTCCCTTTGCTCTGTTTGCCTTGTTTGCTTCCTTTGTTTTATTTATTTTTTTCCTGTTTGCATTTTTTTCCCTAAGTTGCACGCTCAAAATTTAGTTTCACCAGCTGGTAAAACGAATCTTTTGCTATTGTGAAAAAATTGTAGGTTACGACCTGTTTGTTGTGCAAGGTGCTCGATCGATGTATAGCTGCATGCGTGGTTGTTAAAATGAACATTCAGATAAAATATATAATGTGTAATTACGTGTATATTTTGTTTTTTATTTTGTTTTATTTATTTATTTATTTTATTTATTTATTTTTTTTTTTTTTTTTTTGTCCCAAATGTGAAAACTTTTTTTTTAACCCATTTCTCACCTGACTTGTTCAGACGCGAAAAAATATATTATTTCAAGGAGATAATTCTGCTGATCGAATGTTAAACCGGTCATAAGCATAAGCACATGTACAACCATGTATGTGACACGTTGCTGCTAATCTGGGTTAAATAAATTGTGGACAGAAATGTCGATTGTTGCACTTACTGAAATTTATGTAATATGGTAGCGTATATATGGGTATAAAAAAAAAAAAAAAAAAAAAAAAAAAAAAGGGAATATAATAGAATAGAATGGAATGGAAAGAAATACAGAGACGCAAAACTCTGTGGTGGCATTTTTTACTTTTTCGAAATTTTTTGCCTGAGCAACATTTCCCCTTTTCTCAAATATGTATAATAACTTCATGTGTTTTGTGCATAAAAACACGTGCATTATCGCCTGAACATTCCTTTCGCGGTAAAAAAGGAAAAAAAAAAAAATTACATATATATATACATAAATAAAATATACACAAATTTACTAAATTTACATAAATTAAATGCGCATAAATATGCAAATGTATGCATATGTACGCATGTGTATGCAATAAATACATGACTTGTTCAGGCAAACATTTTTTTTTTTTTTTTTTTTTAAGTTAATTTTGATGAAATGGCTAGTTATACTCCAATTGAAAATTCCGTCGTTTTGCTGAGAATTTGCTTTTTTAGTTTGTGAGTTCTCCTCCACATGTAAATATTATTTTTATGTACTTTTTTTCGTTTACTATTACGGGTTGCGAGAATAATTTTTTACTATAGCAAAGAAGTAAAAGAAGTGAAAGAATTAAACAGGCAAAAGGAGTAAAAGTACGCGAAATCTCCGATTGGCTGCGAATTTTTCCATTTAATGAATGTACAAGTGAATTACCTTGCCTGTTTGTTACCCAACTGGTTAGCCATTTTCGTTTTCTTTCAATTCTCCACTGGCCCGTTTTTGCTACGTGCCAGAAAAATGCTATATATTTTAGTGCAATTTCGCTTGTATCTAATGTATGTACCAGTTTACGAATAAGTACAGGTACTATATGTACAAAATGACACATAAGTAAGCAGTGTGCATATATGAATGTTCATAGGTATATATTTATTTTTGGACATCCCCAGAGGATGGAACATTATTAGACATAACAATATGTAAATAAAAGCGAAAAAAGGAAAAACAAAACAAATATAGCGAAAATTAACTTCAAATATATTTTGGCTTTTTCAAGAAAATGCTCCCATATATATATATATATATATATATATATATGTAGAAAAGAAAATGAATAGAAGAGAAGAAAGTTTACCTTTTGTGGCATAAACGATGGAAACATGCTGATTGTTGTCTCTCTATGCATTATTCCAGAAAAAAAATAATAAAAGAAAACTAAAAAAAAAAAAAAAAAAAAAAAAAAAAAAAAAAAAAAAGTATATATCAACATATAAAGGCAATAAAGTTAAGTAACAAGTAGGGATCTATACATAACTCAATGATGTGGAAAATGAATAGCCAAATGAAAATTCCTCAACTGCAAATACGCAAGGAAGAATAATTCAATGAATAATACAGTGATGAGTTTTCCATTCTTTTTTTTAAACAAATCGTGCTTGTGTTAATTCCTCTTTGGGAATACACATTTCCTCGCATTGTAATATAAAATGTGGGCTTCCAGAAATATGAGATAAATAAAAATGCACTTTTCATTAAGCTTCAAAAGAGATATCCTAGTGTGTGTAAGAACATACAACACATTTCCCACATGCATTCTCCATATGCACCCAATATAACATGTGCGAAACGAGGAAGCATTAAATGCTTGTCCCTCGCACTACTGATGTATTTTCTTTATACGACATTTATGTGTATAAACTATATAGATAAAAACTTCGAATGGAATTATAAATCCGATGAAGCAAAAGTAGTACCATTTATATTGTCGGCTCGTGCAGCACTTATAAAAGCAAAGGGTGAAGGAACATTTTGGAGTAGAAAATATGCTTATCCTTATTTTTTGAACAATAGAAGTGTATATTACAAGAAAAATGGAAGGGATACTTGTTTACATAGCAGAAAATGTAGTGGTTATCGAAATACAAGAGAAGGAAAAGATGAAACAATTAGAAAAATAAAAAGAATTTTAAAAGTTACTAAGTTATTAATTCAATTAAACAGTTTTAAATTAACTCCAAATATGAGGATGGATTTACTAATAAATTTACCGAGACCACATGTACGTGTACATATGGTTAAGAACACTTTAATGAAATTAGCTGTACAAAAAACGCCCTTTGAAGCCATTATACCTTACTTAAAAGAAAGTAACATGTACATGTTTATAATGAACGAGAATTACATATCCTTTACGCTGTACGGGAATAAAATGTTCAGTTCTTTATATAAAGAATACAAAACTAACAACTTTATAAAGCTATCGGTATTTGAAAATACAATTTTAAACAAAACAGAAACAGAAAATTTGATAAACCTAAAATCATACAGTTATTACTTTGGTCATGTAGTAAACAGAATTAATAAAATCATAAGTGATATACCCACTTCTATTATGCAAATTCCGGCCTCCATAGCTCGGGGAATTTATTTACACACTCAGAAGGAAAAAGACACTTGAGTGAGTGTGGAGACGTGGCTACAGAATTGGGAGAGCTTTGCACCTTAATCTTTCCGTTTTGCCTCTAGCCAGTTTTGTCTCTAACCAGTTTTGCCTCTAACCAGTTTTGCCTCTAGCCAGTTTTGCCTCTAACCAGTTTTGTCTCGAACCCATTTTGCCTGTCCATTTAACACCTCACGTGTGGTATTATGCTTCCCTACCCCACTTTGTAAAACCGTTCACCCATGAAATAATAATTCTTCGAAAAATATACAAGCATGCAGAAATTACCCCACCACCACCACCACTTCTTCTATCTCCTAACATACCTTCATATATATGTACCATGTAATATGCATGACGTGCACAAAATGGAGGTTGTAAAAAAAGAAAAAGGGAAGTGAAAGGAGACACAAGTAAACATGGACATCCCATTTGTGCTATCTTGAATAAATTTTTATGTAGCGAATTTGTAAAAAAAAAAAAAAAAGAAAAAAATCTTCTTAGATCCTCTTGTACAAATGAATATATGCCTTGTCCTTTCCCTTATTTGTTTCACACAAACCAATCTTGTTGTCATTGCATACGTACCATCTTTAGGAAAAAAAAAAAAAAAAAAAAAAAAAAAAAAAAAAATTAACTTGAATTTGGATTTCAATTTTAACTTGAATTTTAATTTGAACCTTTTTGGCATGAAAAAACATGTTGCATATAAATATGCACATTTCACATTTTCTGGTAATTGCAAATCCTTACTGAGAATTGTCCTTTATGTAGCAGACGTAATGTCCAGAGTTAGCATTATTTCCTATATGTACGATGGACGCAATTAATTCGTAATTAGCTACAAAGGGGGTGGAATATATAGAGGGTAAGAAATGAGAGCATGAAATATTAGTGTGATATGTCTTAAAGAGAGAGAGCATGTTAGAAACACATTCAGCTAATAAGAGGTATACATTCGGAAAATATGTCACATAATATGCAGCAATGTGCTTACCCAAGCCATCGTCGCACTTGTTCCTGTTGAGAATGGAAGCACACTTGCTCTCAGTGAGCTCGTCCAGATTGGAGAAAATATAATCGATGGATTTCTGCAGATCATTTTTATTAATGCATAGGGAAGCCATAGCCACGTCCTTGTTAACACCCATGCTGAGAATGGAATTCAACTTTTCTGAGTTGACCTCCGTTCCGTGATTAATTTCTTGGAGGTCAAGTTCTACTGAATCCTCTCCGTAAATATACGAAATGCAATTGTTAACATTTTTCACTTTAACTTTTTTAATAGCTTCGATAACCTTTTCCTTTTGAAATCCTAAGTCTAGAAGGGATTCTAAAAGATCTTTGTGTTGATTCATAATGTGTGCATCATTGTTTAAATTATTTTTTGATACAAAATTGGTGTCCTTTTCACTTTGACACAAGTTGTCTTCTGATAGTAGCGAACTTTTTTCTGATCGCATAAATTCCAAGTTTATATATTCATCTGTTTCTACAGGGATATTAATTTTCTTTGCATTCCAATTTTCATCAGCATAGAATCTTTTTAAATGAATAAAAAGATATGGAGGGAATGTTTTAAATTTAATATCCTTCTGTGCAAAAACTTTTGTTTTTTTTTGTTCGCAATAATATTCATCAATTGTGTCTTTTTTAATAAAGTTTTTCAAACAATCCAATAGTGTTATACGGATATTGGTTACTTGTTCTTCCCAATTTTTTAAAACAGAATTATCAATCGGAATATCTAATGAGAGAATATTATTTTGAAAAGAACTTCGACTTATGTTATGTTCATTACTAACAATAGTTTGATCCATTTCGAATGTAAAAAAATTAAAAAGAGATTTTTCATTTTTCTTCATAGTGTGATGATCTGATGATCCATCCAATGTGGACACGTTATTATTTTTTTTACTTTGTTGTTCCGTTTCAATTATTCCATGTTCGATATTATCTACCTGATTTAATTTTCTCTTGTTGGAACTGTTTCCATTTAGAATTCTATGAAATATATTATTATTTTCATTTTCAATCAATTCATTCAAAAGATAAGATAAGTATTCAAAAATATCTTGTTGGTTATTATTACAAAAAGAGTTACTTTTTTGATTTACACATGTTCTAAACATATATGGATTGATACTTACGCAATTTTCTTCATCTACGTCACTATCATAATTTACATCTACATTTCTTTTTATACATTCTTGTTTAAAATGTTTTATATAATTCTTTTTATTATTAATATAATCATTTTGAAAAATCATATAACATAGTTTTGAATATTGAATAAATAAATCATGATGTGTTTTCATCTTACAGTCTAGAGTTAATAAAAAATCAAATATATTATTTATATACCTATCACTAATATCTCTAATGGAGAGTAAAACTTGCAATGCAGAATTCATGTAACATGTGTTTCCTAAGTTTAGGAAGCCAACTTTTCCTTGCTTACATATAAGTTGTATATCTTGATCTAGTATTGATGAGAAGTTTATATTTTGATTTTCTTGAATTTCTTTTTCTAAAGTTGTAATTTCTGTTTTATTTAAATTCATTATATTAATTCCTAAATTTTTTAAATGTGTTTCTATATAGGGATCGATTACACTATCATTTTCATCATCTGCATAGGAAAATACATCTGCTTCCCCTTCTTTTGTAATAGTTCCTATTTTTACAACTAATGGATATTTTTTACCACTTTCATAGTAATGTTTTAATGCTGCTCCTTCTTCATTATTTAAACACCCACCTCCGTAATTAAATATTTTCCTTCCACATCCAATATAACCATCAGATAAATTTAGCCATATATTTTTCTTAGCTTTACACACTGCACATTCAATATTTTCATTTTTTATTTTAATATTTGGTAATTGTATTAAATCCTTTGCATATTTACTCTCCTTTATTTCGTTCACCCATTTATTCAATTTTTCTTTTTTTATTTCATTTCTGTGATTTATTATACTATTGCATACATTCTTCACATGTTCATCATCTACTTCTTCTAACTCTATATACATCTTTGTTTCAAAATCATATATAAAATACTCACATTTGTATTCATACATCTTTTTCTCTTTGAACCCACCTTCGGAATTAATGCTCAAAGTTGTTATATCACTCTTTTCAATCTTGTCTAGTAAGTTTTTCTTCTTCTTAATATTCAGGTAAAATCTACCCCCCAAGCGAATTTCCTGATTCTTTCCTTGGTTCATCATCCTGCTATAGTTATACTTCAGGCATTTCAAACTAAAGCTCTCGAAAGAAATCAAATCGATGAACACACCTTCCTCAAAGGTGTCTTTGTGTCCCCTGCATGGGTTAGGAGAGGCGATGCATGGTGAGACAGTGTCTGTATCGATGTTAGCATGTCTGCATCGATGTTAACACATGAGAACACGTATCGGAATATTTCCATATGTTCAGTGAGGTAAAAAAGTATACACATTTATCTGTGCATATTCATCCCCATCTGCATATACATGTCTCATATGCAATTTCTGTGGAGATGCAATGTTAGCTGAGTGATCCTCTGGAATATGAAACAAACAGTGGAACCCACTTTGTGAATTTGTGAATGGTACGTGTGAGTAAGGAGGCATGTATGATGGCATGTGTGAAGAGACAGTCATGGGATTTTTATTAGGTGTTGTTTCTGTGTTACTCTGCATGTGTGTGAATATAAATATGTGCAGAAAATTGTACACGAAAATGTTTCCCGCGAATGGATGAAAAAAATAAAATAAAATAAAAAAATACTTACCACACACAAGGAGCAAAATAACAATACACAAATATTTCTCTAACACAGAATGTATCCCCCCTCTCCCCTCTTGTTTTATTTTAAAATATACATTCTTACTTACGTTACACTGCACTCATCCAAATATATTATGTCATCATTCGATGGTTCGCGTAGGCTAGAAGAAATTGAAGCTATTATATTTTTAATATCTGCCATAGTTGACTTCTGGGATCAGTTGTCAAATCCTTCGAGTGGAATATGAAAAATAAAATTTTTCCTTTCTTGTAAGGATTAATGAGTTGAGTAGTATTGTTTCGTTTACAAAATAAACTTGGAATATTTTTTTTTTTTTTTTTCACAATTCACAACAAGGAAGAGGTACTTACGTTTAGGAAAAAAAAAAAAAAAAAAAAAAAAAAAAAAAAAAAAAAAAAAAAAAAAAAAAAAAAAAAAAAAAAGGGACACATAAAAACGTTCTTGGAAAAATAAAAAGTTAAGAAAAAAGAACAAGGGGAAGAGAGAGTAGGGGTAAAGCTTTTCCGATTCGCATAAAAGAGTTCCCTAATTTTCTATGGCATTCTTTTCTTCCTGAACAAAATAAAATAACATAAAAAGGAATATAATAAAATACAGCAGAATGCAGTATACAACACAATAAATAAGTAAAAGCATTGTACATAAAATGTGACAGGAATGCTTGTTTGGAATTTCACAGTCCATGTACTCTTTCTTAAAACGTTTCAATTTAGAAGAACAGGGAAGGAGAATAAATTAGGAAATGCCATGTGTTTGCTGTTTTTTGTTGTATAGCATTTATTTTGTTATAGTATGGCAATCAGCATCACCATCATCAAGTTTTTTTTTTTTTTTTTTTTTTTTTTAAATTTACTCTCCCCATTTTAATTATTTTATTTTTTAAACTACGTCATTACTATGCTAATTATTTCATAGGCCTCTTTCTTCGTTCCCTTCGTTATATAACTCTCGCGATCCACTATTTTGACAATGTACATATTTTCGCAGTACTCCAGGAGTTCCTTTCTATATTTTGAAAAAGAATAATAAATATTATGAATAATGAGTCAAATGTTTTTTTTTTTTTTTTACTTCTCCATGTGTTTGTTATTATAACTGTGTGTTATAGTTTTGTCCCCGTCGTTTGTTGATTCTACTTGAATTTTCATTCTGTCTATTCCATTTTTACCCACCTGAATGTTGTGATTATGAACTGGGTACCCCTTTGAGCTAGTTCTCGCAGACTGTTACAAAAATGGAATGAATAATATGAAACGAAATGAAGTAAAGCATAAAAACATTAAGCACGCAATCGCAATCACAATCACAATCATGTGGTGTAATGAATAAAAAAAAAGAAGAAATACTCATGTGGAGATAATCACAAAATTTTCTTTCTTTTTTTTTGAGTAATACAGAATTGAGAGGTTGTCCCTATGAATTGTGTCCAGAGCTGCGTCAATTTCGTCGAAAAAGAAAAAAGAAAAATTGTCAATTTTGTTTAGGCACAAAAATAGACATATAGCCACAATGCTCCGTTCTCCTCCTGAAAGGGTGATCAAAATGGGCATAAGGGTTGGAAAATATACATATATATATATATGTAAAAATGTACGTGGGAAGGTAGGTACGTAGGCAGGTGAGAAAGCAAGTGGGTAAGCAGGTGGACAGACCCAACGTACGTTACATTTCTGCTCTCTTTAACCTGATAACTCTTGAATTGTGTAACTCATCTTCTCATCCTCATTTGAAGTAATATTTATCGATATTCCTGTAATCTTGTCAACATACACTGTTAAGGTGAAAAGGTGCAAATGGTAACATCCATATGTTTTTCCAGTCATGATAAAATGGTGCATCAAAGTATCACTTTTGTAACCGTACGTGAGAAAATAAATATGCATATATATGTGTATTTATTTTTATATTTTTGTGTTTCCCAAATACACACGGCTTAAAAATTGTGCTCACCGTCATCATCAATAATTCTTTTCCTAGCCTTTTTCTCGTTCGTTTCTTGTAGGGTCTCCTTATACTCCTTTTCACTCATTTTTTTTAGAACCTGTCAAGGTGTAGCATTCAAAACATATTATTTATGTCGTGTCGCACAGTACTAGGTAAGCAGAATTATAGCATCGTCTACGCAAGGCAAAAAATGTGGTCTACATTCACATGAAGAGAGAAAAAAAAGAAAAAAAAAAAAAAAAAAAACATGCACCGTTTTGTATATCCTACCAGAGTAGCCTTCCGATTCTTAAAAAGCAATGAAAAATATTCGGAAAAATATTTACTTATTTTTATATATGTAGCCTCCAATGCTTCATCCTTCTTTTTTCCTATGTGCTGAAAAAAGGGTATATGTACACAGTTATATTATAGAAATTATATAAAACAGAATAAATGGATTATCGTAACCCTGCACAAATGAGAAAGCGAATCAGACAAGCCAAAGAAGCTAAAATGATACCTGTATCATCTCTTTAATGTTCTTGTAAGATTCTCCTATTTCCTCATTTCTCTTTTTTAACTCATTGAAATCGCCTTAAAAAAAAAAAAAAAAAAAAAAAACAATCAAATGAAATGAAAAAAAGACGGGTAAAAATGAACGTGGTGTAAATCAAAGCAGGCATATCGAGGGGAACACTGTTAAATTAACAAAGGAGACATGACATCTACGAAAAATTGTAAATTTTGAAAATATTTCTGCATTCGGTAAAAACTTACTCATCAGCATATTTAGTCTGTCTCCCGCCTTTTCATTTACGTTCGAGTATTTTTTTAGTTCCTACGATGGTGGATATGTGGAGTAGATGAAAATAAAGAAGAATTACGAGGGAAGTGAAAAAAACATATATATATATATAAACATATAAACATATATACATATAAACATATAAACATATATACAGATAAACATATAAACATATATACATATAAACATATATACATATATAAATATAAACATATATACATATAAACATATATACATATATAAATATAAACATATATACATATAAACATATATACATATATAAATATAAACATATATATATATATAAACATATATACATATAAACATATATACATATAAACATATATACATATATATATATATAAATATTTATGTAAAAGGTGTTCTGACACGCTGTAACAAAACAAACGCAAAACACATATGTACGCATATCCATCGTTAAGCAATCTGTTTACTAGTGTTATGGATTTTAGCTTCGAAGACAATTCTTGTTTATTATAATTTTTGTATTCCTGTAAATCTTTTATGCCTTGTGGTAAAAGTACTTTTTTTTTTCTTATATTTTCTTCCTTTTCTCTGTAAATATGAAAGCGTAAATAAATTAGACAAAGTTTTTTTTTTTTTTTTTTTTTTTATTCAGAAAAAAAGGGTTTCTCTTTTGGTTGGCGTACACGAACATGTGTTTTCTGTTCGAATGTAATTTTACTCCAAAATTCGAAGCTCCTCATTTATTTGATTCATCCGATGACATAAATCCAAAATTCTCTTTTTATGTTTCTTTTCATTTATATAAATTTTGTCTAAATTGGATTTTACACTTTCAATATCTTTCTGTAAAAAGGGGAGAAGGGAAGAAAATAATAGCATCAACAAGGGAAAATAATAATGTATATAATTATGTTATTAATTAGATTCATATTTATGGGATTTTTTTTTTTTTTTTTTTTCTTGTTTTTTGATAGTTACATTGACTTGCTTTAATTTTTGTTCGTATGCAATTTTCTCCTTTTCAATCTAAAAATAGAGGAAAATATAAAATAAGTTAAAATATGATAAAGTGTGTTATATGTAGGCATTTGTCCTTTTACATCTATAAGTATTTATGTGTGTGTGTGTGTGTATAAACAGAAAAAGAGTTTGGATTGTTTACTATCCTCCACTCTTTTGCCCCCACTCCCCCCTCTCCTCCTGATGTAAGAATTTATGTTCTATATTTTTCTTACCTGTTCGATATTATTTTTTTTGGCCCTCAGCTCTTTGTTATACTCATCGATATCTAAATCTTCGTATTCTTCCATGTATATGTTAGAATCACTCTAATGTAAAAAAGATGGAATGTTGGGGAAAATAAAAATAGTAAAAGACAAAAAAGTGGCACCAAGCATGGAAAAATAAAGTACGCAGGTCACAATAACGAGGGGATAGAAGATATGTAGAAATAAAACGATTCTGGGTTCTGAATACAAAAACAATGTAAGCACAAAATGAATGCAAAAAAGTTACAGTGAAGTATACCTCGTTCCTCTTCTGGTATAATAGCTCCAATTTGTTTTTAAAATCATCGTACTCGTTCCTAACTTTGGTAAGTTCTTCCTTCAATTTTTTGACGTGCTCATTCAAGGAATTAATATCTACTGTACCTTTGGGAGATTCATCTGGGTTTACATTATTATTTCGCAACTGTAATATTTGTACTTTTAATTTGTCTTTATAATCCTCTAGGCTTTGTTTTTTCTCTTGTAACTGTTTTATTTTTTCATTCGTTATTCTTATGTTTTCATCATTTGTGTGTACATTATTAGTAATTGAGTTAAGTGTCGTTAGACATCCATTTTTTTGAGCCACAGTGTTTGATTTTTTATCATAAATTATTCTTAGCTCTTCGTCTATTTTTTCAATATGATTTGACATTTCCTCAATGCTGTTTTTTTCCTTCTTTTCCTTTTCTTTAAGATCTTTCAGTTTGCTGTATATTGTGTACACGCCGTATTTTTTTTTGTTATAACCCCCGTGCATAAAACCTTGCTTGCTCAGCTGAAAAGGGGTGCATGTGGGAAGGAATTCATAAACGATAAAGTGTGTGCATTTGTGTGTGAACAAGAGCATTTCAGTGAGTGTGCATCTGTGCGTGAGCATGTACATTCCAGTGAATACACGTATATCTGCATTTCAGAAGGTACATGTGCAATTGTGCTTGTACATATATTTACACATTCGCAAAAGGGAGTTTCTGCGACTTACGTAATCCCCATCGATGTTTACGCAATTGTAATTGTCCTGCAGATAATTTTGACAAGACTCCAAAGATTTTACAATAATGGTTTTAAATAAAATACTTTTCAAGAATTCGTATATTTTACTATTATAATTTACACAGTTTATCAGTGGAACCATATTTTTATCGTTAGGGTATGTAAATTCATTAAATTTTCTTATATTCAATAAAGGAACAATAGTTAATTTCCCGAAAAAAAAATCCTTAAAATCAAATTCCTTTTTTTTTTTTTCCTCTCGTTTTTTTTCTATAAATTCTACTATTTTTTTCGCTGTTTCCATGTCTTTAACAATTAGAGTAAAATAGTGATTTTCCAGGACACTGTCCACGGCCTTAACATAGGTTTTATCCACCTGAACAATGGGAAAGCAATCGGAAGAAGAAGAAGAAAAAGGAGAAGATCATTGAGAGTCAAGGCAAGGAAAAAGCATGAATGTAAATGTGTACATATTTATATACACACGTGGTGTATTCATATATATATCGACAAATGTACACATGCACAGGTAGCAAATCTAAGAGAAAACGAAACTACCAACATTACACGTGTGTAACATTTTGTGAAAGCACATTTTTTTTTTTTTTTTTCTCTTTTTTTTTTTTTTTTTACGTTTATATTATCTATTAGAAACCCTAAAATGTTTTCTTTCTGTATGCTAGAGTCCTCTAAGATAAGTTCCAACATCTTAACAATTTCTTTGTTTGAACTTTTTATCATTTCCTCGTATTTATCTAAGCAATGGATGAAAAAATCGGCATATGTAATATATGCGTGTGTGTACATATACATATATATATACATATATATAAATACATATACATGCATATGTACCATACATGCCTGTATACGCACGCAGGAGTGTTATTCTTAATATTCGCCCTCACCATTTACTTCAATCAATTGACTTTTTATGGAATTCAAATTTGCTGTTCCTTCTGATATTTTCTGTTGGTACTGTCTCTTTTGTTCGATGCAATCCTCAGATTTCTACAAAAGTTTGCATGAAACGTTAGACACCATAAATACAGGTACGTGCATATGCGTGTGTATTAATAAACAAGAAAAAGTCTTTGTCTATTATGAGGCAATGATATTTACATTTTGGTGCATTTTTTTTTTTTTTTTTTCAGTGATAAATAATGTTTACATTGTTTAATTCGTTTATTTCATCCATGTGTTTTTCCGAAAGTGTCTTATTTGTTTTAATATTATCATTTAAAACCTTGGATTCCTCTTCTAGCTCCTTTAAGTATTTTTCATTTTTTATTGCCTAAAGGTGTGAAACGGAGGGTAAAGGGTTGTTTTTTTTTTTTTTTTTTTTTCTACTTTTGACTATTTTTGACTATGTTTTACTATTTTTTTCAGCTACTTCCTTCTCCAAGAAAGACAACTCTGTGTTGATATCGCTTATCATTTTCTCAATTTTTTTCACATTATGTGAATAATTCCCATCCTTGGAGTTTTTTGACTTATTCGCTGATAATAACTAAAGGAAAAAAAAAAAAAAAAAAAAAAAAAAAGTGAAACAGAAAGTGGAAGAGAAGTCTACATTTAGTGACCCGTTCTGCGTTTTCCTTAAAGGTGTGCATGAGGTGAAGAGTTCTTCATCTCATACACATTGTGTGTATGAACACATGATATGTATTTATAAAAATTCTTCATTTTGGAATTGCATGTATACCATATTAATCTCGTTGTTCTTGTCCTCTATTTCCCTTTCTTTTAAATTGATGACCGTTTTGAGGCTTTGTAACTTTTCATTAACCCGCAAGATAAATTCATTAATTTGGTTCATGCTTTCAATTTTGCATTTATTTTGTGACTCCTTCAACCTTTTTTCTTTCCTTTTTTCGTCAATTAGGATTTCTAAGTGTACAATGTTTCTTTTGTTTTGTATTTCTTCTGATAGGGCTTTTTCTAACTCATTTTTATAAGAAACAATTTCTAATTTCATTTTATTCAGCTGTTCAGTATATTCCGACTTTGTGTTGTTGCTTTGGCTTAAATTGTTGTCTTCATCTTGTGTTTTATTTTTTAATTCTTGTAATGTAGATTTTAATATTTGTGTTTCTTCATACACATTTTTATAATTTATTTCATTTAAAAAATATTCTAAATGAACTTTTTCTTTTTCTAATTTTTTATATGCTAAGAATTTTTCAAATTCTTCTTGTAGACTACCTAGTTTTGTGTTCATTTCATGAAATTCTTTTTCAATCGTTGTTTTTTTTGTATCACATTCTTTTAACATTGATAAAGCATCTTTTTTTTTTTCTTCAAATATTCTAGCACCTAGTATACTCTTTAAATAATTTAAAATTTCTTCATCTTTCATATTACTTAATTTAATTATTTGTCCTTGTTTAATTATGTTATATAAGTTATTAACACACAATCCACAACTTTCTAACAATTCTACATATTGATTTTTGCTCACATTTTTTTCATTAACGTAAATTTCACATTTCATATTTTCCATAACTTTTTTTATTTTAATTTCATTTTCTTTAAACATACTAAAATATTTTTCAGAATTATCAAAAATTATTTCTACATAACAATTTCTAACTGCGTTTCCTATTCCCTCATGTAAAAATACCTGTTTATATTCGCACATGTCACTTAGTATGAACTCAATAGCTAGTAGGATGTTGCTTTTCCCGGATCCATTAAACCCGACTGTGTAAAAGGGGGGGGGGGGGGATAAAAAAAAAAAAAAAAAGAAGAAAAAATGGAAAAGGGAAAAGGAGAACATATGCAAGGTCTATCCAAAATGGGAATCACACATATGCATGCACGTGTTCATGTCGTAAATGTATTATGCCGTGATGCGTGGCACACTAAAGAGGTTAGCAGAAAAAATGAAATATAGCGAAATATAGTGAAACAATAAATACAGGTGATCAAACATACCTATGCAGTTAATTCCCTTCGTAAAATCAATGGTTGTTTCATTTTTGTAAGTCCGAAACCCTTTTAACTTTATCTGCTTTATATGCATCGTTGTACGTGGGGACTTAGGAAAACTTTACGTTGTCTTGTTCTTTTCTTTAACGTGCTCCAAAATGTAACAACGCGGGTGGATTGCAGGGGAGGGGGGGGGAGTTACTAATTTGTGTTTTCCTTATTTAAAAAAGTGTTCATGAAGTGTGCAAAAATGAAAAAATGAAAAAATGGAAAAATGCACATGGAAATATGGAAAAAATGTTGCCCCATGCTCTTTGAATTGTTCCCTAGCTTCTCATCCTTGTAAATTACGAAAAGAAAAATAAAATATGCTTAATGCATTTTTTATTTTATCCAAAATATGCTACACGATACTTTGTACATTTCTCACACAAGTGCTTTTATGTATGCACAAAAAGGTCTTTTGCAAAGAAGGGGAGGAGCTTGTAACATAAGTGAATATATACATTTTACAAGGGAATAAAAAAATATTACATTCTTTGCCTCTTCGCTCCTTATGCTGCATTTGGTTCCCCTTTTGTGACGCTAATTTATTCATTTTTTTTAACCCATTGCATCTTATTCTTTATTACACTTCAAAATATATGGTTACATTTTAAAGAGCTTATTTATAGTATATTAAAAAAGAACGCCCTTTTTTTTTTTTTTTTTCTTTTTTTTTTCCTTCTGCAAAGTCTGATTTTTTTTTTTTTTTTTTTCATGTGCATAGTATGCATACACATCGCGATTGTGTTTATTTTTACACAAAAATACTTGAAACCAAATACAACAAGCTTAAAAACAAACAAAATGTATATAGTTCATATGACATGTATTTTTGAACAAAAATTTTCAAAGAGTTACACATTAAAAGAAATGTGTGGAAATGACAAATTAAAAAAAAAAAAAAAAAAAAAAAAAAAAAAAAAAGCAAAATAAGGCAAAAAAAAAAAAAAAAAAAAAGTGTACAAAGCTACAGGTATATAAAACTCGCTTAATTTTCCCTTAAAAGTGCTTTTCTGCTTTGCACTTTTGTAAAATACTTTTTATATCTTCTGTCAATTTTTCCAAATTAGAAAACTCCTTATTCTTTTCAAATTTTATTAGCTCCCTATGTAATCTATCAATTGATTGATATAAATCTTTGTGTTTCCCTTTTTTTTTCAAAATTAATAAAATGCATTCAAAGAAATTCAATGGAATTCGTTTTATGTCAAGTGAATTTAGCACAGTGTTGAAAACCTTCAGGGCTACTCTAGTGTTTACTATGAACAAAAGACACATAAAAAGGGATGTGAATATTTATGTTTAGGGGTGCGAATGTTTAGGTTTAGGGGAGTGAAGAAATGGGGTGTGAAATGATGTGGGGTAGGAGTTAAGAAATTTATGCATATGTAGAGAACTCTGGTAACGCAGATATTGTTGTAGACATGTACGTAATACACTCCGTATGTAGACTTGTAATTCCAATTGCAGAAGCTTATGGGCAACCCATTTTCTGCACTTTCACTTACCCTCAAAAAATGCTGCCTTCATTACGGTGTAATATAATTTGAAATTAGTTGTCTCCTCTGATAAGGAAAATACTTCGAATTCTTTAAATATTAAATTGTTCTGAAAAAAAAAAAAAAATAAATTAATGTAAATACTATAGAAACACAATGAAAACAAACACCATGTACGTACAATGAAAATGTATTTCCTAATGTAATTCAGGAATGCAAATTTTCTCTCTTACCAGTCTTTTTTCGAAATAAAGGGAAAAAACGTCTATCAGCGTTTCTGTGCTTACGAGAATGTCACACTGAAAAGGAGGAATGATAAAAAATATACATTAATCTGTTTATAAAGCTACCCAGTATATATATATATATATATATATATATATATATATATATATATATATATAGCACTATGCCACACCATGGAGACTATCTGTTTTTCAGTAGAAGCAGATACTGTGGTAGAATCCACTAATTTACGTGTTTTCATACCTTCCTTGACATTTCCAACAGAGCTATAACGTTGTCTACTTTTTTTTTATTTAAATCAAAATATAAACACATATGAATAAAAGTTTCGTACTTCTTTAAAAGTTTACGCACAGCAGGAATATTTAGGATGTCCTTAAAATATGTCTTATCCATGGACCTCAACATGTTAATATATTCATGAATGTTTATTTCGTTCTTGTCACCCCCTGGGGTTTGCTCACCTTTTAATGCAGAAGTAGTAGTACTTGTAGTAGCAGTAGTAGTAGTAGAACCAGCATTAGGCCCTTTGACATTTTTCTTATTTTCGATGAAAAATACAATGCTTATGGCAGATAGCGTACTGTCATAAATCCAACTAAGGTTTTCATAAATATAAAGAAAATCCCTCGAATTTAAATATATGATATTGCTATACGTAAAAAATATATCCCTCAATGTGTTAATTAAGGAATCTATATTTTTGTTATTTACATACATTTTCAGCTTCTTGAATAAAAACTCTTTTAAGGAATCTTCATTTATTTTATCTGAACCAATTGTATATTTTAGCTTCACAAATATATTAGCAATATTCTTAGACGTCGAATCAGATGTGAAATTTTCTTCAGTGTTTTGGTTTTCATCATTGTAATGTTTTTCAATTACATCCTTATAAAAGTAGTTTCTTCTTTTCGTAGGAACACTCACACTTTGCATACCTTTCTTATCATTACTTTTTTGTTTATCATATAGATCTTTCTCCATAGACACATTACACAAAATTAAATTGTTCTTCAAAAGTAAAAATATAGATATTATTTTTTTGCAATTCACTTCTGGAGTAGTAATGACATTTATGTTAAAATCATTTAAATCATATGGTAATTCCATTGAAACAATTTCTTTCAAATTATGAGCATTCTTTAAGTGATTTACAGACATTGATGTAATATGTAATATGAAGTTTGGTATATAGGAATATATGATATCTTTATTTATTTTAATCACTTCATAATTATTGGACAAAAAAAAATTTAAGGTGTTCTTTTTTAAAAAAGTAGAATATCTTAAATCCTTTTTTGCATACCTTGTTACATAATAATTTAAAAATAACAGCAAAAAAAAATATATATTCACAGTTATTCTATAGTTCTCTTTGTAAAAAAATAGGTTTATTGCCTCAAAAAATATGTTTAGTATGTTATTTATGTTTGTCAATTCACTCTCTAGTATATCATCTGAACCATAATCCATAAAAATATATTCCGTGATAAAATTACTTAAGATGAATAAACTAATTTCATATTTATCTTTCTTTGCAATATTGTAAATTGTATTAAATAAATTAAAATTCTCTTCCCAATCTTTTCCATGGAAAATGTAATAGGACAACTGATTCTTTCTTAAGTTTATTATATCTTTATAAAGTTTGACGTTCTTCTGAAATGGATCTTTCGCATCATTTGCTTCATTTTCGTCTTCTTTCAATCTTTCTATCCAGGAACACTCCGCCATACCCTCTACTGCTTTTCCCTCTTTCTGATCTATTCTATTATCAGATTCATAATTTATATTGTTGAAAAATCTTATTAAGATTAAATACGTTTTGTACGTTTTAATATACGAATATTTGAGTAGGAGGAAATATAATTTTTTTATATTAATAAAACTTTTAAATTTTATGAAATATTTTAAAAGTTCATTAAAGTTAAAAATATCAATAAACAATTTCATATCACATTTTTTTTTTAAAAAATCACACATATGTTTGTACATCAACGTTTTCGTTAGTACGAAATAGGCGTCTTTCGAGAAATATAAATTTAAATAAGATTTATTAATTAGATTTAATTCATTCAACACGTCACCTTTGTCTACATCACAATTTTTAAAACTGTGTATCAAATTTTTGACGTTTAAATATTTTATAGGAATACTTTTCTTTGCTTTCATTTTCTTGTAAACCTTATATACTCTGTCATATTTATGATTACTTAAAAATGATTTAATAAACAAACTATATGTTTTGTTATTTACATACAAATTATCTCTTTTTTCTAAGCGTTCAATTTTATCATATGCTTTGTTTTTTAGAAGACGTAATAGATATTTATTAAACATGTCTGTCATACTATTCGAATCCTTTGAGGTTACATCATCTTTGCTTTCTTCGTTGTGAACTCCTGATTTTCCATTTTCCTCAGTAATCCCTTCAAAGTTGCATTCGATGGCTTCTTCCTTATTGCCCTTTTCCAAAATTAGATTATTCGTGTGTACATATTGACAAGAATTTTTGTTCTCGTTAAAATTATTTGTACTATTTTTATCCACACTACCCCTTTCATTCTCCACGTTTTTAATCGATTCACTAATTTCTAAAAGTAATTTAGACATACCACCAGAAATTTCTTTCTGTGTATTGTCATTTGTAACTGAATTAAAATTTTTCTTCATGTCACCTAAATCTTTATCTTGAAGACTGTTAAAATTCCTTTTATATAAACTTAAAAGCAAGATTATATTAAAATAATCTCGAACTGGGTATAAACTGTCTAACAATAGAAAAAATAAATAATTGGTAATTTGGGTTAAGCGATTGTCCTTCTTCATGTCCTTTATTGAATTCGTAAAATTTAATAAAATAATAATACAAAAATAGTAATCACTGAAAAAAAAGAAAATATAAAATAATAAAATTTTGATATATGTATTTTCATACAGCTCTTTAAATTGTGCTCTTTTACACCCCTTGACTAACGACTCCTTATTATTCAGGGTAATGTCTTTTACTTCCTTCTCATTGCTTTGGTTTTTACTTAAGTTCTCATTACACGCTTTATTTCCCTTTTCCATATCATCATTACTACCCTTTTTGTTATTTATAATAATTCCTTTAATAAATTCATACTCCCTTTTTTCTTTCTCAAAAATGGTGTCAAATATATAACTCTTATATTCATTGTAATTTAAGTTATCATCATATTTTGCACCTCTCTCTTTAAAGTTCTCCAAATTTATTTGATTATGGATTAACAACATTAAATAGTAAAAACGAGCTTTACTTATATTGTAAGAATATAATGAAAAAATTGTTATAAAGAAGAAATGGGAATTTAATATATGTTCATAATAATGAATCAAATCTGGGCTATCTCTCACCAATAAATTGAACGTGGAGAATATTTCTGTTAGGAAACAAAATATATAATTGTTATTCAAAAGTGCATTAGTATTTAGAACAGAGAAGAAATTTTTAACATTTACGTTTATTGCATCATTCTTTTTTATGTCTTTAATGAGTTCGTAAGTAAGGACAAATTCGTTTTTCATCTTGTCACATAAGTGTTTGTCATGTAAATAATTCTGAGAATGCTTTATGATTGCGTTCATTATATTCCCTATTTCATTTTTAATAAAACTAAAAGAGACGTAGTTATCTTTACAGTATTTTAATAAAATAGAATAACTTTCTATATACTTAAAGAATTCATCTATATTCATGCTATCAACTGTAATTGACCCCAAGGAAAGAAACAACGATTTTATTTTTTCTGAATTAAAAGTATTCTCTGCATTCTTTCTTTTTTCATCAATGAGTACAAATGCTCTTTTATATTCTGCATACAAAAAATTTATTAGGTGTGTAACATCTTTATTATTCATGTCATTAATAGGTACTTCATCCCAAACATCCGGGCTTGAAGCAAAGTTAGGAAAGAGCTTATCCAGGCTCCTGTTATTATTATTATTTTCATTTCTGTTGGAAAAAGGATTATTTAAAACAAAATTTTTTATATTTTCATACACATCGCTTTTATCTACACTTGACCTTTTTAAGGATTTTCCATTGAGTGATAACGATTTTTCTAACCTAGGTATTGCCCTTTTATTGCCGCACTTATGTACGCGTGATGTAAATTTTTGGTTATTAAGAAAAAAGGGTGTAGTATTTAATTGAAAGCATGATGCCATATTACATTGTATTATGAAAAACAAAAGAAGAAAAAAAGTTAGAAGGGGAGGATGTTTCATGTTATGTCATTTTGTCTCTTTAATGTAAGATTCTCTTAAAATAATAAGCTTATTCTTTTTTTTGTTCTGTGATTCGTGTGTTTCAACAAATATATATATATATGTATGTACGTTGGTATGCACGCTTTTATATGTATAAATTAAAGTTAATTTCACTTTTTAAAGATTTTATAATTAATGATAAAAGAAAAAATTATAAAGCACATACAAAATTTTTTTTTTTTGAATATTATGTATATGTAACAAATTCATCAAAACAAAAACTCCGTTATTCACAAAATAATGGTATAGGAAGAATCCAAAAAAATGCAGAAAAAATACGCGTACGAAAAAACAGCTTTTAACGATTTTAAGAAAAGTATAAAGTTCCTTACAAAAATAGAAAAAGGAATTTTAGATATAAAACTATATTTTTAAATGAAAATGTTTATATTATTTTACTTTTTTTGAAAAAGTGAAGAATTTATATTTTTTAATTCAGTCATCAATTTTACAACACCAAAATTTCTAAGCGAAATGTACGTTCTAAAAAGTAAATTACGATTTTGTGCTATAGCCGTTTATGAATCATGGGTTAATATTTTTTACGGCTTTAACCTACAAACGAAATATAAAATGAAAATGTTAGTTAAGCGTAGTAGTAAAGATACCATTAATAATTTGTAAAAAACGAAAATCAGCATTGAAATCTTCTCAGAAAATTGGTCTAATTTCTCGATGGAACAAACTTAAAAAACTGAAAATAAATATATAGAAGCACAATTTTGCCAAATGTGTAAATGTTTTTTAGTTTATAAAGTTTGATTATATATTTTTTCGTTATTTTCTACAAAAAGATATAAAAGAACCTAACAGAGCGCTCAAATAATAGTGAAAACTGCTAGAATAACAACGCATAGCTAGATTTAAAATATACTGAGCCATTTAGGGATTTTACAACATTCCTTTCAGCACGCAAACTACACTATATAGAAGAAATGACATTTTTTATGCCTATTTTTTTTTTTCTTTATAAATGTGTAAAAATTTCTTTCTTCATTTTCATCCATAAAACAGATAGGTGAATCCAGGTCTTTCTATGAAATTATTTTTGTGATATATTTAAAAATGCGCAAGCATGATTAAGATAAAAAATAACCACATTCCTTATGCTCATATAATAAAAAGTATATTTTAAAGGTGCATGTGTCACTATACACATATTTTTTATATTTTAATCTATTTAATTTTTAATTACACTGTTTGTAGAAGTCATTCAAGTTGCTGGATAAAATCAAAAGAAATGTTCATAGAACAGGGATGAATGCTTTAATCTACACCTTAAAAAACGTAGCAGGACTACACAAGTACAATTTTTTCGTGTACTATTTCTTCAGTTGGTGTATACTCAAATTTTGCTATCTTAGAAAAGAGCAATACATTTAAATTATGCATAATGGAAACTCCAAATAAAAAGTCCCTTTCTTTTGGAATATATGAATCGCATGATTTTTTAATTATTTTTATAAAGTATTTAAAAGTTCCCAGGGTGTGCGTTTCATGCAAAAATATAAAAAAAAATTGTTTTAACAAATCACAAGGGTAAATAAAAAATTTTAAGCACTTATGTCTTATTATGGTCGTAATAAAACATATTAGTTATTTGCACTTGTATTTACACATTCTACATTCTATATAAATAAGTATGTGCATATTTATACATTATTTATCATTTACATTTGCTCGAATGTTTAAATTGATATATAAGGACATATTAAGAAATATGCACCTATTTTAATAAGTTTTTTGGTTTCAAAAAAAAAAAAAAAAGGAATGAGAAAAATAATAAGCTAAAATGTCTTGTAGAAATTATATTGCAAACAAATTTTGAAGCAGGGCATTGGTTTTTTTTTTAACTGTTGCAAATTCACATTTTTTAGCATACAAGCTACATTTGTCTTATTTAGCACGTTTGGGTGCCAAATACCAGGCGAAGCATAATTAGCGTAATTTGCTACAATCCTTAATTTTAAAATATTCACTTCACAAGTTTTTTAAGGGTTATGAATTAGAATAAATAATATATATTTTCAAAGATATAATATATGTAGCAAAGTTCGAAACACATGTATTTTCTCATTTCGGCATATATATTTATGTTCCAAACAAGTACACAAGAAAAATTCTCTGCTGTTTTTTTTTCGATATATTGTTTATTATCATTTGAATGAAAAAGTGAATTTCCTTAAATGGAAAAACGTATACTGAAATATACAATTTTGTTATTACACTAAGAGCATTAATACATGCAATTAATTTAAAGTGTAATATAATATATTTTGTGCTAAGATTCTTTCACTTCATATAACCACTACAGCAAAAAACAATATTTGATAAAACAGACAATATTATTATTATAATAGCTTTTATCACATGATAATATGTGTGTAAAAGATCTTGATTTTATATATGTTAAATAATCCTTTTATTAATTTATTTACCATGCATAACACTTAAAGTAACGTTTTTTAATAATTTCTCCAAGAAACATTTACTTTGGCATACATGTTTTGTTCGCTATTTTAATAATGATATTATTAATCACAGAGATATATGCAACTAGTTAAATATATATATTAAAAATTTTATATTCGTTAAAAACTTCTCATATAATAGCATATAATAATAAAAGACTTAATAAAATTAATCAAAAAAAAAAAAAAAAAAAAAAATTAATAATATATTTATCGTATATCGTGAATTCAAAATATATTAAAATAAAATTACAAAAAAAATTAATATTAATGTATAAAATAAATTAAATAAATAATTTAATTAAATTTAAATATTTAAATAATATAAATGTCTAACTAATTAATTAATATAATAATTAAAACAAAACAAATTAATTAAATATATAACATCCAAAATTATTAAATTGTATAAAATAAATTAATTAATAATAAAAATAATATAAATATATTATATATATAAAATATATATTAAATTAATATTTAATAAATAAAATAATATAAATATATTAAATAAAAAAAGTAAATATTAAAAAAATAATATATAATTAAATTAAATTAAAAAAAAATATATATAATAAATATAATGAATAAAAATAATATAATAATTATATTAAACTATAAAATATATATTTTAAATGAGTATATAACGAACAAATTAAATAAATATAAATAAATGTGTTAGAAATATTTAAATATAATAAATGAATATATATAATAAAAATATAAATATAACAATGTTAATATTAAAATTAATAAAATAATTAATTAATAATTAAACTAAATATTATATATATAAGTGTATAATTTTTTTATTAATAAATTAATTAATGCATTAGATTAAACAAATAACAAAAAAATGATAAAAATAAAATATATATCAATTTATATAATAAATTAAAATATAAATATATTATTATAACATTAAAAAGTAAATAAAAATGTTCAAATAATAGCAACAATATATATATATTAACACATTAAATTAAATTAAAAAAAAAATAATTATATTATTACATATAATAATTTAATTGATATAAAATAATTAATTTATATATTACATATAATATTTAGTAAATTATATAAAATAAATATATATATATATATATATTTTATAATATTAATTAAAATAATATTTTATTATAATTACAATTGTTTTTATTTACTTATTTATTTTATTAATAAATTTTAATAATAATATAAATTTTATGAGTATATTTAATAAAATATATTATTATAAAAATAAATTTTAAATTATTAAAATTTAATTATATATAAAATAAATAAGTAAAAAAGAAAAAAAAATTAATTTAATTATATTTATTAAATAAAAAATAAATAATCATTTTTAAGTAAGAATATTAAATAAAAGAATAATTAATAATTATTTAATTTGTTAAATATACAAATGAATATAATATTAAATAATTAATTAATTAAAAATAATTTTTAATGTGTAATTAAAAATGGTATATATATATATATATAATATAACGTAATTAAATTAATATGATTATATAAAATTTAGCAATATATATTATTTTAATTTTATTTTATTAGATGTAATTATAAAAAAATACTTAATATTAAGAAATTTGTTACATAAAAATAAAAATTATATATTTAAAATTAAAAATAAGCGACCTAATTAATAATTTATTAATTAATTTTAATAAAATAAATAATTAAATAATATATTTTTTAATTTTAAACAATTATTTTTAATAAAATAAGTAATTAAATTATATATTTTTAATTTTAAATGGTTAATTTTAATAATTACAAATAATTAATTATAATAAATCAAATAAATAGTTAGTTATTTAACAGTTATATATAATTATTAATTAAAATAATGTTTTTATAAGCTAAATTAATAATTTATTAATTAAATAAAAATTAAATAATTTATTATTTAATTAAAAATATGTTAGCTAATAATTAATTTAAAAGAAATATATTTTATGTTTTTATAAATAAAATTAACATTATAATATAACAAAATTAAAATGGAGAAATTAAAATTAATTAAATAATAATTTTAGAATTAAATTAATATATTTATTACTTAAATATAAATTAATGTGTTATAATATAAATTTTACTTATATTATAAAAAAAAAATTGAAACATTTATAAGACTTTATTTTTTATATTTTGTTACATTATAGATATTTGTGTTCTGTTTTTTCCGAATTAATTTTAATTTAGTTATATTAATTTATTTTACTTACCAAAATACAATATATAATTTTTAATACATTACTCTATATAATTTTTTAAGTAGATTATAGCTTGCCAATATTTATAAAGTGAAATATATTTTATAGAAGTTTATTAAAAGATCAATTTTATCATTTTTTTTTATTATATAATTTCCTCTTTTAATTAAAATCGAATAAATTATTTATGTCCTTAAAATATTATCTATAATTTCATTGAAAAACTTGTATTAAAATGATATTGGACAACAAGCTTTATGATCAGTGTGCGTGCAATAAACGATAAAGTTTATGATTATTTGAAAACATAGGCTTAAAAATATATATATATATTTTTTTTTGATATACTGTCGAATAACCCATGTCCGTTTTACGGAAGAATGGGCATTTTAAGCATATTATTTTAAAACAAGTTCTTGTGTGTGTGTGTTATCAAATTTATTAATAGAAATAACTAGTTTTTATGTAAATTAAAGGTAAAGAAAAGAAACATATAATTTGGAAAAAACAGTATGTTGCTTTGCATGTAACGTACATAGGGTAAAACTGAAAAAACATTTTGATTGTAGGCATGGTTCTTTTATGCATTTTTGCAATAATTTATGTGTTAAAAAGATAGTGATTGTTTTTAGAATATTAATATTTATTGTTTTTTGCTTAGTCTTATATAAAATTCATTTAGCCTCATATAGGAGTTTGCAAAACAACAAAAAGTAACTTCAGAAAAGGCAAATGAATCACGTGTACTTGTAATTTTACATTTATTCTCTATGATAACAAACATTTTTCTGTTGTAGTTTGAAACTTTACTATTGTCCATGTAGAAAACAAAAAAAAAAAATTTCTGAAAGGTTTTTACATAGTGAAACGGACTTTAAAAATATTATATGAAATCTAAATTGAACCATAGAAATGAATATACGAGTATAAAAGATATGTATTCCTATCAGAGGAACTCAATTATGAAAGACAACCATATTGTTTGGTAAACTCTATATTTACATACTCAGAACTCAGTTGTCGCCGCAGTGATATAGATGTGTCACGAGAATACATTCATTTACTTATAAACATATGAATTCTTTAAAAAAAAGTAAAAATTTAGTTTTTTAAAAAAAGAAAGGAGTTATGAAAATAATATCATGCATAAGCGTGCAAAAGTAGCATGAATAAAGAATTACCTGTAAATATTGTGCTTTTAAATAACCACTTATAATTATGAAGTAACAGCTGTACATAGGGGCAATTGTTTTGCCGTTACAGTATTTATGCAATATTTGCTTAATGTTTTTTGGGCTAATTTTTTTTTTTTACTATTACTGTCTATTTTAACCCATGTAAAAAAAGTGAATGTATAAATAAAAAAGGCTATAGAGTTCATTTATCACATTCGCTAAAAATCCTTGAAATAAATTTGATTGAAGAGTTACTTTAAGCGTAACTGTAGATTATTGTTGCTTTATGCTTAAATTATAATATGAGTGTGCGCTTCTTTAGAACTAGCACAAATTTTTTACTCTAAGGAAGCAATACTAAATATTCTATAAAATCCCTTTTATGCTCAAAATTCTATTTTCATAATTTACATTAATTTTTGTTATGTTATATCATCCTATGAATAACTATTGCAGTCTTGAGATTTTTATATGGTGACCCCTGTTACATGATCTTAGCAAGTAGCGTTTTTATAAATTTGAGGTATTGATAAATATGCATAGGCAGAAAAACATATAGCATGTGTTTATGTGGACAATTTTTCGTTTCTTGAAGGACATTGTTATAAGCCCCATAAAAAAACAAGGGTTGGAAATATTATAGCTCTTTTATTAAGCATATTCTTGTTATTCATTAAAAATGAAAAACTTTTAGGCTTCACAGCACATGGAAGTATTTATGGGTAACTTTTACCAAAGTTTAATCTATAATAATTATGAAAATATAATATACAATTCATTTTAAATTCAACAAAGAGAAGTATAAATTACACAATAGTAATTTTCGTTTCACCCTTAAAATTTAAAAATGTATTTATGTGATTTCATGATTAAAAATGTTGTGTTCTTTAATTTTCCATATTATTTATGGATGGAAATCATTAATACTTGTGTGCAAGATTGAACGTGAATAATGGCTTCATCTATATTTTTCTACTTTGTCTTTTAATAATGCTTATATTTTATTTAATAGATGAGTGCTGTTGTTAACGTGCTATAACGCCGCCTAAAAATATGCCTTTTCATTTAACTTACAATTAATGAAATTTTACATATCACACTTTTAAATTTATTTAAAGTATGAATGAAAAGAAGTAAAGGGAAAAAGGAAATTTATAAGTGGTACCAGTAACCTTAAATAACGATATCTTGCATTCTAAGTGACAGAACATATGTTTAAGACTTTTTAAATTGAAATAAATATATAGTAGACAAATTATATCACACGAGTTTTTCTGCGCAATTAGATTTTAAAAACTTTAGACCCGAATAAAAAATTTACGCATATAAGTGAAAAATGAAAAAACGAATGATAAAACTAATCAATAACATAATTTTAATCCTATTTTGAAGTTGCGGAATGAAATTTTTCATTTGTCAAAGACACCGTATATTTTTAAGATGTTTGTTTAATATTACCAAAATTAGTATACACATTTCCAGTCTTTTTAAAAAGTTTATGCTGGTATGAAGTAAAAAACATAAATTATAATTTTATTTTCATTGCTACTTTGAGAAATTTGCATTATGAAAAAATAAAGATGAATTTGAATTACGTTATCTTTATTACTTATATATGTAAATATTTATTGAAAAAAAGAAAAAAACATGCATGTAAAAATATGGTAAAAATATATTTTCAACATATATTTCAATTCTATGAGGTTGGATTTATCTTAATAAGTGTAACTTTTTAAAAAAATAATGTTAAAAAAAACATATTGCATGTTATCTATTTTCACCTGTTGAATACATATTTTTGCAGTTCTTATAGTTTAACCACACTTCTGAAAGGCAGAAAAATAAATACTTATTCTCAAAAGTATTCAGCAGGTTTACAAATTTTATAAAGTATAATTTTTTTTATTATTCATTTACCTCTAGGAATATATTTCAATATATTTGGCCCCCAAAGTAATTATATACCAATTAAAAATATGTGTAAAAGGGCCCATTTCCCCGCTTTGACCCGTGACATCACTCTTTTAACACCCTAAATTATTAAACAAAAGCATTCCGTCTATGTTTATATGAAATGGAATATCACAAACATGTTCATATACGAAACAAATATATATGTTCTGAAATTGCATTTCCGTTTACTTGTATATAAAATCATTAAATGAGATGTCTTTGTTTTTATTTGCATTGAATTCTACATTTAAAAAGGCGTCTACCTCATCTTCCGTCAGTTTCACACCAGTGCCTGCATTGAAATGAATTTTTTTTTTTTCATTTTTCTTTAATTAAAATATAATGCATAAAATGCTTATAAGCAATGAAATGTAGCAATATGTATTTATATATATATAGGTACATAAATAGAATTCTTTAGCTCCTACCCAATGTCAATAATAAGCTTTTGAGCTTTGCAGTGGTAATCGTTTTGGCACTTTCTCTCGTGTGAGCTTGTAGTGACGTTAATAGTAGTTTTCCAATGTTTTCATCATAGTAAAATTCTTGCATAATAGCATAAAAGTTGTTTAAATTTACATTACCATTTATCCTGCATTCTATATTTTGTAAGAAATTACATATTAATACAATGTTAAAAACGTCATAATATAAAAGGACTATTATAAGGTATTTACAAATTAAGAAGTTTACATAAAAAAAGAGAAAAATTGACATAATAAAAATGAATGAAAATTTGATTTCACCATCTAATAAAGCAGCGGTTTCATCTTTGTTCAGATATATGCCAATAGATTTTAATAAATGTATTAGATGTTTCCCATCTAACCCATTTTTGCCCTTATCAAATTCTTTAAATATTGACTTTATTTCCGATCTCTTAAAGGTAAGGTTAAGAACGTACGTAAAAATTGTGTGGAAGTAGCATGGTAGATTAGGAGATAGTCGTTATTAAGATAACAAAATGTATTTGTGCGTTCATGCGTATATATATGCACACATATATATGTACATTTTTTAAAGTTACCCTTTCTTTAGACAAAATGTACTTATTCATTTGTGGCAGTTAAAGGTAAAAATTTAAACTTTAATAAAAAATGTTTATACAACATAGCTATATTTCTTAAAAAGTAGCGTAAAAATAAGCGATATTATCGTAAAAAATAAATACCCTTTTAAAGAAAAAAATGAATAGACAATGCAACTTCTTAAATAGAGATTTTGTACTTTTTAGCAATGGATGATACTAAAAATGCTTTGAAAAGCTGCTTTTCCTTTTCTGAATTTTCTTGAAATGAACGTATTTGGGAGAAAATTGTAATAATTGTGTATGGTGACAACTTTAAAGGGAACAATGTTAAAATGGTAAAAAAAAAATCTTTTAAGTTTTGGTTTTGTGTATATACAATTTTGCATACATATGTAATCGAACACGTAATAGCATAGCTATTTGTGTGTTTATGGTGTGGATAATTCCATTTAGGAAATGTGATCATAATTTGATATACCTGCTTTTGTGAACTGCGTATGTATGCATATAAATTCAAGGGACTTTGATAGATTATTATCTTTTGCAAATATGAAATTTAGTATGCACATGCTTCGGTATGTAATTAAATGGTGTGCGTACCATGTGTATATGCACATGACGTATGCTGCAAGGAGGCAAAAATATATTTACTTGTAGCATAAATTTACGTTTTCAAGAGAGTTAAATTGTGTACGTGCACATTTTACTCACTTTGACATTTAATTCAGTGTATTTTTATGAATGTTCGGAAGGGGTACAACTCGAAAAAGTGTTAATTTTTTTAATTAATTTTTAAATGTGAATACTTTTGTGTTATTATTTAAACGTGAAAAAAAAAAATATATATATATATTTAAATTAACTTTTTAGATATGTTAACAGAGGCGTTTCGCATGCAGAGATAACTTTGAGGAAAATTAGTTCGTTAACGTTACACATTATGAATTTTAAGCATAAGAAAAAAATTATTCTATTGCTTGTATATATTATCCACTAGTTAAATAATGATTTGATAATCATACACAAAACTTTTTGAAAGATAAACATATTTGTGTTTACGCTTTTAGTTTATATTGTTTTTGCGTAAATGCAAAATTTCTGATTTGTCTGTGGTTCATAAAATAGCATGTATGAATTTAAAATGTGAAAAATGGGGAGAACAAATGACTTTCTTAAAAATTTTAAATACGTTTTTTTGTTTTTTTGAAAACGCTAAATTTTGTAGCTTTACCATTGAAAAAATTGTAAATTAAAATTATTCTCAATTTTTGTTTTTTGATATAAAATATATGTAAAATAATTTATCTTTTCAACAGGATAAACTTGGATTTACGAACATCCTGTCTTCATTTCACTTTTCCAGTTTTATTAGAAACGTTTCCATTCATAATTAGAACATATCAACAACTTCGGTTAGCATATGGTGTTGCTTAACATGCATTTTTTCTTATTCTGCTTCTTAAAATATTGTGTCTATGTGTGTTAAATGTATAAAAGTAATGTTTTAAGATGTGAGTTGCTTTAAGCTTTCACATCGTTGTATTGTTTATTTTTAAGAGATCGAATTTTCTACAACTAAAACTGTATTTATGGATTAAAATGAAGTTACACATGGTGTTGTCTCACTGTGTTAAATTGTTTGTAAATAAACTGGATGAAATTTTATTTTCTGTTTAAATAAAAGACTCTCCTTTGCCGTCTTTATTCTGTAAGCATTTATAAATTTGTATTTCCTTTAAAATTTATATTAAAGGTGTGACAAAAAAAATAAAGGAGATTTTGTGCCCCATTTATAGTACAAAAATTTGCATTTCAAATATGGTAATTTTTTGTAGAACAAAAGTGTAATTAATAATTTTCCTGTTCACACGCGTATACAAAAAAACATAATGTTATGTTCTTAAAGGCAATATACTATTTCGTAGAAACAAATAACGATAATATGTTCAGAGAAATCATTTTATTTGTCATTTACACAAGATAGTTGGAAGTTAAATTGAAAATTTCACTTAAAAAAAAGTAATTCTCTATTTTTAATTTTTACGTGCTAGGCTATATAATTATAAGTTTACTTTTGATAATATAATATTCCTCGTTATTTACCAGAAGTGCCTGTACGTTTTTACATTCATGTCTAGAAATGTGTGCTCTTATCCATCATTTAAAATGAGACTATTTCATGAAAGTGTGCTCGTTATTCCCTTCTACTCTTACGAAAAGCTTTCACACAATGTGTCAACTGTACTAAAAGTGTTAATTATGTTCTTTTCATTTTGTATGCTTTGTATGTCTTTTTTTTTTTTTTTTTTACACAATTTTATTTGCCCCTTCTCCTATTTCTCTTCATTTTTTTGTTTCTCTTATCATGGAATATACCTAAATTAACAATGTATAAATTGTTATCCATGATACCTTAGATAAAAAAAGAAAAAAAATGTAACCAACATAGTATGTCGTTTATCTACCATTTCATACGAGGGATGTCTTTATTTGACCCGTGAAAAAAAGAACATTTCAGTTTTGCCACATTTCTGTAATACTCATACACATATATTTTCATGGCATATGCAAAAGTTTATATATACATATGTACAAATTTGCGTCTTTTTTTTAAGTACCAGAAATGCAGAAAGCCCAATAAATACATTGCTCGTTGCGATGTTATAGTTGTCCATAAAATGATTTTCATCTATTTTTTTGTTGTACAATACGAAGGATAAAAGAAACTGCAGAATGAAAAAAAAGAGAAACCCCAAAATTCCTTTAATGCGTAAAATTCCAGATATTATACCTCCTACAATACCTACGTTGTTAAAAATATGGCCGAACAGGTATATGATTAAGGTGTATATGTATATAAAAACATTTACACTTGAGATTATGTGTTTCCACTTTGTATTTCTATGCATGTTGCAAATTCTTCATTTACCTATCACTTGCTTGCAATAAAAAAAAGCATCATCCATTTCATTCTGTGGAAGAAAATACAAAATTGGAGTTTATGTGAAAAAGGTTTTCTTTGTCAAATGTGTGTGCACAGGAGTATTGGCTAAAAAATGAAATGTGCTTATTGTAAGTTTTGTGGTGTATATATGTACATGCATATATTTGTATAGTGCATAAATAAATGTGCTCAATAAGCTTGCATAATGTGAAAATGTCTTATGCTCATTTTTGTCAACCTTTGTTAATTTCTCATGTAGCAACTTCCTAAATAACCCGCTTCCATTAATTTCTCTTGTTTTTTTCATTCTTAAATAAGTGTAATCTTAAATAAGTGTAATCTTTAAAATGTATATCTTCAATGGTGTTTTATTCAGTTCCTTGAGAAGTTTCTTATTATTTAAAAAAAAAAAAAAAAAAAAAAAATGCGTATGATTTAATGCCCGTCATCTATTATAATTTCGTAACAACAGGAATATGGTTTAAAAGATATAACTCATATTGACAAGGAATAATAGGGGAAAAGAAGCAACAAAAGTAAAAAAAATAAAAAAAAAGAAAGAAATATGGAGAAGGGATGATAACAAGGTGGTAATAATATTACATGGTACATATTTTATTTGGTACACTAGTTCTCCTACGTATAACAAGAAAAACAACGTAAAAGAAAAAATACCTGAAACAATTTATTTTATTTTTTTTTTTGAAAGTAGTAAAAATCTTTGTTAATGTTATTATCAAATAAACAAAGTTACTTTGTTTTAAGGATTCTTAAACATAAGGCCTTCATGTTACCATTGTTGTAAAATTTATAAACAAGAAACACAAAGTTATAAGTGTTATTATAACTGTGCCGTAAAGGGGAAAATTTTCCCCGAGTTCTTATTTCTGTGCAAAGAAAAATGTAATTCTAATGAGAAGTGTAGTTCTGCACCTTGCTAATAATAACGAAGAAAAATAAAAAATTTTGTGTTTGTATACTAGAATTAGAGAAAGAATTTTAAGTCGTTTTTGAAAGATTTTCAATACATCATAACTTTTAAATATGATATCAACATAATTATGTTTTTTAAAAAAATGGAAATGAAAAAGGAAACCCTGAAGGCTGCAAGTAAAAAGAACTGTTTTGTTCATTGTCCTACCTATCTAACAACTAGCACCTGGACAACACACTTAAAAGAAAAAAAAAAAAAATTATATAAAGGGGAAAAGTGCTTTTATTTAAAATCTCCAAATTTCCATAAAATGGGAAAATGCTTAATCTTCGTTGTTAACTGCTAACAGGAGAAATATGCTTTACAATATTTTTTACACACAAAAGTTCCTCATTTGTAGTGGGAAAATGAATTTTTTTTTTTTTTTTTTTTTTTTTTTTTTTTTTTTTTTTATACCCCTTTGACAAGTGCTTTGCAGTAAATTTACATACAAAATTAAAGCATGAAAGGAAGTTATCTATTCCTTATTTTCCACATTTTCAAAAAGAAAGGAAATGCGTGTTACATTAAGATTTAGGTATTTGTACATATGTGTAAGCACAATGTTACTATCATGCTCTTTGTACACAAAAAGGAAACATCCTTTTTAGTAATTTGTAGAATTAAGGACATTTTACATTACATTTGTCTATTCCTTCACATTTGTTTCGTTATCATACTAGTTCTATTCTTTAAAATGTTATAAAAGAAAAAAAAAAAAAAAATGGGGGAATTTTTATGACCAACCATAACTTTTAAAAACTGGAAATAATTCTTCAATACATGCGTTTTTGCGTAAGTTTAATGCGTTTATTTTATAATCCCCCATAAGTTCCACATATTCATGGATTTATACCTTTTTTGGTTACATTTGTTACATTTCGTTTTTTATGTGAAAAGAAAAAAATATAAAAACAAGCCAATAATGATTCACCATTTTCACGAAATAACCTAAAGTATCGAATTTACATTAAGAATTAACGAATAAACGCATGTACAACAAACTTGCAACCATGGATAATAAAAAAATAAATTATGGAAAGAGTTATCCAACACAAAAATCTCCGTACATGGGTATATAAAATATTTTACAACATTCATGCACGCACATTTTTCATACTATTCCAATAAACTCATCTTTTCTTTTTTGTTTTTTTTCGTTACAAAAAAAAAATAATAATTATTATTATTATAAGCCGCTACCCTCCCGGTGTTTACAAAGATTCACGAACTTTACATATTTTGTAATGTCTAATGAACACTTGTTCCATTATCATAGTCTCTTTTGGATGATTAATGTGCATCCTTTCCTTTTTCCTAAAAAAAAAAAAAAAAAAAATTTTTTTTTACAATTTTTCAGGATTTACTGATGAATCTGCTATTAGAGAAAACCCCTGGGTCCACGAGTCCATAAAACAAAAACAGCTAAGTAAAGGGAAAAATTCTTATTCGTATATGTTAACCAGATTTTAATCGCTATCTACGTGATGTTCACAACATTTTTTTGCATAAAATGTATATACACGTGAAAACACGCTTGAGCAGAAGCATTAACACACCTATATGTGCATGTTTATGTAAACACCCAAACATGTCCATATTATATTTACATGAGTGATGAAAATAAAAAAATTCAACCAATCTATATAGAACTCCTAAAAAAAAAATTTACTTCATTTTTTCTGAGTTGCTCCCCACCTCCCCCCTTCTACAGAAATTGCCGAACTAATGCTTAACAAGAAAACAGACAATGAGTTAAAAAAAAATGTTAACTTCTCTACAACAGAAAAGGAAGAAGAGTCCAAAATAAAGGAAGATTTGGATAAAAAAAATCTAACCAGCATATCCAATGCATCGATAGCCGAAGTCCTGAACAAAAAATTATTTGGGAATAATCAGTCCTGGAAAAATAAGAATGTTTCTTATAGCCATAAAAACATAGATGAAGAAAAAGTGTCTATATTAAGTAAATATAAAGATTCATATGGGAATAAAGAAAATTCGAACACAGTTAATAAACTAAATGAAAGCAATAAAACCGATCTTAATAATTTTCTACTAACGAAAAGTACTGCATATTCCTCAAAAGATAAATTTTTTATTCAAAAAAGGCTCAGTGACATAACCAAGAAAGGGAATTCTACAGACAGAATAACCACCTTAAACTCTCAAAAATCAAATGAAAAAGAATATGTCAGCAAGAGGGGGAAGAGCTCATTAATGAAAGGGCTAAGCAGGAGTCCCACAAACGCGGATGCTCTTGATGAAAGTTGTCAAAATTTTGGCGATGAAAGTGATTTTGATCTTCCTGAAGATAGTAACAACTGCCAAGTTGGAGACATCGAAAACGTTATTCATAACTCCTACCTTGCAACTAACAGGGGAAACACGTTCAAAAGGGGTGAATTAAAGAACAGCAAAAATGGACCTCTTACTAATAAGAACTCCCATTCTTACGAATTTTTTAAAAGCCCTCATAACTCTAAATCATTACCGTGTGACAAGAAAAAAAGGAAAGACAAAAATAGAAAAGTCAATTTTTTTTTTAATTTTTTAAACTTTAAAAAAAAGTGTAATAAAAGAAAAAATGACAAAAAAAAAAAATGTATTGCCAAGGAAGAGGAAGAAAAGAATTACCCTAGTTCAGACAAAGAGAATTCTTCAAGTTTTAATACAAATAAAAAAAACATAAGATCTTTTTTTTGTGTTAAATGAAACATTTTTCGGTCATACTTAGGAGATTTAAAATATAATGTGAGAATAAATTTGTACATTAAATTCGTGGTTAAGTTGGTGTTTTATTTTTGTCTTTTCCGTGGGTTTTCAGCGTACATTTTGATGCAGACACCCGATCACGTTTTTATTTTTTGTTCCTCCTTTTACTTCCATTTTGTTAATAAGAAACTTTTAACACCATTTTGGTGTCATTTTTTTTTTTTTTTTTTTTTTTCATTTAAATGAAATATTAAGATACTTTGCAAAGTACAATGCATCACCAACAATCTGTATTAATGAAGTATCAGTTTTTTGAAAAAAAAAAAAAAAAAAAGATCATCATCACAATGGATACTAACGCAAAATTAGGGAAGCATCAAAAATACATTACAATTATCACTAAAGATGTACAAAAAAGTAGAATTATGCAAACATCAAAATACCATTACAATATTACACAAGTTAGTTGTTAAATTCTGGTGGGTGTGAATTTTTCATTGAATTCGGATAATAGCCATAGTTGGAATAAAAATCAGGAACATTTTGAAATCTTTGATTAAATAAAAAGGGCATTCCACATGCATTATACATAAAATTAGCCCAATGCACCATCGTTTCTTTGTTGCATGGAAAAGGGTCCATGAATGGAGGGGGATGACTAAACTTGGGGTGGCTGTGCATGGGTAAAGAAAATAGGAGCACACGAAAGTGTTCCATGTGTTATACACATAAATGTACATGAAGAAATACAGATAATTTTCTCCTGTACATATTATCATCTTGTGAATGAGAAAAGTGAATTATGAATTTTATTCCTTGCCTTTTGCTGTTTTGTCGTTTCATAGCCATTTTAGGCTTTTTAGGCTCTGCTTTTCTAACTTCGACCATCTTGTCCTAAAAAAAAAGGGAAACAAGAAAAGTGCTTGTTAGGGTAGCGTTTTGGCAGAAAAGATGAAAAGTGGATAAGGGACCACTTAACAAAAGGACACATGTACATGTATTTTTGTCTCTTCAATATATTTTATTTTGATTTTCTCTCGTACGTATATTTTGTGCCTTCTGTGCTTCAAAACTTTGGCCACGGAAGATTCATTTGCGAAAACCACAAATCCAAAACATCTGGATCTACCAGAAGAATCCAGTACAATTTGAACTACATCAATTTCCCCAAAGGCAGAAAAGTAGCTGAGCAAAGATGAAAAAAAAAAAAAAAAAAAATATAATAAAATAAAAAAAGAAAGGATAATGTGGAATATATATATATATATATATTGCTTTTATTCGCATAATTTGCTATTGAATTCACCAACACATGTGTAGTTGTACGAATGCACACAATAAACATTACACGTAACAAGATAAATCTTCAGAAAAATTACTCATTCTCTTCTTATTATCATAGTTCATACCTCTCTAGTGTATCTTTAGTCCAATAATAGTGCAGTCCACCTACGAATATTTTTCTCTGGATATCTGAGGGAGTTGTATTATGCTCCTCACGAACATCAACTCTTTTTCCATTAAGTTCATGAGAATCCTAAAAAAAAAAAAGAAAGTTAAAAGTGGAAAAAAAAAAAAAAATATTTACATACATGTATAAATACATAAATCTGTGAAAAAAGAAGTATCAGCTATGCTTTGTAATTTGCGTCTATATATTTCATAAACTGGTCTATATTCTTATATACTATTAGGATTTTATCTTTATTTATTTGAGATGACATTGTAACGAACGCAAATCCTCTGTTTCTTTTCGTTTCATGATCTTGTGCTATAACAACATTTTGTACAGATCCATATTTTTCGAAGTATTCTGTTATGTACTTTGAAGGGGAAGAAAAGAGAAAAATATATACATACATAAGTGTTAATATATATACAGCGGTAAAAAAAAAAAAAAAAAAAAAAAAAAAAGAGAAAAGAGATAAGCAACTGATAGAAATATACATAGACAATCAAATAAAGGTGAATTTTATCTAAACAAAAGGAGAGTGGAAATAAAAAAGACAGAATAAAACTTGTCAAAATAATGAGTTCATTACTTTATTTGTTATATTTTGTGGGATACCACCGATAAAAAATTTAAAGGGTTCATTTACATTTTTTGAACTATTCGCATATTCGTTAATTCCTGTGGAGGCTGTGTTAATGTGTGGGAAGGATGAATAAATTTGTATAAGTTTATGTGCAGATATGGTGGGGTGTAGTATATATAAGCAGGTTCATAAACACAAACACATTCACTGCCACTGCTACTTCCTGATATTGATTATAAAGAAGATAATTCTTGTTATCCCTACCTGTGCTTAGTGTATCACCATTTCTGGACTTAGGTGTTAGGCTACTCTTTTCAGATTTTGCAGAACACTTGGAAACACTATTTTCGTGGCAGCAGCATACTTTTTTTTTTTCTAAAAAGATTCGAATTTTTTTTTTTTTTTTGATGAAAAAGTGAATATTGATTTAAGGGGGGGAGAGATAGCAAAATAAATTTTATGTGGATACATGAAAAAGGAAAAACAAGTAAATGTATTCACAAAACTGATGAATTATCAAAACACTACAACTGTAATAATTTTTAAGAGAAAATGATGTGTCTAATATTGCTGTATGTAGGGCCATGACGAATATATATATTTTATAAGCACATATATATATGCATGCGTAAACTCCAACATGGATTCATACAAAGCTGTATAAGAAATTCATTAGAGCTCCTAACCTGGACTATAAGATTCACAAGAGGAGCTTCTATCCCTTTTTTCTCTGAGCTCACAATTATAACTCATCTCATTGTTTTTGGAAATGCTGTCTATCTTCTTTTTATCAATTTCGTCATTTTTGAATTGCCTCGCTTTTAAGGAAGTATCAGCATCACTTGATTCACTAGCAATATCATTTAATGTCATTTTTCTAATTTTTTTAACCTTTTTAATTTTCTTTTATTTATTAAAGATGATTTGTAATATTTGCATATATATGTATACGTATATAATTTTTTATTTGCAAAATTTATTTTCTATAAGTGTTCTTATACAATACTAATCCTCAGATATATATGTAGAATGTGATCAATTTTGTGAGTGTGTTATGGGAAAATAAAATATGCACACAGAAATTGTTTCTATTACTAATTTTTTTTTTTTTTTTAAATTATTTTTTATTTCCATTCAGCACCTTTCGCTTAACGTCTATCGATTAGCCTCTGTCGATTAGCATCTATCGATTAGCATTTATCGATTAGTATCTATCGCTTAGAATGTTTTCTCCTTTATTTTCCTTTTTCATTGAATTATTCAAGACGGAAATTTTAACACACTTTCTACATTCCGATGAGCATAAAAAAGAAAAAAAAAAGAAGCATATACTAATACATTCGTCAATGCAAAATAGACATGGCGGGTCAATATTTGCTCTTATTTTTACGGTAGGAGAAAAAAAAAAAAAAAAAATACTACATGATTTTATGCCATTACCTATAACTTAGGTATAAAACTATTACTTTTAAATCATTTCTTTCTATTTTATTAGTAATTTGAGAAAAAACACCTTTAATTTAAATTCTAAAAAATGTGTACAAAAACATAGGGGGGGGTAAAATTATAGAGTAGCGATTTCTCTATTTTTTTAATATGTTTATAACCTATCATGTAAAAAAATTTGGAAGTCGGGCTGAAAAGAGCATGTATGCAAGCTATGGGAAAGCCGTTTCAGTATATACATGTATATATATGCATATGTGTACGTGTGTGTATAAGTACATGTGTATATATACGTAAAAACATACATACACATATATGCGTGTATATCCATAGAAAAGTAACCATGCATATATACCCCATGGGAGTGAAAATTCGTGTATATTTTGGAATGCGGAAAAATTACATCAACATGAAGACTTTTTGGACTAAAAAATTATAATGCCTTGAGAACAAAAAAAAAAGATGGGGGAAAAAAATTAAATAAATTATAATACAGTGCGGGTGCAATTTTTTATTTATAAAAAAAAAAAAAAAAAAAAGAGAATAGGAGAATTCTCCATAAGACCTTTTTTATTTCATAGTGTATCTCTTTTTTCTTTCTTTCCTTTTTATTTTATTATTATTTTATTTTATTTATTTTTTTTTTTGTTGTTGTGTGTGTGCATTGTATGAAAGCAAAATTACATTTATTAAAATGAAAAAAGTAGTTAAAATCGAATTCGTTCATTTGAATCATGTGAATTTATTTATTATTATTATTTTTTTTAGAATGCTTCACTTGATGATAGGATTTGTTTTAGATCGTTTCATCTAATTATTTCTAATCATTTCACCTCGACATAGCAACATGCTGATAACGAGCTTGCAAAAATATAGCAGAGGTCATCATTGCGCAAGCACTACTTCATGCTCATAATTTTTCTAAATGATTCCAAGTTATTTTGCCAACTTTCCCTCTCTTCACGCGTCTTGAAAATAAACAAATAGGTACTTATATTAATACTACTTACGGCTATTTCTAGCGATTTGAGATTGTCTACTTTGGTTCTTATTGAAGTTATTTTATTTAAAGAAAATGAGCCAATAGGTTTTTTTTTTTCGTTTCCTTCAGATTTTCCTTTATACCACTCCAGCATCTTCCCGTCTTTCGAACAAGTAACTTTAACAGTTTCATGGAAAATAGCTGTTTTTATTTTTACAACTTTTGTTAATGTTTTTCTATATTGTTTTATTTTTTCATCCCTTATATCTCTAGCTGAAATATTCTCACCTGAATCATCGGTTGATTGTTTTTCTTCCTCTTCCTCTTCTTCTTCTTCCTCTTCTGTTTCAACGTTTATTTTTCTTGCTGTGGGTGAGTAAGTTGGTCTCCTTCTTGCATTTCTCACAGCTTTCGGGTTCATATGATTTGTGCTGTTATAGTTCGTGGTATTGTTTCCATTATTGATGTTGTTGCAGTTGTTGCTGTTGTTGCTGTAGTTCCTGTTAGCGTTATGATTGGAACTACCTCCCGGATACCCCTGGTTTGATGTGTAACCCTTTTTGGAACCCTCCTTGTGTGTCTCTTCGGCAGATTCGTAGTTAAAATTTTCAAGTAACGTTGCTAGTGATCCGTTATTCAGCTAGCGGAAAAAAAAAAAAAAAAAAAGAAAAAAAAAGGGAGAAATGACAATACAAATGATAACAATACTCCGAATAACGCAAAACAATTGAAGAAATGCACACAGACATATGTCCACCCAATGGTCACACTTTTTTTTTGGATGGTGGTATTTGCTTACTTTCTGTGGATTGTAATTTAAAAGTGGCCCGTCAGGTGTTCTCTTCCCCCACCGTTCGTAGCAGCTGTACTGAACGGTATTTCCCATATTATTTTGAGTAAAATCGAAAATTCTGTTGGTGTCCTTTGTTTTGTTTTTGTTTATTTTTGCTTATTTTTGTTTATTTTGTTTTCCCCTATTTTCCTCTGCGTCGCTTTGTTTTACTTGTGTTTTTTTGTTTCAAGTTCAATATTTTCATGCCCAAGGATGGTGGACAATTAGGAAAATAATTTAAATCAATATAATGAGCGTGTAAACTATATACAAAGTGTAGCGGATGTACTCATGTACAAAATTAATCCCTGAAACATATGCAAAATTGCAAATCCATTTTATTTTTTTTTTTTTTCCCTATTTTTTTCTTCATCTTCAAGGTTGTAATTAAAATTGGTGTCCATATGTATAATTGGGTGTTTGCTTTTTTACGCAGTTTTTTTGTGCCCATAAAGAGGCAACAAAAAAAAGGGGAAAGGAAAAAAAAAAAAAAAAAAAAAAAAAAAAGTGAAGAAAATAAATAAACAAATAAACAAACTAACGGTGGAACAAAAATATTCAACAAAAGCAAAATTTAATTTCCATTTTTCAGATCACATGGAATGCTTAAAAAAAAAAAAAATAATAAAAATAATAAATAAAATAAAAGAAAATTTGCGAGGAAAAATTGATATGTACATACCCCCCACATTAGTATGCACTTTTTTTCCATTAGCCCAAGAAAGCATGAAATTACAAAATTTCAAATTGCCCTTTTCAAATGACGAATGGGGATTTATTCAAAAATTACAACGTACGGGAAAATATATAGATGAAAACCATATCCATGGAAATAAGAAGAGTTCAAGGCCTAATTAATTAGATCCATCAACGCGCTTCACTTGTGAAAATGTGTATTTTAGTTGAACAAAGCAACTCCAAGAGTATTTTGCAGTACAGATATATATATATATATATATGTATGTACACTTTTATTGCAGTTTCACAGTATAGCACATGAAGCAACAGGGTAAGGGTGGAGCGAAAAAAATGGGAGTTTTAAGAGGTGCTCCTTAAGACTGCATATATATAACGTCATGCTTACCGCAACATATAATAATACACATATACTTGTGTGTAAACGCACATGCATATGAGAAATATTCACCTGCGCATGAACCGACAGATGCATTTATAAATGTGTGATTATGGGAATGACTGAACAGAAAGGGGAAGAGAGAGAAGCCAATACTAAATTATTGCATTACAAATTGTTGATGAATAGGTAAAAAAAAAAAAAAAATAGTATAGTAGAGGGTAATGGAAGGAGAAAAAAAAAAAAAAAAAAAAAAAAAACGCAAAAAAGGGATAACAAATTAAAAAAAAAAAAAAATGAGTTTAGTATGTAAAGCCATCCTAGTAGTAACACTTTTTTATCGCTCAGTCTTCTGTCTTCTCAGAAAGAATAGAACCAATATAGATACCCTGCTTTATATTAAGGAAAATTTTCATCCATGTATTTTTAATTTCCCAAAAAGTAAACGTATGAAAAATGTAAAAGGAATAGGGATGAGAAAAAAATGGAATGCCTGTTTGTGCATGACGGATGATAGGGAAAATGACAAAATGAGCAAATGTAACCCTGTGGAAAGTGTAAAATTTTACGACTTTTCACGTATTTATGAACATTTCAAATTCAATAGAAATGATTCAGAGAGTGAGAAATCAGGACAACCGGGGGGAAATGGTGACGAAAGTTGTTACAACATGTGCACTGAAAAGGGTGTACTCACGAACCCGTCTAAGGAGGGTACTTCAGTTGAAGAGGACATGCCCACAAAATATTCCATTAAAATTGTAAATAACCTTGTCAACAATGCTGTAGATAACTCTGTTAATAACAAGACAGATACGCAACCAAGCAGTGATTCCATGAACAACCAAAATAACAACCTGTTAGTTAAAGATGACCCCAATAGAATCCAAAGAATGAAGTTCGAAAATACGCAGGAGTATAGCAACATATTTAGGGAGAAAGAAAAAAAAAAGCATGTGAAGACATATGTTGCAAATATTTTTCAGAAAATCCCGAAATTTAAGGATAACATTAAAGTAATTAAAGATGCTTTATTGTATCTAAAATTTATAGAAAAAGGGAATCTGTATTTAATTAAAAATGTGGACAGCAAAAGTGTGAACGCAGAACCGTACGTTGATTTTACAAAAGGAAAAGGATCAAAAAAAAAAGGCACGAAAAAAGACAAAATTAAACTAGAATTAACAAGTATATACAATAATATAAATAAAGAAAAACACACAAAAAAAAGAATATGCAAAGAATGTTGTATTAAGATAGATTTATACACAAAATTACTCTCCCGTCCACTGAACAATATATACAATTTGCATAAAAATTTAAAGAAATTTTTACACCCATTTCAGTATAGTTTATACGAAAATGCTATAACAAATTTTTATAAAGAGGGAGAAATATCCAACTCGTTAAGTGATGTCTTAAGCAACATTTTACAAGTCAGAAAGTTGATAACTCTTACAGGAAAAACGTATGCAGGGCAAATGAAATATTTAAAAACATGCAGAGAATTATTTAAAAAATTAAATGAAGCAATAGTAGATCTAAATATTATTTTACAATCTGGTAGAAAATGGCTAGACTTATACAATTCATATATTAAAAAAATTAGAAAAATTAAATATATAGATATAACAAAACCAGCAATATCTATTATTGGATGTACAAATGTAGGAAAAAGTAGCATCCTCAATTCAATTACGAATTCGAAATCGAAAATAGCTGATTATAATTTTACAACCAAAGAATTTAATCTAGGTCATTATTCTTTTACAAATGAAAATGATATATTTACAACACAAATTATGGATCTACCAGGATTAATTAATCGACCAGAACAAAAAAGAAATCTTATGGAAAAATTATCCTTATCATCATTAAAAAATATTCCATCAGCAGTTATTTACGTTTTTGATCCTTCAAAAAAGGACGACCATAAATTCTCTTCTATGAAGGCACAATTAGATATTCGCTACTACCTAAGGGGATTATTTCCTTTCAGACCTTGGATTGATGTTATAACAAAATCAGATTTAATTAGCTGGGATCAAATTAACATACCTAAAGATATTAAAGAAAACGCTCTTTTTATTTCAACAGAAGATACAAATTCTTTATTACCCCTACGGGAAAGAATAAATGAAGTGACATTTAAGTTAACCAACTTTTTAGCGAAACATACGATGGAATCATAGACCCTTATGTAGGCTTTTCATGAATAGACACATTTACAAAAAATAATCTTTTCCCCTATAACTTATTTGTTTATCCGTTTCGAAGGTGAAAACAGTGCAAAGGGGGGCCTCTCACATTTATAGGCACCAAGCACATGTATGTATACATCTATATGTACATATATACATGTGCATATGAAAATCCAGGAATATGTTATAATATATGACCCATTTCTAAAAATGAAAAAATATTAAGAGTGTTTGCAGGCACAAAGGATGTGCGTAATTTTGCCAGAAGGAGACTCCCTTTCTTTTTTCTTTTTTCTTTTTTTTTTTTTTTTTTTATATTCATCCATTCAGGAACAATTCTTAATTCCTTTTAAATTTACTTGATGCTTTCATTTTTAACGCTCTTCAATAATGCCTAAAACGCAAGTTTGATATATTATTCTTTTGTCTTCACATTTGCTTGAATACTTGTTTATGTTATTTTTTATTTATGTTTTTTTTTTTTTTTTTTTTTTGTATGTGTGTGCCTGAAAAAATAGGAATTAAAAATGGTGATGAGAGGTGGGTGGGGGATTGTGTGTATTTAACTTTTTCTTTTCATTTTTAAATAATTTTGCAGCGCCTCCCTCTTTTTAGGTGTTAAATTTTCCGTTTAATTTTTGCATATAGATGTATATATGTGCACAAGGTAAGTGCAAATATGTGTATGTGTATTTTTAAACTCGATTGTATTAATACAGTACCTTGTGTACACCTATGTGTGTAACTATTTCCCATCTCCATGAAGAAATATTATTTTCATTTAATTAAAACATGGTTTCATTGTGTAGAAAACTATGCAATTGAAGGTATACTAAATTAACATTTACTTGAATGTTTTTTACTTGCCAAATCAGATATAGGCACATATGTGTTCTGCATCTCCAGATCTAAGGAAGACGAGAAAATATCTTCATTAATGCTAAATGCCCATCAAAAACATGTCAATTTTTCTTTACATGTTTGATAATTTGTCAGTTTTTTTTTTTTTCGCGCATGGGCAATGCAATTTTTCAATACATGAGAATAATTCTCCCTGCAAATATGGTTTAAAAATTTAAATGTTGCACCTATGTAGGATTATTAATTCTTCTTGATTATGTATACTATTAATATCTAGTTTTGGTATTTTATGGGTTATTTCTATTTCTCTGTTGCTCTGGATATATTTTATTTTTTTGTTGTAATTATGTGGGTTCATGACTCCATTGGATTTATAGATAGCTCCGTAGGACAGACCATAAACAGGTTTGTGTGATAAACTATTTTTATGAGTCATGTCATCTTCGATTTCGCCACCATCCTCGTAAATGCACCTCTGTAATTCTGTTGCTTCCATGGATATGGTAGGGTTCATTATTTCTTCATTTTCATCATATGGAAGTAACTCTTCATTGGGTTCATTTTCAATTTTTTTACAAACTGCACTTTTAATCATTTTATCCCTAAAGCAAAAGGGGTCTTTTAAGAAATTAATGCTTACACCGTTTACCTGAACATTGTACCCGACGTCAATTTCGGGGATAAAGGGGCCGTTGAACAGGACAGTTCGCATGATGAAAAATGAGAAGGATAAAAAGGGTCAGAAAAAATGGATGAGATAAAATGAGGGAGCGAAAATGAGAGGGAAAATATGTGAAGAAAAATATGTGAGGGAAAAAATGAGAGAGACAAAATTGGAGAGACAAAATTGGAGAGACAAAATTGGAGAGACAAAATTGGAGAGACAAAATTGGAGAGACAAAATTGGAGAGACAAAATTGGAGTGACAAAATTGGAGTGACAAAATAGGAAAAATGAAATGCAGAATATCAAGCTTCAAGCTAGAATAACACCCATTAGGTGAGGTGTACTTATATTAAACCTTATATGCACATGCACAATTTAAAGGTCAAGGAGAATACTTATTTAAAATTATCGTTAAACGTCAATGTTTTGTCTTAATTCCTTTCATGAAATAAATGCAAAGATTTCGCATTTTAAAAGAACTTTTTTTTTTCGTATGTAAAGAAAAAAAAGTTCATGTGGAAATTATTTAAAGAACTGTTTTAATCATCCAGAATAGTTTTATTAAAACATGAAAAAGAATATTTTGCATGTGGATGAATTAGACATTGAAACTGAATTAATTAATTTTTTTAATTTTTTTTTTTAACACAAATCTTAAATAAATTAAAAAAAAAAAAAAAAATAGCTGAAGTGTATGTTTATCGTTGTGCACACGGGGTTTGTGTTTTTTTTGGGAATAGCTAGATTTTTTTTTTTTTTTTTTTTTTTTTTTTTTTATGAACAGTCAGCACTTCAACTACTTCTATACGGAGAGAAATCTTGTTCATTTTCACTCACACAATTTTTGTAAATTCGAAGTTAACCATTAGTAATTTTGCATTATTTTTTGTTATCTAACAAGATCAAACCTTAGATTCTTTGAATTGTTCTACTTTAGGTTCACATCACTATTGGGATGCATTCCAAAAGTCTACAAAATTGAGTTTGTTGCATTACAGCTAAGGGAGGGAAAGTTATATTTTTACCATTGTTGTTTTTATTTTTCTAGCGATTTTAATTTATTTCATAAAATATAGCTGCGGTTTAATTTTAAAGGTGATTGTACGAATCTGTCAAATAACCAAATCAAATGTGTGTCTCATCTTGGCATTTCTATTTGCAAAAAAAAGTGTTATGTTAGCAAGACAGGTTGAGTGTGAAAGAAAAAAAATTATTTCAATAAGTTAGCTAAATATATCAGGTTTGCCTCATGGCCAAAGTATTTGCATAAAATTTGGAAATTTACACCACCCTTGGAAAAGATATGCCTTCATATTTGAGTTTATACGTATATGTTTACGCGATAGAACGAATTTTAGAAATTTTTTACTTTTCCTTTGATTAAAATATTCGACAAATAGCTTTTTTGCAACATCATACACGCAAAAAGGAGGAAGAAAGGAAACATTTTTTTTTAAATAATTTGATGATGCACGCTAAGTGGAAAAACTGTGTAGTTTATAAACATCACATAATCGAAAAGAAAAAGAAAAAATCTCTAAGTTCGTTATATTATACACAGTGATGTTTTTACACATATCCGTAAGTTCCCATACTTACATATGTACATAACATATATACACCCCATATGTACTGTGATAAAATTTTTATTTTTAATTGAGAGCATAAGGGTGTGCAAATGATTCACACACGCTCCACCCAAGGAAAATTGGATTGTTTTGCGAAACTTAATTTTTTGTTATGGCACTCGATTACTTTGAAAAAACATGTATTAAGAGCAGATAATCTTTAAACAAATTGCATTACATGAGCGGTAAAAAAAAAAAAAAAAATGTGTTCGCAATATGGGAAAATTTATCAAAAAAATTGCAGAAAGATTGTAATGAAAATTGAACAAGAGTTGCAAAAAAACTGCACAAAAATAGGGGAAAAGTTGCAAAAGAGAACATAAAATTTTGCGAAAAAGAAAAAGTCAAAAGCACATAAAATATTAGAGGTGTGCAAACTTGGTTATGCTTTTTTAATGGTTCAAAAATAAATTAATAAAATAAATACTCATGTGCCAATCGTTTGGGAATTTTATTTAATTAATATGGGGACTTGGGGGAAAGTATAAAAGGAAAAAAAAAAAAAAAAAAAAAAAAAATAGTTGCTGTCACATGAAGGGATGTTGTTTAAACATCTGTAATAATGCACGTTACTAAACCACATAAAAAGAAAGAATGAAAAAAACGTTGTGTGTATATGTATGCGTAAAGGCGTAAGCGTTCATAATTAGGATGTACAATGTTCTTATGTTTTCGCTTAAATAATGAAATTACCTATCAAACCATAGTTAAATGTAAAAAAGTTTTTAATTCGAGTTTTTTTTTTAATTAATTTTCTTATCCAAGGGAAAGCAGATACTTCCCACCAACCAAAAAAAAAAAAAAAGAAGAAATATATACACCAGGTTGCAACACCACATGTGATTATGCTTTAGGTTTAATTAAAATAATAATTTACCTTTTAACAAACCCAAAGAAATTATGGGAAATCAGTGCTGTGCAGGAAGAGATGTAAGAAAAATAGAAATAAAAAACTTCAATTAAAATTGTAGAAAAGATTATGAAACCTTTACTTCATAAGTGTGTTAAAAATCCGTGCATCAGGGAAGTCATTTTGGAACATTGCTAGCAACACACGACACACATACATATATATACACACATACATATATATACACACATACATATATGTACACACATACATTTATATACACACATACATTTATATACACACATACATTTATATACACACATACATTTATATACACACATACATTTATATACACATATACATATATATAAACACATACATTTATATACACACATACATTTATATACACATATAATATATACATTTCTCTCACACGCTCTAGTTGCTTTACAAAAATAAACTGCAAGAATTTGGAATAGAGGGTTCAAAGACAATAAGAAAATTGTTATCCTTTACAAGTAGGTTTTCTCTTTTGAGTTTTTCATGGATACAAGATTTGTTCTATTTCTATTCTCCAATTTGCGAGTTCAGTTTGTGCTTTTTATTTGCACGCCTTTATGAATAATTAAAAAAAGAGAAAATAGGAGAAAACAGGAGAAAAAAAGCAAAACAAAGCAGACGAGGCAAACGAAGCAAACGAAACGCACAGAGCGAGCGAAATAAAAGAGACAAAATAACATTGCTCATTTTTTAGGTAATGATATTCTAAGGTTCGACAAGGCATATGACGAGAATGATGTTCAGGAGTTTGTGAATTTGTGTTCATCCACTTGTGAGGTAAAGACATGACAAAATAAAAGAAATTACATGCATGTATACACATGGTTTTATTTCACACAAACATACACCTCTTGAACGTATATATGTATGCATGTGGGTACATATATTTCCTTCTTTTTGTAGATTGAAAAGCTAGAGGATAGAATGCACCCATGGGCTGCGGACCCGAAAACGATTGGTGCATTATCGGCGACTCAGTTGGCCATATTGGCCAGTAAAGAAAGTACGAAGAAAAAAAAAAAAAAAAAAAAAAAAAAAAGACGAGCGAAACACATTTACAGAGTATCCTACTTTTTTTCTTTTTTTTCCATTACCAAATAGTTTTATATGTGAGTGATAAGAATCTTGTACAGTAGTGACGAGGACTTTTGTTTCAATTTTACATATTTAAAACACATGCGCTTTATTAATTTTGTATCTTTTGCCAGATGAACCACATTACAAAGATGCCATTCGTGAAGCCGATGGAATACCTGTTTTCATAAATCTGCTAAAATCACATGTAATAATATTTCAAGGGGGGGGGGAAGAATGCTTTCTTTTAAATGTTCAGAAGTTACTATGCTTTTTTTTTTTTTTTACATTATATATATGTACATGTATATGTATATATATTTTTTTTTTTTGGACAAACAGGAATTGGACAGAGTGCACGCGTCGGTCGTGGCGTTATCCTTTTTGTCTGTGGATAGTAAGAATCAAAGGAAAAGCAGAAAAAAAGCGCAATCATATATATATATATATATATATTGAGAGAAGAGGAAAAATAAAACTAAGTGATCAATGAACATATTGTACGAATCGGGTTGGATAAGCGCTATGCCAATGAACTTTCTGTAAATTATAATTTTCATTTAACTTATTCTCTTATTCCTCTCTCATCTTACACTTGTAGATGTGAAAAACTGCATAACCATGTTTGAAAATGGAGTTATGCCTTACCTAATCAGCGGGATGAAGTCAAATATAGACGGGATGAAAGCTGCTTGTGCCCAAACATGCAGAAATATCTTTGTATTAGGTGAGAGAAAATGAGTAATGGGGTATACGCATTCAAGGGAGGACAACGAGGCACGTTGCCATTGTACATTACCGTGCATATATTTTCATGTGTACATGTTTGTATTTTCCTATGGTATATCATTAATCATTTTTGCAATTTTTTTCTACACTTTAATTTTTACAGATAAAAAATATAAAAAGGAATTTTTAAAATTAGGGGGAATTTCCCAACTAGTGAATTTGCTCGAGATGTAATAATTAAAAGGAACGGGACTCGAAGTTGTATATAGAAATGAGTTCCCTGTTATGTCTTCGTTTACAAATTTGATTGCCAATTTGTTTTTCGGATTTGTTTGTCTACCCATTTACCCACTTTTTTTCTTTTTTACATTTCATGTACATAGGCCACCGAACTATGACGATAGTCAACCCCTGTACACACAACTAGAGGCCATTTATCACTTGGAGGATTTTATACTGGTATGAAGAAAACTACGCTTTATGGGGATAATTAAAGACACATACATTTTTTTTTATTTACTTCATTTTTGCGTCAGTTAAATTTATTGGTAAAGAGTTTGGTGCAGATGAAACCAATGGGGTTTAATCAGCATTCTGCATGTATAAAAAAAAAAAAAAAAAAAAAAAAAAAAAAATGCACATGGAAATTATAGGATGAACAAATATACACAGAAAGTAGACGCCAAAAAAAAAAAAAAAAAAAAAATGTTCGTGAAATGTACCGACTATGCACATGCATTTGAAAAAAAAAAAAAAAAAATACCAAAACATCACACTCATTTTTATTTTGCCTTTTTTATTTTTTTATTTCCCCTGTTGGTACAGAATGATGGAGACGAAGTCCCCGAGTTTTTGGAAGCGGTTAAAAAATCCAACGCAATTAAAAATTTGAAAAGTCTTCAGCAGGTATGGGCAGAAGAATCTTTCTATTATTTTTTCCCTCCTATTTGATGCGATTACGCATGTTTGTATTTATATATGTATGTATATATGTATGTATATATGTATGTATATATGTATGTATATATGTATGTATATATGTATGTATATATGTATGTATATATGTATGTATATATGTATGTATATATGTATGTATATATGTATATATGTATGTATATATGTATGTATGCATATATATATATATATATATATATATATATATATATATGTGCACACACCCATAAATCCTCATGACGTGCATGTATTAATTATTATCCCCCTTTTTAGTGCCCAGAGCAAGACGTAGCTGAAGCTTCAAATGTTCTCCTATTGAGACTTACGGATTAAATTATATTCATTTAGTTTATTTACATACATGTGAAAGTATATGTATGTAAGTATAAGCACATTCGTGGCATGCCGTATACACACACACGGTCGTCTGCCCTCGATATTATATTACGTTATATTGTATATATATATTTTTCCATTTTTTTTGTGTTTGTAAGAATGTGATACTTACATTAATTGTTCATGTGTGTAGTAATTAAAATTTTTTTTGTACCTTCTCCATCATGATCACCCAAAAAAAAAAAAAAACCTACACACATATATGTATATGTATATATATATATATATATCCAAACAATCAAGTGTTCACGCAACCCTTTGGCCATTTAGATGTGCCTTAAAGTAAGACCCATCTCTTATTTTCCAACATTTGTTTCTTGTAAATTTTGTCCCCATCTGTTATCCCATGCGTATAAGTATATATATAAAGCTTCCTTGATTGTAGAAGATTTATAAATTTTCATCATTATGTAATAATTACAATAAAGTGTAAAATATTTAATTTTTTAAGTCAAAAGAATGGCCCTTTTTTTTTTTTTTTTTTGCACATTTTGCACATTTTTTCGTGAACCTGCATTTGTGTGTATAATATACATGATACTTTCTCCAAATTCACTACCTTTATGTTCATATAAAAAGTGGATTTTTCGGAGAGTTTACTTTTTTTTTTGACATCACGCAATTCATCTCTTGCGTGTGTCAGAATTATGTGCTGCGGATGGATGGTTGCTGATTACCTCCACCACCCATACTCATTTGTATATTGGGATTTCCTTCGATTCCAAAAGCATTTCTGAAAAATTGGATATGTTTTCTAATCCCCGTATTTCACTCTTTAACTGTGGCATACAAACGATGTGAAAATCGTTCCCATATAAATTTTTGATCTGCGTGAGATATTTGGACTGTAATTTCCTTCTGGATATATATACATCTTCCAATTCTTTTGTCTTCTGAATTAGACTATTAAAAGATTCTTGAACATTTTTGTCTTTAATTTGTTTCAATAAACTTTCACAATGATCTACATTTACTGTGGTAGAATCTAGGGGAAAAACGACCTGATTTACAACTATATTATAGCATGAAATGTTCTTTTTTGTAAGTTCTTGTATTAATCTTTCGGTTTCATATACACTTAAAAATTCAGGGATACAAACACATACAAATGTTGTTTTTAAAGGATTCTGAAAATTGGATTGAATACTAATTGACATTGCATTGAGATGATTGATCTTTTCGTATAATCCTTCTAATTCCATTTCATTGTTTGTAAAACTTTTTAACATGTTTAAAGTTCCTTTCAGCTTTTCTCGTAAATTAATTAAATATCCCAGTGCCTTTTTTAGTAATTCAGGAAAAGCTAGTAATCTTAATGTATGCCCTGTCGGTGCTGTATCAAAAACGATAACTGAATATTTCATGTTTTTTATTGATTGCATTAATTCAGCAAAACATAGGGCTTCATCAATTCCTGGAAAACTTTGTAAAAGTTCTGGAATTATATTATCAAAAAATTCGGTTTTATTTAATTTAAATGCAGTGTTTTCTGAAAAAGTGGTGTCTATTTCCATGCAGTATAAATTGTTAAATGAATTGATTAGGGTTGGTTTATTTGTGAATTTTTGATTAAATGCATCACTTGTGTTGTGTGCTGGATCGGTAGATAACAGTAAAACGGATTCTCTTTTTTTGGCTAGCTGGACAGCTATGGAGCAAGATGTGGTGGTTTTACCCACTCCACCCTTTCCTCCTACAAATATCCAATTTAATGTCTTATTTTCAAGTAGCTTGTTCAAATTCGTATCGTATTCTTCGTCATCATAATCGTCACTCTCTAAGGTTAGGGAGCATGAAAGGGATTCAGAGTCACTCATTTTGGTGCTGTTCGAAGTGTTAATCAAATTAGAAAAGTTTTTTTACGTTTCTGGGTTTTCTTTTTTATAGACTCTTATAGTATATATACTTCTATGGATTATTTTTACCTTTTTTTTATTTGGTCCGTCTTTTCTGATCCGCTTTAAACACTTTCGAACTTTTTTTCCAACCCTGAGAAAAATCATAAAACCGTTTTTACATTCCTTGGGTTATCAATTCTGCTGCATGGGTTCTTTTTCTTATTCCAACGAGCAAGTTCATACCTACGTAAATAAGCACAGTGTCTTGTAGAGTATTATACATACGAGATATAATTTTCATCAAATAAAACTAACTTTCACCTTGAAATGAGAAAAGGGGTTTTGTATTTCTCTTTTTTTTTTTTTTTTTTTTTTTTTTTTAACATGCACGATTACATATAAACCGGGGAAGAAGCACAGGAAAAGTAAACTTTTAATGGCCTATTTTTTTTTTTATCTTGTACAGATCTGATAAAATGTAAATTACCGTTTTAAATAACATATATTTTTGTTTAAAACGTTACCTGCGCGCCCAGTTGGGTGATCTTTTTTTTTTTTTTTTTTTTTTTCTTTGTATGTAATTAATGAATGCATTTGATAAGTTTGATAAGTTTAATATGTTTAACATGTTTAATGCCGTTTATGCAATGTATTTTTATGAACATATTTTCGTGCAGATGTGATCGATCATAGATATGCAGCCTTCATGAGGTCATCAAAAACTCTTTAAAACTGCATGTGAACGTGAAAAAAAAATTCATTATTCAAAGTTGTACTCCTAAAAATTAATATCTTATTTTTAGATTCATTTAGAGGAATTTTTTTCTTTTTTTCTTTTTTTATTTTTTTTTTCTCTTTGTGCACAAGTTGGAGATGAAAAGTTCGGGGGTAGTAAAAATAAATCGGGCAAGAAAAAGCGTATACGACATGAGTATATAAAACTACATACATATATAACATTTGAACATAATTCTCTTCTAAATTATGCATTCACTTTTGTGTTCGCGTATTTCTCTCTCCCCAGTGCACTTTGGCTTTTATTAAAAGGGAAAAAATGGGAAGGATAGAAAAAAAAAAAAAAAAAAAAAATCATAAACAGCTTTTTTTAATTTTATAATTTGTCATGGAGTTTACTTGTTTGCACTTTCCTGGAAGACAAGCAAGCTGTTAAACTTGTCATTCGGATGTAATTTTTCGCCAAGCTCGAGAACTTCAATCGCTTGAATCGATTCCCCTTTACCCCGACCATCTCCCAAAATAAAATAAATAGAATAGAATATATAGAATAGAATAAATAGAGTAGCGTACATAGAACAGCATAACATAGATAGAAAAGAATAAATAGAATATATGTAATAATGCAAAAAGAGAAAGAGAAATGAAAATCTGGTGGTGGGTCCAAATGTGTGCCGGAAGAGGCACATGCAAACCTGTACTCAAAGGGAGCAGGTTTCATTTCAGTTTAATGACAAACAGAATATGTGAAATGCAAAAGGATCGAGGAATATTTGAAAAATTAGTACAAGTAGGAAAGTACAATGTTGAAAAGAATGGAGATGATGAAAAAGACTGCATAAATGGTAGTGCAATGAACAAAGAGAATTTTAAAAAATACAGTGAATATATAAAAAAGGATTATGACATGTTAAAAAAAAAGTTACGAGATGCAAAAGAAAATTATTTTAAAGGAAGTTACGAAGAGCACCTATTCGATTGTATACAAAATAATGATTATAAAGATTTAATTATAGCAGATGTAATTTATGAAAAAGAGAAAAATGTTTTATGTATAGGAGAAGGAAATCTATCATTCAGTACACTGATCCAAAAAAATTTAAGTTCATGTAAAGTAGTTGCTACTTCAATGGAAAATGAAAAGACACTAAAAAAAAATTTTGGAAATGTCTTTTCCAAAAATTTAAAAATCTTAGAATCACATGGGGGTATTTATGTTCCTGAAATAAATGTGGAAACAATTTATGAACAGTTCCCAGAAAATACATTTGATGTTATTATTTTTAATTTTCCGTTCGTCCTACCATCAAATGATTTTATACAATCCAAGTGGAAGATACAAATTGATAAATTGATGGATGACAAGACCAGTTACATGAAATATTATAAAAAGTCAGAATATTTTTTACTGAATAAATTATTTTATTGGCTATTTAAAAATTCTTCTATTTTGCTAAAACATAATGGATTCTTACATGTGCGTGTTAATGACAAATATTTAACATGTGATTTTTCCAACACCTTTTCTTTATCTCTTGTTCAGAAAATTGATTTTTCAAATTCTTACATGGTTTATAAATCTTTGCGCTATATCCCAAGTATGATGTACAATTCTTCTTCTTTTCGAAATGATAGTTCCAGTTCCAGTTCCAATTCCAATTCCAAAAAAAATGTTATGTTTACATCTCACGGGAAGATTTTTAAAACTTTTAAAATGGCTCACACGTCAACATTAATTTTTCAGAAGGGGACACCTCCCCCCAAGGACGACCATCGCTAGTAGCCACTCCCTGCATATCGAGACACTTCTCTCCCATTTTTGCTACTCATCAGGGCCATTCGTCACGGGTACCAAAAAGAACTATTCACCATGGTTACCAAGCAGAACTACTCATCTCATTGTCATCACCTGTGCTTCCGAAGAGCGAAATTCACCACTTTATTGTTCTGTAAAATATCATAAACGATGCTGGCAGAGGAAAAGTTAAAGGGACAGCCGAAATGCAGCATGAGGGATTTATACTTTTTGACCTTGTCGGAAAATATTTTGTTACATTTGTCCATTTTTCCCTTAAAATGATCCTTCAGTTTTACCTCGTTTATGAAGTCATTATTATTACTGCTTATCAAAGTAGTAACCTCTGTCCCATTTTGGTACATATACAAATTTTTTTTTTTTTTTTTTTTTTTTTTTTTTTTTTTCCCTATTTTTTTTCTGTTTGTGGTATTGCACCATTTAACTGTGTAGGATGGGTTCATAAAAAGATATTTTCTCCAGTAAACTGCCATATCCACTGCAATTAAATTTATGTTAATGTCATTTGATTTAATTAAAATGGAAGAACATAAAAACAATTCAAGAACTTTAATTAAAATATGTGCTCTATCTCTTCTTGATTTATCATCCATATACAAATAGTCATTTCCCTCATCCATTATATTGTTATTTTTTTTTATAGATAAATCGAAAGTTAAGTTCCCATTTTCTATGTACATCTTATCGTACCAATCATACACAACAAACCTTATGTCTTCCTCGTCAAATCCCCTAAAAAAATAATATTCATCATTTAATTGTTTTAATGTATTGGACTTTCTCCCTTGTGTTTCCATAGTTTCTCTCTCTTGTTTGACATTTGTGTTATCATCATTTTTTTCATTCTTATCCCAATATTTTATTATCTCTCTGCTTAATACGCTGTTATCAGTTCCATGATTTGGCCCATCGGTTAATCTATCAGCTAGTCCATAACTCAGATGCATATCCCGCTGAATCTCATCATAGTTCCTCATAAAGAATCGATTCATAAGATGATTCGACATGTATGCTTGTATAACATTGTTTGGAAATGTCAAGACATCTGTGAGAGATTGTCCTGGTTTTGTTGTTCCTTTGGCTTGTATGATACCCCGACTACAGGTTCGATTTGCATCCGCAGAGATGCAGGAGTCACCAGAACCTATTTCACTAGAACCCATTCCATCTCCCCTCTCATGGACATAATTCACATACGCAGACATTAGATGCATCTTACTGTAAACATTCTCAATGGAATAAGAAAAGTCCTTTAATCGACAGGTCTCAAAAAGTGTCTTGAACAATTTTTTATTTATATTTTTTATGAGACAAGAAGAAACAGCAAAACATCGATAGAATAGAGATTTTCTAGAAGGGTAACAAAACTTTATAAGGATATGATTTATATTGTCCAATAGAGATAAAGGTAAATTAGACATATTATTGATCACATAATTTTTATCTTCATACATACATATACTAACATCATTTCTTAAATTTAATTCTTTCATAGAAGTTTTGTCTAATTTGTTTGCGTTATATATTGATATTGGTTTTAATCCATGTGTGTATTTAAAAAAGTAGTTTATGTTCTTATACTTTTGAACTTTATTTTCATAGATAGGGCACAAGTCACATGCATAGCATATTAACTCTACTAATCTCTTGACACCACAATTTGGAGGATACACAAGAAAAATAATGTTGTTTTTGTCTTGATGAATATTTGATTTGTATTTCAATTGTTTAAGTTCCTTACTAGTATGTTTACCACATGATTGATTAGTAGCTTCATCTGACTCTGGGAAAAATTTCTTCAAAATTTTGTATAATTTAAAGATTTCATTTTTATGGCCTGCAATTTCGTAAAGGCTGTTGGGTCTAAAAAAAACGCTCCACAAACTCGTTACAATTTTTAGCTTTTCGCTTTTCTTCATATTCTGTGTTATTTTTTTCTCGAAAGAATTCAAAACCTCACTCTTCGCTTCTTTTTCTTCATTGGGTGTTAATCCTGATACGTTTGTCTCTTTGAAATATTCATCTGGTGATATATATTCCAGGGATGAATCCTCTTCTGAGGATGGGAAATTTTCTCTCTCGATCACACGCTTGCTTTCTTTTTCTTCTATCGCTGATTCTTTTCCTTTTCCATATACAACAGATGTGCATGTGTGCGTTTTTGTTCTTCTCGTTACTACATCCTCTTCGAATTGTGCTTTCAGAGAATATATATCTGTTGGATACAGAGTACCACTTTGAATTGTATTCATATGATTGTCCATATGATCCTCTGCCAAAGCAGATCCTCCATGGGCTAATCCAACGGGCGTAGTCATCAGCAGATCATCACTAATACTGCATGTTGAGAGATCATTACACAATTTCTGAGCTAAAAGAACAAATTCAAAAGACTTTTCTTCATTCAGAACAGAGTGCACTAACTGGTAGTACCTAGTTCTGTAGACATTCATCATGGAGTTCATGTTGGAATGAAATTTCTCCCTTGCCATGTGTAAGAAGATGAAAAAATTATTTAATCTTCTGGTAAAATGGGAAAGAAGCATTTTTTTATCTCCAGAATTAGTAGCATCTGAAATTTCAACTATATTTTTCTTTATCATTTTGCAAAAGTGTTGTATTTTTTTCTCTATTACAGAATTAGATGCATTGTTTATATTCGTTTCATTAAGCATGAATTTGTATCTCTTTGCGTTATTTTTATTTATGGGCGTAAAAAGATTAATGCGTTTTTTTATATCTATATTTAAGTGGCACAAAATTCCTTTTTCGTCAAAGATAGGACCATTATAATTTGACATTTTTTTTATAAAATCTTCATTTAAATCTTGCCCAATGATTAAAGAATTACTTCTCCGTAAGTTGTTTGTGATTCCATAACCAAAATCTTTTAATTTTCTGACTAATGCAAAGTTACTGAATAGTGTGAATTTTCCCGCGATGAAGAAGGTGAAGGGTTTGTTTGAGTTGTCCCTCAAAAGTTCCCGTGGGGTGGTATCCATCAATTTGGATTCCTCCCAAATTATACTCTTCTCACCGTGTCCTTGAGAATTTCCTGTCTTCAACTCTGCATAATCATTATACTCTCTGTCAAAGTAGTACTTATTTAAAATTCTTAGAATTTTTATTTTTTTTTTCTCATTCAATATATCATTTACATTATCATTTAATCTAAAATTGTTTTTAATGGATGTTAATTTTTCCTGTACGTTATTTTGTAGTTCATACAACTTGCTTTTGTAATTATTTCTAATCGTGCTATCTTTTTTTTTTCTCTCTTTCTTTTTTGCCTTTCCCCCCAATTTATCGCCTGTTTCTACATGTTTAGCTAAAACAGCTTTTCCAGTCTCACGTGAATCGCTATGTTGATCATGGTGATTCTGATTATCGTCTTCGCTGCCATCTTCGTCATCGTCATTATCATCATCATCATCGTCATTATCATCCTCATCATCGTCATTATCATCCTCATCATCGTCATTATCATCCTCATCATCGTCATTATCATCCTCATCATCGTCATTATCATCCCCATCATCGTCATTATCATCCCCATCATCGTCATAATGTTCAGTACTGACAGCGCTTCCCATATAAGCATTACTCTCTGACCACTCCATTTCTTCTTTCTTATTAAAGTTGTTAATAAATCCTATGTTTAGACAAGTTTTTCTACCAGATTTATTCGATAAGCTCTTTCTTCCATTGTCATCATTCGCGTCCGTTTTCATTTCTCTACCAATACCTTTATGTGCACCTACAACAGTGCACCTAATTCTTCCAATTCTTAATCTCTTCGTTTTGGCACGCTCCAACTCGAACTCATTATCTGATTTTAAAATTCTTTTGTTTTCTTTTAGATAATCTTTCCTATCTTCAGATGGGGGACTATTATCTAGTTGTTCATTTTCAGATTGCTCATCATTTGTGTGTAGTTTTTTTTCTCCCTTTATCTCACCGGAGCTATTTGTTTTGTTTTGTTTTTTATTCCCACTTTTTTCACACTTGGCATAAATTAAACAGTTCTTTTGCTTATAACTTTCTCCATCTGAAATGGAATTCCTTTTGTAGGATGCGTTTTGTTTTCTGTACGGTTCAGCTTTGTCCACGCATTCCTCTGCATGTCTCACCTTGCGTCCTATCCTATTTCCCCTAACTGTGCTCTCTATACCACTTTGAGTGCTACTTCTCACACCGTTTCGTGTGCATCCCAGACTAGTATCACTTTCATCACTATCTGCACTACTCAAACCATCCTTAGAAATATCATCCCCCTCATTCACATTAACAGTAATTTGAATATCATCACCAAAAAAATTTACTAGAGAAATTTTTCTCGCTTTCACAACTTTTGTGCAATTTTGAAAAGACGGGGAAGGAGAGGAACACTCACTGTTTTCATTTCTGATATCTCTTTTACTGGGTTCTACATTACAAGTTTCACTGTTATTATTTCTCTCTTCAAATAAATTGGGAAAACAATATAATTCAGGGTTATTTGAAGAATCTGCAACGGAAGCACTATTTAAATCATCTTTTTCTGCAATGTTCATATTCAGTGATACATTGATTTCATCCGAGTCTTTTTTTTTCCTCTTGAATCCCCTTTTTGTTTTATTCACACTGTCTTGAGATTGGTTCTGGAAGTTTTTCAGTGGAGCCTCCATTTTGTCACACATGTGTTTTTGGCATTCTTCCATTTTTGCTTCTACTTTTCTATGAATCTCTTCTACATTTTCTTCATCATATTCGAGCTTCCACACTTCATCTTCTTTCCATTTTAAGGGTGACTCAACAGTAGTAACTCTGTTCGCATCTCTCGATAAAATGGATTTAATATTTGTAATTCCACAACTGAGTTCACGTGAATTAATGCTGATGCGATTTTTTTTATTTTTCAATTCATTTTCTGTACTTGGTGGTGCAGAAAAGGGGTTCTGCTTTTTTGTGATATGTTCGATTTTTCTTGTCTCCCCTTCTGCATTTACATCATTGTGTAAATTTTCATCACATGTTGGGTAAATTATTTGTTTCAAAACAGCGTCTTTTGGATGTGGGTTAAAATTTATCATAGTACTTACATCAGATGAATGTTCATTAGCAGGTCGTGCGTCCTGACAGGTGAAGATGCTAGATGACTCGATGCTTTTGTTGATTCTGGCACTTTTGTTCACTTCAATACCATTGTTGATTCTGGCACTTTTGTTCACTTCAATACCATTGTTGATTCTGGCACTTTTGTTCACTTCAATACCATTGTTGATTCTGGTACTTTTCTTCATTTCAACACCATTATTGATTTCGATACCTTCGTTGATTTGGACACTTTTATTGACTTCGCTACTTTTTACAATTTTGAAAAAATTGGTAATTTTGCTTGTGCATTTTTCCTCTTTTTTTTTTTTTTTCCTCCTATCGTTGTTTGTCCTTGTGGGGATTTCTCCCCTATGGCTATCTACTCTCTCATCTTCACATCTAGGATCCTTCATAACCTTTCTGTGGCCGTAGGTGTTGGAGATGTGTAAGTGCTAAAAGAATATTTTCTCTTGGCTTATTTCCCACCTAATCTCCCTTTGGATGAAAACCTTATTTAGGGATGTCAAATGAGTTAAGCTTCACGGGGTTGTTAAAATTTTTTTTTTGCATTTTCAATAAATAAACTAACGAATAAACATTTCACCTTGCTTGGCTGCCTAGGACTTAGTGCATTCCCCCTTTTTTGCTTATTTTATGCACACACATGTACATATAAATACATGTATATATGCATATCTTTTTTTAGGAGAAAATTTCAAAAGGTGCATGAGAGAAAAAAAAAAAAAAAAAAAAAAAAAAAAAGATAAAAAAGATAAAAAATAAAAAATAAATCGCACATCATATATATATATATATATACATATATATTTTTTTTTTCACAAATTAAACCCTCATTTGTGTAACAAATGAATATTTACACATGCAATGTGCTGTACACTTATTTTACACGCATTATATGTATGCTGCATTTTTTTGGTCACTCGCTTTTCCCTTTAGAAGACAGTTAAAAAAATGGGGATATAAAAAAGCCCTCAATTTGGGAAAGATGATTTTTACCCATCCAATATAAGGGGTTATCCCAAATTGTGCTTAAAAAAAAAAAAAAAAAAAAAAAATGAATTATGCATCAGAATGTTAGGAGGGACGATGTGGAAGTAGTGCAGTGTGGAAATGGTGCTGTGTGGAAATGGTGCTGTGTGGAAATGGTGCTGTGTGGAAATGGTGCTGTGTGGAAATGGTACTGTATGGATGTAGTGCTGTGTGGAAATAGTATGAATGGAAAGAATGCTATTGTTGACTCGCAGATGATCATGTGAGTACTTCCGCGTGCTGAATGCAGCAGCATTAACACACTCGTGGGATAGAACACATAAAACATAAGACAAAAAAATAGTTCCATAGAGGAGAAAAAGCATACTACGTGTTTAAAATATATATGACGAAATTTTCATTATATTGTGTTATATTGTATGTATTAATATATATATATATATATTTTCCAAATTTTACACTAAAAATCCCCAGTGTGTAATGTTAGTTCGACGATCATTTACACTGCTTCCTCTTGTATATTTTATGAATCCTAAACTCTGCGGATGGAGGGAAAAAATGAAGAACGAAACCTCGTAAGAGATATAACACTCTTAAAAATAAGTTGACCAGCTTAAATTTCATTACAAATTAACATCCCCTATAAAGGACACTAAAGCATACGTTATGTACATGCTTGGTATTTCTTGCGCATGTAGATGCATTTCATGGTTTTTTTTTTTTTTTTTTTTCTTTCGTACATAATTTATTTCATATATAAACATATTAAAATTTCTTTTTACAAGTCCTCTATGGATGTGCTACCACCAATATCACTATATTATCACTATTTTTTCTGGGTCAGATCTCTTCCCTGTAATTTTCAATATTTTATTTTCTTTGCATTTTTTAATTTGAAAAGCATTTTCAGGTGGAGAACCGGCCCTAGGTGGGGGTAAGACATATATATATAATGACACATATGTTTATAAGGGCATATTTTCACCTTATGGGTCATACACGTTGATGGACTTATCTAATATATCAAAAGGTCAGAAAAATAGGTGAAAAGGGGAAAAAAAAAAAAAAAAAAAAAAATGGCTAGCTAAGTGCAATTTGCCTAAAGGATAATTATTTCGAAGTGCTTATATAATCTCAATTTCGAAGCATCACCCCAAAATTATTATCACTCAATAATAGGGACTCTCACATTTGTGAATTCTTTTGGGAGGTATATAGAAAATTGTCACAGATAAATGTGTGTACAATGTTTTAAGATATGGGATTGAACCTCACAAAATAAAACATAATCATTTAATGTGGTTTTGAAGATTTTTCCTCAACTTTTCTCTATATTTTGTCATATTTTTGGTCTTTTTTTTTTTTTTTTTTTTTCATTTCTGAGAGGAATAATTCCCGTACAACTTTTAACAGCTGTGGCGGTAACATTGTGTGTGTTTTATTCGTGTCATTTTATTTCCCCTATGTATCAATACACATGTTAACAAAAAAAAAAAAAAAAAAAAAAAAAAAAAAGGATTGCGTGTTTCTTCAGTTTTGATGATTTCTTTTGTAGAATGATATTACTGTAACACAACATTTTCCCCCTGTTAGTAACGAACAATGGAAGTAATTGCATTAATTATTGTAGAATCAATGAATGATGTTTTGGTATTGGTGATGAGGTTTGCCTGTTTAAGTATTTCCATAAAGTTATACTTATCGATACATACGCGTCTTTTATTTATAATTGTATACAGATGCAATCTTGGATGTTCTTCTGATTCGACGTAAAATAAATAAATGGATTAATATATATGTTTATAGCTACATCTATTGGGATTGTACTGAAAATGAGCACCTACCTTAACAGAGGGGTTATGTTGAAATGTAAATGTTTTATGTAAATATGTTTTCTCCCATGAATTAATGACAAATATATAACCGTGTATTTTATATATGTATAAAAAGTGCATGAAAAAATACCTCTTAAAATTCTCAGTGATCAAGAGGAGGCATTATTATTTTTTTCTTTTTTTTTTTTATTATAGTGCAACGTCACCTCTTTGAAGTGTGCCCCGATTTTTACATTACATGAAATGTGATCCTCTTTCTGTGTTTTTTTTTTTTTTTTTTTTTTTCTTTTTTTTTTTGTTTGGTGTTGATTAGTATGTTTCACTGACAGGTAAACGTACAGGTAGTAAAATAACACATTTGAAATATAATTATTATTAGCCCTTTTTTGTTTCTACATATTAGCCTTTTTTCATTTCTATTTATCAGCATTCTTGCGTTTTTAATTGTCATCAATTTTTCGTTTTTAATTGTGAGCTATTTTTTTTTTTTTATTTTTCAGTATTTTTACTTTTTTTACACTATTAGTAATTTTATTTTTTACTTTTTTATTGCATCTGTATATGACCAACACAGGCACAAATGCCTGTGGGGAGAGAGAGAGAGCTTATCATTCATTCTTGCTCATCAGTTGTAACTGTTTAACCTCCTTTTATTCCTCATTATTTTTTCATGTGTTACCTAGGGATTATGAATCCTGTGGAAACGTTATATATATATGTACGTACATGTATATATATATGTATATGTATACACACATATATAATCTTGTGCTTGGCGTTTATTTTTATCATGCTTATGGGCCTGTAGATAAGGGCTGTTATTGTACTCCCAATTCTCGAATCACATAAATAAAAACACGGGAAAGAAAAGAATCAAATTCACACCAGTGCAGTTGGCAATTCTGAGAAAAGAAGAGAAGTTCTAATTGACATTTCTTCGACTACTACACAACTGTTTGTTTGTATTTTTTTTTTTTTTTTTTTTTTTTTCCTCATTTTTTAATTTTTTTTTTTTTTTGACTTTCCACTTGTTCGAGCTTTGAAGAAATTGGTAAAGGATTGGGAAGCAGGGAAGTAGTAGCGAAAAAAAATTTTCAGCTTATTTCAAACCCAGTTGACAATTCATATGTGCAGACGAGTACACTCAATTTGGCTAAGTGTTTATGTATCTACTTAAGACTCGGAGGAGTTATATATGCATATATATATATATATATATATATATATATATATATGTGCAGTTACAAGGGGAGCGAAGGCAAATAACCAAGCGGTCACTAGTTTGAGTTTTTTCTTGAAAGGAAGAGCTATATAAATATGAAATATGTGAATATATGTACGGCATGGATGCATGTATGTGTTCCCAAATAATCATTTACACTTGCTCCCAAATGAATGTTTCAACATTTTTCAACGTGAAATTTTCACGTGAATTTTCTTTTCCTTTTACACCATTATAACAATGGATGCTAGACAGGGATAAACCCCCTTTTTTTTTCACAGTGCACTGTGCATACATGTGGAATTCTTTGAATCATTTACAAATTCACCACTTCTCAAAATTGCATATATGGAGTGACCATCACACCTCCCGAATGTGTTCCTATAAATACATCATCACCACAACCACCACCCAAAAAAAAAGAAAAAAAATTTATCACTTTTTTCACAACTGATAGAAAACATTTAACATTAAAATGTGTATGATATTCTTATGTCCATGTGGTGATATGTGGTTCTTATATTAACAGCAATGCAAACCAGATCCTCTTCACTCCTCGTTCATTTACAAAATAGAATAGAGCGCATCATCTTTTTAAAAAGAAAAAAAAAAAAAAATGAATAAATATAGTGATAAAAACAGAATGGGTCGAAACAGAAAACACAAAAACAGAGATCGAAGGAAAGATCTGTTTCTCGAAATTTTTAGAGGGGGACCTGGAATGCATTTCTGTTCAGGTAGAGAAAATTTCTTTTTAGAAAGTAACACGCTAGAGTTAGATATTAAAAAGGAATTTTTAAAAAAATTGGACATCTCATCATCCTTTTTATCTAAATTTTCCTTATTCAAAAAAAATTTATTTGATGATTTTTTTGCTTTAAAAAAGGAAGAAATAAAAAAAAGGATATGGCAAGGATACGAATCAGTGATAGACAATTTACGTGACGAAGATGTAAGAGAAGTTTTTCAAAATTTAAAGAAATTCAGATTAAGAGAAAAAGAGGAGGAAAAATTATTCTTGTCTTATTTACACGGTTTCGACAAGTTCAAACGAGTAGACCAAAGAAAGGGAAAAAAAAAATATTCATTTCTTCCACAAAAATCGGAACAAGCGGTAGGACTATCCAAGTCACACTGCACAAAATGTGATTGTGAAGAGAAAAAAATATGGAAACGTAGTTCTTTAAATCAAGATAAATTAACTCAACATAGTTTAACAACATGGGAAGAAGTACCCCCGAATGTAGATCCACAAAACATTCTCTTCAAAAGCATACACTCGAACAAATACAAACAAAATGGTTATTATCGTATCAAAAAAAATATGAACACCTTATGGGAAATGTACATAACTAGCGATTTACATAACATGAACAAGTGTAAATATGGAGATATAATAAAAGAAATTTTGCAAAAAATTATTCAAAAAGGACATGAACAAATAGAATACATAGAAGGTGCCAAGAGAGTAAACACATTTAATACAGTAAATATGTTGAAAAAAAAAAAAAAAAAAAAAAGGAACGAAATTGATAATCTAAGGGGGTGGGCGAATGATCAAGCCAATTATGGTAGTGAAGCAGAAATTAGTACATTCCATTGTAAAGGGAAAAACGCTGCAGAGGTTAATCAAAGTGAGAACATTAATCGTTATAATTCCATAGAAGCAAATATAGAAACAAATATAGAAGCAAACGTAACCAATTTGACCAACTTGCCCAATGTCTTGGAATGTGAAAGTACAGTCCACATCAATGAAATGAATAATTGCGAAAATATTGATGACAACCTGGACATGTCAAATAGTAGAAGTGATATTGTTATAAAGGGAATTGTTGGCATTAAGGACAGCCAAGGGGATAGTACAAGTATTGTTCTAGAAAAGTCAAGCAAAAAGCGATGCTTGAAAAAAGAAGTTACATTCTTAAGTTTAAACGGGAAGGAGGATGGAACCATGCCCGTGGGTATCCAAGCCCCCGACACAGTAAGATTCAACGGTGCAGCAAAATCCACCGGTGCAGCAAACTCTACCGGTGCAGTAAACCCCATCGGTGCAGCCAAACCCATCGGTGCAGCAAACTCTACCGGTGCAGTAAACCCCATCGGTGCAGCCAAACCCATCGGTGCAGCCAAACCCACCGGTGCAATCGGGGGAACCAATTTAAAGAAGGCTATTCGTAGCAATGTGACAAAAAGAAAACTCCGTGTATTGAATACCACTCATACGAGGAATACCCTACTTGCACCATACATGTTGAACGTGCAGAATTTGACAGAAACAAATGGCTTAGATAAGGTGGATCATGCGAACTGTATTATTGATAATGTGGACAGTCTGAACAATTTGAATAGTCTGAACAGTATGAACAGTATGAGCAGCATGTACAGCATTGGAAACGTTTGTAATATGGAAAACGTGGTTGATGCAAGGGGTTCATGGGAGGGGTCCACAGATGATGTCATGCGAATAAAAAAAGAAATTTTGAGAAAGGTAAAATCAAGAAGTGTTAGAAACGAGATAAGAAAGGATAACCAAGGTATACATGAAATTTTAATAAATTCAGTTAAAGGAGAAATAAAAATGAAGGTGAAAAATTTTGTTAAAATTCATCAGGTGGGTCAAGGGGCATATGGAGATGTCTGGATGGCTGAGGACATTACAAATAACAAGAGAGTGGCTTTAAAAAAATTGAAAATAAGCGGAAGTAAAGAAGGTTTAGCTAAGACATATATAAGAGAAATATCTATTTTAAATTCATTGAAGCATGAAAATATTGTTGAATTGATAGGTGTCGTTTACACAAAATTGCCCGTTAGTGATGATTTCCCCATGTCACATTGTGCCTTTAGCACGCCACCCCTACAGCAGCTTGAGAAGCAGCAACCGAATCAACAGCAAAAAGGGTTAAAGAGAAAAAAAGATAGGATTTTTTCGAGACTTTGTCACAGCATGTTAAGGAGATCATCTTCTCGCACGTCATTTGCAAAATCAGTATCCCCAGCTGTGTCTCCTGAGGAACCTAGATTCTCTGTAGCTTGTGCCGATATTGCTTCATCGGCAGGCGAAGAATCCACCTCATCCAGTGGTAGCAGCTCCTCCTCTTCTGATTCTGAATCGGATTCTGATTCTGGGTCGTCATCCCAGCCCTCTTTCCACAAGAAAGGTGAAACAGTCGCTTCCATTTGGATGGTGTTCGAGTATGTGCCGTTTGATTTATCAGGGTACAGTGAACTTCTGAGAGATGAGAGAATCCAGAGGGAGAGATACAAAAACGGGAATTTATTCACCATAGGGGAAGTGAAGCACATTTTTTTGCAGTTGTTGAAAGCGTTAGATTATTGTCATAAGAATAGCATAATACATCGAGATGTGAAAATAGCCAATTTGTTAATAGATAAAAATGGTATTTTAAAGCTAGCTGATTTTGGACTAGCGAGATTCCATTCTAATATAATCCCGTCGAATATGACGAACCGAGTTATTACACTGTGGTATAGACCACCAGAACTTTTACTGGGTTCAAATTATTACTCCTCTTCTGTGGATATGTGGAGTTGCGGATGTGTATTAGCAGAATTAATAACAAGTAACCCTATTTTTTCAGCTGATAATGAAACAGATATTTTAAAAATAATAGTAAATAAAATTGGTGTCCCAAATAATAAGGAAATAAAATTTTTAAAAAATTTACCTTTCTGGAATGTATTGACAGTGAATCCAGTACATCCAAATAATGTAAATAAAATAAACCAGAATAAAAAAATAGAAGTAGAAAATACAATTCGAAGCATACCAGGAGTAGGAGATTTGGGTTTAGATCTTTTAAAAAAGTTTCTCAAATGGGAACCTTTTGAAAGAATTTCAGCTTTTGAGGCTCTCCATCATCCATGGTTTAAAACAAATCCAATGCCAGAAAAAATACATGAGCGAAATAATATAAAAGCTGCTCATAGTTTTATGACAAAAAATTACAAAAAGAGAGATATACCCAAATTGAACTATAGAAAAATTCAAGAAAATTTTAGATTTTTAAATGTAGGAAATTATAGAAGAGCTCTTATTTATAGCAAATATGGAGAGATCCTCATGAGATCCGTTCTTCCCGTAGATGGAAATCAAGAACTTCATCTACCTGACCAATCGGTGGCAGGTAATTTTTATGCTATGCGTAGAAGTACACATTATATGTTTTCTTTTTTGTTTGTGTGCATTAATAAGAGTACATATATATACACATACCGAGTGCACTTGGCCCTTTTTTTATCTTCCCATTTAACTTCCCATTTTTTTAACTTTCCATTTTTTTATCTTCTTATTTTTTTATTTCCCCATTTTTTTATCTTCCTATTTTTTCCGCACACACACAGAAGAGAGAACCAAAATCAAAGAGAAAAAGAACCCAAGGGAAGAAGTAATTCCCCTGAAAGAGAATACAGAAAATTTTCAAACCATAAAGGAGACTGAAAGAGAAAGAGAACATTTGACTAACGACAAAGAGAAGAGAAAAACAAATGAGCACCCATTTAGAGATAATCGAAATATATTAACACATAGAAATAGGATAGAGATTAGTGATTGTGGACAACTGGGAGATGTTTTGAAAAAGTCTGAAAATTTATATCCATTTGATGAAAAAGAGAAACCTACTTTAAATGACACTGGAAAAGTAGTAGATGCAAAGGAAAAAAAAAAAAAAAATAATTCTAAATACAAGGAATATCATAAGGATGATGGAGAAGGGGAAGGAGGGCATGGTCAAAGTCAAGAACATCGCGATGATAGACATGGAAGTGATAATCGATTGAAGGGAGAGGAAGATTCAAAAAAGAACAAGCGTTCGTCAATCCGACGAAATGATTATCCAGCTCATAATTACAGTATGGGGGTGGATAGAAGTAGAGGGGGCGCTAGTAGATACGAGAGAAGCAGAGGTGGAGGTAACAGATACGAGAGAAGTAGGGAAAGGGAACGGTATAAGAGAGACTATAGAGATATGGAAAGAGAAATGGAAAGAGAGAGAGAAAGAGAGAGAGAAAGAAAAAGAGATAAAGAACGGGAAAAAGAATGGGAGCGAGTTAAGAGAAGAGAAACAGAGCGTGAAGTGGAAAGGTTTAGGAGTAGGGATTGGTATAGGGAGAGAGATTGGGACAGGGAAAGGGGCAGAGACTGGGATAGGGACAGGGACAGGGACAGGGACAGGGAAAGAGGCAGAGACTGGGACAGAGACAGGGACAGAGACAGGGAAAGAGAAAGGGACAGAGACAGGGAAAGAGAAAGGGACAGAGAAAGGGACAGAGAAAAGGGAAAAGAAAAAGGAAAAGAAAAGGAGACGGAACAAGATAAGAAAAGAACCAAAGACAACACAAACAAAAACTCTGAACACCCTGTGAAGGAACAGAAAAAACACAAATTAGATACAGAAAATATTAAAGAGGGAAAGAAAAAGAAAACATAAGCATATAAGGTGATTTTTTTTTTTTTTTTTTTTTTCTACAAAAAAAAGAAATTTGCATTACTCTTAAACTGGTTTGACAGATTTCATATGTTTTATGAGATTTGTCCATAAATATAAATTCTTTATTTTGAAGAAATAAGCTGTAATCCCACTAATAACCAAGAGAAAAAGGACAAATATAACCTTTATGAGGTGGAGGGGGATAAGTCAATACGATGAAATTTGGCTTGTTATATAAACAAGGAATATCGATATCAGGAGTTAAATAAACTATTTTTAAAAAATGTTTTTTTAAAACGTTTTTAAAATTTCCATTGAGAGGGGGGAGCTTGTTAATTAAAAGGGACTGTACATAACTACACATGCAGTTTCGCAATTTCGCAGTTTCGCAATTTCGCAGTTTCGCAGTTTCGCAGATATATTTTGGAGAAGGAATGAGGATTGTATTTCATCAGTTTTGTATGATTAAGTATCTTTACGTCGGCTGCATGTGCATGGTCACATGTGTGCACTTCTTTAGCTCAGCTACTTGTTAGGGTAGAGATGAAAATTTTTCATCCTTTTGTTTTTGCCTCGTCCTGTTTTTGCCGCGTCCTGTTTTTGCCTCGTCCTGTTTTTGCCGCGTCCTGTTTTTGCCTCGTCCTGTTTTTGCCTCGTCCTGTTTTTGCCTCGTCCTGTTTTTGCCGCGTCCTGTTTTTGCCTCGTCCTGTTTTTGCCTAGTCCTGTTTTCCTCTCGTTTTGTTTTTTTCTTTTTCTTAATAATTGTCAAATTAAGAGGAGAGATATGCATAAAATAACACGTGATGTGGGCGTTCACAGAATGGGAAAATGGGTAGGTGTGAAATGCACTTAAAATTTTTGGGTACTTGAAAAAAAAAAAAAAAAAAAAAAGGAGATATAATGGGAGCGAAAAATTTCTCCTATGTTGTTATTAATATGTTGAATATGCAGTATAAAGGTGGTTATACGTAAGCGTATTTATGTATGTACACTGCTGACATGAGTTACTTGTACACATGTACCATGCACATCCAGTGAGAAGTGAGTGAAGGTGACAGACGATTAGATTTATCTAATATGTATACACACACACATATATATATATATATATATACATAGATATATATATATATATATATATATGTATAGAACTAGGTCCCACTAAGCAAACTGCGAATTATGTTTTCTTTGGCCGAAGATATGGCCTGATTAAGAGGAGTGTGGTCCTGCAATTCTCCCTCATTCATGTAAAGTCTGTTGATAATTACATTTGGATTTGTCTCCATTATAATTCCACTGTCAGCTATTTCGTCTAAAATTAAATAAACAGAATCTAGTTTCTCGAGTAGTTGTTTTTTTCCAATTTGGTTATTGGTTACGCTATTGAGACATTGTTGAACCGTTTGCATTATTTCGTGTAAAATAATTTCGTTGTCAGTTTCGTCACCCACTATATATATATTAACATCATTTATTAATAAGTAGAGAATGATATATTTATTTAAGACTAATATTTCTGTTTCGCTTGAATTTCCACCAAGTTTTTTTGCTTTATCTGTTATGTCATTTTCAAATAATTTTTGATCTGTTACCGTTCGTAAATTGTTGTATGTATCTTCAAGGTGATAATTCATGGATTCTTTACTTGAACTTTTATGGATCATTTTATTTTCTCCCTTAAATGGAAACTTGTCATTGTAATATTTCACTGCTATTCTCTTTCCATCACTATCTAGGATTATTATTGCGTCTAGTTGCTTTATCGAAACTGTTTTCATCTTTTTTCTTCTTTTTGATGTATTCCTTCAGCACCCAAACAATGGATTTGTGAATGTCAAGGTGTGTCGATAATTAATCACTTGGTGTGTTGCGGAAATTATGCAGACAAAAAAAAGATAAAAAAAAATGGGAAAAAATGGAAAAAAATAGGAAAACAAAATTATCATAATCGCAGCAACTTGCGCACTGTACAATTGTGCCCTTCTACCGTTCAGCCAAAATGTGCCAAATTGGCGTGGTATATATAAAGTATTCTGTTTGGAAATGCAAAATATATGTACATATATGTGCATGTATATATTTTTTTATTTTCCTTTTTTTTTTTTTGTGCTGGATTAGCAAAATGGACATGCACAAGTTATCACTTTTATGCGTGCATCACATGTTCAAAATTTATGAACACGTAAGTCCCGTTCCTGCTTGGGCCTGATCACTGATTTGTGTGCCGACAAGCAGAATTGACGATTTGTGTTTTTTTTTTTTTTTCTTTTATTTCTCTTGCGAAAATGCAAAAATTTTGGAAGTTCAAATTCGTGTGAAGTCAAGTGTGCTACATAGAATAAAAGGGTGATGAGCATTTTTTTTTTTTTTTTTTTTTTTTTTTTTTTTCCCTATCTTTCGTAAATCAGTCAATCCGTCCATTTTATTTTGCTTGACTGTTTTTGCTTCATTTTTTTTGCGTATTTCACCCCCTTTACTATTTTTATAACCGTTCTTGTGATTTCTTTCGCACAATTTCAATCGTTTCAATTTTTGCAGAAACAAAATCGTTGACACACTTACTACTGTTTGGTGCATTACTAAACATGCTTGCTGAAAACAACTCTCTCTGTGAGTATTTTTTTAGGAAAAAAGGCCCTCCCATTTCAACCCTTGTGGGTCCGTTTCTTCTCTCAGTACGTGAATAATGAGGCAATTTTACTTCCTCCAACAGGGAGGGTGGAAAAAGAGAATATATTCTATCCTCGTCGTTCACTGAGAACATATACATATATATACATATATATATATAGATATATGCTAAGCTATAATTTCTCCATCTTTATCGTAATACAAGCCCGAGTCATTTTATATACAAAGTTTTTATCAGAAGAGGGAAATCTTTTTTTTTTTTTTTTTTTTTTTTTTTTTTTCTGTTGCATGATATATATTTCTCCTTTTTTCCTGTTTAAGTTTTTAATTTAAATAAAAAAAAAAAAAAAAAAAAAAACATGAAAGTAAGAAGAAATAAAAAAAAAGAAAAAAAAAGAAGTTAATTAAATCTCCTTTTTGTATATTCTACTGAACAGTAATTATCCCAGTTTCACAAATGTAGTTTTATTATTTTATTTTATTTTATTTTTTGGAAGAATTTCTTAACTATGAGCTAACATTTATTTCCAGTTTATTCCACTTGACATTGCAAATGTATTGGGTACCGTATCTAAGAGGTATTCAGATTATACGTATAATAATATCTGGTCTATTTTTGTAAAGGAGCGCATTTTTTTTTTTAAAAAAAAGCATAACAAAAGATGTCGCATTTATATGAAGAAGTGTATAAAAAGAGAAAGTATTACGACAGGGCTTTATGTAATGATTATGAGGACTGGTTAAATAAAATCCAATTTTCCAAAACTGTGTATATTGGGAATTTGTCAATTTACACAACGGAACAGCAGATTTATGAGGTAAGCAGGAAACAAATTGATCAATCGTAATTTTGTCTGACTTTGTCAGGCGAAAAGCAGTTCATTAAGGTAGCTCACGCTATATATAATAGCTCACAACATAAGAAACACGAATTTATTGAACTCACCTGAATCTTTCCACCTTTTATACATTATTGCAGCACATGTGTCAAGCAGGAAATGTAGAAGACATAATTATGGGATTACATAGAACAGAGAAATCTCCATGTGGTTTCTGTTTCGTTGTCTATAAAAGTAAAGAAGGATACAAACAAGCAGTTAACTTTTTGAACAATTCCATACTAGACGGAAGAATTATACGGGTAGATGAGGATCTGGGTATTATTGGAAGAAGAAAATATGGAAGGGGAAAAACTGGAGTGCAAAAGAGGGATGAAAGAAATAAATATTATGATGAGGATAGACCCAAAGTTCTCGATCAGTTAGCTGACAATCATTTAATTTCAAAAAAAAGAAAACTTAACAATGCTAATATGAATACTATCCCTACCTACTATGAAAGAAATGTCAAGCAGAGAACATTGTACAATAATTATGCACACTCAGGTGATTTCAGAAATAACAATGCAGTTAATTTAAAGCCCACCGTTAAATTATACCCGAATGTTCAGCATTTAATGACATATAATAGAAATAAAAATAATAGCGGACTGTATAATTTGCACCCCAAAATGGGGAAAAAGAGACGGTTGTAATTTTTTTTTTTTTTTTTTCCGCACCCTGATTTTGGCTGCTTTTGCAAATTTGGCTAGATCTTGGTTATAGCAGTAGTAGCAGTAGTAGAAGTAGTAGTGCTCTGCTGTTTTTCCGTATCCCCATGTGTGATACAAAATTTAAGAATTATTTCAATTTCTTTATGGGCATTCCGTTTTCGTTCTACTTGAATTCTTGCACTGCCATGGAGAGACAATTAGTCTTATTCAGTCTACCCATTTGTTGTTCTTATTCAATATGCATATACCTATGCTGCTTATTTATTCGTCTAATTAGTTTGTCTCATTTGTAACACTCCCCATGTTTGCGCCTTCATAATGCACGTCTCACGACGTATGCATATGTTAGGCCACATTTTTCTGCCCCCTTTTTTTTTATGTTTTTATATGTGTTTTTTTTTTTTTTTTTTTTTTTCTCCAAATTTGGCACTCAAAAATTTTACAGAATAGCATTCATTATGCAGTTTTTTTTTTTTTTTTAAAGCTTTATAAAATCGGAGTAAAAATTGCAAACAAGTAAAAAAACAAATATGCATATATGTGTATATATATATATATATATATACAGACATATAACAAAATTTGAAACTGCTTCCTCCCCTTTTTCCTATCGTACGATATATTTCATCCACAGATATTAGCCGTTTTCTCTCCTGCTGTTAAACAATTTTTAAAATGAAATGCATACAGAAAAAATCAGAGGGAATATACAAAAGCCGGGAAACGGCAAGGGGAGGGAGGGGCCAGCTGGGAAGGAAAAGCCATAGTCATACGTGTCACACCACCGTGCATACGGTCAAACGTACCATCAAACATACGATCACAAGTACGGTCAAACGTACCACCACACATACGACCACACGTACGGTCAAACGTACCACCCTCAGCGGGACCGAAGGAAGGGAAAGAGCGTAGCTCCTTCGGACAAACTAAAAATGTTTCACGATAGTGTTGTAAAAATTGTCGAAATCTTTTATGCCCCGCTTGATGTCAAAATGGAGGACGTTACAATTCAAATTTTTAAAAAAATTAATAATTGGTAAGTTAGTCGATTGGTATGAATCCAATCTGTGTGCAATAATTTCGTTATTATCATCACTTCTTTTGAGCAAATTTGCATTTCCATTACAAATTTTGCATTCTGTAGATGGCAAAATGGGAGGCATATCATAGTTATTGTCTCTTATATCAGCAACATTAAAATTGTTATTACATTGAGCACAAATTCTTCTCCCACTCAATTTTTTAATTAATATATGTTTTGGCAAATGTATGTTGACAAATAAATCAATATCTGTGATTTTCACTAATTCGCTGCTTTGATATATATTTCGTGGAAACCCATCCAATATGAACCCTTTAAAATTGTTATAACCTTTGATTATTGTTTTGTTTATTTCATCCTTTACAATATTTATGATTAAGTCATCGTTCACTAAATTTCCGCTCGTGACTATTTTCTTAACTTCTCTTCCCACACAGCTTTCTTTTTTTATTTCCTCTCTCAATATGTTTCCTATATTTATGTGCTTTAACTTTTCTTTTTTGGACAAAATTTCCGCAAAGGTTCCTTTACCGACTCCCGGTGCACCGAACAGAACGATTTTCATTTCCACATTTATTTGTTACCACGATTTTTGCCCCTTCTCCTGCTTAGCTGTTTTGCTGCTTAGCTGTTTTGCTGCTTAGCTGTTTTGCTTCTTAGCTATTTTGCTTCTTAGCTATTTTGCTGCTTAGCTATTTTGCTGCTTATCTGCTTCGCCAGTTTATGGGGGATATTCGTTTTGTGTGCCTTACATACTACTTCTCTCCTTTCGGATTGTTCGTATATTTCTGTAGGAACATTTCTGAACGGGAATTTATATTTGCGAAGTTTGAGATATGTCACAACTTTTTTCTCAGGCAAGGGGGAATGTTATCAAAGTTTCCATCTTCTGTATTTCCCCCATCCCCCATATATACATATTCATGTAAGTAGTTTTTCTTTTTTACCTCTTCAGGTATGAGCCACGAGTTGACACGATTACGTGTAAATTACATGAAAAATGATGCTCTACCCCACTTGTACATATATTACATATATATATATATGTATAAATACATACATGGAGAGATTTATTTATTTCAAAACTTGTGGGTGCATTCCTTCTGAAGTAGATTCGAACTAATTCATCGGGTTCCTTTGGTAATATAGAAAAAAAAAAAAGTGCTTCATGAGTACACCTCAAAAAAAAAAAAAAAAAAAAAAAAAAAAAAAAAAAAAAAAAAAAAAAAAAAAAAAAATTATAAAAAAAAAAAAAAAAAAAAAAAAAAAAAAAAAAAAAAAAAAAAAAAAAAAAAAAAAAAAAAAAAAAAAAAAACTCAAAACACATAACATAAAACACAGGGAAAATGTTCAGAACGATTTCACCATTTTTCACATAACTATTTCCAGAATTGTTTGTTCGTGTATATAAACTTATTATATTTATCTCTTTTTACGTTATCTCTTATGCGTATGAAAATTTCATATCTTAATTTTGTAGAAAAGTATAATTTAATGAGATCATTTTGGCAATTCAGCAGTAGGTGCACTAGATGATTTACATTGCTTTCCCATTTGGAAACTGGTCCTTTGTGTTCCGATATGTATACATAAATATATATATATATGTATGTATATTATTTTTTTTTTTTTTTCGCATACCCCCATACTTGTTACACATTCCCATTTCGGCCATCCGCTAATCGTACAAATAATCCGATATTAAATAGTTCATGTTTTTTCTGAACGACCTGAACAAGTCATAATTAATTCTCTGGAAAAGCTTTTTCGCGTAAAAGATGAAAATGTTAGTCTCCTTATCAATCAGTTTGTCATCATAGGAGGTGGTCATGGGTACAAAAAAAATGTTATAAAATGGATGAATTTTATTCTCATTGGCCATTTTTAACATAGTTAATAAATTCTCAAATGAGTTTAAACTGATGTTTGGTTTGGGAAGACAGTATTCGTGAAAGTGACTTTTGAAATTGTCTAAAAAAATTTTGTAAAATTGGTAGGCTTGCTCAAATGAGAAGAAAATGGGAATGTATTTTTTCCCGTCTTTCGTTTCTAGCTGTATGATGAGAGTATCTCGATCAATCAATTTATATTCTTTCGTCCCATCGTTCAGTTCCTTTAGACTTTGTCCATCTGCCCTCTGAAGCGTGTACGTCAAAAAAACGCTTGGATACAACTCAACCTGAACTTTTTTCTTTAAATTGTGTGGAAAAAATAACTCATAAAAACTCTTTTTAATCACAGATTTGTGGAGAATTATCTTATTAATATAGTATACAGGGGTGCCATAAAAAACCTTTTTATTTTTCAGCACATGTTGTAATTGGTTGTAGTGAGGTATTAAGACAAAATCGATTCGAGAACTGTGGGAATCTTTTAGCTGGAGAAAATATTTTAAGTTGGTTAATTTTATCTTGGTTCCAAAGAAAAGCTTATTATTTTTTTTTTCCTTTAGATTTTTATTATATAAATGTAAAATGTCATCTTTGTAAGCTTCAGCAGTTTTCAAATCAAAAAAAAAAATTCCAAAGGTGTTATAGTTGTGTACATTGTCTAAATTTATTTCTCTTCTTCTGTTTTGATTAAATTTTATCAATGGGAATAGTTCCTCTTTGTTATGGTCACTTTTTTCGAAAAATGTGTAGTCGTGTTGATTGTCCCCACAAGAGATAGAATGTTCCTCATGGGAATCGTTACGGTGATTGTAACTTGAATTCGTGTCAAGGTTAGGTTTTACATTAACCTTGTTTTCTCTTTTTTCATTTTTTTTTTTACTCTCCTTTTCATCCTTATTATAGTCTACATTAAACGACAAAATTGCCTCGTCAAATTCGTTGGTTACAACAAAAAGAGGAACATTTTCCAAATTTTTCATTTCATATTTATTCTCATTTTTTTTAAAAAAAAGAAAATTCAGTTTTCTTAATAATTTATATTTATATGAATTGTTTGTTATTTCACTTTGTATAGGGTTTATTACATGCACAGGTTGTTGTTTGTTCAATGTTACAATTTTCCTACCTTCCAAAAGTAAACTATGATTTGGTGACAAACTCAAGTAAAGAAAACTAATTAAAAAGTACAGTAGGAGTCTATTCAAATAGAGTAAATGCATTTTAATGCATAAAAATTACATTCCTTTTTTTTTTTCTTTTTTTTTTTTTTTTATCATGCCCCTCCAGGGACATTTGATGCGCCGTGTGTGTGTCAGTAGCTAGCAACGAGAGTGTGGAGGGGAGGAGTTGGCTCTGCTAGCATATATCCTATGATGTTTTCTTCACATTAGAAGTTATATCCCTTCACCGTTGAAGTTGTGCCTATTCAACAACCAGATAATTTATGAGAACCTCCCCCCCCCTCGTATCCGAATCTCCTGAAAGAGATAAAAGGTGAAGTGGAACACAGAAAAAACGTTACACGTTTGTGGAGTGGTTGCAGAAAGAGATCGTAAAATTGCGAAACCGTGCTTTAGTCATGTTGTGTGTAACTAGTGTTTTGTTTACTTTGTTCTTCACCCTTACTTGATTTTACTTCATTCTTCTCTATTGATTAACTTCTCTTTTTTTTTGTACACTTTTTTTGTTTCTGTTTTGTTTTGTTTTATTTTATTTATTTATTTTATTATTTTTTTTTTTTTGCTATCCTATTCATGCTTTCATACTTTTTTTTTTTTTTTTTTTTTTTCTTCCTGTTCATTTTTTCATACCTTTTTTTTTTTTTTTTTTTTTTTTTTTTTTTTTTTTTTTTTTTTTTTTTTTTTTTTTTTTTTTTTTTTTTTTTTTTTTTTTTTTTTTTTTTTTTTTTTTTTTTTTTTTTTTTTTTTTTTTTTTTTTTTTTTTGCTATCCTATTCATGCTTTCATACTTTTTTTTTTTTTTTTTTTTCTTCTTCCTGTTCATATTTTCATACCTTTTTTTTTTTTTTTTTTTTTTTTATTTTTTTTTATTTTTTTTTTTTTTTTTTTATTCTTTTTTTTTTTTTTTTTTTTTTTTTTTTTTTTTTTTTTTTTTTTTTTTTTTTTTTTTTTTTTTTTTTTTTTTTTTTTTTTTTTTTTTTTTTTGTTTTTTTTTTTTTTTTTTTTTTTTTTTTTCTTTTTCCTGTTCATATTTTCATACCTTTTTTTTTTTTTTTTTTTTTTCTAATCTGTTCATAATTTTTTTTACTTTTTCATACTCATAATTTTTTTTTTTTTTTTTTTTTCTCTATCCTATTCATAATTTTTTTTGTTTGTTTTTTATCTTTTGATTCTCTTACCCTTAGATTACCGTTTTTTTTTTTTTTTTTTTTTTTTTTTTTTTTTTTTTTTTGCCTTTTTAAATTTCCGGTGAAGTAACGCTTTTTAAACCAGAATTACACCTGAACTTTTCTCATTAATATTTTTTTTTTTTTTTTTTTTTTGTTATTTGACTTCTACATGACGTGCTTGTGTGAATAAATGCATACCTAAAACACACATGTAAATGTACACATTTATTTTTTTTTTTTTCACGCAAACATGTACCTTTTTCATCGTGAGATTTCCACACGACGTGATAAGTAACCGGTGTTCATTGAATTTCCACATGTGTAGAACTAACCTGATGAATTCCGAGTACGACTCGTTGCATAGTAATGTAACTCTTACCGAGAAGGAGGACACAGCATAACTAACATACTCTTCCTTCCATCCCTCTCATACATATAATCCTAATTACCTCATCACACTAAGCCCATGAGAGAGTTACCTCGTCCCTATCCCGAGCGCAATGGGAATAACAGCACACTGGAAAATCCACTTAACACACTAAGTAATATACAAATTGACAAATTTTATATTCAGAATATAAGATGGAACATAAAAAAAAAAGTAGATATGTTAATGCGTAAAATATTTCCCATAACGTTAAAAGAAGAGGAAAAAAGATTTAAAGTAATCATTGAAAAAAAAAAAAATTATGATAATTTCCGATGTCCTATATGTATGTTAATATTGTACAAACCAGTGAAAACAAAATGTAGTCATTTGTTTTGCAAGGAATGTATAGAACAAGTTTTAAAAAAATTTGATTATTGCCCAATGTGTAGGGAAAATATAAAAGAGTTCAAATTAGAACATGTACGAAATAGTTTCTTGGGGAATGAGTACACAAGTATAAAAATTAGATGTTGGAGTTGTAGCCAGATTACTGATATAAAGAATTATGAGACACATTTGCAAAATCATTTGAATAAAACAGAAGATGCAGTTATGTCTGTTCCTTACTGTTCCACTGTTCCTCCAAGTGGGAATAGCAGTACCTTACTAAGCACAAGCACAACAAGTGGTACTCTCATCGACAGTGCATTAGGCAGTATCTTGTGCTCAGGTAGAAATATTCAAGAAGATCTGACAACAACCCTTCTCATTCGTACATTGAGTCCGTTTTTTAATAAACGAATAAACGTACTAAATCGATGGAAATTTGTGAAAACTGTGATGGAGAATGAACTTAACATGGACATTCGCAGCCTGCATCTACTATACGGAAAAATAGCAAAAGACGAAGCACAAAATGGGAAGGATGCCAGAAATATAAACGTGAATGCAAGTGTGAGTGTGAATGTAAACACAAATACAAACTCAAGTAGAAGTAGAAGCAGGACTGTGGACCCACGTGAGTGCCACTTCGAAATAATGAGCATGGATGATATTACATTCGACACTTTCATACTTGTGCAAATAAAATGGGGAAAAAAAAAACAGACGTACGCATCTGAGAGAAGAGACAACGACAATATATGTGGCTCAAACTTATGCGCCCAATTTGGAGATCTCAAAGAAGATGAAGAAAATAAGAACAATTTCCACGAAAAGAGGGAGGGGTACTACAATGGACAATCAAGCAACAGTGGTAAAATACACATACTAGACAATTTCGAAGGATATCAAAAGAGGAAATTAAAAAAAAATAAAACAAACAGATATTTTTATGTCTTATGTGAGTATAATGCAAAGGGTTTGTTTTTTACCTTAATAAAAAATATCCCCATTTTTAAAAACATGAATATGGCAAAAAGTGTTATTTATAGGAGAAGAAAAATGTATGAACATGCGCAGAAAGAGGAAGAAAGTAAGGATCTTCACCCACCATATGATGAGTTAATTAACTTCTTAACAGAGTTAAACGAGAAAGTAAAAAGAAAAACGTATCATAAGTACTTTTATAATGCTATCCATTTATTTTACGAATTGTTAAATTCATATTCGAAGCATCAACTGTCTAACACAAATTTGGATGTAAAAAGGATCCATTTTAAAAATAATCAATTGGAAGACGTGGAATTTATGCTTCTACTTTTTTACTTGAAATATGAATACTCATTACCAAAACATGTTGATTACAGTGCTATGTATTACTGCACAAATTTTTTAGAGAAAATAATGAATTCTGAAAAAAAAGTTGATTATACCATATTCGTGACTAATATATATACATATAATCAGAATAATATAAGCACCCTGGATAAAAAACGATGGATAGATGACCAGCAAAACAAATCGAATTTGATTGTAAATGCTGCCAACTATTCATTAAGAAAGGCAGACGTCGATGTTCATTTTGTGCTTCGCGTGAAGAGAGGAAAAATAAATATTACTGAAAAAAAGCAACAACAAGAGTGTGTAAACGAGGGTGATATGGATGGTAAGAGTTGCAAGAATGGCAAGAATGGTGAACATGGCCAACATGGTGCTAACCAACGGACGAGTCAAATGAATGCAGAGTCTTTCCCTTGCAAAGTTAATTATAACTACTATGATTCTGTAAAAGATATATGCTATATTATGTTATCTTACACGCACATGGGATTTCAGTGGGAAGTTAACGAATCCTTGGATTTTTTAAAAACAAAAGATATCATTCCTAACAAAACGATGGATGTATTTTTTAGTATTGAAAAATTGATACTCTGCTTTTTCACTCTTCGAAATAAGAAGTATAATCCTTTATTTTGGAATTCCACTCATCTTCTTCAGTACCTTTTGCAATTTTGCATGGAATCATATATGGGAAAATAAAAAAAATATGTACATGTAAATACACAGGGATTGTGATAGAATCCATAGCACAGCAATGATTCATCAAGGAAGATTAACCTTCTCATTTATTGAGTTCGAGGATTTTCCCTCTTATAACAAAATCTCACCAAAAAAAAAATAAAAGCCACTTACAGCTACACATATTAGAAGCAACTGTGTTATCCTCTCTCTATGATACGCTCCACGTATTTCAAGTTCATTTGGAACCCATTATTTGAATCCGTAATTTTTGGAGGCCACTTAAAATCAGCCTTCTCTTTCCTTTTCTCAAAAATATGCATGAACATAGAAAATGTACTGTATTTATATATATATGTTCACATTTCGTAAGATGAGAAGAATACACTCCAATACAATAGTGTAGTGTAGGTGTCAAAAATGTACAAACCTTTTTCTATACATCGTTAGTGTATTCCTACATTTATGTTCGCACATGGTATTTTTTTTTTTTTTTTTTTTTTTTTTTTTTTTTTTTTTTTTTTTTTTTTTTTTTTTCTTTTTTTTTTTTTTTTTAGTTTGTTTTTTTTTTTTTTTTTTTTTTTTTTTTTTTTTTTTTTTTTTTTAGTTCTTTCATTTTCCATGCTGTTATACATACACGAGGAATGGGCAGTTTTTTATGATTGTCATTTGGTTTTCCAAATGGGTTAAAAAACAATCTACACCTTAACTACTCTTTTTTTTTTTTTTTTTTTTTTTTTTTAACATTCATTATGTTGACCATTTCGGTTGAACTTTTAAAATAGACAGTTGGATTTAATGTATTCCTTTGTTTTTCCTTTCACCCCCATTTGTTGATCATACACTCATTGGTGGGAACATCATTTTACACAATTCCTTTCATACACATGGGTAAAAAGCTGCATATCCAAGGGTTTTTCATTCTCTCCTGTGTAACACCTCTCATATAGAAGAAATTATATGAATGTCATATATAAGACAGAACCTTTTTATATCTACATTATTATCAATAGCTTTTAACTTACATGATCTCGTGTAGTTATTAACAATCCATGGCAAAAAAAAAAAAAAAAAAAAAAAAAATTGACCTCAATTTCTAAACTGCCAATTTGGTGAAAGCTTGAGAAGAAGGGGATTTTTTTTTTTTTTTTTTTTTTTCATTGCTACTTTCCATTTTTTAACTATACATAAAAACTTTTAACTTTTTCCTAATTGGCAAAAATTTGCAAACTTACGTGGCTCTAACGTGTTTACGCAGAAGGACAAAAAGTCGTTTTCCATTTTGGATACTCTTAAAATATATACATATATATATATATATATATTTTCTTTTTTATGCCATATTTTTTTTTTGATGGAGAATAGTATTTTTCAAGGTTTCTGCTCAGGCAAGTCATATGTACATAACAAAATAAGACATTTTACGTCCATATATAATACATACACATGTGCACGTAAATAAAAAGAAGTACATGTGTGGGCTTACATAAATGCATGCATATATGTATATATGTGTTATGCAGAACGCACATGTTGGAAGCATACACATGTCATTCCCGTTTGTTGCAATGTTATAAATTCCTTTCTAATTGCCACATAATTTCTCATGGGTTAAATTTGAAAAAAAAAAAAATAAATAATTAAAAAGGAGGAGCATGTATTATTTCTATTCTTGTTCTGAATCTGGATTAAAATGGGGTAGCTGTCGTCACTGCCATCGCCATTTTCATCATCATTATGACCATATATCAATGTCATCAGAAAAAGCTTTTTTTTTTTTTTTTTTTTTTTTTCTTCCCAACTGTTATGGGGCTCGTGGAGTGTTTTGTTTTTGCTACACACAAGGATAACGGCACGTTAATGGTGGTGCTCTTTCTCTCTATTTACTTCTTTCATTTTTCACTCCTGCTGTTTATACCCTCTACTGTTGCTTATACCTCTACTGCTGTTTATACCTCTACTGTTTTTTCATACACTCTATTTCTTTTCTTCCCTTACAGAAATTACTCACATTCATCTACATTTTTTGAGTTTAATTAACTGTCTTCTCTTCCAGTTTGCCCTGATTGAAGGTCTACTCTTAGCAGACAGATGACCTTTCACTCGTAATCCTCTATATTTCTTACCAGCAGATGTCAATCCTCTTAATTCTCTATGTTTATGTACAGGGTTGCAAATCCAATTAATTTTTGCATTATTTCGTATGGCCTTATGCATGGGATCAACTAGAATAACTTCATAATATTTATATACAGCATCTTGACCAACCCAATAGCTATTTAAAACTCGTAAATTTCCACAAATACTTTTTCCAACTTTTCCTTCAGCAACACTTTTTAAATTTCTCGTTGACTTTTGTTTGTGCACACCTTGATGTTTTGGTTTTCCATGTACTACACCTTTTCTAACTCTTTTCTTTCTATCACCTCTTCTAACTCTAACACGATATATTACAAATCCTTGTATTGCTTTATATCCTAACCTTTTGGCTTTATCGGGTCTACTGGGTTTCGACACTCGGTGCACTACTGGCAATTGCCTATCAATCGGGGAGGGGGAGAACACACACGCAAATACACAAATGAAGATGAAGTAGGTGAAAAAATGTGACAATCGTGAAATGTTAGGAGTTTACAGTTCAGTATCATGCATTCATTCAGATAATTCTACGCTAGTACAGGGTATAACATATCAAGTCCGATGAAAACTGCTAACACGTCATGTATGTCTCTCATGATCGAAAAGAGGAAAAAAATTTATATATGTACAAAGATGAATATATATTTCAATATATTTTCCTCTCCTTTTCTCATTATCAGCACATTCTTCTATATTTCACTTCGAATGGAATTTTTACCTGTATTCCCAAGTTCTAACCCGAAGCAAAAAATGCATGGCATCCGATTGTTTCTTCTTCCATATTTCTTGAATGTACTTATAAGCTCCCATTTTTTTTTTTTTTTTATTCCTTTACTGTTATGTTAGATGGTGTATCTGCAAAAGGATTTTATTTTGGAACGAATTTATATTTTAAGCAGAATTTGTGCTTTGCGAAGAATTTATATTTTGGCTCTTCTATTGGATCGTAAAAAAAAAAAAAAAAATGGCCGAAGTATTGATACAATTGTGTGAGCCAGCAAAAAGGCGAATGGGCAAAAATCTTTTACTTTTATCTTTATCTTTATCTTTACCTTTACCTTTAGCAGAGGAGAAGGTATATGGTTCATGCATGTATATTTATCTTTATTAGTATACAACAATGATCCTCTGAGAAAGTTGCTTTTTTTTTTTTTTTTTTTTTTTTTTCCTTTTTACCCTTACTCTTGTTTTTATTCTTGTTGTTTTTTTTTTTTTTTTTTTTTTTTCTTTATAATTTTTTTTTTTTTTTTTTTTTTTTTTTTTTTTTTTTTTTTTTTTTTTTTTTTTAATTATTTTTTTTTTTTTTTTTTTTATTCCTTATTTTTCTCTTTCGAGTTCTTTTTCTCCCGCTTTCCTTACTGCGCATATATATATGTATGCAAGTGGGGGAAGAATTTTTTATCTTTTTTATATTTATATAACTTTTTTTTTTTCGACCGTTGAGTTGGCAACTACTGGATTGGATAATATTAGATATGACGACGGGGACACGACCTGCACCCGAATCAACAGTTAATTTTTTTTAAGTGTTTACATAAATGTATTTACAATCCATAAATAATCATACCATATATCGTGTTATATTTTATACACATATAATATTATATGCGCTTCATAAATAGATATGTATAATATATATATAATGCATTAAGTAAAATAAAATATATGCCTTTTTTTTTATGCACAACACATAGTTATTTTGAACGATTTTTTTTTTTTTTTTTTGTTGTTTTTCCCATCAACCTTTGCTTCACTATATGAATTTAAAAACTAAAATTGAAAATGTACAAAAATATACACTTATGAAGATATTATTATATATATATAACCAACATTGTGTCATGTTCAGAATTAGGGGGAGTAAAAATGTATAACGACGGTGTAGTTATATATATTAAGAGAGATATGGCATTTATATATATATTTAAAAAAAAAAAAAAAAATTTACGTCACTCTGTGTCGTTTAAAAGGGTATATGTTTTTTCTCTGCATTCTTTTCCCTAGTTATATTTTTACTACACATAATAATATATATTATATTCATAATTCATACCTTAATACAGTACATTATATATCGTGTAAGCTTTTTTTTTTTTTTTTTTTTTATTGCCAAACTGCTTTCCATTGAATATATGGAATTGCACGGCTTTATGGGGACGCACTCAGTAGATATATGGATAGATAAAGAAAAAACATATAACTCCAACCGTATGTTCTCATAATATAATGACAAGAGGGACAAGGTCATGAAATGGGGATGAAGGAATTGAGCTACTTACAATCTTTTTTGAAATTTGTCCTCATCTTATCATTATCAATATGTTTTTCCTTTTTTGTAATATGCTAGTACGCTTTTTTTTTTTTTTTTTTTTTTTTTTTTACGCTTGTTATATATATACACTTTTTACCTTTTTATATGTACCAGTTGAGAGCCCTGCTTGTAAAGGTACATATTTCGGGGGGTATATACATATATATATATATATATATATATATATATGTGTATATATTTATATATCTACCTTACCTCCATCCCCTTATTCTAACTGAGATTTAGAATGTTTATTCAATTGCATGTAATATATAGGTGCTGATATCACTGGTTTCGTTGTTGAGAAAAATCTTTTTTTCATTTTTTCATTTTTTCATTTTTTCATTTTTTCATTTTTTTTTTTTCGTTCAATAATTGTACGAAATATTTCATTTATTTTCTGATTCATTAATTTTTTTTTTTTTTTCATGTTAAATGGCTTTCATAAGTAGTTCAGTTCTTATGCAGTTACTTTTTGAAAACCTGGTTTGACAAAAAAAAATAGAAAGAGATTGAAATTGAGGGGGTGGTGGGGGGGAGACTGTAAAATGGGATTATTCACACTTTTCATTAAGAACAAATAAAAATGCAGTATTCCAAATGTTGTGGATGTAATGTGTATTTAAACCTGTAACACAAACGTCTGGATATGGGTACACATCGACCATTTCGCGTGGTAATGTTGCTTTTCGTGCAACGAACAAATCTAACATGTATATATATATATATATATATACATATATATACTTGCACAAACACATGCACACTTAGAAGTCTGCATAAGTAAGCACAAATTCTATACACACAACACTATGTGCATATGCCATCTGCATATAATCACATTCATCATTAAAAAGGATTAAACTGTTTTTTCTCCCCTAAGAAAATAAACTCTTAACAGGGGAATACAAAAAAAAAAAGAAAAAAAAAAAAAAGAGTACCAATTAAAAAATTTATGTAGGCATGGATCATTATATATATATATATATATATATACGAATTAATACATTTATATGTATATTCCTAGTTTATTTTCTTTAATACACCATCGCATACAAATGCATAAGTATTGATTTGTATTTATATATATATGTAGATAAAACATGGGCTCCTTCTTCTCCCTTCTTTGCGTAATGTGAAGGAGAGGAAAATCATGTGAAGCCTTCTTCATACGTAGTGTTAGAATGTAGGTTCATGTTAAAACACCGCAGTGTGCAGAAGATATATATACTCTTTATATATATATATATATATATATGTATATACTTCTTGACCTTTCGAATTACTTGAACGAATTTCGAAAATGCAAAAATGTGTATTGATAAATACTACCAAAAAAAAAAAAAAGTTAAGGGGGAAGTGCATATTCTTGCAATATACACTACATAGAACTGGTATAGAATTACAATTCTTCCAAAAATAGACGCATCGTCCAATTTTGAAAAAATTGTGCACCTGTTAACAGGTTAGAACAGAGGCAAAGGGAGAATAAAGGAAAACAAAAAAGGGAAGAAAAGTATCTTGTAAAAAAAGAGCCAACATAGAAGATGTCTTCCCTTTCAAATGAACAAATTGAGACAATTTCTAAATTAAAAATGCACAAGGTGGAGGAAATAAAATCTTAAAAATGGAAAAAAACAACAGCAAAAAAAAAAGAAAAAAAAAAAAAAAATATATATATATGTATATAGGGAAATTGCTATAAAATAGCTCTGCTGTGCAAATCACAGCATTATGGAAAAAATGAATACAGGAAAATAAATGGTACCGGGCCGAAGGAAGGCCTAAAATAGAATTAATAAACAAATAAATAAAAGAATATATGTACATATATAATATAGGCTTCCCTTTCGACGTTGGCTCATTTTTTTATTCCCTTACTATTACGTCTTTCTTTCATTTATTTTATTTTATTTATTTATTTATTTTTTTTTTTTTATCTATCGACGTTCACAAATTCATTGATCATGCCTAATGCATTAAACAATGTTAAAAAAGAGAATGGTTTTAACTATATTTCTCTGCTTCTTTGCCGCTTTTATAAGAAGAACATAATCATTATACATTTTTAATAAAACGTTATAACGGGTTTGAACGTTACACTTTTGCAACTTCCCTTAATCTTTTGATTATGCTATGAATAACTGGACATGTGCAAAGATTAGCCAAAGAAAAGCAACAGTAAAAATGGTAGTAAAAATGGGAACAAAAATATAATTTTCAAAGAGCAACAAAATTAATAAAATAAAAAATATGGGGGGAATACAAGAACTCTTCCCCCACACAAGAAATACACATGATCTATAAACACATAGATGGGAGCAAACGACAGGGATAAGTGTCTATACAAATTGCATTAATTTAATCCATGTGTAATATAAGTTTGTTTGTTAACTTGGCAATTGCTGAATGGTGCATTTGCTACGTATATAATAAAAAAAAAAAAAAAAAAAAAAAAAAAAAAAAATTCACACACGAGTATGAATATGCACGTACTAATGATGTATAAATGCATGCATATATCCATACATACGAAGACAAGTGCATGCATACACACACAGACACTTTTTCATGTTTGGTCATGCTGCACTTGGCTATATATATATATATATATATATATAAACGTTGCTATACATGATGCCAACTCACTCCTAACCTTTATCCAACGGACGCGTACGTGTATAAATACATACACATGAAAACACATGCACGCATACACACATGAACACATAGATACAAAAAATGGGGAAATAATTAAAAAGCATCAAATGATTTAAAATTCGCAAAATTCAAAAGAAGGAAGAAAAATGTATTAATTCACATTAATAATGAGATCTTCAAAGGCATGTATGTGTAACTTGTTTGAATACAACTGGAAGTGAGTGCTCGGGGTAAATGAACATTCGTTAACTTTAATTTTTGAGCAGGTACGAAAAAATAAAATGAAAATGAAGGGAACATACAATTTTCTGCATTTGCAAGTATATACATATGTATACATGCATATATATACATATATACATATACACGGGGGTGTTTGCACATTTTACATACACCAAGCACATAAAGTTATCGATGGATGGCGCTATATACATGTTGGGATACTTCTACAACCTCATTCATATGTGTTCATATGTATGTGGAATATGAATGTTCATGTGCGTACATATAAGCACAGAGAGAATGAATACATACATACATGTCGTCCACAATGCTGTCACTTTAAATGTTATACTGAGACGTTTCAGAGCTCTCATGCCATTTATGCACATGTATCAGAAAATATAATCATATGTGTGAGATATGCACATTGTAAACAATATATGTGAAGATACATATATGCACAATACCTATATTAATATACGCAAATGCCAACATAAAATATACACTATATGCACTATCTATCTCTGACGTAGGTATTTATATTTAAATATATGTGATGTCTTAACTCATTGGGATGTGGGAATTCAAATTCAACATCATCACATTATTATAAAAAATTAAACATAACGATGAAATTATACAAAAATTGTGGCCACTAAAGCATGTATGAATGAATAATTTCTCTTTGCGAACATCGCACTACTATGGTGAGATATTCATATTCCACGATCTTCTAAATAACTGTAAAACAAGCACACATAACATATATATATATATATATATATATATATATATATATATATATGCATATACACACACAAAGAAGTATGAGAAGAAAACAACAATATTCCTCAAGTTATATACTTATTCTACAAATATCTTTATTTTCTGATTGTTCAACATGCCACCATCATAACGACCTACAATGAAAAAAAAAAAAAAAAAAAAAAAAAAAGGCATGGATGGATGAGTGGGGTAGACGGATGCGGAGGAGATATATAATTTCCAAGTATACACTTATATATAAACACAAGAACAAAAAGTACAAATCTTTCATATTCGCAATTTTTCCTAAAAAAATGCTTTTCTTTGGATAGTCTTATATTCTTAATTTATTACTAGCTGCTAGGGATGCTGATTCGAAATCTGGGAATGTTAGGCAAGCACAGCCTGAGTGTTCTCCCTGCAAAGTACAAAAAAAGATAAAAAAAAAAAAAAAAAAAAAACGAAAAAAATATGTACTAGCTATTTCACATGGAAAATAAAAAAAAAAAAAAAAAAAAAAAAAAAGAAGTAAATAACATATACACGTCGTTGCATAAATGCTAAAAAAGTATCGTACCTTGCTGGTTAACATAATGTCTGCTCGAAGAATATTTCCCATAAATCTGAACGTTTCCAAAATTTCTCTTGAATTTAAATTTTTCGGAATCTATAAAATCAGAATCAATGAATATTCGAGAGTTAGTATGCCCGTTTACACACATGTATGGACATGCACATAATGCATATGTATATACATAAAGAGTACATTCATTCGGGGAATATTATTGCACATGCGCGTTCAAAAGAGATACATGTAAATAATATGCAATACTAACATTTGTAACGATTATGTTGTGTGGCCTACTGTCATAGGACTGATTTGGCATTCTTCCCATTTTATCTTTGTACTTGTTGAACTTCATTTTGTCAACGTTTTGTTCATCTAAAAAAAAAAAAAAAAAAAAAAAAAAAAAAAAAAAAAAGGAAGTAAATACAGGAAAGAAAAAAGTATGACATGATAAACGTGGCAAAATGTACACAAAATGATATGATAATGTATAAACACGCGAAGTCTAATTAACTGCAATGTTTGGCCTAAACATGCAGAAAAACTTTCTACTTGCACAATAATGAAAATTTTCTTACACATTGGGTATTTCATATTTGGTACGTTGTTATCGTATTGAGAACTAGGAATGGGACCGTTCATGTTGCTATTCCACATATTCATGTCTGCGCAGGGGGAGGGGGAGGGGCAAAAAAACAAAAAATAAATAAAATAAATAAGATAAATAAAAACAAAAAATAAATAAAATAAATAAGATAAATAAAAATAAAAAATAAATAAACATTGCATAGTAAGGTTGCATTTTTTCCCTTAAAATACTCATTTTCGTAACAAAGTTTACAAGAGAGAAAAATAAAATTAAAAGTCTCATTCGCACGATTGAGCAATTTAAACCACTGTTGTATTACTTGGATCATTGGAAAATCCTCTTGGCTGAAAATACTTGGGAAAATTGCTGTCTTCAATGCTACTGGGATAATTCCCATACATTAGTTTATCCTCTACGTATTCGTTCATCCTCATTTCATTTGGGAGTGGCTTGGATAAAACTGCTATGTGGGGAACGGACGTACACTTTATATACAAACACACACACAATGTACACACAAAACATATACACAAGCGTGTGTACATAAAATGGATCAAATTTTTATGATGACACACCATGTGCTCATAAAAATGCACATCGCGGGAAAAATGTTAAGTAGAAAATATCCAGCAACATAGCAGAATGCAAAGGACCCACACATAAGAACAAAAAAAAAAAAAAAAAAAAAAAAGGGAGAGCGTGGAGAATTGTTTGTACCTGCATCTCCCTGGGGCTTATACACATAATAGTTTGGATTTGGAGGAAGTGACATATTTGCGTAATTTGGTTTGATGCTTGGGGGATGCGTGATATTTTTTGTGATGTTATTCTGATGTTGTTGCATGTCCATATATGAATAATCCGAGCTTTGATTCATGTAGCTGTTGGATATTAGTATATTTCTTTTATCAACGTTAATGTTAAGTGAATTAGTACTACTTTGATGATGTGGAGCCGATCTCAATGTAGGAGTTAGTGCATAATTTTCCTGTTCTATTATATTATTAATTTTATAATTCTTTTTAGAAGGGTTACTATAATATAAATTTGGTTGGAGGTTCGAATTCATGTGCATATTACTATTTGATATGCAGTTCATATTAACATTGGCTGTTTTTATACCTATGTTTGGGTTATGATTTGGTGGGTTTGGATTGTGAGAAGCACCATGTCTTGGATACATAGGAGTAATTAGGTTTGTCGTTTGTGAACTTAAATTATTGTTGTGATGATACGTAGGTTGACTCAAAATATGATGACTTGGATTGTGAACTGGGCCTGACATAGTGTTTGGCATTCCTCCAAGAGATGAACACGAGGTTAGTAACCCCATGTTCGTATTTTTTCTAAATTTCCAATTATCCGCATTTTCTTTTGTTATAGGAGGGGGTGGTGGTGGAGGAGGAGGGGGAGGAGGGCAAATGGGTAAAGAATTTGGAGTACTTGCAGGATTCTTTTTTGACATTTTCTTATTGTTCTTTTGATTATTCTTCGAAGATATGGATGCCTTTTTTTTTGCTTTTCTTAAAGAATTTTTTTTTCTATTTTTTTTCGCATTTCCTGATTTTTTTTCATTTTTCCCTCCACCCTTCTTTTCTTTGTTTGTGCCTTCAGTTTCTGCTTTTTCCAGGTCACCCTTGGGCGATTCCATTTCGCTTGCACTCTCGCATATATATCGGTATATATACGTATACGGGTATATATGTATATGTTTTTATGTATATGCAATTATGTATATGCAATTATGGATATGCATTTATGGATATTCACTTATGTATATTCACTTATGTATATTCACTTATGTATATTCACTTATGTATATGCCACTTATGGATAAGCATTTATGAATATGTGTATTGGTGGCGAAAAAGAAGGCACGAAGCAAACCAACAGAATTGTGTACCATATGGGGTTCAGGGAAGTATGCACAAAAATTTACATAATACTAATACGCGTAGTCAAAAATATAGTTTTTATAAAAAAAAAAAAAAAAAAAATGAAACAAAGTCAGGCAAAATGATGACATATAAAATTGTTATGTAATGAAATGTTACTAGGAATGCAGGAGGGGGAAGAGAGGGCTGTTAAAATTTTCTCACATCCGTTTGTATGCGTGCATAAAGTGTACATATATATATATATATATGTGTGAATCAATTTTTGCTCCGCTGAATTTCTCTTTCGTGAGGGTCACAATATGTAATAAAATAACAATTTTCGCCTTTTTCTTCTTCGAAAAGATATTGCTGCTTATCGCTGTTTCTCCTCACTTCTTATTACTACATGAGATTGCTTCTCCTACTTCCCGTTAATCATAAAATTCGGATGGGATTCACATTGAAATGTTTTTTTATAAAGTCCACTTCCACACTCTATGCCTTAAGTTTGTTCATAAATTAAAAACCTGTTTTATTTTATTCTATTCTGTTTTATTTTATTTGGTTTTCTTTTCTTTTCTTTTATTTCGTTTTACTTCGTTTTATTTTGTTTTATTTTGCTTTATTTTGCTTTATTTTGCTATATTTTGCTATATTTTGCTATATTTTGCTATATTTTGCTATATTTTGCTATATTTTGCTTTATTTTATTTAGTTTTTTTTTTTTTTTCTTCTGTGCGCATAAATTTTCACGCGTAGGTATTTGCCCCAACTCATTTAATATATATATCTCTTAAAAATTCAAGTAAAAAAAAAAAAAAAAAAATGTTGTATTACATGAAAAAAAAAAAAAAAAAAAAAAAAACATTGACGTACATTTCTCACCCACTTGCTATTTAAAAATTGAATTTAGAGTTGAATCTCCAGATCCTTCAAGTACACATGAGCGATTGATTAAAAAACAAATACATCACATATAATAAAAGCCATGTTACGTATAAACATATTAAAATATATATGCTATAACAAGAATGTGACATTTAAAAAATTACCACCGAGCTTGAGTCGTTGAAAACAAAATAAAACTATTACACACATCCATGTATACTTTTTTACACGTATAATTTTATTTTACAGTTTAGTGTAAATATTAAAAAAAAAAAAAAAAAAAAAATGTATGTGGTACTATTAAAAAAAGTTTAAATGTATGTCGTCAACCCGTACAAAGATTAGGAATGTCAGACAGTTCATCTTGGGGACCAAGTCTCAAGTACATTGTATTTGAACGTATACATATGTATGTATATATATGTATAATATATACATATTTATACCGCTGCCCATACTACTTCTATGAGCAGTTGCAAGTTTAAAATGGAATTTAAAAAAAAAAAAAAAAAAAAAAAAAAAGAGTGGAAGCATTTTTATTTGGCAACCGAAAGAGGTCAAAGAGAGAAAACATTTTTGTGATGCACACATACATACACATGTATGTGTTTATGTACTATTATTTATATGCTCATTTACATATACATGTAGCTAAGCGCACACAGTGGCATGCAAAAATAAACTATTGCTACATAAATGATTGCGAACGGTGGGACGTGGGGAAGCGTATGCACGTGGATGTGATATATACATAAAGACGAAAAATGAACGAAAAGGAAAAAAAAAAAAAAAAAAAAAAAAAAAAAAAAAAAAAAAAAAAAAAAAAAAAAAAAAAAAAAAAAAAAAAAAAAAACACAAAAAAGAAAGCACAAAATTGCAACACCACGGATATGTAGAAAGTGCATACATAGTTGTGGCATATGCAGGAGGGGATGGATAAAGTTCTTGTTTGTTTGTTTGTTCCGTGGCCTTTATCCGTTTGATGTATTTTCTGCTAATTAATCCTTTTTCTTTTTTACTTCATTCCTTTTTTGCTTCCTTTTTTTTTCTGTCAAAGGGAGATTACCAAATAATCAAACAATATCACAACGGCACATTCGACAACTCAAAGTACAAACACAAGAAATCCCCCAACGCAGCTATGAGTCTTTCATATGTTTATATATATATGTATATATTTATTTTTTTTTTTTTTTTTTTAATTAATTTTAAATGCATTTTAGAGCAATTAACCGGTCACATTACATTTATGTATTTAAACAAACTTGTGCGCTACGGCGTGCATGTGGTGATTTCCTTTTCTTCCATTTTTCCTCTCCATTTGTTATATTTTTTTTTTTTTTTTTCCATTTTGTCCTTTCCTCATATGAGCACTTTAAAATTTTTCAAATCCATGTCACACACACACTGAGGGCACACGATGGATTCCACGTAGAGGTGCATACCTGTCTCTATTATCTCACAAATAAAGACATGCATATAATAATTGTTACTTTTCTCCTTTTTTGATGCACTCCTAGGAGGGAAAGAAGAGAGACTGGTTTAGTAGTCCCTATGAGTTGTTCTCGCACCAAAGTGGCATCTCCCACAGTGTTTTTGTGTGTTCGTGTGTGTGGTTGTGTATGCTAAGGGCACATACAATAAATCCAGCTGCGTATGAACATATTTGTGCAGCTTTTTTTTTTTTTTTTTTTATCCCCCTTTTGCGCATCACTCGCTTGAATATCCAATAATATCTCTCATCTCAATCAATGCGTAAACTTCCGTTTCATCTCATTAATCTCCTCCTCTCGTTGTGTCTCACTTTGTGCTAAGAGCATCTTAGTATTCATCAGTTCTATTACAAGTTTGGAAATTTGTCTCTCGTATTTTTCCACATCTCCATACGACAAATTGTAAGCGTGATTATAGCCTTCTTTCTTCTGATTCATTTCGTTTATGTTAGTATTTATATTTTTTTTTTTTTAACTCTTCTTGAAAAGGAGACAGAAAAGGAAAAAAAAGAATGAGGAGAATTATTTTCTCTCTGTAAGTCACCCTGCGCACCCGTGTGTGCTTGTTTATAAAGATTTTGTACTCCATTCCCGTTTACCAATTCGATTGCCCCTTTTCGTGCACGGGTTCAACCTCTGATCGAGTATGTTACAAGCGTGCTGATCACCACTTTCTTCCCTGTAACCATCTTTTTTAAATGTATAAATTATTTCTTCAATAATATGATGTATATATTTCCATATCATTGAAGATGTTGTTTTTTGTGGATGACCTGTTCATGTTTTTATTTTCCCAATTTTGTGTTTTCTTATTTCCACAATGGATAGTAATACTACTACTACTACTGCTTCTCCTTTTATCATTTCGTGAATTTACATGATCATTGTTGGATGATAGTGTTCTTTTATATGTTAAAGATGTTTTATTGAGTTTATGATTTTCCTCATCCAAATATGCTGAATTTTTTTCCGTTGTAAGCTTTATACACAATTCATTTCATCTTGTACATAATTCCAGATGAAGTTGTAACAAAGATCACTGTCCTTCATGTATGTATATCCGTTCTTTCTTGATATTTCGTTCACTTTCATGACATATGTAGTCTAACCAACCACTAATGAATTTTCTCAAAAATTCCACCTTTTCTCTCACTCCTTCGTTTGTTGTGAAGGAATGGACAAATATTCTATCCCTATTATTCCACTCAGGTAAATGCATATTGGCTAGTTCCAACATAGGTAGCTTCTTATTTTTGTAATGTTCCATATCTTTATGGAGATAAGACAAATATTTATTCTTTTTCTGAAATTCTCGAATTTCATTCTTTTTTGAGATGTTATTATATTTGTACTGAATCAAGCAGGGGTACCCCCACCCATCTTGATGTGCTGTTTCATGTATTTCCAAAAAATTCTCGTAATTGCGTGTACAATTATACTTATTTATTATGTCACTAATTTGTACATCCAAATGGTGGTATCGCCCTTCCTATTCATGGGGCGATTCAGCACTGATGAAAAGTATCAATTTTTTAAGCTATTCCAGGGAAGATTCTAATTGTTCATGTCTTTCAGCATAATACTGAGCTCGATTATGCATAATTGTCAACTTAAGATGTTCTAATTCATCATTATCTTCTTCTTCTTCTTCTTCCCTTTTCCTATATTGCGAGTTATTTTTTATTGAAGGTTTTTTACACTGTGATGGGTTTTCGCTTCTTCTCGTCTTTTCCGACTCTTCCTCTCTCCTCTAGTGCATATTTTCATGGAACTGCAAACGATTTTCCCATTTTTTTTCTACACAGGAGTGACATACCACCCTTGCATGCTCGCTCTTCACTTCATTCCGTTCAGGAATATTTTTTTAATTTACTCACTGCTTCAAAGTTGAGTGCTTGGGTTTTCTTCTTATCCTCATATGTATTCTTCTTTTCTTCACAATTTTAGCGTAAAATATATAAGTGTTTATACTTTGAAAATTTTCAGAATTTTTTTATTTGTCTTGTCCATATTTTTAATGATCGATTGTGCATCCAATGTGGGAGAATTATTGCCCTTTTTATTTCCCTTCCCTATGAACTTTCTGAAAATAATATTTATTTGCACAGGTCTTATGGTATGAGTAGTATCTATCCGTGGTGACTTGCTTTTCCTCATTTATGTGTAGCATTGTATTTGTAATTTTTTTTGTCTTTTTCGAGAATTCTTGCCATACTATGCGAATTTTGAGAAGATATTTTAATCCCGTTTTGTTCTGACCTGTTAATGTGAAAAGGATTGAATTGTGATGAACCATTCATCCGTTTCATCTTTTTTCAAAGAATTATATATGTACCTTTTTAAGACAAAAATGGAGTCGTTCTAAGTGCAATTTAGTGGATCCATATGCTTTCCTTTAACATTCATCTGATTCATCTTTTCAAAACAGATGATGTTGTGCACGCTTCCTTTGTTCATGTTTATTCCATTTGGGCATTTTTTGTCACTCTTTTTTAGAATGAGAATTCAAATTGTATCTCTTAAAATTTGTCGCGTCGTTCAACCTCTTTTCTTTGCATTTCCATGTGCGTACCAACTCTGGGCTCGTTAGATGTCCACTACATCCACCCACCCTCAATTGGTTCGCTCCTCCCAACCAGTTCATCATTCCCAACATGACCAACTCCATTAGCAGAATTTTTCCTGTCCATGGATTTGCAACCGGCATGTGATAGTAGCGAAAACACAGTTGGTGCGTGAAAATTTCAAAGAAGTATTTATCAGAGTTGGAATAACATTGTGAAATTTTTCTCCATCTGCTGTACTCTCTAGATTTTCATGAAATATCTTCAAATGGACAATTCCATGATGCCTTGAATTTTTAGATATATCTAAGGATACATTATGTATCTGATTTGTTGTGCAGACAAATTGACTAAAATTAATTTGAGACTTTCCTATCAGATATTTTTTTATTTTCAATAATCGTATACAAAATGAAAAAAAAAATATATATTTTACTTTCAAATGAGTCTTTATGTTCTTTTTTTTTTTTTTTTTTTTTTTTTTTTTTTTTCAAGCACAGCACTTTTATTATTAAAGAAAGATAAGTTCCACTTTTTGTGTAACATTTTGTTAAGGATAAGAAAAAAAAAAAAAAAAAAGAATGTAAATGCGTGAGAAAAATAGAGGAAAAAAAGAGTGACTGAATAATTATCAATTCAAACAAACTCTCCAATGCAAGAATTATTGAGATAGACATATATATATTTTTTTAAACTTCCTTTGCTTTTTTATTGTATTAGTTTGGATAATCCTTTATAGCATTAGTTAGAGCCATAGTCCATATGAATTTCTGTTCTCGTAAATTTTCTTTCCATGTTCTTTTATACCTACCTAAGAATTTATATAAACTTATATTAAGTATTATTGATCTACACAAAAATCCTACAAACCTTTCTATAAAAAAATTATCCATTTTTCTAAAGTGATCGATAATTTCAACATAATATTTCTTCCAAATTTTCAATTGGATGTCATTTGGTATGCCATTTTCATTTGCTAATAAGGTAAATTTATTCCACATTCTTTTAGACAAATCTTTGAATAATTTTCTTTGATATCTATTATAGTGATAAAAAACAAACCTTGCCTTTTTCTTACTTACAAATAAGTCACATGATGAAAGAAATTTATTTACGTCATCAGTAGTTATTTCTTTTTTATTAGATGGATGATTTTGTAACTTTTTTAGGAATTTCTTATATTTGATAGTCTCATAAACATAATGATCGCACTCATGGTCTAATTTTATTCCTTCTGGAAAAGTCTCATTTGAAGCAGATACATCAGTTAGTATCCTTGGGCATGTTCTTAGCTCCACTTCTGGGTTCTTCTTTCCTTTGCATCTGAAATCGGAACCCTATAAAAATTGGCAAATTTAAATTGTTACATATGTTCGTGTATGTGAGTGCACTCCAGATAAAGCTACAGCAAGGACCAACACGTTCTGCATCCAGCAGATCATTCAAACACTTTGGATGTGAAAAAAGAAAAGAGACGAGACGGGACAGAACAAGACGGGCAGAACAAGACGAGACAGAACAAGACGGGGCAGAACAAGACGGAACAAAACGAAAACAAAGGGAGAAATTCATTTACACAATTCTTAAATAAAGATTTTTTCATTACTAATAAATTTATGACCAACAGTAGAACCAACAACTTGATGGAGAATCCAGGTAAAATGCGGTTTTCCAAAGAATACATTTTTTTTTTTTTTTTTTTTTTTTTAAATATTCATTACAAAAAGTAAAAATTTTCTGCTAGTACACTCTTTAGTAGAGAAAAAAAAAAAAAAAAAAAGAGAAACCTTTTATAAGCATGTTATTACAAATTTGTAAAAATTTTTGATGGTTTTATTTTTTGTTTTGGAACAAATTAGTTCTTCTTAGTAAAACAACGTAAAAAAAAAAGTATGTCGTGCGCGCAAAAAAAAAAAAAAAAAAAAAAGTCTACAAAATATTATGCAAAAAAGTAACAGAAGTTGCTATTTTATAACATATCTTCATAAATGCAAAAAGAAGAACACTCTCAATTATGCCTAAAAGTTCAATCGGGAAAGCAACTAATTTTTCCTGTGCAACAATAGAATATTATTTTTATAAAGATTATTAACTCGTGCAATTTTTTTGAACTTGAAAAAAAAGTTGCAACTAATAGATGATAACAATGCCTGAACGTCAGAAAAATCCTTGGGTTATATATAATATTAGGTGCACTAAGTGTATTAAGTTTTTATGCAGAATTAAGCAGAACAAATAGAATAAAAAGAAGTAACTGATAAAATAACTGGCATATATAGCAGCAAAATGAGTAACTGCACTTTTTGCCCATTTGAAAAAATTACAAATTTGTACCGATGCACTAAATTAGTTTAGTTAGGGCTTCTATATAAATACCATATATATAGTTTGTTACCCCTTTAGCACAGCTTTCTTTTTTTCTTTTTTTCTTTTTTTTTTTTTAGGTGCCAAAGCAGGTTCTTTTTTAATTTGTTCACATAAAAGTATACATATACATCCATACAGAATTCATACAATACTTGTACATGTATACGTGTGCATGCATTTAATGCACTGCTTAATCTTACAAGTGAACCTTACAACACTTCATAATAACCTTGGTACACTAACATATTTAATGCGTTTACCAAAAATGTGAAAAAATAAATTAAATAATAACGAATATTATACTATATTATGTTATATTGTATTGTATGGCATTATATTACATTATATTTATTTATTTTTTTTTTTTTTTACCTCATTTGGCAACTTTTCGCTGTTCCTTTTTGTCTGTCATAGTTTGTCGTTTCGTCGTGGTTGTGTTATGCCTCAGTTGCAGGATTAGAAACAGATCATCACCACCCATTAATTCAACAGAAGAGTTTTTTCCGAATGCCTATATACACATACACATGCATTCATTTATTTATTCATTCATATATTTATTCATATATTTAATCAATCATATATTTATTCATTTATTTATTCATTCATATATTTATTCATATATTTAATCAATCATATATTTATTCATTTATTTATTCATTCATATAATTATTAATCTATTTATTCATATATTTATTAATCTACTTATTCATATATTTATTAATCTATTTATTAATCTATTTATTAATCTATTTATTCATATATTTATTAATCTATTTATTAACCTATTTATTCATATATTTATTAATCTATTTATTAACCTATTTATTCATATATTTACTTAGTTTGTTTTAAAAAAACAATAAAAAAAGTGCAGCAAAATTTTGAGACAATTATTTCTTTCTTTTATTTTTTTCATAAATTCCTTTCCTTGCCCCTATGCTAAGAGAAAACTAAACGAAACTTACACAGGTTAATAAATAAGGGGAGAAAAATACAAAATAGATCAAGTGAAAATTTCTGCGTTTTTGTTCTTGTTCTGTGTGTGGAAAAAAAGTAGGGAGAAAATAAAAAAAAAAAAAAAAAAAAAAACCTACATGCATATAGAAAATATATGTATGTACATGTACATTTGTAAAAAAAAAAAAAAAAAAAAAAAGCGCTTTTTTCCTGACCTCCCCTCAAATGTGCATAATTTTTTTTTTTTTTTTCTTTTAATTCGAAATAAAATAAGATAATTTATTTCATGATCCTATTTGTACATATTTCGAAACACATGTTCAGTTTTTAATTACGTATATTATTATGTATGTTGTAAAATTGGTTCCTAACATGTATATAACATGTGTATACATACATGTGTGTTTGTATAAACACATATACGTGTTAACTCACGCGAAGTGTGTCGTTTTTATAACGATACAACTTATTTGAGTTATTTTATGTAAGTGATGGCTCTGCTACTCTCGTTCACAAATAAAAAGAGCTAATCATTATTGGATTCCCCCACTTTTGACATGTTTGCAAAGAATTAATTGTGTTTAACTTTAGTCACTGATGCAAACCTCTTTAGAGATTGCAAATGGAGACTTTTCAGTAAAAATTGATAAGATAAATATGAATCAAAAAAAAAAAAAAAAAAAAAAAGGGTGAAAAGGTGAAAAGGTGAAAAGGTGAAAAGGTGAAAAGGTGAAAAGGTGAAAAGGTGAAAAGGTGAAAAGGTGAAAAAGTGAAAAGGTGAAAAGGTGAAAAGGTGAAAAGGTGAAAAGGTGAAAAGGAGAAAAGAAGAAAAGAAGAAAAGAAAAGGCTTCATTAACACACGGATATTACAAATTGTCTATTTCTTTTCTGCTTCACCCTTTATCGGGTTTACATAACTTTTTGAGGTGTTACACGGGTTAGAACCAAATCAGAAAAAAAAACTAACTCGTGGGAAAATTTGCCATGTACAGCTTAGGTATGGCATAAATATTGTCAATTTATTAATAGCCGTATATTTTATATTACATGTATACAAGGATTCGATAGTTTTAAATAATTACAAAGGATAAGGAAAGGACTTATGTGATCCAATATTACTGCGTATGCGTGTATACATATATATATATATACATATATGCATTTGTATGTATCTATGCATGTATTTATGCAACACACACATGTGTAATGTATGTCTGCACACACGCATGGACTTAATATATATGATCTAATGTAGGCACCTCTATTTGCCTTATTGATAAGTATAAATTGAAATTCACACTTATTCATAATGAAAATTTACAATTTTCATTTAAATGAATTTCATAAAACTTTTGCACGCCTTATATACATATATTATACGTGCATGTGATGCACAAATATATTTGCACTTTCCCATTTATTTAGTGCATGAATAACAAAAAAAAAAAAAAAAAAAGTGTATTACACATTAAACAAAAAAGAGCAAATGACAAGAAGCACAGTGCTATACAAATTGTTTTATATGTGTGTGAACATCATACAAATACGGTAAAAATAATTCATACACATATATGATAAAAATTCTGTATTTTTTATTTTATTATGTTATTTTTTTTTTTTTTCATTTTCGTAATGTGTTGTAACCAAACATTTTTCAAGATGATATTCCAAATGATTTCCCAAATGATTTCCAAATGATATATTGTTTTAATAATAGAAAAAAAAATAAAAAATTAAGTGAAATTAAATAAATGTTGTATTTCAAATCTTGCGCAAACTGTGTTAGAAAATAAATTTCAAACATTAAATAATTTGTCTAAGTGTTTTGATGAGATGAGGAAAGATGTATAGCACGTTTGTAATGGGAGCTGAGAATTTTGTTGTATTTATTATATAATTATTATACAGTTATTACATAATTATTATTCGCAGTTTATCCCTATGATTTTTTTATATGTTCATTTACTCGTTTGTTTATCTACTCGTTTGTTTATCTACTCGTTCGTTCATCTACTTGTTTTTTGCTCATTTATTATTATTATTATATATATTTTTTTTTTTTCTCCTTATTCCCGTCCTACCTAAAAATTTGGCCATTTTATTTGTAAAGGTGAATAAATTAAAAACGAAGTATTCTAATGAGAACTCCTTATCAATTCGCTCTTCCGTCTGTGGCTATTTTTTTTTTTTTTTTTTTTTTTTGTCTCACTTATTTGTGCATTCATTGGGCTGCTAGTAGTTCTAAATACAGCTGAATCTGTAACTGATCAGGTCGCCAAATATTTAACTAATCAGGTCTCCAAATATTTAACTAATCAGGTCTCCAAATATTTAACTGATCAGGTCACCAAATATGTAACTAATCAGGTCGCCAAATATTTAACTAATCAGGTCGCCAAATATGTAACTGATCAGGTAGCCAAATCTGTAACTGATCAAGTAGCCAAATCTGTAACTAATCAGGTCGCCAAATCTGTAACTGATCAGGTAGCCAAATCTGTAACTGATCAGATAGCCAAATATGTAACTAATCACATTCTTCAACACGTAGCTGAGCACATCACTAAAATCATGACTGATATATAGCGTTGTTTAAATTGTCAATCAAAGAACTAAACAGCCCATCGTGCCTCTCTAAAAATAATAGATGATCACAGTTGTGCACTCATTGCGAGGTGCCCAATTTTTATCATACTGTGTTATAGTTATCTATTATGTTTTTCAAATTTTTTGTCCACTTTTTTTTATTTGCGTTTGTTAATTTATTAGAAGATCTTACAAAACTTGAAATGAATAACCTGAAAGTTAATTGTAACAATGATTTATCGTTAACCATGGAAAAGAAACGATTCTCAAAAGATTCATCTAAATTATCTATGTCCCGGGTAAGAGCTGAATGACATTCCATTAGAAATTGTAGTCTATCTTCATCGGACATTCCAATTTTTGCTGCTGATTTGGTAAAATTTAGCCATAATTTATTTATCATTTTATTATATTTACCCTTTTGGTAATCACTATAATAATAAAAAGCAATAAATGCTTTTTTTTTGTCTGCATAAATAAATCCTGCGTTATTGGTTAAATTGTCAATTTTTCTTTTTGACAATTTTTTATTAAGATCTTTCTGTTCGCATCCGAAAGGTAAAACTTTAGTACTCACATATGGCTCATAAGTATTTCCATTTTTACTTTTTTTAGTTATATCATCATTTACATATAACTTTAATTCGACTAATAATCTTGAATTTGTTTTTAATTGTAACTCTAACAACTCTCTTGATTGGGGAAATCTAACAATCTTCTAAAAATGATGTTTAAGCATGTATACGTATATATATATATATATATATATGTGCAAAATGATATATCCACGTTAGCACATGTATGTAGGTATATTTACACACCTCTGTGGGAAAAGCTGTGAGTGTTTGTTTGTCTACAAACAGTGGTAGTTCGTGTTACATAATTCAGTGCGTAAAACTAAGGAGATAGCAGTTGCGTGTAATTAAAATGTGGAAAAGTGGAAAAATGGGAAAAGGAAAAACGGGTAACAGCGGTAAAAAAAAAAATGTGTTTTATTTTATTTTATTTTATTTATTTTTTTCATATTTTCCTCTCTTCATATATTCCGCTCCTCATTTATTCCTCTTTTCCTCTCTTTCTCTCTTCCTTTTTTTTAATTTTTCGTGGAAAACTTACTAATAGTGTGAAGATTAAGAAAAAAGGCGACATCAAGATCATGTATCTTACAATATGTTGACTTTTCGAGTTTGCATTTTTTTTCATTTTTTTTTTTAAAAGCATAAGTTATGGGCTGGTTGTAAGTAATAAAATGTATATATATATATACATACATATATATGTATATATATATACATATTATTCCTACTGGTTTTTGTACAAGTTTGGAGGAGTGCGTAAGGAAAAATAGTTAGCACTGACTTGGGAGGGCTTGGGGGATATAAAGAATTTGCAATATGAAATATGAAATAAATGGATAGCCAAGTTAAAAAAATTATTATATATGCATGTATTCTTCGTTCCATATAAAATTCAGGAAAAGTTACATAAACTTATCCCTTTTAAAAATATGTAAAAAAAGAAAAAAAAAATAAAATAAAATAAAAAATAAATAAAAAAATTAAAAAATAAAAAAAAATAAATAATAAAAAAAATATACAAAGTGAATGAGTGGGAGAAAACAAATGAAACAAAATGAATGAAAAAAATGAAATGACAAATGAAATGAAAAAAGAAATGAAAAAAGAGATGACAAATGAAATGACAATGGAAATGAGAAAAGAGATGATACTGGAAATGAGAAAAGAGATGATAATGGAAATGAGAAAAGATATGCACCAACGAAATTCAACAAAGAAATTGACCTAAGGAGAAATGATCAAAGGAAAATGATCAAAGGAAATGATCAAAAGGAAGTGATCAAAAGAAATGATCAAATATAATAATATTCCAAACAAAAAGAACTAAAAAATAAACAAAAAAAAAAAAAGAAAAAAAAAAGTGGTAAAAATTAAATTGTTAAATCTAAATGGTAAATAAAGTAATGCAACAAATCAAAGCGGGTAACCTAAAGTGGTAAATAAAGCGACAAATCAAAGCGGGTAACCTAAAGTGGTAAATAAAGCGATAAATCAAAGCGGGTAACCTAAAGTGGTAAAAATGTTAAGATACTGTTTGAGCGAAGAAGGGGACACTGTACATAAAATTATTACCACACTTGTGCATTTCTAAAAAGTTGCAGAAAAAAAAAAAAAAAAAAAAAAAATTTTTTCGCCACCCTGAAATTTATGCAAGTGTTATATGTGTTAGTTAAGCAACTAATGTTCATGGAAAAAAAACAATGAACCAAAAAAAAAAAAAAAAAAAAAAAAAAAAAATACTGGAAATGAACAACACAAAAAGTCATCTGTATATATATGTATATACATATATATATATGTAGTATATTATATATATATATATATACATATTACGTAACCAATACTGGGTTCAAAAAAAACATCCAGAATGTAAAAATAATATAGTATATGAAAAAAAGCAGTGAATGTAGTGGTGGTGTTGGTGTATACATCTTTAATATTTCGTGTTTATTAATTCTTAAAACCTGATACAGCCTTTTAAGTGCTATCGCAAATATCATTAGAACTATGGAAAATGAATAATACATAAACATAAAATACTTAATGCAAATCAAAAACAAGTAAACGTTCAATTTGAAAGTAAAAAGGGTTAAAGAGCTGAGGCCTTTTTTTTTTTTTTTTTTTTTTTTTTCCTTTACACTTCTGCATGTTCGTTGCCCTTACCGGTTTTAGTTAAACATTATGATACCTTCTTAACACGCCAATGCATAAATGCACAAATTTTTTTGTTTTGGAAATGTTAAGATTCAAATGTGAGTGTAGTAGATTGCTTAACAAGATTCGAAACACTTTAATGGATCTTTTTGTTTTGAGTAAAACTACTTCTTCCCTTTTTTTTTCCCGTGTTCCAGATCGAATCAACATGTAACAAAATTGAATACATATATACATGTAAGAAAAAAAAGTAAAGGGATATTAATACATATTACCACAACGGAGGAATATTTTATCATGGAAAAAAGGAAAAAAAAAAAAAAAAAAGAAACTTTTATTTGCCTCTAGCCCCTACTTCACACGTCACCCCTTCCTCGTTAAAGCATAGCAAGAAAATTTCTACCATTCATTTAAAAGCAGCTCAAATAGAAGTGGAAGAGCAGCAAAAGTGCATCTAATGAGGTAGTAGTGTATATATATATGTATATATGTATATGTATATATGTATATGTATATATGTATATGTATATGTATATATGTATATATATATTGTGCACCATTCCAAGCATTTCTTCTGATCACACAAAACTACTGTGGAAAATTATTTTGTTTTCCAAATAAAAGATAGCATAACTGTCTCTGTCGATTGATAAAGCAAAAGCCAGCACTTATAAGGACAGTGAAGGTGCATGCATTTTATATAGATGCATGCATACCTGTGTAGATGTGCATGTACATGTAAATTTTGCTAGGCACGAGGATAATAAAGTGTTGTAGTTGATTTTCACGTTTGACCCATATTCAATATATTAAGTTGGGATGGTTAAGCTAAAGAGAATGGATGGGATAGACATAAAACAAGATTCGTATGTACTCTTCTCCCATGTCTGTGTGTCGTTACAAAAATGGGAAAAATAGAATATTCTCTTGCGGGGGTGTAACAAAAACGAAGAGACTGATTGATTGTGCAGCTACTTAGAAACACAGATGTAAATACAAAATAAAAAATCTTCGACTTTATAGTGATGTGAGAGAGAAATAGAAACGTAAACACGTGATAATATCTGATTTAATTCGGAAGGATTGTATTTCTAAAAGTTACTTTCATAATCATGGCTAAGTAGCGATGGAGTAGAAACTCCTAATTATGTCTTTAGAGAAATAACTTGATTTCATTGTTTTTATCACTTTTTTTTGTCACTTTTTATTGTCGCCTTTTTTTTGTCACCTTTTTTTATCACTTTTTTTTGTCACTTTTTTTTGTCACCTTTTTTTATCACCTTTTTTTATCACCTTTTTTTATCACCTTTTTTTATCACCTTTTTTTATTTTTTTTACGTATCACAACTTTGCAAAAATTGGCTTTTCTCTGTAAATACATTGATATACACATTGTGTGTTAGAGGTAAAATTAGTTCTTCTATTCACGAAGAACCTAGCTGTATTATTTTATGATAAAAAAAGAAACCCCAAAAAATATCAGAAAATGCAGTATGCTTAAAAACCATACACGCTTGTTTATGTATGCATATATATATGTAATGTATGTCAGAAAATTCTTGAACCGGTGAGTATGTTTCTATGTAAATGTGGGTGTAAGCGAATGCATGCGCATTGCCACAATTCTGAAGAACGATGTATCCAATTGTCATATGCGTGAAAATGTTCCATAATTGCTGAAAAAAAAAAAAAAAAAAAATGTCAAATAGAGTTGACGCATTTCTTCTTTAAAAAAGAACGGATTTTTCTTTTTTCAGTTCATTATTAATTTTAATTTTTATCATTAAATTTGGATTCTTAATTTGGATTCTTAATTTGGATTCTTAATTTGGATTCTTAACTTTAATTTCTAATTTTAATTCCTAATTTTAATTCTTAATTTTAATTCCTAATTTTAATTCTTAATTTTAATTCCTAATTTTAATTCTTAATTTTAATTCCTAATTTTAATTCTTAATTTTAATTCCTAATTTTAATTCATAATTTCTAACTTTTAACCTTTTTAATTTACTTTAGGGGGAAAAGATTAGTATTATTGTATACATTATCATCTGAGTCGTTTTCGATTTTACTATCATTTCGGATAAATTTATATTTATAAAATACTATTTTTATTTTTACATTTTTCCATTAAGTTAAATATTTTTAGTTTAAAAATATCACCTTTTTTTTTTTTTTTTTTTCTTATTTTTTTTCTTATTTTTTTTTTTTTTTTTTTTTTTTTTTTTTTTTTTTTTTTTTTTTTTTCCTGCTTTAGCCTGTTTTAGTAAATGCTTGGTGTTGCAGAGATGATATAGTACTAATTACTCTCATTTTTACATTTTTGAAAAAATTTCTCAAACAAGTGGTTCTTATTTATTTATTTTTTTTTTTTTGTAACTACATCGAAGTGAACCATTGGATGATGAATCAAATTACAATTCTCTGTCGTATGCCATATATGGGAACAAGATTCATGTATATGCGTATCCCCATGCACTTACAATTTCTTCCTGTTTTGTGTTAATCATACTGATTCGAAATGCTTGTTTAGTACATATCCGTATAAGTGTACATACGATACATTATATACTACACATACATACACATACATATGCACATATATACATATGTATACAATATATGTTGTATGTGTATCAACTTTGGAGAGCTCGGCACGAGTCGTGCACCTTTTGTTATAACTTCAAAACTTATCTTTTTGTTTAATTTTGATGCTTTTTTCTCAACTAGTTTCCTTTTTTTTTTTTTTTAATTATTTTTTTTTTCTTCATTCTGCAGCACACCAAGTTATTTAAAATAATTTAACTTGATGCAATGCCATTTAATGTTATTTGGCATTATTTTGCACAACAGAGCATTCTTCAGCATTGCTTCTATTCATTTTGTGTTATTTTATTTTATTTTTTTTTTATTTCTCATGACTTTGTGTCAATTTGTTTGTTCCTCCTCATCAGCGTGTACACCATTTTGTGTGAATTTTTTTTTTTTTTTTTTCTTTTGTCCTCAGTTCCATTTCTTTCGTTTTCTTTTTTTTTTATAATCTAACCAGAGAGACGAGTAAAAATGAGAAAAAAAAGCACTATTTACCAGCTCATAAAATATAAAGCACAAAACATTTTGGTCTCCTTATGAACACCTGTTCGTGTATAAAAACTAAGCATTAATATATTAGCAGAACCCATATCCAAAAATGTAAGACATATTCTGCATATGTATGTATGTATGCATCCATGTATTATGTAAGAAAGTGTGCCACTTTTGCGTAACATTTTAATGAATATCGTAAATAGATAATTTTACTAATGAAAAAATGAAAAAGTTAAATTCGTACAAAGTGTATACCGTGCGCATACCATGTATCAATCATTACAATTCATGTTTATTCGCTTTTATTCACGTTTATTCATTTTTATTCACTTTTATTCATTTTTATTCACTTTTATTCGCTTTTATTCATTTTTATTCATTTTTTTTTTTTTTTTTCCCCCTTCCACTAACTTAACAACTGAAGGGAAAGATGCTTAAATTAAAAATGTTCATACTAACAACACTCATATTCCTGTCAATCAACTCAAATATTCTGATATTAGTAAGAAATTATTACATTTTTAAGAGAGAATAGACCTATTACCCAATTGTTATAATTATTGCATAATTATTGCACAATTATTGCTATTATTATTACCCGTACTATTAGTACAATTATTATTTTTTTCTCCTTTCGATGCTCACTGTGAACAAATTGTATAGTTAATTCCTTACTTGCATATTTGTGTAAAAGGCTTCCCCTTTTATGAGACAAATTTTTACGGAGTTTTTTTTTTTTTTTTTTTTTTTTTTTTCAAAGCATGTACTACGTATATGCATATATACATGTATTAATACACATACTGAGATATACACACTGACACATCCATCCCCTTATTCACGTGCACCTACATATTCTTAGAACACTCTGTGGAAATCCAAACCCATCTCTTTTCCAAAACTGAAGATAGCAAGATGTTTGATAAATATATACGATTCATCATATATAAGAAAACTGCTTTTTGATAGTAACATTGGAGGAAATCAAAATTTGCAGCTTGGGTTAAACAGAAAGAAGAAAAAAGATGAAACGGGGGTACCAAAGAAGTATGAGAAATATACAGGACAAAGAGATAATAAATTGGAAGTGAAGAAGACTCTCAAGGATGTATTCAAAAAGTCTTTCACCATTAGAAGCAGAGATGATGAAACGAGAGGTTGGAGTAGTGCAGGAGGGACACGAAAAAATGAGAATCAAGTAGGAGCAAAAATGGAGGACAAAATTGAAACCCAAATGGAGGACAAAATGGAAACCCAAATGGAGGACAAAATGGAAACCCAAATGGAGGACAAAATGGAAACCCAAATGGAGAACAAAATTGAAACCCAAAGTGAAGACCAAAATGACTTCGAACAAAAACATGAAGACGAGCCACATTTATTTAAAAGAAAAATTCCATTTATCCCCAAATTTCCAATAGAATGTGAAGATTTGGGAAGTATGGAAAATGTAAACATAGATGAACTAATGAAACAGATTGATATTTTGCGTCTGATTTCAGTTAGTAAGAAAAAAGCTTGTGTTATTTTTTTTAGTCAACTTAAATATAAAAAGAAAATATTTCGTGACATGATAAATGAAATTTGGGAAAGATACAAAGAAACAGCATTAAAAATAAACGCACCAGAAGAAATTCAAATGGAGATTTGGACAAAATGTTATGATGAACTTATGGATGATATGGAATATATGGAGATAATTTCTAAACAACATTTTTATCCAATATTTAAAAAAGAAATAATAATGAGAAAAAGTTTTCTCGATTTTGTAAATCGTTTTAATATTTGGTGGGATGCAAGTATGAACAAAAAGAAAACCATCTGGGATGTCATTTTGAAAGAGAAAATTGAAAATTATAAATTACAAAAACTTCCTGAGTAGTAACCAAATTGGTTGACGAAACTGAGTGTCTTAAAAAAGTATTTTTTTTTTTTTTTTTTTTTTGAGAAGGGGGGTGAATAATGCCTGTCTATATTGGATTTTTTTCCGAGGTGTAACAATTGTATGTCTTTCTAGCTTTACATATTTTGTTTATACACTCCTGTGGTACCTCTGCTTCTTTCTCCAAATGCATGAGACAGGAAAAAAAAAAAAAAAATTCTAGAAAAAGAAGCTTTAAAAGAAAGGAAAAAAAAAAAAAATAAAATAAAAATTTATCACAGTGGTGTATATTACTTCCCCATCTGTTTACGACAAAAACATGGTGAGGAATGAAATAAAAATGTATTTTTATTTAATTATTTTGCATATTTATTAATATGTCTTCCGTCTTTTATATGAAAATGTACACATGATGTATCTGAACATGTACATATGGAAATGTATAAAAGTGTTCATTAGGGGTTCACAATACATATATATTATTACCCTATATGGAATATTGTCCCTCTTTTTTTTTTTTTTTTTTTTGGTTATAACAAAATTATTTAATTCATTTCATATATTATGGCATTAGTTTGTACTTGTGTAATCTACGTAATTTACACATCGTTTGATATCCAAAGTACTTTTTTTGTTTCAGCTTTTTTTTTTTTTTTTTTTTTTTTGTAAACATTACCTACAATTAGTGCTGGACCTATGTATACCTTCGTGATCTTCGATCTGTATTACGCGAGTTACATTTTGCAAACTTAGGGTTAATGAAAACTTACTTATGTGTTTTTGTCTCTTATGAATATGCATCGACATATGTATATATATATATATATATATATATATATATATATATATTTCCTCATATATGTTCATATATCCACCATGCTTTTTTGTTTTCAAAAAATAACGTTATAATGAGGAGATATATATATATGATCTATGTTAGTATGCACACACATCACTTAATATAGAATTCATAAACCGAACTTTATTTTATTTTTTAAATTTAAAAACATTACATTTTCATTTGTGTCAACACGTTCGCTTAATTTTGGCATTTTGACCACGTGGTTAAAGGGTAGTTCCATGCATACACGGAAGGGAAGGAGAAGAGAGAGAGAAAAAAATTTCTCCTTGCAAGTCACCCGCTCAAATTTCAAAGTTTAAAGTTCAAATTCTAAAGTTCTATTTTCTAATTGCCCTTCCAGGTTACTCTCTCCGTTTTCTTAACATTCAAGTAGCTAAAAATAAGTGCAGTGTGAACAAGCTGTGCATTTTTAGTTGACTATTGCAAAAATTCTGGAGTTTAAAAAAATGAAAGCTAAAGTTGAGAATTAAGTTTGTTGTGTGTTAAGCGAAAGACATACCAGAAATTAATTGTCTTCTTAAAATGGGGTGCGCACACATACACACATACACACACACATATATTTATATGTATTAAGTACACATTTGTTGAGCCTTCTCTCCTGTTCAACTCCGAAATAATTCACCATGCATGTGGAAGTAAAATTACCTTGCACTGTTGCACAATGAACGGACAACCAGAGCATAGAGTAATTAAAGCAAGCACTAAAAAGAGTAAGGAAAAAAAAAAAAAAAAAAAAAAAAAAAGAGGGCCATTTTTCTCGTTTTTTGATGAATTCCACATTTAAACAATTTTATAATTTGTAATGTTGTACAATTTGTGATGGCTTCAAATTTTCTTCTGACTCTCCACGACTCTCTCGTTGAATTTTCTTTTTTTTTTTGCACCTTTGAAACTTTTATTTGAGCACAAATAGGTGAAAACATTATGTTTGTGCAAATATACACAAGCAATCGATTTTCCTTGGAGTACAACATGGCTAGCAGTTTCAACACTTCCAACAGTTTGGCAATTCTAACGGTTCTATTTTACAGTAGACATATTTAAATACGCTTCTAGAACAAATGTCATTTTGAGTAGTAGGAGATTCGCACGCACGTACTTTCTGGACAAGGAAAAAAAAAAGAATTCGCTTCTCCCCATCAGTTTGCATGTGCAACACAATTTGAGTAGCATGTTTTGGGACTATGGAACTAGAAACACCACTTTATTATTTATTTTCAAATGCAAGAAATGAAAATATTTGTATCCTAAAAGGTGTTAGGGACACTGTAAATGAGTGCAGATATATATATATATATATATATACATGTATATTAGCACTGAGTACCATAGCTAACCACAATTGATTTTTTCTTCTATTAAATAGAAACACAAATATTTCAAATAAGAAAAAGTCTGTGCATAAAAACTATTGTCGGTATTGTAAAACTTAAGATGATAGAAGTTATTTAAAAATTGGCATAAAAGTGCATTGATTAGAGGTCATGTATAAATCAAATTAATAAGGAAAATAAATGTGTCTATACATGTCTACATACACATGTATATCTGTCTATGCATGCGCTTGTATTTTTTCCACACACGTATGTGTGTATTTGTTAAATATACATATGCATACGTATCAGTTTAAGGAGTTCTATTAGATACATTCCCCCACTTTATTCTGCCAAGTGTAGAAAATGCTCGATGCATGTATGAATATATAACCATACATAACTGTGTTTAAGGAATTATACAATATGTACCGTGTGGTGTTTCTTTACTCTTTCACATACTTCTGTTTTGAGGTTGCATGTAGGTTCTATAGCAATCCATACCAAACGGAGGGGAAGCGGAAGAAGGTAACGGAGAAGATATAAACATATAACAGTTCTTCAAATGTTGGTCACACAAACACACAAAAAAAAAATATAATAATGACAGAAATAATAGTAACAACAATAGTGACAGAAATAATAGTAACAACAATAGTGACAGAAATAATAGTAACAACAATAGTGACAGAAATAATTGTAACAACAATAGTGACAGAAATAATTGTAACAACAATAGCGACAGAAATAACTGTAACAACAATAGTGAAAGAAATAATTGTAACGATAATGGGAGTAATAAAATTTAGAGGCCACCTGAGGGAAAGGAAACCCAGGGAGACCCTACCCTAAGACATAATTATTGATTCTGTCCTGGAGAATTCTATTCCACTTGAGCTCCTTTTCAAACATGTCAGCAAACCATGAAGCCTCATGTGCAGCAAGAGTCCAATTAAAATGTAAGGTGAAAATTACTTTATTATCCATTAGCAATTTAAAATGCTTTTGAGATATGTTTTCAGCTACTTTTAGATCTCGTATAAGTTCATTTTCACACTGTGTCCAATATATATTTTGAAGTTCTTCAGGTAATCCATGTGTAGATGCTAGATTTAGAAAATTGTTCTTTAAATTTGCTAACATTTTATAGTATTTTCCTTTTAAATAATTAATATACGCATAAATTGCAGCATGTGCCCTTTTTTTGTTAATAACAAGCATACCACAGTATGCAATTCGTTTGTTTAATTCCTCCCTAGACACTTCTCTGATTGTATCTGGCTCGTAAATTTCTAGTGGTGTCTTCCCACCATTTGTATTGCTCCTTTCTGCATTGCAACATTCTGCATTGAAACATTCTGCATTGCAACATTCTGCACTGCTCCTTTCTGCATTGCTCCTTTCTGCACTGCTCCTTTCTGCATTACTTTCCCACTCATTTAAAAAAGTTTCTAAAAGTGTATTAGCAAAACTTGGAGAATTGAAATTACCGCTTTGTACTCTTCGATATTCCTCCTTGGGTTCAAGGTTTGAAGCTAGTGTTCTTCCTTTTGAGGTTCTCCATTTTTTCTGTGAAGGGAGTGTAAGTGTGTAATCGTCATAAAAAAATACCATTAGGCATTGTTATTGGTGCAGTGTATGCAATATGTCGTGTCATCTTGTATCTACATGTACATACACGACAAAATTTAGTTCATCCAAAGCGTGTAAATCTTCATGAGAAATGTGCATAAATTGTGCATGTGATTGTATGCACACGAATATGTGAAAAATAATACATGTACAAGTAGATGTAAATTACTTGGTTTAGCATGTTCTTTACCACTATGATGGGTCTCCATGGCAAAATGGCCAGAATTAGAAAAAGTAAGATGTAGATTGTGTGTCTCGAGAACTTGCTGAACGCCTTTAGATTTCCCTTCGTCAACATTTCTTCCGTAAACCAAAAATGTTTTCTTCCAAGAAGGTTAATATGATTTCTCAGCTTCTTTAGATTTCCCAGCTTCTTCCACTTTCTGTACTGCTTCTCCCTATGGGATATAAATTTCTACTATTTGAGATTTGAATGTTTCACGTCTAAGATGAGGTAGGGATGTGTTTGTTCTATTACGTGTATTTAATGGGAATGCAGCTGGCATTTCTATGAATCATGAAAGATAAGGGGAGCGCTCAAAATTGAGGGATACTAAAAAATGCATCAAACGGGTAGGCATAGGTGCAGATTCAGATGTAGTTCTAGATAGATGTGCGTGCAGGTTACTTAATATTTATGGCACCCGTTTCTCCCATAACATAGGGACGATACTTTTCGAAAGTTAGTTTATTCATCAAAAGGAGAAAGGATGTAGCAGCAAATCGAAAAAGGAGAACATGTGTGCAATCCTTGAAGGTGTACCACAACAAAATGAATGGGCACGATTAAAAAAAACTGTTAATTTGAAAAACAAGAAAACATGGGAAAATGTTATTAAATAATAATAAGTCAAATGAAGAAAAGAAGGGGGAGAGGGGGCGTAAAAAAAAAAAAAAAAAAAAAAAAAAAAAAAAAAAGAAAAAGAAAAAGAAAAAGAAAAAGAAAAAGAAAAAGAAAAAGAAAAAGAAAAAGAAAAAGAAAAAGAAAAAGAAAAAGAAAAAATATAAAGAAAAAATGTAAAGAAGGAACTATTTTTCAAGCATCCCAATTATGTAACTACTTAATTACATTTTTTTTTTTTTTTTTTTAAAATAGAAGAATTGTGCACTACTGAATAAAAAAGAGATTAACCTATAAGTGTAACGTCGACACGCTATTATGGATAAATGCAGAACAAGATTTTTTCTACCATCCCTCTGTTCAGTTTTTAAGGAGAAAAGAAGCTGAATAGTTAAATAAATAAAAAAATGGGAAAAGGCAGTAGATAGGGGTGTGGATGTTCTCATTGCAAGAAAAAATATGCTCATAAATGGTTGTAGAAGTATATATATATATATATATATATATATATATATATATACGTGCACATATAAGGCATAGATTTTTTTTTTTTTTTTTTTTTTTTTTTTTTTTTTCTCCTCTGCTACAAGCTCTTGACAATAAATACAACCACCGTTGCATAGATCATGTGCGTGTATGTTTCTATATAATTGCAAAACTAAACTTTACAAATATTCTTATGCACAAACCTTTGGCCACAAAAAAAAAAAAAAAAATTCTTAATAATGAGGATTTAAAAAAACATTAACTTTTGTTTTTTCACTTTTGTGTTCTACATTTTTTTTTTTTCTTTTTTTTATGCAATTAGTGAATTGTTCTATGATTTAGTATAAATGGCATTTTTTTTTTTTTTTCCCCCCTTTCTCTTTCTCTCTCTCTCTCTCTTAAACGCTTTGAAACACGTTTTAAAATGTATCAACGTTTTTATACCCTTTTGAAGAAATTACCGTTATAAAAAATACAAAGTTTTAAGAAAAGAAAATTCTATCATTTTTGCAAATGCAGATTGTTTCTTTTTAATCTGTTACACACATTGTTTTAGCTTGACATGAAAGCAGCGGCTACTTTGTTATATTTATTATTTTTTTAATTTATAACATCAATATAATCACACGAAAGCCGTTTAATTGAACTTATTTTTCTACTCTCTATTCTGTTACGCTCTATTTTGTTACGCTCAATTTTGCTAAGTTTCATTTTACTTAATTTTTTTGTAGTTGTGCCAAAATGAGGCATAAAAGCATGTGCATATTTCCCCTCCTCCCCCTTTTGTTCATTTTATTAAGGGGCTAGATTATTTTTTGTCACCCATACATTTACCTGATCCATCATCCCTCGGATTGTCCATAATTTTTAAAAATATGTAAATTTTTATCAGTTTTCTCCTTTTGTGTACATATAATATGAAATTACTTATTCAATGTTTTCTATGTTCAACATATTTTCTCTTCAATATAATGAGAAATTGGTCTAAAAAGTTTATTATGTCAATCTACTGATGGAAACGCTTCATTCGGCATATCATTGCTCAATTTTCTCACGAGGGTCCGTTATTTTGAATTTATCAAAATTTTCACATGTTCTGCTGTATCAGTGGGGTGTACACACATGTGCACATATATGTATACATATTTGCGAACTGTGCAGATGTAAAAGCATAAACAGTATCTATCCACTAGCATCAGTTCATCATTTGTTTTTTTTATTTTTTTTTCCAAGTTTCTCCCTACGCACATGTGAAAGAAAAACACAAATGGAAACACACCCAGTTGGAAAACCCCTACACCAGAGGAAGAAGAAATACTACCATTCTGCATGTTTAAATCAACCGTACTTGATTACTACTACTTCGGTCTAATGTTTAATGTTTATTGCATATATTTAATTGCTAATTTTTATGAAATGAAATTAACATAAATATGTCTTATTCCGTTTCGATTATAGACAAAATGGTGTAAAAATAAAAAAAATAAAATAAAATAAAACAATAAAGTAGGAAGAATTCGCAGTTGTAACAAATTATATTTGCAAAAAAAAAAAAAAAAAAAAAAATTACATAGGGATATACAGATAGGTGAGTATACAAAGAAAGCTGCAAAGAAGGTGATGCAAAGAAGGTGATGCAAAGAAGGTGATGCAAAGATTTAACATTCTTTTAGACCTCGTAAGAGAAATTAAACAATTTTTAATATATGTTTAATATATGTACATGGTGAAGAAATCATGGTTGTTCTTTTACATCATTTAGGGGTGGGGGAGGCATTCTCATGATATAAACATACTTTAGGTGATGATACCTTTTTCTTCTTGTTCATTTTATGATTTTTTTTTTTTTTTTTTTTTTTTTTTTTTTTTTTTTTTTTTTTTTTTTTTTTTTTTTTTGTTGCCCCCCGTTGGTTAATGTCTTTTCACTCTCACTTTGTTGTTCATATTTTATTTCTTAACTGAGGATGTTTTACTTTGAAGCTGACGTTTCGTTGAGCCCTGAGTCTGTCCAAGTTTCTGGGTCTTCATTTGTGTCTGTCCCTGCTTCTGCACATCTTCTGTTGCTTTTCTTTTGCAGTTTCTCGCTGCTTGAGTCAAAATTTGAAGCCACTTTTCCTGATTTTTTCGTATGGTTAGGTACCAGAACTCCTTACAACGTATGAGAAATTCTCGAAGGGACAAATAAAACACCCGCTTTTTGACAAAAAAGTAAAATGCCTTCACAGCAGTGTCATCCATATTTATGAGTTCATATGTAAGATCTTTTTCACAGTTCTCCCATATTTTTTTTCGTTCTTCTTCTGACATTCCATGTTTTAAAGCCAAGTCTTTAAACTGTTTCGACAAATCCTTAATCATATTTGTAAATGTCTTCTTTAGGTAATTATTATAATGGTAAAATAAAATATACGCTTTTTTATTGCTTACAAAAAATATGCACGAACTAATCATCTTATTTATTTCTTCTTCTGTCAACTCTCCAGAAAGTTCTTCATTCGAACATCCAAATGGAAGATTAAAATTTCTTCCACTGTATATTTTTTTGTCATTTTCATTTGTAGGAGTATCAGAAACTATTTGTGAAATTTTCTTTTTCATTTTAGTAGCCATTTGAGCTAACTTCCGGGGATGACTAATATTTAATTCGGGTTCCACTAATTTTCCACATTTTAAGAAATCAATTTTGTGCTAAAAATGGAGAAAAAAAAAAAAAAAAAAAAAACGTTATAACATTAGAAGTGTACAAAAGTGTGTGCATATTTGTCAATGGAAAATGTTCGTGTGCAAACGAAGGAACACCTGTCCCAAAATTTACACTTGATTTAAAAAATAGTTTTAACCTGCAATAGTACATCTAGTAAAATTATCAATAGTGTAAGAAAATTCTGTAATAGGTAGATTTGACCTTTTTGGTAATTCTGTTCTGTTTTTCTGCTTCTGTTGAGATGCTGATTTTCCATGTCTCTCCCCTTGTGTAACATTCTACCCCCACGCCCCCTTTATATGTATTATTACATGCACATGTATATAGCTGAAAAAATGTTTAAAGTAAATATTTGATTAAATTAACATGTCCATTATATCCAACCATGACAAGTTCTCTTTAGATCCGTTTTAATTCTGGTGAAAGGGAGATATAATATTTATCGACTATTTCATATACTTGTTTTGAAACAAATGTAGTAGGGAAAATATAATTTTTAAAAAAATTACACAAGGTGACATTAAAAAAAAAAAAAAAAAAAGTTAAAAATTTTGTGATAACAGTGCAACGTGGGAAAAAAAAAAAAAAAAAAAAAAAAAAAAAAAAAAAAAAAAAAAAAAAAAAAAAAAAAAATGGAGCTAAACCCTAAGAAGTGTTCTCCTAAATCTTTCAATAAAGGATGAAAATAAAAAAAAAAAAGTGCAAAATAAACAAAACAACTCCCCCTAAGTGGGAAAAGCAAAAATTTTAAACTAAAACTTTTTTTTTTTCTTTTTTTTCAAAGCGACATGCATTAGAGAGTGCTAACAGAACACATCGAAGGTGGCACGCATCGCAACCACAATGCATAAGATCATTTACAAGAATAAGTAAAACTTCCTACTGAACTGCTAATAGTGTTCTAAAAAAAAATTAAACGTTCACAGGTGAATCATACTAGAACATGCAGCCCTTCTTCCAATATTTAATTTTTTACTTTCTTGAGAAAAATGATTAATCAAGCATGTGAATAAATGAATTTATGGGCGAATAAATAATAAAAAGAATAATTAATAAATAAAGGGAAAAAAAAAAAAATAATTACTGTGCAAACAGATTGATAACAAACAAATTACTAAGCAGATAAATTACTGAACAAATAGATTGCTATCAAATAAATGAACAAATACATAATATCGAATGAATGAGCATCCCCTGCCCCCACCACAAAGCAGGACCTTTTTTTTTTTTTTTTTTTTTCTATTCCTTACAAAAAGAGCTACAATTATCGAGCACTTTTTAATAATTCATATCCAAATTTATCGATGGCGTATTGGGGAAAATGCCCACGGGCTTATTCACTCTCCCTTGTGAACAGAACAACTCACGTTGAGCAGATGATTTTCTCAATTTTGTAAGACGACAAGAAAGTTGGTATACACACATGCAGGCACAGATACATACATATATATATATATATGCATGCGTGCATGTTCCATGAGGTCACACACACGCTTTTACTAAATTTTGATAGAAGAATAAAAAACATTTCAATATACATTTTTTTATTCCTCACATAAGAGAAAGAGCGAAGTGATCTGAGAGAATTTCATCCTTTTGATGTGCCTTTTTCCATTGTACCATTTTCCAAAAGTGCATATTTTTAAACATGATACAAAACCTGATTAGGATTGATACAGCTATGGTTGCTCCTATATGAGTACCAAATGAACTGAGTGAGCTGAGACCAATTTGTGTTTCAAAAAATGGGGTGAAATACTTCTTCCCTTGCTCGGTGTGCATGCGATGGGTAGACCAACTTAGTTAACTCAGAAATTTGTGAAAATATATGTTCCTGTTTACTATAAATGGGGTTTCTCAAAAGTGAGAATACATACAAATATACAAACATACATATATGCAGCATAGGTAGGAGTAGATGCGCACCGCCTTCCACCATGCATCAGTTGTGTTGCTCTCGCACGTGTACTTGTAATGGTGGAAAAAAAAAAAAAAAAACGTTTTAAACGCTTAAAATGTTGGGTTAGTCACTCTACAAGTTTATCACTATATTACTAGATTTTTGTATTGGACTGAAATTTAACACGAAATTCTTTTAAGAATACTCCAAAATGTTATTGTAATATATATAATATAATAATGTTTCTCCTCTTCTGGTATTCCTTGAAAAATAGACCGTTTATATAACACACATAAAAGGAGAAGAGCCATGTAGAAAAAAAAAAAAAAAAAAAAAATTTTCGAATTTGTTTTTTACCTACACATGGATATTTCTTACCAACTAATATTAAAAAATGAAGAATAAAAATAACTGGATATAATAACTCAATAAACCAGAACGTGCATCAGGTATGTATATATAGATTTGGCTAAATTAAATGAGTGTGTTTCTTCTCCTTTGTTCTTTTTTTATAAAACTTTGGTGAGAGGCCAAAACATAGAGAAGAAATCACTGAAAAAAAAAAAAAAAAAAAATGTATACAGAATTTTATGGAAAAAATCTTAAATAATGATGCTTTAGTTCTCTTATTCCTTTTTCTGTTTTTTTTTTTTTTTTTTGCACAAAAAAGAAATAATTTCAAATAGTGAAAATGCCGAAGCAGAAAGTTGTGATAATCACGTTGTTTGATGAAGAAAAAATTCCATTGTGGTTATCTCCCCACTGAAATCGAATTTGAAATGTCCCACAGATTATAAATGGGTAATTACAAAATTGTGCTGTGGTCTTCCTCACGAGTAAGATTAAAACTTTTTTACATTTTTTTACTCTTTGTAATAGATAAGGTCATTTTTAAGAACTTTCCAAAAATTTACGCTATCAAATTGAAGGATGATAAGAGAGGCATATTCAAAAAAAAATTATCCAATGGAAGAAAATACACACATAAATGTAAGAAGTTGATAAGGGCCAAATCTTCATTTTACATTTTGGGCAAATGCGAATATTCCAATATGAACGGCAAGGGGAAAAAAAAAAAAAAATGCACACACATTATTAGATCTCTTAAAAATAGCTCGACAGAGTTAAACACTTCCGAGATATACAAAATAAGAGAAGAAATACTATCCAAAAAAGACATAAAAGATGTTCTTGAAAGGAACATTATTAACAAAGTTTCAAATGAAAATATAAACAAGTACAACAGCTTTTCCTACATATACAGCATTGATGAAATATATGAACAAGTCAGAAAATTATATAAAATTTATGATCAGTGTAAAAATTTGGATAAGCTACCAAAATTATTTGGACTTCCTATCATTTTAAAAGATAATATAGTGACAAGAAATATACATACATCAGCTAGTAGTGACATTTTAGAAAATTATAAACCATCGTATGATAGTACAGTTGTAAAAAAGTTGAATCAACATGGAGCTATCATTTTAGGGAAGACTCATTTGGATCAATTTGCAATGGGCTCCTGCACAGGTGGTAAGGTAAAAAATCCATTTAATGAAAATGCTCTGTCATGTGGTGGATCATCTAGTGGATCAGCAAGTTGTGTAGGATCAAGAATTATTAACTGTTCAGTTAATACAGACACAGGAGGATCAATTAGAACTCCAGCAGCATTATGTGCATGTATAGGGTTAAAACCAACTTATGGAAGAATAAGTAGATATGGAATTATACCATATAATGAAGAAACAGATGTTGTAGGTTTGATAGTTAACAATGTGTATGATTGTAGTATACTATTAGATGCTTTATGCGGATGGGATAAGAATGATTTAACAAGTTTAAAAAAAAAAAAAAAAAAATTTCACTTCAAGTTAAGAAAGTATGCATTATCAGAAAAATTTATTAGTGGGCAATATCCCTTGAGAAATTTCAAATTTGGTTATCTAAGTAAGGAACTTTTAAAATATTATTTTGTGGATGATAATGTGTGTAAGAATTATGAACAGGTCATGCAACATATCGAACAAATGGGGGGAATTTTAATAAATACAAATATCTTTAAATTAATTGATTACACTTATTTATATTATATGTATTCTATGACCATTGCAAATAGTAACCTTTCCAGGATTAATGGAATTAATTACAACATCCCTAACTCAAATGGTACAATTAATTTTGTAAGACAATTAAGATCAAATTTGATAAATGAAAATGTGCACTCTAGGATTATTGGAGGGTCCATAATCTCATCATGTTTTCAGAAAGGGAATATAAGAAATCTTTTTTTAAGTGCCAAGAGAAGATTAAAGCATAGCATTCAGAAAATATTTCATGAGGTAACTTATGTTTTACTACCCTCTCTGCCAAAGTCTAACAATTTGATTACTCATGGAGTTACGGCTTGTGAATACAACACAAGAATTCATTCACGTAGCAAAATGGAGATGAAAAAGGATTCTTCAAGTATCCATAAGAAAAACATGAATGAAAAAAACAGGGATGAGAAAAACGTGAATGAAAAAAACAGGGATGAGAAAAACGTGAATGCAAAAAACAGGGATGAGAAAAGCGCGAATGCGAAAAACAGGGATGAGAAAAACATCTTACATGCACAAAATCATGTTCAAGGTATCCCATATCAGTACAACAACTACATGAAGGAAATTTTTTCAGTCGTTGCGTCCATCACAGGTTACCCTAGTATTGTAATTCCAACAGGGGAATTTACAGAACACTATAATGAGCCCAAATCTTTTCAAGTGCTGAGCAAGAATTTGAACGAGGCTGGCTTATTGAAGGTTGCCTTGGCATACAAGAGCAAATTTCATGTTGATGAAAAAATATTGCAGAATTTGGGCAGATCCAAAAATGAAACTAAACGGGGATGATGTGAAGCAATGATAAATTTATGGATAGGTGTAGTTAATGTTTCTGCATCAAAGGAACAAAAAAAAAAAAAAAAAAAAAAAAAAAAGTGAATCTTCCACTCTCCTTCCTTACCCAAATCGCTTAACTGGTGAAAAACATGTGGAGAAAACAAAACATATGTTGCAAATTATATATTAACAATAAACAGTGTTTATGCTTGTCCAATTATGGTATGTAAAAACCCCCCACACACCCTCCACGAATTTTGACCTCTTCCAAAGGTTACATATCATGTATGTACATATATTTCCAAGATGGAATTTCTTAACTTTCAAACTTCTTCGTGCACACACACAATTTTACATTTTTGACAAATTAGATTTCTAGCTTTAGAGTTATGCAAGGGGTGGTTACATATATATCCTCCTTGTCAAGTTGGGAACAATCAGATATGCAATCACAGATGACTAGAACAGTTCTTCCTCTTCCTCTTTAAGAACGAGAAAGTTGTTTGTGTCCACAGTGGGTGCACAAAATTTTTCATCATTGACTCTTGCCGATTCGTCATTTTGTGAATTGATCAAATTTTCCTCATCATGGACAGATAGATAATTCTGATGTTTCTTAGAGGAAGGGTTGCACAACAGGTCCTCCAATTTTAGCGTATCACAATTGAGTGAAGAGGATGCGTGTTTTTGATTTGGATCCATGCTTTCCTTGTTCATATCAGAGATTCCTATAGTTTTTCCTTTCTTATTATTTCTCATTTCTCGAATTTTGTTTTTTTTGATTTGTCTTTTAGTTTTTTTTTTTAAGCTTTTTTTTTCCATATATTCAATTTTTTCCCTTCTCTTACTTTGAAATATTTGATTTTGTGTATATTCTTTCCATTTTTTTTCAAGTAACTCTAATCTTTCATTTTCTTGATTTCTTTGTTTGCGATAAAGATCAAAATAGTCACTTCCTGCACCTGCACTACTACCCCAAACATTTGGAACTTTTTCCACTTTTATTTTCCCCTTTTCCTTTTCTTTCTCGTTTTTCTCGTCCTCATGTTTAACAGGTATTTTTATTATCCGTCCATCGGACAGCATAATTTCATCATCTAGCACTTTTATATCCATTCTTTTCTTATTTTTAGTCTCATTAATTTGTTCTCCTTTTATCTACGTTTCCTACATGTATGTATATGTATATATATATATATATGTATACTTCGCCTATTTTTTCAAAAACGGAAGGTTTTTTACTAAGTTTCGAAAAAAGTATGATTTCTTTACTCGTTCGCATTTCCACATGTCAGATTTTAAACGTATATTTTATTATTCCCCCACATCCACACTCTGCACAGTTGTTTATTCGAAACAGGAGATACATAAGTTCGTCCAAGTTTTTCACTTAAGCTTGTGCATATATATATATATATGTATAAGTATACATATATATCTCTGTATATGTTCATATATATGTGCATTTTTGCATTGAAACCCCCAATTTGTGGTGACAGAAAATGGAGAGAAAATTATATCCCAAAATTTCTGTGCAGAAAAAGTGATGCTTACGCCTAATACCCATTTTCCCTCTGCCTCCTTTCGTAAAACTCCTGTTTTTGCCCTCAAAAAGGAATTAAAAGATGGGCAAATGTTAGGGGTAAATATTATGGCCAAAAAATTAGGGGAAAAAATAAGGTCACCCAATTATATAACCTTTCCATAAAGCCGTCTCTGTTAAAGGGGTGGGGAAAAAAAAATATTCCTTTTTTCCAACTTATTTAATAGTGCCAAGTGTAATATAACGAAAGGAAAGTTATTTTTGCAACTGATTCATGTTTCCCAAAAGTAAACAACTTCGACAAACACTTGCCTCAAGTGCAGGATGCAAAAACAAAGTGACAATTGAGAAAAAATAATGTTTAAGATGTTAATTAAAAAAAAAAAAGAATTAGGAAATGAGGAGAGGTGCAAATGAGAAATACAAATGTCATGATTAAATTCGACATTTAGAGATTTCAAGTAAAAATTGACAATGCAGGAGGGGAAATAAATAAAAAAAATAAAATAAAATAAAAAAAAAAAAAAAAAAAAAAAAAAAAGGGTGGATGCCGTACAGGTAAAATCTCATCATCATCATTCCCGTTTTGTTGCTTGCGTTTCAAAATAGAGAGCAATAATTTGTCAAATTATAAAATGGAACGAAAATACGCAGAAAAGGAGAAAAAAAAAAAAAAAAAAAAAGTCCAAATGTTTTGAAGTGACACAGAAAAGTCTAGCTTTTTCGCCAAGTGTAACCGGGGGCCCCCCCCCCCCCCCCCAGGTGTCTTCTGACGCACCTAACACAGACGAGCAGATTCTGTATGTGTCTTTGCATATTTTTTTTCGCCTGACCAAATCAGTGAAGCACCATTTTGTGTATAACCCCATCATCCCGCTCTGTTAAATTGAGTTTCTCTAAAAGTAGTTTTTTAAAATAATTGTACAGGGACTCATAGAACAAAACATCATCCAAAGAATAGAAGGTTTTATGCATATTGTTATAAAAAACCAAGGAATCATTTAAATTGTCAAATATTCCTGTCCTTGCTATAAGTACATTATTGGAATTTGTTTTAACAGCAATTTTATATCCACGCAAACTTAGCTCTGATAATAGTATGATATTTATAACATCATCAGATGAGACATTGTCATTGTACATCATTTTAGAATGTGCTTCACTTAACCTGATTAAACTTTCTAATGTTCTTATGGTTGTTCCATTATCTCCATTATTATGTTTTCTTAACATGGAATAATAACTAATTAATATCAATTTAGAATTCTTATTAAAATACGGAAAACAGTTATTTTTCACATGATGAATATATTCCCTTAGTTTCTCGCTAGACCAAATAATTTTTCCATTTTCAGTGTTTTTGAATTCATTTTTTTTTTTTACCCATTTTATCTGATCTGTGGAATTTGTAATGATAAATTTTCTTGGATCCACATCTACATTTGGTATATTACAATAATGGCTAGATAATTTAGAACAGTTATTTACTACTCCTCCATCACCAGCAAGTGAATAAACATCTACGTCTACTTCTTCACCACTTATTCCTGTAATCTCAGATCCTTCCTTCATCAATGGATCAACCCTTTCAGAATCATTTCCACTCGAAAAAAAACTTGTGTTCATATCTTGTGCTAAAACATAATCAGCAATTTTGGAATCAATTTCACTATTGTCCTCTGTTATTACAACCATGTCGAATCGGCTCAGCAAAGCATAGGAAAGATTAATGATAAGGGCCTTATTATCACAAGAAGCCAAATTTCCTTTAACAGTTTTATGCAACTCAAAATTAGATGCACCAATAATAGTGCATCTACAATTTAACTTATCCACTATTCCACCTTTCGCTACCGAAATTGTTAATTGTTCCATTGCCTCATGAATAGCATTTTTATTCTCATTTTTCATTAAACAAAATTCATCAATACAACAAACCCCATTATCAGCTAAAACTAAAGCTCCACTTTCCAACATAAAATTATTTCCTTCTTTTATCGCTGCACATGTCAATCCAGCAGTTGTACAAAACATACCTGATACGTTCATACAAATATAGCTTATTTTTTGTACCTCTTTCAATAACTGTGATTTTCCCGTTCCTGGATCTCCAACAAGCAGCAAATGGCACAAAGTTCTTTTGTTGCAACTGTCAGATGAAAAATTCCTTCTTCCTTTCCTATTCTTGTGTTTTCTTCTTTTCTCGCTACCATATTTTCCTCTTCCCTCCATCTCAACCTCAGCATATTTACCCCGCCCCTGATGCTGCTCTTGTTCTGCTACTTCTTGTTCTGCTACTTCTTGTTCTGCTACTTCTTGTTCTGCTACTTCTTGTTCTACTACTCCTTCCTCTGCTACTCCTTCCTCTGCTACTCCTTCCTCTACTACTCCTTCCTCTACTACTCCCTCCTCTGCTACTTCCTCACCATCGCTTGGTCCCAACTTCGAATCCAACCTTTCACTGCCCCTACTGAAATACTTCTTCCATCTGTTATTTTGATTGTAAAAAGAATCCTGCTCAGTCATTCTGTTTCCACCGATTAATACTAAAAGTACAGATATCTTGGGTAACTTACTATTGTATAAATTCGGGCATAAGCTATCGCATATGTACCTCTTGCCCTCTAGTTTATTATTTTTAAAGAGAAGCCAATACTTTTCAAATAAATTTTTTTCTTGCCCATTTGCATCCGTATAGATAGTGTTCGTCTTAGATTTATTTCTGTTTTTACTTATTTTGCAAGAGTGTAAAGAAGCTTTTTCAAACGATTTGCATGGAAGTGATTCATCATCATTCGGTACAGACACCTCTTGCTGTTGTCTCTCCTCCCGATTTGCAAAAGGATATTGTCGAGTTCCAATATGCTGTAATGGTTTTAAAGGATTTTCTTTTTCATCATATATTATGGGATCCCCTGTGTAGTTATTCACATCCGATTTGTGGGATATATTCTTCGAAGAATTATTATTATTTCGATTGGTCATTGCATCACAGACATTTCTCTTACTTGCTAAATTGTTTATACATTTGGAAAATTCATCATCTAGGGATATTTCTTTGCATTTAGAAACTTCTAATTCTTTAACTTCTATATTGTTTGCTTCAATAAATAATTCAGAATCACATCTAATATCTTTGTACAATTTTTTCCATCTTCGTAAAATAATTCCATTTATAATAACTTTCTTTCCAGGGTGATATTTTCCAGCTAAATTTTCCAAAAGAACAACTGTAATAGAATATGGGATATTTGTTTTACTTGATTCTTTTATTTTTATTTCCTGATAATCTACTCTTTTCACTTCACTTTCTAAAAACTCGAAATTTGTCCCATTGCACTTTTTTTCTATGTATGGATTCTTATTATGACAATTATTGCTATGTATGCTTCCATTTTGTTTAGCATTTCGTTTGTTTATATTACGTTTTAAGTTATAATTATTAGGATAATTTGTAAAGTTCTGTTTATTATCATTCTTAGTATCACTTTTAATATAAAGTAGTTGTTCTTCACATCTAAATTCCTGTACCATATCTTCCTTCATACATTTCCTTTTCAGAATTGTTTCCTTGCTTCTTACTTCACTTAGTAAATCATTTCTATAGCAAGGTGGTATATTCGTGTTTATCTGAGAATTTTGGCACTTAAATACAGTTTGGGTATTATAATACAATTCAGGAATCGCTTTTTTTTTAATTATGTTATCACATTTCATACATCTATATTTTTTACACTCCTCTAATATTTTTTTTTCTCCCACCCTTGTTATTATCCCTTCTGTGCTTACAAATTTCCCAATATGTTTACTTCTTATTTCCTGCAAACAATTGATATGCATATCTTGTAGATATGGAACGTTCACCACACGGCACATAATTTTTATATTCTGCTTTTCGAAAATCATTTTAAAGCAATTGTTTATTTTTATTTTTGTATTTACATCTTTTAAAAAAGCGCACCTCCTGTATGAATACAAAATCCCTTTTATCAAACAAGCACTATACAAATCAATTTCTTCCATAATTTTTCTTTCTTTATTGAAATCATAATCTATAAAATCGTACAACCAAGAGTCCTCTTCGCTTGTACTACCCTTTTTTCGTTCCTTGTCGCTAGTTATATCTGATTCTTCTGACTGGTCAGAATTTATACTGTCTTTTTCTTCCATACTTTCACTGCCACGGAAACGCCATTCTTTTTCGACATGCTCCTTTTCAGCTTCTTCTGATTCTCCCGCTTCTCCCACTCCTTCACCTTCCTCCACTTCTCCCATTTCTCCCACTTTGTTGTAAAAGCACTTCTTCGCGAGTATGCTATTCTGCTGAACACAACTAGGGCTTGCCCTCTGTAAACAAACAGAATTTTCCCCTTTCGTCCTAGAATCTGATTCTCCATTGTCGATATCACTGCTAGAGGAATGGATATATCCATTCACACCATCAATGTGTTTTATATCCTTTTTGATTTCCTTACTAGAAAGAAATTCAAAATAACAACTCAGAAAGATAAGTCGGAAAAAAAAAGGAATAGAATAATTGTTCATAACATCAATAAATTTGTGAAAATTATTTTGCATGTAATATATTAATTTGTTTTCCCCATATTCAATTGCATCATATGTATCAAAATAAAAATTGTATATATTTTCATTGATTCCCTGTTCACTATTTTGAACGTGCGAAAATTGGGTGTCCTCTATTTTACTAATATAGCTAAGTGCTATTTTTTTTACTTGTTCATAATACTTTCTATTTTTCAAAAACAGTTTAATTATTATCTTATGGAAGAATTTCACATTTTTTATATTCTCATCTGTATTCATAAAACTGCATTCTTCCTCACTACTACCATCATAATCAGTGTCACTGAAAATACTCGATTCAGAGCTTGACAGTGGCATTTGCTCAACCTAGATAATAAAATTCACCAAAATGATAAATTGAGTACTTTTTCAACAACATGCACATTTTACACTTTTACCACATTGAAGGCATGAGAGCGGCACTTTCCAGACAATATATTTATCCATGCATATGTGCAACACAAAAATGTATTTAAAAAGGGAGAAAAATCAAAAAAAATATATATGTACAATCAGAGAAGACATTATCATATTAAAATCACGATAATGAATACTAAGTTAAGGACAATTTTTTTTTTTTATTCAAACGAGTTTTAATGTTCACAAAAAAAAAAAATATATATATATATATATATATATATATATATATATATATAAATGTAATAATAATTCTGTGTAAGTCATGCGTCATAAAATAATTAATTTAAGACAGTAATTTACAAAATTGACATTTAAATAATTAAAAAGAAGAATAAAAAAAAAAAAAAAAAAAAAAAAAAGTATACACAAAAGAAAACCTGTGTGGGGGAGGTTACAACTGTTTTATATGTAAAAAAGAGTTTGCTTAAGTTAGTTCCCTTTTTTTTTCTCTTTTCCATTTTTACATTATTTCATGTCCGCTTCCGTTTGTTGTTAAGAATACGTACACATTTTGAAGTCGAAAAAGTAAAAATGTAACGGTGCAGCTTTATAAATTATTAACTGACAGGTAAAAAAGGAGAGAAAAAAAAAAAAATACTGTTCACCACTTTTTTTTTTTTTTTTTTTTTCAATTTATGCTGCTCATATTTTGTTCTGTCTTTATACTTTTTCTAATTTTCTCTCCATTACAGAAAATACACATAATGCACTAAAAATGCGTTGTATATATTTTGTTTTTGTCTTCATATAAAAAACGTCAAAACTAGACAACTTTCCCAAAAGTGACATGGAATAATTAACAAAATTACAAATTGAATGCCAAATGAGATTCATTCTTTTTTTATTAACTGTTCAGGCAAAAAAAAAAAAAAAAAAAAAAAAAAAAAAAAAACTAGAAATTTCAAAATATCTAGTAGCGTTAAAATTGCTACATAAAGAAAACCATTTAGATTTAGTAAATTTTTTTTTTTTTTTTTTTGCGTAATTTTCATTGCAAAGAAGAAAATGGTTATCCAAAATTGCTATGGCAGTAAAAATTAGGCTTTTTGCATTTCAAAATGTTTTGTGCCTTTTTGTTCACTTTTTTCAGTGAAACTTAATTTGCCCTACACTTATATTTAAAATATATGTACTAATAAGAAGGTTTCCAAAGCAGTAATTATTTTGTGCACAAAATATTACATTCCTCAATGGAGAGAAAAATACTTTTGTGTATATTTTTATCCAAATGCTCATACGATGTGTAACATTTGAGTAAAATATATACGAAATGGAAACAACCAGGCCCAAAGTAATGGGGGAGAGAGAGGCGCCATTATTTAAAGAAGGTATTTAAATACAAACCTATATACTTACCTACCTGTATATATATATATATATATACATATATAACATTTTTTTTAAAATACCAAAGTGTTTTATTTTTTTGTCGTAAGCTAAATATAAGCCTTTTGCTTTGTTTAATTTTTCCGTGTTTGTTATTGCAGTTTTCTTCTTCATTTTCTTGGTAAAATTATTACTTCATTTTTTTTTTTTTTTTTATTTTTTTTTTTTACTCTCTAAAATGCGTTTAAATAAGAAACATATCTTTGCGCTGAAAAATATTTGCCAAATGCTCGTTATTGTATTTCTTTTTATCAAGCACAGTTAAATAGTAACCATGTGACAACTTCGTGCTTTTTTGCTTTATTTTACTTTACCTTGTTTAATACATTTTGTTTGCTTTGTTTCATTTTGTTTACCTTGTTACTCCATTTGATTTACCTCATTTTATTTATTTTTGTTCTCCCTTCACTTGCAACACTTTTTGAAAATAATTTTTTTATTTTTCCAGTAAGAACATTGCAAATTAAAGATCCCTTATTTTCACCAAACGGTTTGAACTTCTTGCCGTGCACTGGTGTAATTTTTTTTTTTTTTTTAATTTGTGCTGTGTTTTCATTCTTGTGTGCTCAAAAATACGTCTACACATTTCTAAGGATATATAATACGTCCTCAGGAATGTGTGTACGCAAAAAGTTATGTGTGAACATTTTTAACAAAACAACCACAAAAACATGCGATTGCTTTTGCGTTATGTAACTTCTATGTAAAGGCAAGGAGAGGACTGGAAGAGAGGAGTGCCATGTATCCTACTACACATTTAACAACTGCATACATATGTATTAATGTGCACACGAACATTCCTGCCATTACGTACACATATGCATGTACATATGTATATACATATATATATATATATATATATTTATACTTATTCGTATGTGTGTTTTTACCCGCCTGTTAGTTCAACACATGCCCTCTCCGTGCTTTGTTGTGTCAAAGCATGAGATCACAATATATCCATTAATTTTTTAGTGCATATGATGAAAAAGAGACATAATCAGAAAAGAAGCAAGATTGACAAAATGTGTTCTGTTAAAATATAAGCAATTCATGTAATATACACAAAGAATCAACGTAGCAAAACCTTTGTAAAGGGAAAAAAAATAATAAAATAAAAACAAAAACCCACCATTAACACTAAACACTACCACTAATATTATTACCACAAACACAGACTCAATTAAACACTGTTTAAGGACAAATGTTTTGAAAAAAAAAAAAAAAAATGCAGCATTTTGCATATGAAACCAACTGTTCGAAGCATTACTCTCTTCACGACATGAAGAATGAACAGATTAACGATAAAGTTACATGTGCACAATAACATGTTCTGATACCCATAATGGACTAGCCGAATATGCTACACATTGCATGCAAATGTGTAATATGTATGCATCCTTACAATTATGTAAATATACATAAGTACACCCATGTGGAAGTATACATATATATAAGTATATACTTGTGTAAGTACACACATGTATATCTTTATAGGCACGTGAACTCGCTAGCCACTCCGTGTAAACTATAAGAATTCACTACACCTAAAAAGCCTCCGAAAATTCACAGTTATGCAAAAGAACACTTATTTTTTTTCGTATATTATTATGAGAATAAAAAGAAAAAAAATGGTAAAATAATTGTGCACTACTTTTGTATACCATTATGATTTGCAGTAACTTCAGCTGTAAATAAGAGATGTGCATTTTTGGGAGTGCATCTGTGCATCAGAAGCGGCTCTCCATATTGTTTGCAAAAGTTTGTGTAATTTTGAGCTTTGAATAAACAATTTCTTGGTTTCACAAATGTTACAGACATGTAAAGCATATCAAAAAAAAAAAAACAGCACCAATAGTAGTAGCAACAGCAACAGCAGCAACAACAGCAGCAACAGTAACGAAAAAAAAAAAAGAAACTAGAAAATTGTGGGAATATGTATATCACCCTTTCCGGCCTTCCCCTTATATATGCATTCACACCTATTTTTAAATTATTCTTGCAATATATAATTCACGCACTGTTCTTGAAAACAAAAAAAAAAAAAAAATAAAAAAAAGGATAAATGTTATTTGACATTTTCTTCTATTTGCTTAAATTAAAAAGGAGAGAGAAATATATTGATATTAATTATTTTGTTTTATTTTCATACCCATAAAATTATGCACATTCATTCATGCACTAACATAGATAACTAACATAAAAATTTTGCAACTACATTTTGTGTAAACATGTATATTTGCATATATATGTGTATGCCACACATAAATGCACAAACTTCAACTTGAGATCACAAAAATATCAAATGCATATGAATACTTGCAATATGTAGCAATGTCATAAAGCAGAAAAAAAAAAAAAAAAAAAAAAAACATCACTAAACAAAACGATTTGAAAAAAAGGCAACCTATATATTTTAGCACTATATATAGATATACACAATTACGATGAAAACCAAGTGCAGTAGCAAACTATCCATAGATAATGCAGAAGAGAGCAAAAATGAAGAACTCGATAGAGAATATTACAATTGCATAAAAAATTGTGCTGCAGATTTGCAGAACTTGTCTTTAAACTTTTTCCCGTCTATTAATGCTTACACATGTATTCCAAAAATAAATGCCATTAGCTCAATAACCTTTCATCCGTGTATTTCAAGCAGAGATTATTTTAACAACACACATTCCTTTAAGCCTTTATTTACCCATCACTTTTTTAGTGACAGTGAGCAGGTTAGCAAATGTTGTAATATGAATAATTTATTGATTTATGCGGATGAATAAATATGTACACAAGTTCTGTGATCGTGCATGTACTTTGAACATGTGTGGATATATACTTATGTATGAAGTTTGCACAATTTCTGCTTTTTTGCATGTCTATCATAGAAGATATTGCCATTTTATCAATTTCGAAATGGCAATTTTTTTTTTTTTTTTTTTTTTTCTCCCCTTTCCATTTTAGGTGATCGGTTTTGACAGCTTAAAAATAGATTTCTACTACACATGTGATAATTACGAAGTTTTCATGAAATTAAATGGATCAATAAGTGACCAGTATGAAAATTCACATTACATTATGCTCATGCTTTTACAAAGTTTGTACATCACAACTCCATACCCAGGTGGGTTTATCGAAACAGAAGAGGAATTTTTACAAATTCTTAGAAGAAATGAAGAACGATATGATTCACGTGAACAAGATGAAGAAAATGAAATTCTAGATCCAAACCAAGGAAAGGAAAAAAGTAGGGAAGTAACTTCAAATGAGATTGATATGATAATTCAACATAGAACTTATAAACCTCCCGGTTTTATTATATATGAGAAAAGGCTTAGTGATGATATATTTTTGCAAATTAGAAAATGTGGATTTTCATCAAAATATTTTAAATTAGAAAGCCTTAAAAATTTCGAAGATGAAGGTGAAGAAGAGGAAGGAGAAGGAGAAGACAATGTGGGAGTAGAATATACGGGTGAAGATGGATATGAGAATAACTTAATCAATTTTGTACAGAATAGGAACAATAACTTGATGGAAAATAAAATCAAAATTGTTAAGGATGAAGTGGATGAAAATATGACAATAAATGATACTTGTGTGTGTAAAAAAGGGGAAAATTCAGCTGTGGTAAAAACAGATCTATTTAGAATTGGTGCTACAGAAGGAGGAGGAGAAGAAGAAGAAGAAGAAGAAGAAGAAGAAGAAGAGGAAAAAGAAGAAGAGGAAAAAGAAGAAGAGGAAAAAGAAGAAGAGGAAAAAGAAGAAAAAGAGGTGGAAGCAGATGCTGATGCAGATGGAGAAGGTGCCACACCTCATCTAAGTCATATTAAAAACGAGACAATATTAGACCAAACATACAATGAAAGTAGGAGTGGGAAAAAGGACCCAGGTTCGTCAAACTTTATGAACGGGGATGATATTAACTTCACTGGGAGCATGTCAAACGAATCTAGCAATGAAATTAAAAGAAAAAGGAAGGATTCAAATATTTATATTACTGATTCGAATGTGTGTGATAATGAAGAATTATTAACAAACAGTGAAAAAATAAAAAAAGAAAGTAAATCAAAAGAAGCTTTTCCAAGTAACGAAACTAATGGAATAGATTATGATAACAATTACCCTTTTGTGGAGACAAAGAAGAATAAAAAGGATTTAATAAAATATGTTACAGAGAAAGATATGTCTAAATTATATCGTGAATATTTACAAGTTGTGAAGGTGAAAGGGAAAAGTAGCAATACCTTTAGAGGTAACCCGAGTGCATCTACTTCTGCTAAGAAAAGGGAAGATAGTAAAAATTATTCTGAATGTGCTCATTTGCAGATAGAGAAAAACTTACCTGCAGGAGAGACTGTTCCTCTTCATATTCTGGAGGAAGAGGAAAGTGCAGCAAACAAATCGGGAGAAGCACAACTCACGGAGCCACATCTCACAGAAACACATCTCACAGAGGCACAACTCACAGAGACACAACTCACAGAGACACAACTCACAGAGACACATCTCACGGAAGCTCCTCCATCTGAAGCACGTCGATCGAATGAACATAACAAGAAAGAAATAAACAAAAGAAAGGGGAAAAAAAACGCGAGAATGGAAGCACGGGCAGCTCAATATGATTATACAATAAAGAGTAATTTTGAATTGTTACATAGAAAAGTGGAATGGTTTTATCATTGGTTCATTGAAAGTGCATCTAACATTGAGTATGATTATCGATGGAGTGTCATATTACCATACATAGTGTTCAAATATGATGATGAAAAAAGGTTTAGAGAAAATAAGTTTATTGAAAATTTAAACGCTGAGTTGGTTAGGAGCAGAAATTCTAATGTTAATCTTCTTCCTAGTGTTAAGTTGGATATGTCATCCACCCCATGTAATACTTCAAACGTTGATGATGTGATGAACAATATTGTCGATAAAGAATTGGAAGCAGTTGAAAGGACAAAATCAAAAAGGAGTTTAGAACCCATGATAGAAAAAAATCAGGGACATAAGAAAAGAAAAAAAACACGTCATATTATTCCTCCTGGGGGAGAAGTTACTCCTGAAGAGCACGAACATGAACGTAAACATGAACATGAACATGAACGTAAACATGAACGTGAACGTAAACATGAACATGAACATGAACGTGAACAAGTGCATGATGAAGTTAGCAAAAAGGAAGACCATTTGGTGCATGAAGAGGTGAAGATGAATCATGAACAAGACGAAGTTATGATAAAGAAGGAAATCCAAGAGGAGAAAAAAAGAAAAAGGAAAAAAAATTCAAGAGAAGTTCCTAAAAATAATGAAAGTTTCCCCACTGAAAAAGAGATCAACAATGTAAAATCATTAATTGACAAAAATGAATATGTTCTTACGAGCGAAGTAGTGATTACAGCAATTGAAAATACACTTAAAGATTTAAGAGGCAAAGAAGAGGAAGATTATTACTTGTTTCATAAAAATCATGATGTTGTTTATTTGTATTCAGATTTGCCGAGTGCAGCAGAGGACACGGGAGCGGAAGAAATGGCAGCATCAAAAATGGCAGCATCAAAAATGGTTGCATCAAAAATGGTTGCAGCAGAAAAATACCAAGGGAAACAAATGAAAGCAGAAATTTTTCACACAACGGACGAATTTAGGGGTAGAAAAAAAGGAAAAGGGAGAAAAGCATCTCAAACAGAACGAAGGAAAGAAATTCATGTTAAGGTGGAAGAAGAAGAGTTATTGAATGAAAATGAAAAGATAGAAGAGAGAAAAAAAGAAAACAAGAAATATAAAAAGGAAAAAGACTCTATGTACTATTTTTACCTATTCGGATTAGCTACTACGTATACTTTTTTTACATTTCAATTTGATAGAAATAGGATTTCCCAATTTTTAATATTTCCACCTATGCAAAGCAAAGGATTAGGAATGAAAGTTTTAGAAAAAATATATCATTTATCTATTGTCAATTCAAATGTAAGAGAAATTACAGTTGAAGACCCAGCTGTTTCTTTTACTCAATTAAGAGATATTATCACCATTAAAATGTGTATCGATTTAAGAATTTTGAGTCCAACTATATTATATCCAGATGAATATTTAAAAACAAAAAATATTGACAAGGAATATGTAGAACTAGATAAAAAAAAATTTATGAAGGTTTGTAAAGAGACACATAAACAGATTACAAGAATGATTGAGACTTTGTTATTAGCTGGAGTTTTGCCTCACCCAGCACCTTGTTATGTTGATACTAGTGATGAAAAAAACATGGGGCTCCGGAAAAGGGAGAAAAAAATTGAAAACGTCGATTCTGTAAATTCCATGGAGTATTTCGAATCGTCTGATATGTGCAAAGATGTGCGAATCAAGATTAAAAGGAGAATAAAAAATGATTACATAGGGAACTTAATTAACAAAAACATGAATTGCATGGCTAGCGATGTGTTCCAGGATTATGTATGCGCAAAAAGAGGGGGAAAAAAATGAGAAAAAGAATGAGAAAAAGAATGAGAATAATAATGAGAAATAGAAAAATAATGATAAGAATGAGAAAAAGAATGAGAATAATAATGAGAAAAAGAACAATAATGATAAGAATGAGAAAAAGAATGAGAATAATAATGAGAAAAAGAACAATAATGATAAGAAGAATAAGAATAAGAACAATCATGATAAGAAGAAATAATAGCATAACACCAAAAGAGCGAACATCGTCATGCTTGTGCATCTGTGATCGTCAGTTTATAAACGTGAAATTCATTCACCTAACTGTTGCAAGGATGTGATGTGTGTGTGTGTGTGTTTTTGCGTGTACGGATGAATATCTCTCCATCCATCTATCAAATCACTACATCAATTTGTTTATTTCATTACTTTTTTCCACCATTTTTCAGGTTAAGGAGGAGCTCTACAAACTTTGGAAAAAGCAGTGCAAGGTTTATTACAGGTGAATGCACAAGAAAAAAAAAAAAAAAAAAAAGGAACTTCATAAAGTATATATATATATATATATATATATATATATACCACAGAGTTTAATGCGTAGAGATATTGTAAACGAAAATTTCTTACACCTCTTCAAGACATACATAAGAGAGCCCCTTATGCACATTCATACCATTGTATATTTTTTGAGGAGTGTTAGGTGTAGATTAGTAGTAACATATGCGTTACCTTGTTCTTAATTCAACCAAAAGATTTCACATCTCTATGTCAATTGGTTAATTGATCAATCCTCCTATCTATTTACCATGTCATGTCGTGTACTTTTTTTTTTTTTTTTTTTTTTTTATTTCGTCCTACATTTACCCTCCATTTTGTTAACCTGTAGGACTATCAAAAAATTGAGATCTCTATATCCCATATAACAAGACATGGAAATACAAAAAAGAAAAAAATATATAAATCCTTGAAGAATGTTTTTTCCTTTTTTTTTTTTTTTAATCTAACTTTGATCGCCATTTCATTTCTTGTCAATTAATCCAAAGTTATATAATAATTTTGTAAAAGTGGTGCACACGTAAAAGAAGATAAAAAAAAAAAAAAAAAAAAAAAAAACAAGCTGTGCTGAATTAAATCGTTCTGCAAGCATAATTAGAAGAGGTACATACTTATATATATGTAACAAGATGAATGTGAGACGGAGATAAAAGCAATAGTACTGCTAAATTCCTACAATGAACCAAAAAAAAATAAAATAAAATAAAATAAAATAAAAAATAATGAAAAAATTGTAGAAAAATGAATAAATTGCAGAAAAATGAATAAATTGCAGAAAAATGAATAAATTGCAGAAAAATGAATAAATTGCAGAAAAATGAATAAATTGCAGAAAAATGAATAAATTGCAGAAAAATGAATAAATTGCAGAAAAATGAATAAATTGCAGAAAAATGAATAAATTGCAGAAAGGTGAAAAAATAATGAATTCGTCTTCTCAACCTGTCAGCTCCTATTCGTAACTTTACAAGCTAAGAACATTTACTCCGTTCATTTAATTTTTTAAATATGTCTCCTCGCCCATGCATCTGTGTTGTATACATATGCATGTTGTTTTCTAGTGATGGTGGAGGCACTTGGTGTCCCACCAGCAGCTGGCAGAAGCTACTACAGGAGTACATAAACATTAATATGTACCTGAAGAAGTGGAAAAAGACATGCAGAAGTAGACAAAGAAATGCAGAAGTAGACAAAGAAATGCAGAAGTAGACAAAGAAATGCAGAAGCAGACAAAGAAATGCAGAAGCAGACAAAGACAGACACAAGGAGGACTGATATTTTGGGGAGAGAGACAAATGGCATTTGCTGAGGCATGGCTGACACATGATCTTGAGAGTCCCCCGAGTCAGGAAGATGAATTTTCTTCGTCATATTCATTCTGATTATTGATGGAAGGATCATCCTGAATAGCTAAAAATATATTGTTAAAGTCTTCATCGTTTTGATGTTTATACTTTGGCTTTGTTATGCAAGAAATAAATAAAATTCTTTTATTTTTTTTTGCAAAAAAAAAATAATTAAAACTTGAAATACTTTCCTTATCAACATAAGGATCATTATCTGTGTCGTTCAAATATGTGTATACATCACAATATTTAAAATCAATTAACTCTTTTAATATTTTCCATGTTCTTTTATTAAAACCGTGATATATGTTTTCAATAACATAAAACAAGTTATAGTTAATATTATCTATAACCGTGTTCATATTTTTTATATGTTTTAAATTGGAGTTATTTAAATATTTAAATTCATAATCTGGGAAAACATAATTTAATATATTGATAATATTTGACAATATGGATTTTTTTTCCTTTGTGTTCATAACATCCGGTACTTTTCCTCTATTTATATTCCTTTTCTTACTACTTTCTGTGATGTGTGTTTTACTTACATTGGTGTTACATAAAGATGAACTTATTATATTACAACGTTCACCAACTTCTTTACTATTATTCTCCACCGCAGGTTCATCACAAATGCTTAAGTTATAACTTTTTGGTGATTTATCAGCTTCTTCAAACAACTCAATCTTTGCTTCAATAAATCTGTCGTGTGCTTCTAACCTTTCTAAAATTAAATTTATATCATTCAAGTTTGCAATGTCTAAATTAATCATTTTGCATTCAGTCTATAGCTAGTGGTTGTGGTCTATGTGGATTCTCCTCCTTCCCTTTTGAAAATTGGGGGTCTATCCCTGGAAGTAACTAAAAAGGTTTGACACTTCCTGTCTGTCTTAAAACGAGTGGGCTGGCATCCCTTGCATCACACATAGCACGACAAATGGGATGCAATTTAACCAGACGTATTTTTAAATTTAGATATAAAATTTTTACTATAAATATTGAGAACATGCACGAAGGGCAAATCTGCGAATATGGATAAACTTAAAATAAAAAAAAAAAAAAAAAAAAGGGGCGGAGGTTTAGACCTCTTGTTGTATTCCCTCTTACACTCGTGAACAAGGAACGAAGACAGGAGGGAGGTTAAATCAAAAGGATAATGTTCTCAAATTGACAGAATGGTAAAAAAAAAAAAAAAGAATAACAAGAAAAGAAAAGAAAAGAAAAGAAAAAAATAAACTATTAAGTGAAACGAAATAAAACAATCAAAGGGGGAATATGCGAGACATAATTATTGTATGCGTATAAACTTGCATGTCATAATTGGTCCCTCCCCTTGAGAGATTTAAAAAAAAAAAAGAAAAAAAAAAAAAATCAGTTGAATAAAACTGCAACTTCATGTTGCCAAATTATGTAAATGGATAAGCTAATGGTATGTAATCGTACATACACACATTTGCATATACAAACAGGCACATCCACGTGTGTATATATAAAACACGTACATGAATATATGCATATACAAACAGGCACATCCACGTGTGTATATATAAAACACGTACATGAATATATGCATATACAAACAGGCACATCCACGTGTGTATATATAAAACACGTACATGAATATATGCATATACAAACAGGCACATCCACGTGTGTATATATAAAACACGTACATGAATATATGCATATATAAACACGCACACTTACAATTGAACTTTCACGTACATTTCTATCTCTTCACAATGTAATACACTAGAACAAACATGCGTGTGGAGTTGCATGATTTTAAATTGATTAATAAATGAAAACATGGCAGTCTATTTTTTTTTTTTTTTCTTTCCTTTTTTTTTTTTTTTTTTTGGGCTTCATTCTCCCATCTCATAAGAAAAAGAATAAGGTGTATACAGAGATGAGCATTTTTCTCGTGTGAACAAAAATGTACATGTATACCAATGTGAAAAAAAAAAAAAAATTCTAAAAAGGCACACGAAAAATGGGCAGCAACGATTTGCGCTTGGAAAGAGAGAAAGCAAAAATGAGAGAAAATGAGGGAAAATGAGAGAAAATGAGGGAAAATGAGGGAAAATGAGGGAAAATGAGGGAAAATGAGGGAAAATGAGGGAAAATGAGAGAAAATGAGGGAAAATGCGAGGAGAAAACGAGGGAAAATGCGAGGAGAAAACGAGGGAAAATGCGAGGAGAAAACGAGGATAAAAGCAGCTTCGTGTGCTTTATCGTTGCTTAAATCTATTGCATTCACCAAATGTACTTGTTAGAGGAAATACTCACATTCATATGCATTGACATATGGATGTATATATTATCAAAAAGGTACACGCACACATATAAAAAGAATGGTTATGATTTTCCAAGTTATATTGCCCGAATTTACTGAAATGTCACGCAAAATAAAAAAAAAAAAAAAAAAAAAAAAAATGCAAACAGAAAGTTGAATAATCAATTGCAACCCTCTCGAGAATGTACAATTTAATTGCAACAAGGTCATTTAAAAATTAATTTTTTGTGTACAAAAAGAGGGATGTGTATGCCTTTTTTCCACTTTTCCATTTTTCCACTTCTTCATTTTTGCACGTATAACCATATAATACCCTTGAACAGTATAAATGTCTACACACACAACCATTTGATTTGGCTAAAAATTCGCATGTTCATTGATATCACACAGTGTTGTCAAATAAGTTACTGGTGTGCAGGAACTCAAAGAGGAAAAATCAAAAGGACACAAGAAACAGAGAATTTAAAAACATTAGCATTAATTCTAAAAAGTAAAATACAAAAATTTTATCTCGAACATATCTGTTCAGAGTGTACAGGTGTATTCACTGTAACACACACATTTTGATATGTGTCAATAAAAGCCATATATTTGTAAGAAAACCTAAGAACGGAAAGAAAGGGTGAATAACGAGTAGAGAATGAGACGACTCTCCTCCATTTTCCATCACCACCATAACCTTTCTTCTGTTGCAAAGAGTAGGAAAAAAGAAAAAAAAAAAAAAAACATGCCGAGAAAATATCCTAATAAACAAATGAACATGCCAAAAATGAGAAACACCAAAATGAGAAACACCAAAATGAGAAACACCAAAATGAGAAACCCAAAATGAGAAATCCAAAATGAGAAACACCCAAATGAGAAATCCAAAATGAGAAACACCAAAATGAGAAATCCAAAAATGAACGAGTGGCAAATTCAACATGTGCGCAGGACAGGTATATGCGAAGGTATGCACAAACTTGAACAACATTAAAGGCGAGAGTGAGAAAAAAAAAAAAAATAAAAAGGCTCTAAAATTTTTGCAATGAATAAAAATGTTCTTATATCACTGAATAATCATTTTCCTATCTTTAATAAAATATCATACCCACTCTTCCTTCTTGTATAAAAAAAAAAAAAAAAAAAAAAAAAAAAAGCAGTGATGACAATTACAAATTCGAAAAAGAAAATTTAATTTTGACTCTATTTTATTTTATTATTATTTTTTTTTTTTATTATTGTATATGGTAAAAACACATCAGTTTAAAAAAGAAAAAAAAAAAAGGTTTTCTAGAATGGATGAAACGAGACATTAATTAATATAGTAATAACTAAATCATCCAAGGTGATTCCAAATTGTGTAACCTGACACAATGTATATGTCGGGATGTGAAACGCAGACTTATCCCTAATATTATATATATATATATATATATATATGCAACACATGCAACATCGACGTGTAATGAAACTCCCCTGAACCCCTCAAAATCCTCTAACACACCCAAAGACTCGCGTTCTTGTCCCCATAAGAATACTCCACATTAATTGAGATTAACCGCTTTGAATCAAAAATGAGAAGGAATTTTTTTTTTGTAAAAAATTATTCGAAATGTAAGAAAGAAGGGAATCTTAAAATGAGGAGGAAATGTTATATACACAATTTAGCAGAATTTATAAACATCAAAAAAGTGGATAAGGAAAAGAAACAATACTTCATGTCATATAATAATAATGGAATTAATAAAATCGAAAGTCAAATGCAAAGACGTGTTAACATTCCACACGTTGATTTTGAGAAAAAGAATGATGGTGATAATGATGAGACCTTGTACAGTAACATTAACATGGCATCGTATCACAATGAAATGATACAACCGTGTGATGAAATAAAATTTGGACGTATGAAAAGTTTCAAATTGTTAGGTTTATGTTTAATCATGTCCCTATTTTTTTATTGCACACTTAAAAAAGTACCTGAAGGGTATATCTGTTTGGTACAGAATAAAAAGGATTATACTGTGTTGCCTTATATTTATGACGATCTGATGACATTTTTTTATAATCCCTTAAAATATAAAGTAATCATAATGAGAGTTACTCCAATTCAGAAGAAGTTTACACGTATATATGAAACATTGGATAAAAAACAAGTTAGAGTAAAATTACAAGTTAAAATGAAACCTAAAATTCCTTTTATTATTGAAATTTTTAGCTCCTTCGGGGACAATTATAGCACGAATTATATTGAAAGAGAGATGAATTTAGATATTATGAATGTTGTGAAAAATTATAACTTAGCTACATTAACTCAGTCAAGTAAAGAATTAAATAAAACAACTCATGACACAGTAGATGATGCAGTTGATCAAATAATGGATAGATTTTATGATTGTTCAATTTTTCATAAAATAATTCTCTTGGATGTGTCTATCCTTTTTGAACGGGCCGAATAGGAGAAAGACACATGGTGTAATATATATATGTGAGACCATATTGATATCATTTTTTCCATGGTCATATCAAATGGGAGGAATCATTCACTCTTGCAAAATTGATGATGTTTAATTTGTATGCACCCTTCGAACGGATGTGTGTATGCATATATCTGTATGCATACGTGTATTCCTACCCCTATTTCTACTTCTATTCCTATTTCTACGTCTATTCCTATTTCTACTTCTATTCCTATTTCTACTTCTATTCCTATTTCTACGTCTATTCCTATTTCTACTTCTATTCCTATTTCTACTTCTATTCCTATTTCTACTTCTATTCCTATTTCTACTTCTATTCCTATTTCTACTTCTATTCCTATTTCTACTTCTATTCATATTATTTTATTTTTTTTTTTTTTTTTTTGTATGAAGACTAAATTTGCTTATGTTAAGATGAATCATCACGTCAAACTTGATCATCCTGTCTTGTGTAACCATTATGTCCTCGCGTCAGCCGTTTGCATTGTCCTATTCGTTCATGTTTTTCCACGCACACACATACACTACTCTCTTGTTTGTTCTGATGGGTTGTATATATTTGATTACACACATTATTTACGCCTTCTCATAAACCCCATCGAATGTTAAGCAAATGGAGAATTTTTATCGAACCCTAACACTCATACATTAAAAGGAACCTTCATATTGTGTATACAAATTAAATTTTTATATTTCAACAAGAAGTTCCTAAAGAATATCAGGATTCACGATATTTGCACTTTTTGGATCAATGCAAATGTGTAACTATGCTTCCTCATTAATTCGGGTGTAATATACAGAAAAATAAGAAAAAAAAAAAAAAAAAATCCTACATTTTTCTGAATCTTAAAATGTTACTTAAAACAAACTGTCATAATTTACACTTCAAATTTTTTGCTTACTGGACATGGGAATATTCCTGTCACATGGTAGTAAAAGTTAAATAATCATTTTGTATAAAATTATTGGACCGTGTAAAAATTAAATAGTAACTTTACGTCACATTATTGAGACGTGTGAAAAAAAAAATTAAATAATTGGGGCTATTACTTCGAATGTTTTTTTTTTTTTTTTTTTTTTTTTTTCCTCCTTGCTGCTCAACAATTTATCTCTTTTTTTTTTTTTTTTTTTTTTTTTTTTTTTTAATTTTCACCTGACCTGTGGTATGTTCAGGCAAATTTAAGTTTTCCGCGATTAAACGTTTCAAAAAAAAAAAAAAAAAAACCTATCAACATATAATCATGTGAACACATGAACACAACTGTTCTTGTCCATATAGGTTCAAATAATTATATATTTTATATATATATATATATATATATATATATATGTTTCTTCCCCACGTCTCCTCCTTCCTTGTAAAAAACTTTTCACCTGTACGTATTACTACCTCGTCGAACTTCTAAAAGTAAGGGACCACAAATTACGCCCTGCTGCTGCAACTTTTGATGTGCATTGTCACAATAAGGGAAGTTATTGGATTTCCAACATCTGCAAATAGATACTTTTTTGGATTTTTTTAAAGGAGGGTATATAGTTTCAACATGCACTGCTTTTAAATTTCGTGTGTTTAAAATATCTCCTTTTTTTCTAAAAATGTTTATTTGTTTTTCCTTTATTAATAAATTTCCCATTTTCTCATCCTTTTTTTTTTTTTTTTTTTTTTTTTAATAAGCACGAAAAGGTGAGCTTCACTATGTCACTATACTTTGGTTCTTCACTACACTTCTCTACTTCGCTTCCTCACTTTTTTTTTTTTTTTTTTAATTTAACTTGTAAATACTACTTGCTTTGTATTGATTAAAATCTATGTGTCCCCATGGAGGTGCACAATGAACAATAAAATGAAACACTTTAATTACGTTTTCATCTTTTTACGCTTGTAAAAAAACTGTCAAATGGAAGAAAAAAAAAAAAAAAGTTCTCTTTTTTCCTGATTTTTAATAATTCTACATATAATGCTATTATGTCTTCTTTTTTCCTTGTCCATACCTCTCCGTGTCCATGTGTGTAAGCGGTGTGTATCTTTTTCTTCCCAAGTTAAAAAGTTTCTTATCCTAGTTTGGTAAAAATTTTCTCTTTTGTAACAAAGAAAAATCTATCACAACATAACACACTGGTGTATGTAAAACAAAAAATATTTAGAATCTCAAACTCTGGCAGATTAAAAAAAAGATTTGGAAATTAATCAAAATGGGATTAAAAAAAAAAAAAAAAGGACAGATGGAAGAGGAGCAGGAGTTAGAGATATACATATATATATATATATATATATATATATATATATATAAAATAATAATAACTCTGCTCTTAACTCAGGAATTATTTACATATACAAATTTTATTATTTCACACTGCAAAATTATATGTAGTGGCTTTGGCTTTGTTTTTTCATTTTTTCGTTTTGCTACGGTGCAAAAGTAAATAAAATATAAAAAAAATTGGAACAAATGGAACTATACATACTATATGTATATATATATATATATATATATATAGTGTGAGAATTGCACAATTTTCTCATCCCTTAAGAGGTGCATACAAATTCTCTTACTATTTTAAGTGAATTTTTCTAGGTTATACAAATGAAGGTTTATTAACAGGAGTGAGTTAAAACTTCAGATACTGATGAAAGTGTAACAAAAAAAAAAAAAAAAAAAAAAAGAGGATAAAAAAGAGGATAAAAAATACTGTATGCGTAAAGCAAAATAAACATTTGACATATACATATATGTAAAATAAAATAAAAATACCCAATATACATGTGTATGATGATGCACATTAGTGTGTATACATTTACATCAGGTATGGGAAAAGGAATAAAAGGTGTATAATGCCGTTCCAAGTTGGAGGGATATGGTAAATATATTATACATTTACATAAAGTTCTGTTTATGCAAAAGGAGAAAATTAATGACCTAACATGATATAACGTATATATATATATATATATATGTCAGAAAGGGTTGGAGAAAAAAAAAAAAAAAAGTTTTACATACATACGATAAATACACACGTACGTACTGGTTTGTTATATACTCATTTAGTATGCATAAATTAAACTAAGATTTTTTTTTCCAAAATATTATTTCCCCTTTGAAAAAGAAAAAAGAAAAAAAGAAAAAAAACTTGTAGGTAAATGCTTTTTTGCTTTACATTGAAAAATGTAAAAAGTGAAGATAAACGAAAAACAAAAAAAAGGGAAAAGTTATGAGAAAAAAAAATAAAATAAAACGCGAATATATTTAATACATAAAACATACACACACATATAGCATAAAAGTACAATATGGCACACGTAAAATTTATGTTTGCAGCGTGTTTACTAAAAGGCATTTAATTATGCAGTTATTACGCAACAAAAACATTCAATACAATACTCGTATACATATTATATACATATATATAATATACATGTAAGATAAATACTTTCGTGAACCAGAAACGTAACAATTTCTCTTTTTTTTCTATTCATAAATGTACCTCCCCACCACCACCATATACTCTCATTGTATTGTTGCTCTGCATTATGTAATTACGCATACGTTATATGTATATAATAAACCATGCGAATGTGTTTTTTTCTTTTTTAATCATAAAAAATAAAGCCGCTGGTGTGAATTTTCGAAGTTCATCTTTTGAAGCAGTACATGTACGTATATAATACATATATATTTATACATTCCCACTTACATCTGTAATGTATATATATTCACACTTCTCTATATGTATTTGTATGTATATATATATATTATGCACTTATATATATATAACATGATGGGTATTCTGCACTTTTAAATTTAGCTTTTTTTTTACTTTTAAAATTTCACTTCTGCAGTGTGGCCAAATAAAAGTTTTCGTTCTTTGTGTTTTTTTGTTTTTCCTTTTCTCTGTATTTCAGCTTTTCTGTTTTTCTCCTTTTCTGCTTTTCTCCCTTTCTGCCTTTTTGTTTATATATATAAATATATATATAAAGCAGATACATATGTAGAGAGAGTGGGAAAAAATTAAATTTTATTTTTTTTTAGTGAAAATAAAATACATGTGTTATGTAAGGCAAAAAAATAAAACAAAAACAAAATAAAAGAAACGCAACAGATTAAGGAGTAACACATTTGATGACAGTAACTAAAAATGTTTATTATAAATTGGTTAGTGTAGGAAAATGAGGCAAACAAAAAAAAAAAAAAAAAAAAAAAAAAGCACATATATATATATATATAAAAACATGAAACATTTTCAACTGCACACTGCGTGTTCATTTGTCCATGAGAAAAGATACATTTTTCTATAGAATATTTATATGCATTTTGTACATGGGATAATTTTACTTACATTATATATGCCTTTTTTTTTAAAAAAACTTTTTTAGGTTTAGAGATATATTGGCTCACTTGGGCCTATCACAAAAGAGCGCAAGGATATTATTTTTAGGTATCACTCCGCTTTTGTGTTCTTACATATGTGTATATATATGTATATATACACTGGTTTGTTATGTGAATGTAAAGTTTAATGCGAAATGGATATGACATTTTGTATGATTACAGCTGAACAATGCAACACATATAGTTGTATAGATTTAATGCAGAAAAACGAATGATGAGTAATAGAGGGGTAGTAAAACATGGTAGAGTATAATAAGGAGTGGGAGGATCTACTTTCACCATTCCACGTTTGCACCCATTGAAAAGTTTCAACAGTTTAAGCAGTTTCATAGGTTTATGCATTTTACTTGTGAGAGGGAATAGCGATGAAGCAGATGTAGACCCATTTATTCTTCCGAGACATCTCCACTTTTGCACTCGTTCATATTTCCATTCATCCACGTGTCTATTCATGCATTTACATCTGCACATTGTCATGTCCACTCCCTTTCCCCTCTTTGACTAGGTCTGGACAATGCTGGAAAAACAACACTGCTGCACATGCTAAAAGATGACAGAGTTGCGCAGCATGTTCCCACATTGCATCCACATTCGGAAGAATTAGTGGTAGGAAAAATAAGATTTAAAACTTTTGATTTGGGTGGACATGAAACAGCAAGGAGGATATGGAGAGACTATTTTGCAGCAGTAGATGCTGTAGTATTTATGATTGACACAACTGATAGGTCTAGATTTAGTGAAGCGAGAGAGGAATTAAAGCATCTTTTGGAAACAGAAGAATTAAGTAATGTTCCATTTGTGGTTTTGGGAAATAAAATTGATAAACCAGATGCAGCTAGTGAAGATGAATTAAGACAACATTTAAATTTATTTTCGAATTTAACAGTTCATAATGCGAAGGGAAATTCTGGAGTTAGACCAGTTGAGTTATTTATGTGTAGTGTCATAAGAAGGATGGGTTATGCAGCAGCTTTCAAATGGATATCACAGTTTTTAACATGATGTTTTTTTTTTTTTTTTTTTTTTTTTTGACATATAGGATCAGATTTGTGGAGACAGGTTAGGTGCTCCAAAAAAATTAGTAAAATATATACTATACAGTGTATCATCACACACATATTACACGCACACACACACACACACCCTTTGTTTGAAAGTGTATTTTTCTTGTATGTATATTTTTTTTTTTTTTTTTTACGTGTATTCTGTACATGTGTTTATACATGTTTTTATCCAAGTGTATATCTATATGTGCCCCTTCATGCATACAATCTGTGCTTTTTATTTTGAAACTACTTTGTTACATATTTATTTACATGTTCATTTATATGCACATCCATCCCATGTGTTTATGTGTACAGAAATGAAGGGTTTAAAATACAGTATGAAAAAAAAAAAAAAAAAAAAAAAAAAAAAGTTTTTTTTTTTTTTTTTTTTTTTTTTTTTTTTTTTTTTTTTTTTTTTTTTTTTTTTTTTTTTTTTTTTTTTTTTTAACAAAGAATCTTTGTCTAATTTATTTAAAAACGAAGAATATATTTCCAATTTGGGGTTTTATCTATATGTATACATATGTATATATATAAATACATATATATGTACACGTGCTTGTATAACGTGCAAAGCGCAAATATAAAAATTTTTGAATTGAATTGATTTTAAATTTTAATTTTTAACAAATGAAACAAGTTTTTAAGTGTGTAAAATTGCATAAACGATAAATGTAAAATGGAAAACGCCACCACCACAAAAACCCACGTGTACATGTATGTATACATATATTAGTGGATTATGTTTTGTTTCCAGATGGAGAAGTTTCCTCACAGGATGTGCAGACATAAGATAGTTACTGAGGATATGATGGAAAAGGGAACATGTCCTTTTAAGTGTGTGCAAGTGTGACAATAAAGGGATTATATATAAATGTATCTACAAAATGTGTCAAAAAATGGATGTACGGGTAAATATATCACACTACTACATTTGCAAATGCGTGAGTGGTAGAAATCATTCAAAATATAACTACATATGTTAAAGCATATATTTTACAGACATACATGCTATGCTTACGCATTTATGCGTGGACAAGGAATTAAGGAAATTTCAGGAAGAAACAAATAAGAATAAAAATGTTATATCTTTTTTATTTTTTTTTATTTTTTTGAGTAAGTAGGGGCGGAGGGGAGCTACAACAGGATGTAACAGCTAGCTAAACTAGCTATATATTTTTTTGATACATTTTGTCTTGAAAGAAAAAAAAAAAAAAAAAAAAAAAAAATATTTGTCCATAAGATATAACCTTTTTCTCCCTCTTTTAAACATTGCTATCATTTTTCTTTCTCATAAATAAAGAGTAAACTAGTTATGGAAAATAGCCTTTTTTCTGTTTTTAAGAGTTTTCATCATTTCCTGCACGAAAAAAAAAAAAAAAAAAAAAAAAAAAAATCCTTAACGTGTGAAATATATAAAAAAAAAATCTGAACGGTGCATGTGAATTAGAAGATATATCAAACACACACATATATATATGTATACACATTTGTGTTCGAATGTGTATGATACATTTCTTTCGCTTTTTTTTTTTTTTTTTTTTTTTTTTTTTTATATGAACAGAATTTGAAGAAGGTCAATTACCATGTAATCCTGCTTAGGCTCGTAACTTTGTGCGTCACTAGGCCACAATTTATAAAGTTTGTTCAGTAAAGAGTAGTCTATTTTATATCCACCTTTAAAACCACCTAGAGCTGCAGAATTATTTTGTCTTGTATCCCCTTGGTTTATATACTTATTCAAAGAGGTGCTCCCATCCTCCTCTGTTTGAATCCTCACCATATTAAAATATTCATGATATATATATTGGTGCATATCAAAATTTTTCAAATTATGAAATTCGACTGAGTTATAAATGTCTGATAATTTTTTGTTGTAAAATCCTATTACATGATTTTTAAAGCAGGTTATAGGTGTGCACTGAAAATTTTCTTCATTCACTTTTATTTCATTCTTCATATACTTTGGTATAGGAATATAGTACTCATTATGCATCATATGTTGAAAAGTTTTGTATGTAATGTCCTTACTAATGAAGAGCAGCTTTCGTTTTTTAAATCGGTCCAACAATTCATCGTAATTTGGCACAATGTCTTCCCCCCATTTGCTATTTTCTGTGAGCTTATCACTTTTGCTTTGTTCTTCACGGGTCATATCATTACCCCTGCTTTGTTCCTCGAAAATTTCATCATTACCCCTGCTTTGTTCCTCGTAAGTCTCATCATTACCCCTGCTTTGTTCCTCGTAAGTCTCATCATCACTTCTTCTTCCACTTCGCCTGGGATTAGTCACACGGATATCACAAACATGAGCATTATGTCGGAGCCTCACGAATGGATCTTCTTCCTCCCAGAGTGAATTCCAACAAGTGTGCCAATGCAATTGGAGTACAGATTTTCTATCATTTAAGTTTTTTTCATCCTCATTATTTTTATCTGGACACTCCTTTTCAGTTAAAGAATAGGGAGCATCCATTGTATGTGCACTTTTTTTGCCCTTTATATTCTTATAAATAAAAGGCACATGGTCATACAGGTAAAATTTTTTAATTTCATTCCTCACTACAATGTTGTTGTTGAAGAAGGATACAACATCAAAAAGAAATTCATATGAATTTATATATGTGTTGTATTGGAGTTTATTGTTCAAGTCATTGTCATATAGACAAAAACATATCGGTGCATCGTAAAAAAAAAAATTTTTTACAGGAATGCATTTGTTCAGTTCTTTGGGGATATTTGCACAAAGTTTCCTTATCCTCTTTTCATCCTTTCCATTTCTTATCCTCTTTTCATCCTTTCCATTTCTTATCCTCTTTTCATCCTTTCCATTTCTTATCCTCTTTTCATCCTTTCCATTTCTTATCCTCTTTTCATCCTTTCCATTTCTTATCCTCTTTTCATCCTTTCCATTTCTTATCCTCTTTGCTTTTTCTTTTTTTTTTTTTTTTTTTCCCCCTCCCTTATTTTTTTTTATCAATTCTGCTCTTTTCATGACATTTAATATGTAGTAAACCCCCATTGTGTTGTATATGCCGAATAGTTCTTTCATATTATATGCGTTTCTTAAAATTGATAAACTGTATATTCGTTTCTCCAATTCTTCCTTTTCTCGCGATAAATTCTTCATCTTTCTAGACCCTCCTTCTTTGCATAGTGTAGCTTCCTCATGGTTTATTAGTAGATCTTCAGGTGCAGGTTGTTCTGCATCATAGAAATTGTAGAATTCCTCTATTTTTTCTGTTACACTGTTTTGCATAAAAATTTGAACCGAGTTCATAAAACTTGAACTATTCCGTAATTCATCTTGTTGATAATCAACATATGCTTGATCCTGTTTACTTACATTTTGCAGTGTATCAAATGTATGAGTTTCATTTGAAGGCAAACAATTTATTTTATCAAACTCATGGTGGTAATTTTGATTAATTTCGGGGGAAAACTTTATCTGTATATCTCTTCTTTTACTACCATTGTTATGTCGTGATAAATCCTTCACTTCTTCATATTTGTGTGATATAATATTTCCATTTTTACACATTGTTGTTATTCCAGCTCGTCCAACAAAATTGATTAGCATTTTTTCTTTTTTGTTTACCATATTTAGAAGTAATTTTAAAAAATCAGAATTCGAGGGACGGTAAAAATCCTTAGCATAGTCCTTATCGATGTCTTTATGGGTACAGTATTCATCCCTTTCTTCCACATTTACATTTTCATTATACATATCGTTTGTCCTGTTGATATTTTCTCCCTTGGTTAACTTCGCCCGTTTTAAAATTCTACTTGGCTGGAAATTAGGAGAATAAGTTACATACGGATAACTGTCCTGTATAAATTTGTTTTTCATTTCATTGCTCAATCCATAAGCTGAATATTTCAAATCAGCCAATGTTTGTACATAGAAAAAATTATTAAAATGGAAGGTACAAAAGGAATATTTATTTTCTTTAAAAAATGCTCTGTTCAAATACTTTAAATTTACATAACTACAAGTGGGGGTTAAATTGGTTTGTATGACATCGTACTTAAATTCTTTCTTTATATTATATTTTGCAAATAGCTCATAAATATTATGTTTCGAACATAGTATCTCACTGTTTCGACATTGAGATGATATAACCTTTTTATTTTTTTTACTCTTCGCCTTCTTCCTGCAATCATTAATTACATTTTTTGAGGATTTTTTATCCACGTTTTTTATACATTTCTTCATGTATTCAATTATCAAATCTGCTTGTTTCTTTTCATGTCTGCATGTATGTCCACATCTTCCAACAAGTCCAATTCTACCACCTTTGTCGACCTTTCCTTCTTTAGATGTGAATATTGTTTTCAATTTTCTCCCCCTTGCCTGTTCAGGTAAATCTTTTTCTTCTTCTACAGATGGGTAGACAAATTCGCCAGAGGATATTCCATCTGCCGAGGCAGCCACATTCGCAGCATCTACCTGGTCAGCCACATTCGCAGCATCTACCTGGTCAGCCACATTCGCAGCATCTACCGGGTCAGCCACTTCTGAACTTACGTTTTGACTAGCCCTTTTTTCACTTTGGTCATATGGTCCACTTCTGTCGCAATTGGAAATGGGATCATTTAAGACATGCCTTCCGTTTTTTTCAACTGCCTGTGATGAACATTTAACCTCAGAGGGAAATTTATCAAAGATAGGATCATCTCTCATCATAATTTTGGACTGATCTAACAAAGTGGAGAAATTTCCTTCCCCTTCTTGCGTATGGAAGGTTGATCTTGAGAGAGGAAATGTTGCAGGTAAATAGCTATCACAGTGTGTGCTTGTAGAATTTTTTATATCTTTTATTTCTTTTGTTTCATACTGAACACGGTAAGGCATTCCATACAAATCTACATTTGGTGAGGAATTAAATGTAAGTAGTTCTTCTTCCATCTGAAGACATCTCCTAATTTTGAAAGCAAGATTTTTACTTAAGTGGAAATTTTTCAAAGTTCCTATTTTTATGGCATTTTTATTATTCTGAACAATCAGAACTTTATCTCGATACATTAGTTTAAATATATGGGATAAAAATTCATAAGTGACATTGGCAAATGGCGACCTCGTATTCTTTAGCATGTCGCAGTTATCTTTATTTAGATCTAAAAGACTATTCGATTTTATAGCCTTAGGAATAGTAGTACCACCAAAATTGTCTTCTCCATCTTGTTCTGTACCCATAATGGATTCATTTTGTTGGTGATCATTTTTTTTTCTTCTTCTTTTTTCTTCGTCTTTATCTTCATCTTCTCGACGTTTAACATCATTTGACACAAGTCCTTCCAATTCCTCAAAATTAAGAATGTTAAATTCTTCATCCTCTGGATCATCTTTGTAGTCATGTGGACTTTCATATAATACCGGTACATTATCAGAATTAGGTTGTTCTTCCCAATTTTCTCCCAGCTCTTTCTCACATTGATTTTGGAACATGTTTATTTCTTGTTGCTCCATTTTACCATCATCTGGTTTTGCTCCACCACCCGATCTTTCTCCATCACTCACCCTTGCTTCATCACTCGCCCTTGCTTCATCAATGGTTACATTTTGAACTATATCTACAAGCATTCCAAGTAACGAATATGCATTCTCATTTCGATATGTTCTTGTTGTGTAGGATTTATTTATGGGTATCCAGTCCTTAAAATATTTCTGGTCTATGTTCTTTACACACAGATTAAGAGGAGTGCAAAAAATTTGTCCGGCAGAATTAATGTGCAAGACGAATTGAACATAATCAAATTTTATTCCTACAATTTCTTGTCTCTTATGAAAAAATTCCTTCCTTTTTTTCTTTATAAAATATTTCAATGTTTTTGTACTTTTTTCATCAAAATAGTAATGTTTTTCCAGATGAGTGTTGAGAAGGTCTCCTTCCCTTCTTCTCCCAGCGCATTGTTCCTTTTCGTATGATTTTTCTTCATTTTGTTTGTTACAATATAAAACTGGGATACATAACTGTATAAATTTCATTCCATATAATCCAAAAAATAAATTATACATATTTGTGTTTATCGAATTGTACTTTCCACTGTCTGTTATCAGCTTTATGGATTCTGTTTTGTTCTTTTGCATTGAATTGAATTTTGACATGTCTAAAACCATTGAATCCTGTACGAACATTTTCACTGTTTTGTAGCTAAATATGTGATTAAACGATATGTCTTTTCGTATGTACATCTCGTTTGCATGTAACTCCTTTTCAACATCTTCTTTTTCTCTAACCGTCTTAGATTCACCAATCAGTTGTCTATCTTGTATCTGGTTATTTTCTCCTACCATAGTTTGATTTTTCTCATTCGGTAGAAATACAGAATTCTTAAAGTCAGCATTCCTTTCTTCAGCTGCGAACGAACCCAAAATGGATTCATCATGTTCTTTTTTTACCTCACTACTAGAGGAGGGAATGGGTTCTGGCACATCGACAGATGTAAAAGGATTATAACTATGAATGCTGATCTTGTGTTCATCTGTTATGTTAACATCCTGTACATTTTCTGATCCGACCTTAAAAATGTAATTATAAGCATAAGATGAAGACTCATTCGTGTATGTCTGCATACCTAAATCTTTGTATGTCGTAAAATTATCATAAATTAAAATTTTTCTAATGTACACAAAATGTTCATAGTAAGAAAATGTAACTAAATTGTATGCAGTCTTCTGTTCATATTGATTTTTTCCATTTGGATTTATACTAATCCATTCAATGTGTCTAAAATGTGATTCTGAAAATTCAGAAATATTCAATGGAAAAATAAATAATGGTTCATATTGACTTCGTATATCCCACAGTTCTATAACATTGAAACCTGAATTAACAGATGCAATAATGAAAGGAAAATCTGGATTTTTTTCTATAGCTGTATAACCTCTATTAAAGTGAGATCTAGTATTATCTTCATGATAAACATTCATGCCATTTTCTTTCAATTGTGGTGGCATTTCTTTTAAATATAATTCACGTGCACTCTGTCCAATTTTTTTTTTTTTCACTTTTCTAACACCAGAGTTACTGATGTTAAATTTAGACATTACCTTTTCTCTCTTATCAAAAATATACATATTTCGACAACCTAACAAAATAGTGTTGTCATCATGTAAATAACATAAGCATAAAGCTGTGTCGTTCTTTTTGAATATACTTCCTCTCTTTTTCAAATCAAGAATTTCTATTAAGTTTGTATTCATGTCATATGAATATATGCAATTATAATTTCCCAATATGCTGCATTTTCCATATGACCATGCGCTTGGGCAAATTTGTAAAAGTCGATCAAACAATTGAATATCTTTGAGTATTCTTATTTTGTAATTCAGAACGTGGAACGTATCGTCCTCTCTTTGATTTGCATAATTCATATTCATGTTAGTTTCTTCGCTCCTATGATGCAACTGCTTTGTCCAATCAGTATGCTTGTCACTTTTGCAACACATCATACCACATGTGGTGCATTCCTCATTCAACATTACATCTGCATAGAACCTATTTCCTGTTTGGCTAATCCCTCTAGCTCGTTGATTCCAATCCCAGTTAAATATTTCCCCCGAGGCATACTCCACTTTACAAATAAACAAGCCTACATCATTCCTAGCATATACTATAGATTCATTAATGTTGTTGTTATCAGTTTTTATTTCTTTTATCTTCAGATATTTACTAACAACAATGGATTCTTTTTGATACACTTCTGTAAAATTTCTATTTAGCTTATACAAGAGATGATTATTTTCAAGCTTATAAATATTTTTGTAAAGCCGATTCTTGTTGTATTCCTTGGCTAATTTTATTTTCTCTGCATATTTATAATATGTAGGTAATAATCCCCTTTCATTTGCATCATAATTTCCCGTAGACAAATTCGCAGGCACAATGGTAATCTCGTTGTTGAAGTTTAATTTGAGATTCATGGGAAGGTATTCACTGTTTCCCGTGTATCTGTCACCATTTGGGGCATTGTATCTGTCACTATTTTTGGCATTGAATCTGTCACTATTTTTGGCATTGAATCTGTCACTATTTTTGGCACTGAATCTGCTTGGATACTGGGGGAGAGAGGCTCCTTCTTGTGTGCTACCATTTTCATACACGCTGTCATCATCATACACATACTCATCTATTTGAACCTCCATCAGCTTTATTTCGTTGTTATAGAACCCACCTGGCATCACTAAAACGGGACACTTGATATTGAAATTCAAATCGTAAGTATATCTGTTATCTAGGTGCATGTTTTTATCAATGTAAAATATGGAGAGTGTATTAACTACATCTAGTGATGCACGAACTTTGATGTTATCATGTCGTATTTCTTTTTCATACGTACGAGAATTCTGCAAAAATTCATAGCAACTTTTAGTGGCCCTTTTCCTAAGGATGCTCAAGTGCTTATTCGTATGGTTTCTATTACCTACCTTCCCATTATTGCAATTGAAACAATTCTCTTCTTTCTTGCACATATTCTTATCAATAAATGAGCTCTTCTTCCTCCCCTTGCCATTCGAACCCGTATGGTTCCTTTTTTCATCTAGCAAATCACGTTTTTTCACCACTCCACCAGTTCTGTCTTCATAGTCCAGAAACACATTCACCAAATCGTCAGCGGCATCGTCAGCAGCATCGTCAGCAGCATCGTCAGCGGCATCGTCAGCGGCATCGTCAGCGGCATCGTCAGCGGCATCGTCAGCAGCATCGTCAGCGGCATCGTCAGCAGCATCGTCAGCAGCATCGTCAGCAGCATCCACATCAACATCCATATCAACATCATCATCCGCATCAACATCCATATCAACATCCACATCAGCATCGTCTTCCAAGTTCTGCCTTTCATTTTTTCCATCCTTATCTTGCTTCTGTTGTGTGGATAATCCCACCACGTGATATACCTTATCGTTCGCGTGAAAATTTTTAATTTCGTTTAATATGTTAGAATTTAGAGAATCATATATCATATGGGGTGTTTCCACAGGCCTACAATTCAAAGAATGCAATTTGATTCGACCTTCTCCCTCTTTCTCGTGTTCTTCTAATTTAAGTGGTTTCAATGTTACACCTATTGTGTTGGGTTGACCATAAATCTTGATTTTCTGTAATGGGTAGAAGTATATGTTCAGTTTTTCTTCCATTTCTGTATGTGTTTTTAAAAATACAGGTATTATTATGTGTATATGTCACATGTATTCTCATGAGGAAAAGATTTATTAGAGTCATGAATCTTTTTTTTAATGTGCTCCTTTAGCACCTTCCCATCTGTTTGGTGGACTACTTTGCGTTTTTAACTCGGTTCCCAAATATTAAAAATGGACATATATATATATACATACATACATACGTAAGAACATAATTTATCCCTAAATGGTGCATAGTGTCTGCCTCCCCTTGCCCAAGTGTTCTAACACACACACAAAAAAGATTTTTTTTTTTTTTTTTTTTTTTCCCCACGCCACCTTTTCTATATTGAGCAACAAGCAGCTAAAACTCTGTTTAGATTGTTCTCCCTATTTTTTTTTTTTTTTTTTTCATCATATTATTATTACATGACGAAAAAGTAAGAAATAAATTTTTCAATAATTTAAAAGGAATATTTTCATTTTATTTATTTCTTATTATTTTGTTATTTTCAACATGGTTTATGCTTAATATGCTTTAAACTGGTTCTTTTCTTTCTTAAAAAGGTTCTTTCCGTTTTAAAAAATGTTCTTAAATTATTACAAAAAGGGGAAAAAAAAAAAAAAAGATAGCATTTTTATTTCATTTTATCTGAACGTTCAGGTGCTTATGCCCCAAGGAAATGCATATGCTGAGGCAAATAAAAAAAAAAATAAAAATAAAATGTATAGTATAAAATAAAACCACATCAGAAAAAGGGAGAAAAAAAGAAACAAAAATTAAATAAAATCAAGGATATAGAAGAAAAAAAAAAAAAGAAAAGAACGGTTCTACCGAAAATGTACATTTCTAATAATATAAATGAGAAACATATCTGAAGAGGGAAAAGTATATATCTATATGAATGTAATATCTATATAAAATATATGTATTCATTCGTGTTATTTCAGGATTTTTAGAAAAAGCTACCCAAAATTGTTGTGTACAGATACAAATTGCAAACAAACCTTCAAGTGTTTTTTTTTTTTTTTTTTTTTTTTTTTAGGAACTCCAATTAAATAAATAAGAAAAAAGGTACGATGAAGTAGGACATGTATTTTTAAAAAGATTTACACATGCTTGAAAATATAAATCAGTCCCATTTTTTGTCCATGTTATTAAAAAAAAAAAAAAAAAAAAAGGATTTTGTGGCATATTTCATTTGTTCTTATAACATGTGTGTAATGAGAAAAATAATGTACAACATCAAATTCCTATTGTCCAAACATTTTTTTTTTTTTTTTTTTTTTTTTTTTAAGAAATACTTTAAATGCTCATTTGATTTTTGGTGTTCTTTGGACATTCAAATTGAAACTACCAACCAGCTTATGATAAGAGACCAAAATGGTTTGTATAGCGCCTTTCTAAAATGGGAAATTTATAACCGACATGAATGTGGAAAGTCGAAATCACTTAGGGGCTTATGAATTCGCTAATTTAAAAAAATAAAATAATAAAATAAAATAATAAAACAAAAAAGAAAAATTGCATAGGGAAAATATGACCACGTCTTTAGCGTAAATATAAACTTTTCTTTCATATTGCATTACGAATGACTTTTGTGCAAGCAGCATAGAGTTACATGTGAGGGGAAAAGACAAGGTTTAAAAGATATTTTCCCCTGAACATGCTTTATTCGTGGAAATTCTTTTTTTTTTTTTATTTTCCTTCATTATGATAAAATCACGATTGGGAAAATGTTAAGAGGATAATTCCTTTGTTTCTTCTCCCTCTATCTACCCCTTTCCTTGATTTCTTTGAACTTTCTCTGAGATAATAAAATTGGCCATACAAATCATTCACTCATGTGTTGAAGTCATTACTTGTTGATTTTATTTTATCCTATTTTTACTAAATCGTAAAACGAAAAGAAAATTGACGCGTACCCTGAAGATGGGAATTTGGGTAATAATCATGAGAAATGACATAAATATGAACATGTTCATACATAAACTTGTATATGTATAATCGCATATTAACTATGCAAATGTATATATATATATATATATATATATATATATAAATATATATTGATACATGAGCAATTTTTAATCCCAACTAGCCATGGATGTAACTTTTATTATTGATTTGAACCAAAGGGTTATATAAGGTAAGATGGGGAAAAATAAAACGAGGTTATCCTTTTAATTGTACACCTTTTGATAATTCAGAAAAAATAATTTTTCATCTGCATGTTTTGAGCAAATTTGATTTTTATTAGACATGAAAGACAACCCCAAAATGGCCTCCATCAAAATATAATATGCTTATCCTACAAATGTGATGTTACTAATGTGTAGGTTTTTTTTTTTTTTTTTTTTTTTTTTTACTTTTATTGTAGTGAACATTTTTTTTTGAGCAGGTAGGAAAAAAAAAAAAAAAAAAAAAAAAAAAAAAAAAAAAAAACCTACACATTAGTAACTTCGTAGGGCTATTTTCTCACTCTTTAAATTTTGAAAATGTCGAAATTTTGCTATAATAAAACAATTTTCAATGATAAAGAAAATTTTTTTACAAATGTGTTAGTGTAATTGTATGTGTGTAAGAAAGTACGTATATATATGTACATACATGTAACATACACATATTTAGGAGCACATTTCTTGGATTTATAAATTTTTTCATCTTACAAGCACACACATTTATGTTATTCTTCTCATAAATCTGTGAGGTTATTTCCATAAAGAAATTGCACACAAATTGGCTATTCCACATGTGCCAAAGGGAAAAAAAAAAAAAAGGAGAAGGAGAAGGAAAATATAAGATTTGTCCATAGAAAAGACTACTTCAAATTTTAAAACGAACGATAATGAGTTTTTCATGTGTTTTTCTTTTTTTCTTTATGTGGATACTTGCCACATTAGTGGGATATGACCAACCTGGATTATTGTTCAGACTTGTGAAATGTAATATTCGTGTTACTAAGAATAAGAAGAGAAGACAGAAGACGGGCGATAGGTTCATGTCACAGGATCTTGGGGGATATGAGCAAAATGAAGTAGACAAATTTAGCGTAATCGAAAAGGAAAATGAACTAGGCCAAATCGAAGAGGAAAATGAACTAGGCCAAATCGAAGAGGAAAATGAACAAAGCCAAATCGAAGAGGAAAATGAACAAAGCCAAATCGAAAAGGAAAATGAAATAATGAGAAATAATATCCTAAGAGAAGAAGTTCTAAGTGATATTTCACCACACACTGTGGATATGCTATTTTCACAAAATGGGAATATAGACAATTCCTCATTTGACACGGTTTCAAATCAGTATACGTTTTTTGAAACACCTAATGATAGGTTAGTCAATCAAAAGGATTCTTTAAGTACACTAGGTAAGTGTGTGAATATATTTTTTTTTTTTTTTTTTTGTTGACACCTGACAAGAACAGAGAGGGGGGAGCGAAAGGGTTTTACACATACACATGCATATACATACGAGAATGTGTTCATACGTGTTGGTTCTTGTATGTACTACCATGTCTACTTGCATGCACACATATTCTGACATATGAGATTCTTCTGAAAAGGAGGGCATAATGGCCGTATCATCTGTAAAAAAATAAATTAGTAAATATATATATTTCACATTCGGATTGAAACCATGGATATATGTTCATAACTTCTATCTATAGGTCAACAAAATTTACTACAAAATAAGCAGAATTGGAATCAAATGCCTGATATAGCTATTTCCTGCAGAGAAACCGGATGCCCTCAATCCTATAAGATGTGTGTACCGTTCTTTTATGATTCTGCTAATTTCCAAGGAAAAAGGCTTTTGGAAATAATTCATAACTCCGATGAACTTGTAAAAAATGGACTAAAGTTTGCAAACCAAAATATTATAGATGATGAAAGAAAATACATTCTTTTATATTCTTGTATTTGTAAAAAGTACACCCCAGATGGTTTATGTGATCAATCCGTTGAATGAATAGAATTTTTAGCTCCATTATATTCCAAAATGAAGAAAAAAAAAAAAAAAAAAAAAAACAATATAATCTCAGCAAAAAATGGTGCGTGATCGAGGAAGCATGATCATCCTTAATCCTTCCATTTTTTTTTTTTTTTTTATTTCTCATTTGAACGGAATACTTTCCATCTTTGTGGAGGTTTTTAATATTGAGTGTTCATTGGTTACACACCCCTTATCAATTTTGTTCGTAGTAAAAATGCTTTGTGTGAGCTCTTACTTATATTCCTGTTTGCACTTGCGTAAGTTTGATCCACAAATACTTTTTTCTCCTCACAGAATAAATGGTGAAAGATTATGCACACGAATCTATCGCTTACTTAAGGAACCTCCACTTGGTTCAGCTCATCTAGGTGAAAATCAATTTCACACACATGCATGTGCATGAAACTTTGCACATGGACGTGTCCACATATGTACTTTATGCTGATGTGTATATGTGCATACATATAAATATGCATATGGATATGTATAGGTATATATAAATATAGATAGATATATAATTTTTTTCTTTTACCTTCTCTTTTTTCTCCTCTTTTTTCTCCTTTTTTTCCTCCTTTTTTTTTTTTCTTTTGTACCCCCTTTGTGGGCGCTTCTGCACATGTTTGAACAACTTGAAAGAACAAGGGAAAAAAAGTGCTTTAAATTCCACTTTGAAAATGTGGAAATGGTTGAGCCAAGGTTGTGGAAATTCTAACGGGTGTTCATCCACATGGAGATTTAAAAAATGATAGATGCAAAACTTACAAATGTATAGTTGCAAGATGTATAACTAATGATGTAAAAAAAAAAAAATGAATACGCAAAAATGGGAAAATCTTTTATGAAGAATACAATGTTGTGAGGATGCCATTTCGGTTAAGATGTTAACACAAAAAAAAGAAAGGGAGAAACGGAGAAAGAAAGAAGAACCGAAAAAAAAAATCTGTAATAAGCTGATACAGAACCAAAACTTGGGAAGTTAAAAAGCACGTAAAGGACACACCCAGTTTGATGAAAAGAGAAAATGTTGCTATGAGACACACTCAAAAAAGCACGCATTAATCCTATAACATTTGGGAAACGCACACATTAACTGGGTTGTTATATATACATGTTTGCATAAAAAAATTGCACCTCAAAAATTTTGACGCATGAAGTAAGGCTTTCCTCTGTTCAGGTCCAACATAGATAAACGAATTATATATCTTATGCTTCTAAGTTGCTTATAGTTCTCAAAATGTATTTACCTGGAAATGCAAAAGGGGAGAGGGAGGGTGTGGGAGTGAAGCGCATGTGTTATACATATGTATAATTATATAGATGTAAATATGTAATATCGTCAGAATTATTCTTCTCTCATTTGAAAAAAAAAAAAAAAATATAAATAATAAAATAAAATAAAACAAAGGTTCTTTGCAGGTACATTTCTACCTCTTAAGACATGTGCTCGCGAAAAAAAAAAAAAAAAAAACTAAAAAAGAGAGTAAGAAGAAAAAGAACTTACCATACGTTTCTTCTTTCAACTTGTCAACATTTTCAACAATCATCTTAACAATTAAATTTCTTTCTTTTTGTCTACACGTGGTCAAAAGTTTCTGCATCATGAAATTTCCGTAACAGTCTTTGCAAATATTTATGATGTTATCATTCCTGTGGAGGATGTGCAATGAGGGGGTAGAAAAAAAAAAAAAAAAAAAAAAAAAAAAATGAACCAAAATGAACCAAAATAAACCAAAATGAACCAAAATGAACCAAAATGAACCAAAATTTGTTTATTCACGTATTTGTCATGTTCACATATTCATTTATTTATTTTTCCAAATGCCAAAATGAAACAAGTCTACATCCATCAACATCTTTCCCAAATCTCAAACTCAGCAATGCTGCGCTAAGCCACTTACCCGTTCGAAATGTCATTCACAATTTTCTTGATAATTTTCTTCTTATACTTGTATTCCTTTTTTAGTAAAATTTTCTCTATTATGTTGCTGCAGTGAAGGGGAAAAGAGGGGAGAGGAAAAAAAAAAAAAAAAAAAAAAAAAATGTTTACTTGGTGGCAGTATATATATGTCTAGTTCACCATCACGGTTTGCATCTGGGTAGAAGGGAAAAACGTTGTTCATATAGACACCCGTTTATGGAACCCTCTACACACCCGCTTATATACACCCATTCTCACCATGCATACTTGTGAGACGACAATTTGTAAATGTCGCTCACAATTTCATCAGTAATGATGAATCTGATTGTATCGTCAGAATATTCGAAACATTTTTGGATGACGTAATTTCCATATCTGTTTTTTATCAAGTGAATTTTTTTAATTATTTTTTCATTTAATCTTTTAATTTGGTGAGCATTTCCAACTTCATAAATGCGTTGAACGATTCGACATCCATATGAATGGGAACTTAAAAAAGGTAAATATTCTTCAATGATGGTTATAATAGTATCTATATTCCTAGATGGTAAGACTTCAATACACTTTTGTATTACATGATTTCCATTTTGATGGCAGATGTATGTAATTAAATCATTTTGTAATTCTTTAAAAATTTTGCATTTATATTCATCACATAAGGATTCTAACGATTTCTGAATTAGTCTACATCCATATGTGTGCAATGTTAAAAAACTTGTATGTCTCAGAAATTCATCCGTAAATCTTTTCTTGTAATTTTCATCCTTTAAATCGAACACGCTCTGTGCTACATAACTTCCATACACATCTGGACATAATGATCTTGCATCTAGTAGGAGTGAATCTAATATTATTCTCTTTTCTTCTGTGTCTTCATTTACTTTTAGTTTCTTTATAACATATTCGCACCCATTTTTATGGAAACATAGAAAGAGAATGTCATTCATTACTTGCTTCATATCTACCTCTTCACCTTCTCTTTTCCCTACCTCAATTGGGGGTTGTCCTTGATCCCATTTTTCTTCCTTCAAAAAAGGGGTTCTACAAATAGCTTTTTCACCCCATCTTTCTTCGCTACCCAATGAGTAACCACGCTCTTTTGAATCCACTCCTTCTATGTTCCGTTCTATGAGATTTACTTCTTCAGTATTTCCTTGTGATACCTTTCCATTTGATACGACTCCAGTTAGTGAGCCCTCAATTGGTGAGCCTCCATTTGGTGCAAGGGTTGAATCCAAGATGTGCTCTTCATCAGGTACAAGCTTTTCCAAATTTTTTTCTTCTACACAACACTCCAATTGGTACGGTTTAGTCATATGCTCTTCTCCTCTTTCGTCATTTTCAACCAAAAATGAGAAATGTTCCTGCATGCATGCTGTAGAAAGGTTAATCATCTTTCTGTTGGTAGATTTATATAATCTGTCATAAGCAGTAGAATAAGAATTCAGTTTTCTCAAATAATTAAATTGGTCTTTTAAAGGGAAATCAATCATCGAATTAATTAAGTCATCATTCAAAAGGGGTTCATTAAGATACTCAGAATCCATCCTCTCGTAGAGTACAAAAAAAAAGAGAGGAAAGAAAAGAAAAAAAAAAAAAAAAAAAAAAGCAAACACGGGGCAAAACAGAGAAAAAACACAAGGCAAAAAAGAGGAAAGCACAGAGCAAAACAAAGCAAAACAAAGCAAAACAAAAAAAAAGAAACTACTTTTCATGTACACAAAATTGGACTAACAATTCAGATTAAACCTGAAACTAGAAAGAAGTGTAAAAAGCAGGTCAGTTGATGTGACCAGGTGGACAATATCTCTTGAGTTTACTCCTCCCAAAGTAAAAATTCACACTTGCATGTGTGTGTACATATATATAAGTGTGTATATATAGATCGAGAGACAACTGTCTGCATAGTTCTACTTGAATATTTTCATTGTTGTAGGGTCATATTCTCATTGTGTGTGCAGTGTGAAAAGCAATCAACAGGTCGTGGGACGAGGAGAAAAAAAAAAAAAAAAAACATTCAACATGACAAAAGGGTGATATGTGAGATGGGCAATGTGTCAGATGGGGAAAGTGTCAAATAGGGAAAGTGTCAAATAGGGAAAGTGCCATATGGATAAACAAAATGTATAGTTATACATACCTCCCCCTCCAGCATATACTCTTAAAAAAAAAACTTTTTAAAGGAAATTAACTTTTAAGCAATGATATTGAGAAACCTTTCAATTATATTTCAACATTTGTTATTCGTTGACAATGCGTAGCATAATGCAAAGTGGCAATTGGATACATGCACATGTGTTTACTTTCTGTATAAGTACATATATGTATATTTATATATATGTATATTCATATATATGTATATTTATATATATGTGTATTTATATATATATGTGTATTTATATATATATGTGTATTTATATATATGTGTATTTATATATATATGTGTATTTATATATATATGTGTATATATGTTATGTATATGTATACATCCGTTCGCACATCCAAACGAATGAACACTTTACTCCTATAAATAAATTACTTTGCCCACAGGTTCGAAGAAAAAACAACATGAAGAAAGAGTAACTTTTGAGACACATCTGACATTTTCTTTTGTCAAAAGGGCATGCAATATTTCTTTTTTTTTTTTTTTTTTTTTTTTTTTTTTTTTGCTCTTGTTATTTTTGCTTCATTTTGATATCTTTCCAACAATTTAATGATTTTTTGTCAATGTTTTTATATCTCACCAGCATTTTGATTATTTTTTGTCTACATTTTGATGTATTTTTTCCACTTTTTGGTGGCACTTTTTTTTTCACCTGGAAAGAGTAAATTGACCCCCTCGTTCACCTCTTCACAATTTCAATGTGCAGAGAAAATGACATGGACGACAGAGAGAAAAGGGACTTTACTGCTGCTTCTCCTGATAACATCAACTTTCTCGTTTTGGATTAATCGCATGCACAAAAAAAAAAAAAAAAAAAAAAAAAAAAGCAAAACAAAACAATGCATCCCATGTATTGATTTCCCTTTCTTGCTCTATAAGCACATTTTCAGGATCAGTTTTTCGAAAGGGAAGAAAACAGGAACAAATGTTGTGCTGAAAAAATCTCTTTGAATGAACTCTATCAGAATAAGTATATGTTCAGTGATTTACCATTTAAAAGGAGGCAGTTTTTTTTTTTTTTTTTTTTTTTTTCCGTCTTTCTTTTTCAATTTTCTTTCTGTTACACTTTTGTTGCATTTCTGCCTTTTTTTCCATTCCTTTTCTATTTTTTTTTTTTTTTTTTTTTTTTTTTTCTTCTTCCCCCCTCTCCCATTTCTGAATCGCAACCCTGTCAATAGGAAGTTGCCACCAGATGACCTCCTTTTCTTGTGAACATAATTTTTTTTTTTTTTTTCTCATTTTTCAATTTCAAAAATAAATGTGCATATTGGGCTGTGGAATAGGTGAAAATAAAAGAAAATAAAACGAAGAAAAGAAAGCAAAATGAGGAGAAGGAAAAATATGGCTCGATTTCTCATTGATTGGAAGTGCTTCCTATTTTTGCTCTGATCTTACGTGAATTTACAAATGTGTATGTCGTGTTCATATGTCAATTCATTAACTCTGACATTTACCCTTCATGTTGTGTATAACACATGTAAATTATATAATTCATGGAAAGTATAAAACATAAACAATTCCCTTTTATTTTATAACTTATCCCCACGACAATGAATCCACTAGTTCGGGTTATGTCCCCCCACCCCCGCTCTTCCCCTTTTACATTTTTATTTTGTACATTATCTTACTCCAATTATTTTTTGCTCCACCTCTTTTTTCCGTCTTGGATCCTCAAACTCAGGCTCATAACATGGTTCCCTTTTTTTTTTTTTTTTTATGCAAAAATGTGTATGCATCGAGAGGGAAATTAAAACAGGAGCACGCTTCATGTTGAAGTTGGCACTTCCAGTTAACGTCCATGCTTCAAGCTAAAGTTGGAACTGTCATTGAATTTTTTTTTTTTTTTTTTTTTTTTTCCTTTAAATTTTTTGGAAATAAATAAGGGAAAAAATCCACTAATAATGTTATGAAGTTTTGTCTAAGGGGGTACAAAATTTTTTTTTGAAACACTCTTTCCCTTTCATCACTGTATCAAGTTCCTATATCTACACTCTTCAAAAGAGAGAACCGAGGGGTGAAGGTCAACACTCGATTCCTTTCATATAAATGTGAAAAAAATAAGTATCTTAAGGGAAGACAAGAAAAGAAAACCTTTAAAAAAATATATATAAATGGGCACAACAACAAAAAAGGGAAGTATTCAAAATGGATTAAATAATACACCCAATTTTATAACTCTCCTCTTTCTCTTTCTTTGTGAGATCCTATTTTTTCGTTATTTTCCACTAATTTATAGAGATTACACAAACATACACACCTTTTTCACCCATAGTGTATGTTTGAAGCTGATCATGGGTTATGGCTCTTATATTGTGCTTTGTATAACCTTAGCTTTTAACATACCTTTTCATATCTTTCTTAAGAAACTAGTTCATTAGAGGAAGTATAAAAAAAATACACACTTTGCAATACGGCACATCATGCTAATTGTTTAATAAACAGTACATGGAAAAAAAAAAAAAAAAAAAAAAAAAAAAAAAAAAAAAAAAAAAAAAAAAAAAAGAGAGTTAGCGAGCGAATGGACTATAGGGATATAATGCATGTGCAGAAAAAGGTGCAAATTGGCAAAAAAAAAAAAAAAAAAAACCATAAATATCGTCAAATAAACACTTTGATATATTCGTCAAGTTCTCATGAGGAATGTTCCTTTTTTTTTTTTTTTTTAAACACATAAACCCAAAAAAGCACTTTTTAGAATTTATGTTCACTCCCCTTTCAGACCCTTGCATTGAAAAAAAAAATAAAATATAAAAATACACAATTTTAGTAAATTTTCACGTTTAACACATTTACAATTTTGCATTTTTGACATGAACCAGAAAACACCCCGTTTTTTTTTTTTTTTTTGATGATTATTCTTTTCATTGCACTTTACCATCATAATTGGAAAGTATGATATTGCTATCTTCCACAAACAAACAAACAGAATAATAAGCATACAGACGTAATCATTGGCACGAGGCGAAAGCACCGAAAAATGGTCTACACTTATGTGCATATATATACATATACATGTGTACCACTTTCGAATTAATAATGTAAATCATTGCCATGTAGTAACCTCTCTTGATTTGGACAAATTCACTTCATTGCAGCTGGAAAAATCCATAAACATTTTTATTAACGTCAAACGTAATCTCATTAAGTAAAAAGTTCAATGAAGGGGGGGGGGAAAGGTAACGAGACGTCTGACAATTTTGAGAAGTAAATTATTTCCTCATTTAAATGAATGACAGAAAGTGAAATCCGAAGATTCGTACATGCTACTCCTTTAGACTGCACGTTTTAATTGGACATTGTTTACAGTCACTTTTTTTTTTTTTTTTTTTTTTTTTTGTTTGTCCTTTCCTATGTGTCGAAATTGCATTGTTTGTGATATATCTCCCCTTTGCTTTGTATTCCAATCTGACATTTTACCCATGCACATATATGCAAAAAAGTGGGTACTGAAAAAGAGTTAAAGTAAAAATATAATAAAAGAGGTGTAAGCATAAATACTGCCTCAGAGCAAAAACTACACAATTGTAAGAAACGCAGAAAGTATTGATCCATCCTAAAATCGATGAAGGACCTTTCAGATATTTTCGATATTTATGCGATCTGTGCATGCTGTAAGGTTTCTGCCCCCCCTAATGAAGCAAAAAAAAAAAATGAGGTCTTCAGCGATAGAACATTTAAGGGAATTGGGAACAATGGGACATTGCCATGGAAGTGCAATACAATCGACATGAAGTACTTCAGCTCAGTCACAACCTATGTGGATGAATCCAAGTATGTGAATATGAAAAGGAAGAGAGAAAGGTACCTTCAAAAGGAAGCATCCACTGTTGCTATGGAGGATGGTAACAATAGCAGTAATGACATTTGGAATGATAAGAAGACATTCGATTTTCAGATGCAACTGCAAAACATTGTCGTCATGGGGAGAAGCAGCTGGGATAGTATCCCAAAGCAGTTCAAGCCATTGCCAAACCGAATTAATGTTGTTTTGTCTAAGACATTAAAATATGAACATGTTCAGGAAAAAATTTACATAATTAGTAGTATAGATGAACTTCTGCTGCTTTTAAGGAAACTCAATTATTATAAATGTTTCATAATTGGAGGTGCACAAGTATACAAAGAATGTTTAAATCGAAATATAATTAAGCAAATTTATTTCACAAGAATCAACAACTCCTATGAGTGTAATGTTTTATTTCCAGATATTGACAGAGAGAAGTTTCGAGTAACATCCGTTAGTGAGGTATACAACTGCAAGGGGACAACTCTAGATTTTGTGATTTACAGCAAGGTTGAAGGAAGCAATAACAAAATTGCTATTCATGGGGGTTCTGCCAGTAGCAATGGGGAACGTTGTAAGATACCCAGTTGTGGCAGTGAGAAGTGCAACAAACTTAGTCATTCTGAATTGACCAAGGGGAAGTGGCACGAATGGCGTAAAAAAGGAAACAATGGCGATGAGGAAGCGAGTGGAGATTGTGATGGTAATGGAGGTAGCGATGACGACTGTGATGAGGAGTGGGATGATGATGATGATGTGTACTTTCGCTTTAACAAGAAGGCGGGAGAGAAGAATACAGAGCATCTAAATGACTTTGAAATTTATAAGAGCCTGAAAATTAAAGAGCACCCGGAGTACCAATACTTAAGCATTATTTATGATGTTATTATGAATGGAAACAAACAAGGGGATAGAACAGGCGTGGGAGTTTTGAGCAAATTTGGGTATATGATGAAATTCAATTTAAACGAATATTTTCCCTTACTGACAACAAAGAAATTATTTCTAAGAGGAATAATTGAAGAATTATTATGGTTCATTCGAGGAGAAACAAATGGAAATACACTTTTAAATAAAAACGTAAGAATATGGGAAGCAAATGGAACGAGGGAATTTTTGGATAATAGAAAATTATTTGATAGAGAAGTAAATGATTTAGGGCCTATTTATGGTTTTCAGTGGAGACACTTTGGTGCTGAATATACAAATATGCATGATAATTATAAAGACAAAGGAGTTGATCAATTAAAAAATGTGATTGATTTAATAAAGAATGAACCAACTAGTAGGAGAATTATTTTGTGTGCATGGAATGTAAAAGATTTAGATAAAATGGCATTACCACCTTGTCATATTTTATGCCAATTTTATGTTTTTGATGGTAAATTATCATGTATTATGTATCAAAGATCCTGTGATTTGGGTTTAGGAGTTCCCTTTAACATTGCCTCTTATTCCATTTTCACACATATGATTGCACAGGTATGTAATTTGCAACCTGCACAGTTCATACACATTTTGGGAAATGCTCATGTGTATAATAACCACGTAGACAGCTTAAAAACACAATTAAACAGAATACCGTATCCATTCCCAACACTTAAATTAAATCCAGACATAAAAAATATTGAAGATTTTACAATTTCAGATTTTACCATTGAGAATTATGTACATCATGACAAAATTTCCATGGACATGGCTGCATAGTTGCGTGCACGCAGAGAAAAAAAAAAAAAAAAAAAAAAAAACTGCCTGAACATGGAATAACATTTTGATCATTTCATCCTTTTTTTTTTTTTTTTTTTTTTTTTTTTTTTAATCATTAATTTTAATTATCCCCCACCCCCTACCCCATCTTGATATGTGTTTTTCCTAAATTAGCAATTTGTTTGCTCTATCTCTCTTTATTCCTTTTTTGGGGATGCGGTAGGGACCAAAGAATAATGTTCATTTTGAGTTTCACCCCTGTCCAAAAAAAAAAAAAAAAAAAAAAAAAAAAAATTGGCTATTTATCAAGTGCGAATACATAAAAGCGAACTAGTTACACAACTGTTGAAAAAAAGAAAACACACACACACCAACGCACAAGGGTAAGAAATCTTCCCAAACAAATTTTTTGCCATGGCGAAATAAGAAGTTTAAGGTGAATTAAGGTGAAGCCCTTGTGTTGAATTAGGATTTATGTTTTGTCGTTCTTGGGAGAGGTGTACATTTTTAATATATATGGGGGGGGGGTACCTCCATCATTGCCTGAGGTTGCCTTGATTTCATGTATTTTTATTTGTTTATTTATTTATCCATTTATATTACTTTTTTTTTTTTTTTTTTTTTTTTTTTTTACCCCAACACATGGATCGTTACTAAATGGGCACTTCCCATTACTTCACGTATAGCTACTTAGAACAGTTTGTCAGACGTAGTCCTACACATGTCACGGAGGAGATGCGTACGGCACAACAACAATCCTGTTGTTGGTAAATTCATTTTCTCATATATTTGAAAAAAAAATGCAAAGTTCAGAAATGCATGATGATATAATGGTGAGAGTAAATTCGAATTCTGGTTTTTTTTTTTTTTTTTTTTCATTTGTTTTTTTATCTATATATGTGCCTACACATGTGCCTATTTATTTCTTTTCCTTTTTTTTTTTTTTTTTTTTTGCCTCCCCCCCTTGGTTGAGATCAGCACTTTTTGAGTGTTATCAAATGTGTACACATGTTCATTTGCAAGCACATATAAACGAACATGTAGTTAAATATGAGTGCAAAAATAAACACACCGAATAAGCAACTTGGTGAAGCAACAACGCAAGGAAAATCACACCGCTCAACATTAAAACAGTGTTGAGTACAAAAAAAAAAAAAAAAAAAAAATATAAAAATAATTGAAAATAGCAAAAAAGGGGTAATATTGCAATTGAACAAAAACATTTCAATCGTTTTGATATGGAGGGCATAATTCTGCATGTATACACACATTTATATGTGTTGTTCTTATTAGTATTCCATTTTAATTTAGTTCTTTACATCCACCACGTCATCGGCTTTTTCTTCTTCTGGGTAGAAATATTCATCCTAGGACAGGGAGGAATACAAGAAAAAATAAAAAAATAAAAAAATAAAAATTCGAATGTGAGTACAAATCAGAGTGCCAAGACGAATGGACGGTTTGCAATTTTGCATTGTGGGAAATGAACAAATCTATTAACGAAAAACACGCAACCATGTTGTTTTCCATCCATTCAAAAACGTGATGTAAGAAGAATTACCATTTCTACTTGCTTGTGTGCATTCAATTCGCTTATATGCTTCTCTATGTCTAGAAGTCTTTGGGACATATTTTTTATTACTTCGTTGATGTCATCTGTGGGAAAAAAGCAATGGAAATCATTAACAGATGGGTCTCAAGTGTGTATAGAATAATTCAAGTGAGGACTTTCACCCTCGCTAGATAATTTTTTTTTTTTTTTTTTTTACATGACTGCTTCCTCTCCGCAAGGTCTGTTAAAGATGTAAAAGCGATTTTCAGTTCCCTAAGAATTACAAAAATTTTGAAATACACACAAAGGTTGAAATGGAGCAATTGGTGTAGTAAGATCCATGTGGGAGAAGATGATAATGGAAACTTCTCTCAATTACACGCAACAACAGATGAGATCTGTCAGATGCAAAGTTGTACAGTTCCACCAAGCGTGATATTTCTAAACCGCCCGTGCACTCTGGGAGTGGTAGTGGTGGTGATGGGGGTCCCCTTACGTGTGCTGCAAATCGCAAATCTGTTTCAACATGTTGAGTTCATTCTGAAGGTACTTGTTTTTTTTGAGAAAATCCATTTTGATTTTATTTTCGCTGTGCTGTGGAAGAACTTCTTCTTCGTTAGTTTCTTTATTAATATTTTTTTTAATTTCCTGTTCCTTCATTTTTAAATCATCCAATTTTTCTTTGGCTTCTTGTATGAGCTTCTGTTTGTCATCCATATTCGAGTTCTTTGTGTCTTTTTCACTTGTCGCACTGTTAACCTTATTTTCATCTTGTATATCCATAATAGCATGTGTAACAACGACACATCGAATATACAGAAGTAAAATGTATGGTACTTCTTTAATGCTGGCTAACTCTAACCACTGCTGTATTTGGAGTTTCATTTCTTTTTCTGTGGTGTTAAAATTCATACCTCTGTCTTTACATATTTCTATTAATGTGTTTTTTTTTAGATTATCTACGCCTTCATATATCAGTTCTCTGTCTTCTCTTTGTAATCGCAAAAAATGATGTCTCAATTGTAACACAACATGGTAATGTATTCCATATGGTTTGAGTCCCAGCAAATGACAAATAGTTTGTAATGTCTTGAGGTTCATTTGATCAAGTACAAAATCTTCTTTAAATATTTTTGCTATTTTTAATGTATCTGCTACGCTCAAAAATGGGTTTATATCTTTTTCATCTTTATTAATTAATTGTTGATGAAATTTGATTAATATTTGTTTTTTTTTTTCTGAATCGATTCCTATATTTTCATTTAGTTGTTTTTCTTTCTCTTCAATTAACTGTTGCAAAAATTTGGCTAGCTGCTGTTTTGCATACAAATTTTTT